GCAACGCCGTGTCGGGTCAGCTAGTATATCATACACGAATAACGATATGATATTATAATCGTATGATAATGTATGGTTGTATAATAATATTATGCGTCCTTAGTTTGATTATTTATTTTTACATTCTGAACGTAACGAGAAATGTACTAGTTTCATTATTATTATTAATGTTTTATTTTTTTTCTGTTGTCTGTCTGTGAACCATTTTTCCATCGGAAATCTTGTGCCAAACCAAAAATTACCTTTACCGTCAAATTCTATTTGAAGCATTTGGAAAGATTGTTTTTCGATTTCCTTGTAGTTTACTCAGTAACCATTTTCTAGCCAAAGTTTTGTAAAATTTGTTAAGATAGACTATCAGGTTGCCGACCTGCAAACCGTATTAGATCCCCGCCCCCTCACAGACTATAGTTTCCAAATAACAGCCATTTCAAATTCTACTAATCTGTGTGAAAACCGATGTTATCTAAAGCCTAGATAACATCAGATATAAATGTGTGATACATTAAAATTTTCAGAAAAATAATCTTTACAGAAAATCCATCTTAAAATTTTCCGAAAATAAAATAAATGTTATTTTTAAAAAAAAAAAAAAATTCAAATATAAATATTTATAGTCCTTTTCTCTGTGAGTAATATAAAAAAAAAAAAAAACAGAATTTGATTATTCTTATTATCTCCGGAGATATTCAAGGGGTATATTTTCGTGGGACAGCCTATATAGCACGAGACTTAAAAAAAGAAAAGCGGAGCGGAGCGATAAATGTATTGATTGTACTATGATGTATTTTTGTTATTTATTTTTTAGCTTCTGAGTGGAAAAAGAGCTGAAATAAAGTTGATGGTAGTAACAGAAATTAAATATTTAAAAATAATCCCTTGTACTTACCTATTTAATTTTTTAATGCAGTTTTAAAAAATTAATTAAACAATACCAGGTTATCGTTAAACACTCATTGTCTAGGAAAGTATTAACTTTTTTCATAATGCTTTTGACAGAAAATTTAATAAAAAAGCAACTCTACAATTTTACAGTTACATTATTTTTTGTCACCCTAATTTTCGAGGGTGAAACCACTTTTCACTTTTGATTTTCAAATAGCAAACTATAGTAAAAATTCCATAAATAGATGAAATTTTAACTTAGACAGTTTTATTATAGATATATTTTTAAAACGCTGTACATTTTTACGATTTTTGGCATATTTTGATTACAAAACTCTTATGAAAAAAAAACCGAATGCAACTCAAATTTGGTTTTTAGAGCAACTTAAAATATACCTTTTGTTCAATTTTCAAGTATTTTAAATCATACAATTTTAACAGATACTTACCAAATAAAAATGCATATTATAAAAACACGAAAATATCAAATAACTAAAATTATCCAAAAATTTTAAGAATATTTTGAAAATCGTACGCGTTTACAAAAGCGAGAAAACTACAAATTATAACAATAATTTTTGGCTGAATAACAATATAAACCCAAATTCTGTACACGTTGCTGTATTTTATGGGAAATCAAACTATTACTTTCTTACCCACAACGAAATTTCCTTTCAGAAAATTTGCTATTCTTGAAATTCGGACAAAGATTTCTGGTATAAAAACATAACCTTAACAATTTTAAATAATGAAATTGTTTCATAATTTGAAAAAAATGTGTTTTGATGTTTTTGGTTTTTCCAATTATTATAAAAGCTACTTTAGATATCAAAAAACGACTTTCTTTAGCAGTTGCTAAATAATAAATGACATACAATTGTTTTTTTTGTCATTTTTCGATTGGAGCATGATTTCTGGTAGAAAACTTTAGTTTCAAAAATTAATAATAATGAAATCAGTAACACTGCGGCGCATTGTAAACATTTCTTGTTTTACCTATAATTTTCTTTTGGGCTTTTCCCAATTTTTTTGAAAATCAAAAAATGGCCTCTCTAATATACTAGACAAAATTTTCTTTTAGAAAAAATTTTACACTCTATACATCAGAGAAAAATTTCTGATAATAAAGTTGTTTACAGATATGTAAAAAAAAAAAACACATCATAATAATAAAACCAATAGATTCCTTGCTATGCTAAAAGTATCCTACATGTCCTTTCTCAGGGTTCAAGCTATCTCTTAACTAAATTTCATCAAAATCAATTAAAAGATTAAGCCACGGAACATTAACAGACAAATTATTTTTCACAAATATAATATATGAATAAAAATAAAATACAAATATATTTTTTCAACACTAATAATAATAAATACTATAAATTAAAAAAAAATACACACAAAACATTACAAAAAAGTAATATAGAAATTATAAGTGGTTAAATAATAGGAATGTCCACATTCTTTTTGGGACAAATTAAAACCATTAAAACTCATTTAAAGTTTTTGTTCAATGACTTATAGTAACTGGCCAATACTTCCCAGGCTGAAGGTGCCATAAATCCAGCAGGTGGTTCAATTCCATCTTTAGCAAGACCTATAATATATGTCAAAAATTGTTGACATTTTAAAAATGTTGCAATAATCACATAGTTAATAGTTAATTTACCTCTCATTTTTGTGCCAGAGATAAATTTAAAATTGTTATGGCGAGCGGAATCATAGAATTCCATTGATTGTTTTGTATCATCATACGCTGCTACACGGAAAGGGATTATCTCCAAATCTGACAGTCCTGGTGCCATTGTCAATACGCGAGCACCATGACTAGGATCGAATAAATCACGTGGTGGATTGCCATCTGGATGAGGAATTCCTGCTGGATCTCTGCCCACGATATAAAAGTTTGCCCCAGCAGACATTCGAGCTTTGGCGTGCCATTGAACCTAAAACAAATCACGTACTCAAATCACTTTAATTCTTTAATTGTAGATTATACTTGATAAAATAAGTAAATATCTATGTTACAGTAATAAATTTGACTAATTGTTGTACTTTCTAAACATTCAAAAATAAATACATTTATTATTATTATTATTATTCAATTTCCACACCTCAGTAGGACCAGCATAAATCATTGGTGCAGGGAATATAGCTAAAACTGTTGATTCTGGATCTATAATTCTATCCTTAAGCACGGCTTTATGTTGAAGTATTCTTATGTTTAGTGGAACATCATCATCCTTTGTCCAACCACCGAGAGGATGTAATAGTAACACTGGTTTTTTGTACCCTCGCTCCAGGAGTTTTTTCTTAGTGTCCTATAAATACATTTAAATTTTTAATTAATCATAAAAATAAACTTATGTAAAATTACAAAAACACAAACCTGCATTAATAATGCATGTCCATTATGTATTGGATTTCGAAGTTGAAAAGCAAATATTGCATCTGCTTTCATTTCCCTCCATTTCACACGAAGTTCATTTGGTGTAAAACGAATATCATCTAATCCATCATTCCACAAAATACGTTCTAAAACATCTAAGCTACCACTGACCAACCAATCACCACTTTCATAAATAACCTACAAAAATGAAACATAAATCATTAATAAATTTGATTTTAACTTTATATGTAAAATATGTTAAGTGTACTTTAATATAAGGATGATTGGCATGTGATGTTCCAAATTGACGGCATACTCGTTCTTCTTTACGGTGCGGATAAAATGATGGTTTATGGATAATTGCGACTGGTTTTGAATTGTACCATAATGCAATTTCATTGCAGCCCACTAACTGTTCTTTTTTATCGGTGGTTATAGGTAAAACAATAGGTATAGATTGATTAACATCCTCACTCAAACTATTGAAGTGCAAAGTCTGCAAATAATAATATGAATACCAAATTAAATATAAAGGTATAATTATAATCCGAAAATAATAATTACTACATGCTTGTAAATATTGTTCTTCATTCATGAATCCATTTAGAGGAGCTGCCCAGCCTTCAGCCAGTACTTGCACCCATTGCATATCAATCTTTCCAATGTCTAACCGAGGTAGTAATAGCGCTTCAGATTTTGTTTTCTCAATAGCATTTTCCGGGACAAATAGTTCAAGTATACGGTCAATATCACGGTTAATTTGCAATGGAATTATTTCCTAAAAAGAAGAAATTAAACAAAAATAAATAAAATCATAATGATAAACCTTTTGAGTATTAAAAAATTATTATAAGGTACATTTATATACAAATGACTAAACACAAAGCTCTATGAATTGAGCACAATATTACTTAATTTAATGTTGTAGTTTAAATTAATGTGAGCATTAAATAATTTGTCAAATTCAGTTTGATTTATCCATTAGAACTATAAAAATATTTTTTTTTGTTGATTTTTCTAACAAAATATTTACTAATCATTAAGTAAATAATAATACAACTTCTGAATTAGTACATTTCAAAGTTGTATGAAATAGAAATAAGTACCTATATAACAGTATATCCGCTATATAAACTAATTATTAATCAAATTCACCATACAAATACAAATAATACAATAAAAATATTATACATAACTAGTAATTATTAACTACTCACATTTTCTTCAAGCATTTGTACAACTTGCATAGTACTCTCTTCTATTGATAAATTAACAGTTTTAAGAACTAATTCTGGAGTATCTGGTTTTTCATAGACTTGATCAACACCAGTGAATCCTAAAAAAAAAATATTTTTTATTTTTATAATATCTATTATTTTCATACAAAATAATACAATTTAAATAAATAAAACCCAACTACAGAATATAGGTACAGACTTTGTGTTATGTTTTCATTTTTTTGATTGCAAGAAATTTAAGATTTAGAAATAATTTGTACAAAAACAATACATACAAATTCAAATATAATAAGCTTATTCAATAGGAAAATAACTCTTTTGACATATGTTCATTCTAAATGGCCTAAACCCTAAAACACTTCCTTATGATTGTCAATATTTGTTTAGTGGAAATTTCATTAAATCTGATTCATTGTTTAAAAAAGAGATAATACATCATATTTAGAAAACACACAATTTTATTTGTTCTGTTGTATATTAGTAGTTTTCAACCTGGGGGTTATGATCTTCAAAGGTGATCTCTAGTAATAGTTGGGAGCTTTCCAAAAAACTATTCAAAAACTAAGTATAATGTTTACTGAATATACAGTAGTCTACTCACGAAATCAAGAGATCAAGGAAAAAGTTCATTATATCAAAAGTTCATTACATCGAAATTTAAAAAAAATTTAAAATTTAAATGAACATACTACAAATACATATACATTATACACCAGCAGATTTGTACCTTATAATATAAGACTTATATACATACGAGTATATTTATTAATAAAAAGACGGGCATACTTCGCATGTCGGTACAGCCACTGTAGTGTGGAATCTGAGCAAAATTGCTAATAGAAAAATTAAGTTGTTAGCAGGAAAAAAGAAGGCCGTAATATTTTTTAACTAATGCCTACATTTCGTACATGTTTCCGTTTTTTTTGGGGGGGGGTTTTTCACATTTGATAAGAAAACTTCTGAGAAAATATCTCCTAAAATACCTCCCCAGCCCAATTTCCTTTTACAATTATAACAATTATAACGGAGTAGAATCTCTGTTAGAAAAGTTATCAACAGAAAAAAAAAATAAACCTCTTTGTAAAACCATAAGTTTTTCATCTCCACTTAGAATCTAAAATTAAAAATGTGTAATATCAAGCTCCAAAATTGTATAAATTCGTTACATCGCGAGAGCTTTGGTCATAATAACATTGTTATATCGAAGGGACAAAAATACATTTAGTTTTTCGTTATATCATAAAATTTTCAAGGGACCGACTGTTTCATTTATTGTATCGAGATTTTCGTTATATCGAGTTTCGTTATATCGAAAATTTACTGTAACGGTATTCAAGTTCTGTTAAACAATTTTCTGTTTTATCACATTTCTGTTAAATATAATAAACTTATTATATGTTTAGAATTTTAATATTTAATCGTTCTAAAATAATACTTAAACATGGGTAGTTTTCATATACAATGAATATGATATAGGCTAGATACCTTTGATTTGACCAGCTCTAGCTTTTTTGTATAAACCTTTAACATCACGTTCTTCACAAATGTTCAATGGTGCATCGACAAACACCTCAAAAAATGGTAAATCGGCTTCTTTGTGTATCTTTCTAGCCATTTCTCTATCCTAAAATTTTTTTTTTAATAATATATACAATTTTAATTGTAATATTATAAATGTTTTAATTTTTTTTTCTGGTTGCTCACTTGTTGGAATGGAGATACAAAACTGCACAGTGTAACTACGCCGCTATCGGCAAACAATTTTGCCACCTCAGCCACACGTTTGATGTTTTCTTCTCGGTCAACGGGACTAAATCCCAAATCTCTATTCAAACCTGTTCGCATATTATCGCCATCTAATCCATAAGCCGGTATTCCTCTGACCACTAAATATTCTTCAAGTTTAAAAGACACCGAAGTCTTACCGGCACCAGATAATCCTAAGAAATACAATTTTATTAACTTCATAAAAACATCGTAATATATTATTCAAAGTGGTTTTATGTATTATATATTTGGTACTGACCTGTAAACCAAACGGTACATCCTCGAAAACCTCGCACGTTTCCGAGAACCTGTCCACGTTTATCACGAGAAACGTGATGTTTCTGTATAGTAACGTTGGTTGCAACCTGTAAATAAAATACAATGCATTGCACTTTAAAAAGAAATATAATATGAATCTAATTCTGTCAGTAAAATTATGTTATGATTATGTTATAATAATATACTGAATTTCTGTAATTCTATTACAGTAATCTGTAATCAGTTTTTTTTTTTTTTGTTGATTATCTATCAAAATTTGAACTTGCACAGCCTTTACCTATTCCAGATGCCGTTACTAACTCAATTAAGTTTAAAACTTGTTTTGTTTTTTTTTTTTTTTTTAAACGTTACCACTCTAATATGGTAACACATTTTTGAGGGTGATACGAAAGTACATTGTATATTACGAAACCCATTCATAAGGGGAAAAAACGGGATATAAATCTAATACGTGTGCTCTTAGGTATATAAAGCTACTTTCTCTGGTGAAAGCTGCTTAACCTTCATATATTTATACACATACATATTATTAACACAGATATTTTTATGAAAGCAATTAAAATATTACCAAATAAAAGCACCACGATTATTACAACATGCGTAAACAATCAAAATTTTTAAAAATCATAATCAAAAATTAAACTTTAAATACCGAACAGCTTTGCCCGTTCACAATAGTAAACGGTAAATAATAAATTCGTGTCTCCCCGTAACTACCTACCCAATTAACTAATAGGTAATTCACCCGGTTACACAATAAACATCTTATAAATATTTTATTGTTTCAATAATTTATTGACACTTTACGGTTTATTTTAATGATAGATAAATATTAAAAAGCGTTGCACAAAATATTATTATAAAATATAAATTTAACCACATACCATAATAGTTTAATAATCTTAAGCCGTGGTTGATAACAGATAATTGATAAAATGAAATTAATTTATCACTAAGTTGATAATTGATTAATATATTATTAATTAGTTTTAAATTTGTAGCGCAATGAATGAAATGTATAACAAATCTAACAAATCTACTAAATATATCTTAATCAGTATATACGCTGTTTTGGTAGAATTTCTAACACACTAACCATGAACTCATCTTCAGACGAAGAAAATTCAATTACGTCCAATATTATTCAATTATAATAAAACGATTTATGTACTTGGTCAAATAAAAAAAAATGATATTTTTTTTTCAATTTTTACTTTAATAAACTTCATATTATCGAATCAATATAACTTATTGGGCCGAATTTGAGCCTATAAACTATTGAACCAATAGTCATTTATGACCGATATTTTATCGAATCAATAAAATATTGAAGCTTTTTGCAACATATCTTAATTTGTATTGATTCAATAACCCAATTTATTGGACCAATAACTATTTATTGACTCAAGAGAGTTTAGTGCAACCGGGCAAATAACCGTTTTTTTTTCATCTGTGTCACCAAAATAACCCATAAATCAAAAAAAATAAATTTGATATTTGTATTGGTTTTAGAGCTTTAATTTCGGAAATTCGTATTCAAGATGCACATGAAACCGTTCATCCGCTTCTGTGAGTAAATTTTCAGACTTCTGCGTAAGATAAATTTGCATTTGGATCGACAAATATGCATGAGACAAATAAAGACTTCCTTTAATTAATATAGATGATTCAGAAATATTAATTTTTAATCGTATTAACAATATTTTATATTAACGAATATATTAAATGTATAAAGAAAATCAAAAAAGTTTAGCAATATTGTAGTATATTTGTAGTTGTACACTAAAGAGAACTACAATAATATTTTGTTTCTAATTTCTTAGAAAAATACATTTCAAAGAAACGAGTACTTATATAAGTAATTTATAAGTATTCTGAAGATCTGTAGTTAAAAAAAACTATAATTTATTTTTTTTTTTTAATGTAGGTTTAAGTAACTATATTGAAAATAGGTATAAATACTAACATCAATATAATAATTCTGATCAAATTAAGTAGGAATCGATTACACAATAAAAACAAACTACATGTTGATATTAGGTGATTTATTATTCAAAATGCAATACCACTATTAAGTAATACGTACGTTTCTATTAAGACCACGGGATACTTTGGATTTTCTTACGTTAAACGACATTTTTAATTCGGAACAAAAAAACCGACGATTAAAAACTAATTTATGAATATGTATATTATGAACTGTATACGTTATAAAACAACACTACGATAATATTATTATGAACGGTTGAAAAATAACAAGTTGTCGGTGTGACGAACTTGGTTTTCGAATTAATCATCAAAGAATACCGAAACACTCAGATATTTAAAAGACGAAAGAAAAAACCCCTTCTTTCCACTGGCCTCGGTCGCCAATTTACCTATGATCTCGTGCGAATAGTGACATAGCTTTCCCCTCCACGACTGCCTACAGTTTGTATCCAAATATTTAAAGTAATCTTTGTAAAGCATTGTTTCCCAAGCAGATGGACGCACCCCCCTCAAGGGGCGTGAACACATTGTTGGGGAGACACAAGTAATTTTATCATTATTATTATTAATAAAAAAAATAATTACTTCGAATATTGTATATTTTTTATTTGTAAAGTATACAAAAAAATAAAGTTATCAACTTGTTTTCAATTTATGGGAGACCTGAAATTTTCAAAAAAATATAAAAGAGGTTAGGAACCCTACTAAAATGATCACTAAGAAAGTATTTGTTCACATACTATCTAACATATACAAGATTGTTTATTTCCTACATTGTTTCAAAATATTAATTATAAATGTATAATTATAGGATGTTTATTTTTTTTTAAAAACTTACACACACGCGCGTACATTCACAATAAAAAATTCCTGTTAAAAAAAATCACCTAACAGCTTGATAGTGACAGCCAAGGTTATAATAGAACATAAATTTAGAATTTTTTAGATGAGAACTTATTAGAAGCAGTAACCTATACTAAACAACCCTGTTTTCTAAGCAACGCGCTTTTATTCGTTTCATATTTTTGACTATTTTGTGAGCGTGAGCTCTAAGGCTTATCGTATAGACGGCGAACGTTTTTTCAGTTTTTAATCGGGCTTCCCCCAGAATTTGAATAAAAATAATAATTTGTGGTATGTTTCATAAACACCGATCAACCCTAAGATCCAAAAGTATATTTATTTTTTGGGTTTTTGCAATTATGACCTAAAATATTTATAATTAACAAATCAAAAAACATAAAAATATTTTTTAAATTCAATTCCTAATAATAATTATTATAACTTGTACTTTTTTCATTATAAACGACTTATTCACACACAAAATAACAAATCGAGTTTGGTCTTTTTTAGGAAATGGGTTGTGCAGTGAAAAAAGTATAAGTTATAATGTATGTAAGACATTTAATTTCAAAAATATATTAACTATGTACTTTTGACTATCGTAAATATTTTCTTACGTAATATTGTAAAATTTAAAAAGGCACCATTTTTTTGAACTTTAACGTTCTTGGGGTTGGCCAGTTATTAAGAAACTTAACTCGATTTATGTTTTTATACTTTAGAACTAATTCCGGGGATAATCCGATTAAATTAAACAAGTTTAACTTGCAAATTAATACCTATGTACCTGTAGCGTGTTGCTATTCATCAATTTATTAATAATTAATAATTACAATGTAGCCATACGTAAGTATTCTCTTGTCAACCTCGGGAGCTCGTAATTAAAACATGTAAAATTAATATAATTTTAATTATTAATGTGTTATATAAACTTGAAATGTATTGTTATTGTACTACTGCAGTTAATTTTTGAAGTTCCTAGTGGAAATTGGGGCAACTTGGCGATTTTTTAAGGTTTGACTATATTCGATTTGACATCATAACAAATTTTTTGACATAGTCGTAGGCTTATAATTTTTTATACACATTAACGTTGTTCAAGTTTTTATACAAAATACGTTAAATAATTACGTAAATAATTTTTTAAACATCTACTGACTTTATAATATTGTATAATTGTTTAGGATTAATTGTTGTTTTTTTACGTTATAAATGCAACAAATGTTTTACTTAAGTAAGCACCTACTGGTATACTACGTACATATGATAAAAAATATTACAAACTATGATATCTATTTATTAAGGCCGCAAGCAATAACGCTAATAATTGTTTAAACTATTAATAACGCGATGAACATTTCGACATTAGACGATATAAGTATGTGTGGAAACTCTTTGATGATAGTAATGATCTCCATCAATAATTTCAGTCATAGATACCTATATAATAAAACAAATATATTGGGTTATATTTTTTTATGGATGTATGATATTGCCGTTTGAATGGAATATTAGATTAAATGATTTGATCAAAATATTACGTCAGCTATTAAGCTACCTACTCGAACCCGAAAAACTCGTTTCAATAGGTTATTCAATTATAATGTTCTTATGCCTATTGAGATTAACCTGGTTTACCACAAAAAAACTTAATTTGATGTCACACGTATATATTTTACAAAACAAAAAATCAATCCAAACGAAAATTTACCTACATAATTCGCGAAACAAATTTAAATAGTATTTTTATAATAAGTAAAAAATATTCACGCGGAAAAAAAACACCTTAAAATTACTATATTCCTATAATAGGACCGAAAAATCGATTAAAAAAAGCTATTTACGATTAATACATTTGTTTTCCATAATTTCTTATGACCTATGCGCATTACAGTGAAAAATGATAATCGATGGAAAAACACTTCATATTAATTCATTATTTTAGCCAGAATTTGACGTTTAGAACTTACAGACTAATATTCTGACTTTACACGATATTTGAGATGAGCGAAGACTAGAGCTCTCTATTTCACATGTACACGTGAAAATCGCATTCGAATCTTTAAAACCGTGTACTTAAAAAATCCATGTACACGTATATATTCACGTATTTTACGTTGTTTTTCACGTATTTTCACTAAGTATTTACATGAATAACACTAAAACACATGAACACGGACAATAAATAAAATTATAATATGAATTACATCATAATGTAAACAAAACTTTAAAAATTGTATACTCCTCACAGATAGGCCACTGTTTTACATGGGTATAGTTGAGAGTGTAGGATATACAGGATAATTTTGTTTATTTCATTGCGAACGAAAACAATATTGAGTGAAGTAATATTAAGTGTTTTTCAATCATTGCCAAAGGAACCACAGAAATGAATAAAACAACCTAGGATATGAACTTCTGAAAATATTATATAAATGTTTCAAATAGAGTACCACCAATCAAAAATTCCGCGTCTTAATTTTAGGTACTATGTTAAAATATTGTTGCATTTGTCTAACCAAAGGCGTTTAAAAAAAATAAAATAAAAAGTAATTTCTTGGAAAATGTATCAAAATGTTAACAAATTGTTCAATTAAAGTACCATCGGGTAAGAAATCCGCATCATTTAAAGTATGTCTTGATAAACTCGGGAAAATTTTTACTAACCGAAAAAGTGTTGTCCGAGAAAAAGAAAAAAAGACATCAAACTAATAGGCGATTTTTCGATAAACTCAAGAGCGCTTTTCGGCAAACAACATGACACCACGCTATAACAATTAAATGATAGGTAGGTGACAATAATGTAATGAACGTGCAAGAAAAATACATAGGTACCTAGGTACTTGTGATTAAAATATTAATAATTCTAAGTATGTGGTACTGATAACTGCTCCAAAATATTTGTCCATCATTCCACCTTGAGGTTCATGCAAGTACAATGGCATGACAGGTAATTTACAAGGAATTAATAATACAACCGATAAGTAATAATTATGTAAATTCTCATATTACAATAAAATCTGTGCATTTTTAAGTTATAAATGTGAAGAATTAATTATGTTATAATATTTTACTGTCTATATGGGTACCTAATTATTATAACATATTAATATTGCATGACAATCTCTAATACATAAATATTGTAATTTAGGCTCAGTTTGCTACTGAAAAATCTAGGCATAATCATACTTCTTTTAATTAAATTTTTGACTAACTTTAGGACGCTGAAAATGTTAAAACTTAATGAATAAACACATTCCCTATCTAGTGCTGATTGTAAATAAATTATTTTATAATTATTTCAAATAAAATTGTGTATAATCATTTACTAAAGACCAGGTACCTACTGATGTTATTATAAGACTAGGTATAATAAGTTAGATACTTATTTAATTTTAACATCTTATAAGTATGAGTGCCTAATAAATACAATTATTAATTGAACAACTAATAATTATTATTATTAATTAAGTAAAAATATTATTATTAGGTCATTTTTAAATTTTAAGACAACGGTTTACAATTTTTATGAAAGATCATTAATGATACTTAACTTGAAAAAAAAAATGTAATACTGAATAGATAAAAAATTACAATTATTATGATATTGATTGATAGAATTTTTTTTTACTTAGATCAATAAGTCAGGGACTATATAAAACCATGACCTGAATAATGACTGCATAGACCTACATTTGTCTGCCCATGATCTTTCATTGCTATATACTAAAATAATAGACTCACCTAATTGAAATAATATTTTATAATCAGATCAATCATTATAAACTAAAACCAAAAAATTACAAAATGTATATGATATAATCAAAATTTACAAATATATAGGCGGGTATATATACGGGTAAATATATACTAATATATACTTAATATATACCTATTTTAGACAAAAAAACTACTCATTATATATTTTTGTTTTATAAGTTATTAAAAATATTGTAAAATTGAATAAATTGTCAATTTTAAAAGCATTATTTTGTAATTTATTGATTTTTTAACATCAGACCATACAATTTAATTTAAAAATATTAAATATGGCAAACTGTGAATTAATAATAATGTCAGAATTTGGAAAATAAATAAAATAATACTTACACTTAGAAATATAATAGCAAACATTGTAATTTACTGTTCATCAAAACTTTTAATAATTATTTCTATTTAAAAAATTTGGAAGTAAAATATATAAAAAATAATTATTTATATTGAAAAGATAAAAATTGAGTTAAATTTGAATTTGAATTTAATCATGTTGTTGCTGGTGGAAGATTTATTTTTAGTTTTTAACACTCTTACAGCCTCCCTAAATGCCTCAAACCATTTTTATTATCAAATTTTAACATTTTTATTTGTTTTTTTTTTTTTTGTGCTTATTGTATAATTATAGCACAGCAGTATATCATAGTATTATTACAGAATTCGGCCATTTATTATTTTATAAAGACTATTTCTACAATATTTAGGCACTTTAGTTTAAATTTTATTGAAAATCTTAAAAAAATGAAAGCATTTCAATACATAATTAACCAATCTTTTCTTAGAATTGTATTTAGTGGCAATGATTTCTCGATGCATGCAAATATAAATTAAATTACTTTATGTATTCTACTGTTCTAATTTCCCACCTAAAAAAATGTATACCCATCACAGCATTATGCTATTCACCATAAGTACTGATTATAATTATTAGATTATACAAATAAAGATATATCTTAATTTGTGGATTACAGCTACTTAATATTATACTACACATCATCTATTTAGTACACTGGAAAAGTGCATAAACACCAAGGACCTTAATCTACACAAAATAAAAGATTTTATATTTTTATTTTAACCAGAATAAATTATAATAAAACTTCAAAATTAGAAATCTGTACTTAATTCTAATTGAAATACAAAATTAAACATAACAAATTATTGTATATTGTAGAAACTTCAATGTTACTTTTAGTCGGTTTATAAAAAAATACAATTAAACATAGTTTAGGTTAAATTAAAGTATGTAATGTATGTTAATTACATAGTTATGTAGATTATACAAAATACATATAACATTAATTATAGAAATAATTAAAATTAAAATTGTACAGTTTTCAATTATTGATAATAATACAAGTTTTAAACTAATAGTACATCTTGTACTATTTGTGCAGTAACAATTTGTAATTAACAGTTTGCTCTTTGGCGACCATTGGAATACCGACTGTTATATCTTTATCCAAACACAGTTTATGATATACATCTGTTTGAACATTCATATTACCTTTGAAGTACAAACGTAAACGGATTACAAACTCTCCCCAACCATGCCTGGTTAACGAAAATGGTTTTTGGACTACATCTACTATATGATGAGGTTCATAAGATTCGTGCAGAAAATAAGTCACTTTATCAATGTAAATCAAATTATCTATTGATTCTTCTGCATTGCGTACATAAACAGTCCATTTATATTTCATTTGATGATCAGACTTGTTAATTGTAACAGTGTTTCCAATAATGTATGATAAATCAATTAATCCAGAACTGGGGATAAAATTTGTTGGAGGCAAAGAATTCTTTGAAAGTGAAATTGGTTCACTAATTTCTTCAATGTTGCTCACAGATTCATTTTTTATTTCTGTTGATATAGTATTCAAATTTGTCATAAATACACTTAAATCTTTAGCTTCATCCTCACATTCCATGTTTCTAAGAATGGCATCTCTCTGTCGATTTTTTTGACCATCAGTATTATTTTTCATATTTGCAAAATGTGAAATGACAATGCTTCTTCTTAGATTTTTTAAATTAGCGATACACATATTAATATTTTGATCAATTTGTTCTAGAGTTTGCTTTGTTTTCACTATTTCATTATCCAAATCTTTTTGTACATTAGACACAATTTGAGTTATTTGATCTTTACTTAATGTTTTCAAGAATTTATCTGTAGAATCCATTTCAAATTAAGGAATGACAATGATGCAAATTGATCTAAAAATTTAAAACAATAATATCCTATATTTTTAGGAAGTATACACTGTTTGATATTATTATATGAAACCCAAAATGATTTTTTAAAAGTGGTATTCCAGCGATGTTGTGTTCCTTTTGTCATATTATGGTATTCTGATTGGCCGTTGTAACTTGTTAAAATTCAGTAATCAAAAAATGTCCAGAGTTGGGCAAATTTACACTTTTCTTTTGTTTGAGTTGCAATGTTTAATTGATTTATTATTGTTTTCATCATATATATATATATATATATATATATATAAAATATATATCTGTGAATACAAAACACAATGTCGCTGAAATACCTATCCTCTTTAAATAAAAACAGATTATTCCATAACTAATAACTTTCCATTATATTATTACATGTAAATACTTACTACAATGATTATGATGAAAATTATTAGTTAGGTATTGATATATGACTGATACAGAACAAAGAAACTAATTAAATGTAATTATAAAATATTTAATAATAAATTGAGGTTTAATAAAATCAATTGCCAAAATATTATAATTGGAATATTGTTAAATATAATAAAAAATAGTAATTATGCATATTACTATGAATGAGTACTACTCAAATATGTAATTCAATTATTATTTCTATTAAATTTTGTTTTTTCTAAACATATTTTGTATTTTTAAACTAATTATTAAAATGATTCATAAATTAAAATGTAAGTATATATTTTCTAATTGCAAGTATATATCAGAAACAAAGTATTGAAGTAATTTTGCCACAATAGATAAATAAACAGTAGTATCTACTAGTTATATGGTACGGGTCTAAATTAGTTATTCATGCTGTATTGTTGTTATTATTTATGCAAACTAAGAGAAAATAAATTAATATTTAAAACAAATAATTAAGTAACTAATAATAATTACAAATTGAAAAGTATTATAACTTGTACTTACATTTTATACACGTATGTTTCAGGATTTTCAGAAAATAATTGGTGTAGATAAAAATTAGGTAGGTATATTGATAAACGTATTCAAGTTTTATAGATTGTATAAAATATTATTACGAAAACGAATAAATGTTTATAATCACAAATAACCAATAGGTAGATAGGTAATAATTTCATAAACATAAATTTCAAGAAATACAACTAAAAATATTCTGAAGTTTAAAAAGTGTCTACTATTTAATGTTTATCTGATATTGTTGATATCTTATCAATTATATCAGGTATATCTTATCAATAATATAATCGATAAACGTGAAAAAAACCCGCCCAAATATTATGGAGGTGTACAATTTTTATTTCTCAGGAACAACATTAATAGGTATTAATCATTATGAAATTGAAAACTCAGTTAAGTTTGACTCTCTCCCCCACCATCAGACACAGTAGTATTTTATAATATTATTATTTATTCCTTCTTCTACTTTTCTTTCGCCTTTTTCACTAATCACGGGGATAACGTAAAATGTATAATAATTACTCACTAATAATAATAATACTTTATTTATTCAACTAGAACCGAAACAAAATAATTAAAGAGATCATTTTCATTTTCACCTTAATTCCGCACAACTTTAATAAATTTAGAACTCCGAATATCGACCTTCGTTTAGTTAGGTTAGGTTATTGGAGGTTTTTTTTTTTAATATAGCTTATAATAATTGTTCATACCGATTCGTACGCAGATATGAAAGTACCTACCTATATAACGTAATAAACACATACAGTTAACATCCATACATTATTGATTTACTGCTTAAAGTGTATTTAAATAAAAACAATAAATAATGCAACTCTTAATTTAACAATGCGGTAATAATGTATACATGATTAGCATTTAGCAATTAACATTAAATAAAATAAATTACTGGTACATACAATTAATAGAAATATGAATATCGCAGTAATGTTACTTGGGTACATATTAAATAGAATTATGTAGTATAGACAAATATTTCTTTAATGTAGGTAAATACTTTTTTAGATCACTACACAAAAACGAGACTGAAACAAAAAAAATTTATCTACAATAAAATATATTATAATAATGTAATGAGTTTCAAAAATGTAGTAAAAAAAAACTTACTCGTATTCTTTCATTTTTAAGATATTTTGATTTAGTTACTGTTTTTTTTTCTTTTTGCTTGTCGTCTGTGTTGTTAGCCGACAATTTTGTATTTATTTCTTCTTTTTCTAATGCAGGTTCATCAACTACGTTATTTAAGTTTCCTATTTCTTCGACAAAACAGAGCAAAAATACCTAATTTCAGTAAATGGAAGTGAGAAAGTCATATTGTGCGGTCTTATCGTAAAGAGAAATCTCATGCCAGTATTCTTTAAACAGTTTAAGTTTTAAGTTTAAGTTTTAAACGTTTAGTCCGGCGATTTGATTTAATTGTTATATCTCAATAATATTTTGAAAATATTATAAATACGACAAGATGACATGCATATATTTTATGAATCCATCGCAATTTTTAAAGACTGCATATTTACTAATCTTTTAATAATTATAAAGAGTTATACTAGTATTAAGCGTCAGGCACGGATCCAGAGCAAAGATCTGAGGGAGGGGCCCAAAAATTCGTTTACAACACAAATACAATAAAAATATAATATAATACATCATGTATATTATTTTCTCATGTCTCTTCTCCTCTTCTTTACTAATGGCCTTTTGCCTTGTCGTTTCAAATCTGGTTCTCCGCTCCTCTCTATTAAACGCCAGTCTTTTTATGTCCACATATCGAGTGTAATCACAGCTTGTCTCATAATTTACTCTATGTGTGCCTTTCTCGGTTTACCTCTCCCCTTGTGTCCATTTATTCGTCCTTCAAATACATTTGTCATAAACGGGCTGTGTCTCAGCACCTAAACCAAACATTTTTCCGCTTCTTTCTTTTATGATGTTCAACAGAATTCTTTTTTCCCCAACTTCGTTTAATATACCTATGTTACTTTTCATTTCTGTCCGGATGACTTTCAACAATCTTCTCCATGTCCAAATTTCCATACATTTCATACATATCAGTGATTAGAATACAGTAATTTAAGAATCTATACAATTATAAAAATCGAAGAAATAATATGTCTGGGAAGGGGTGGCTGGACTCGTAGCCCTCCTTGATCCGTCCCTGTTAAGTGTGTACATTTAAATAGGTATGTATATTACCTAATTTACTTGGTATAATTTTTTCGTCGTTAAATATTTTATCAACTTGTGGATTTTGTAGATCGGTCGTATTGAGGTTAATTTCCTATAAATATTATAAATACAAAGATTATTTTTAATGGGGGTTTTTTTTTTTTTTATATAATCTCGAATTCAACGTTATTGTGTCTATTAGTCTTACCTTTATTTCCTCTTTAACGACTTTCAAAACTTTGTCATCGTCATTATCCTCAACTTGAGTGACGATCGACGAGAACGATTCGACAGTCTCTTTTCGTTCTTCAGCCACTTTTTTCGGAACCTTTAACGGAGGTAATGTATCGGAAGATTTAATATTATTTTGTACATCATAGTCGGTTGATTCGCTTTCGACTGGCTCGGCGTGAAGTAAAGTATGATTGCCTCCACAGCTCACCTACATAATATGCATAAAAGCTAATGTAAAAAGAACTTATATTGGAGACGAGTGTGGCCACTGTTTTGGGTGGATAGTTGTAGAGGTGGGCATTAACTTGTTAAAAAGCTAATATTTTCTTTAACTTTTTAACTTAACTAGTTTTTTTTTTTGTTTTTAACTTATTAACTTATTTAGTTAAAATTTGTATTGTTTTAACTTAACTTTTTAATGTTAATTATCACTATCGAGCAGTTAAGTTAATTTTGTTTTGTACCATCCTTTATCAAAAGAAAAAACTGACTTTATTTCGATTTTGATAATTTTCTAATAATATATCATAATATTGATAATCGCATGCTGGAAATTAATTACTTTATCTAATAATAATTTATAATTTATATTTCCGTATATTAATATATTATAATATGACAAATGAAACTAGCAAATAATGTATAGTTATGAATAGAATATAGATGTATCTTCTAAGTTTCTGATAACAATTTAATATAGGTAATAATAATTTAATATTTTGTAGTTGACATTTACACAGCGTAAATCACTGATGTTTAAACATCTTGGTAAATGTGTAAATTAAAATACTAGAGATCTTTTTGACTTATTAATATTATAGCTTAAAAAAATATTATTAACTTTTTTTAATCAAGTTAAGTTAATTATATTTTCTATGTTAACTTTTAATTTATCGAGTTAAATTTTTTTTTTGTTAACTTTTAACCTTTAACTGAAGGTAATTTAATTTAATCAACTTAACTTTTTTAAGTTAATTATTTTTATTAACTTGCCCACCTTTAAGTATTTGGAAATATGGGATAAATAAAGTTATTTAATTTGAATCTGTAACCAGCCATTGCTAACGAAAACAATTCGGAGCGAAGTTTGGTTATTCATGTTTTGAAAGACCGTAATATTTACAATTTTTGTCAACATTTGATTTTAAAACTTTTACAAAAAAGTTTTAAAAACAGAATCCTATATTACACATTTTTTTTTTTAACCACTTAGTATAATTTATAATGAACCTCCTGTCAAATGTTCAAGCATTTTTGTTTAGTCGAACAATTGTATCCATAGAGTACCTACCAACGAAAAATCAAGCAAAATATCTATAAATAGCTTAAAAATAGACCAAATGTTTTGAAAATTTTATCACGATTCAAAAAAAAAAAATTCAAGTGTTTATGCATATTTTCAACTGAATTAAATTTAAAAAAAAAAACAAAATTTAAAATAATAAAATAATTTTTTTGTAAATTTTCCCATTGATTTCTGTGTTTTTCAGTTTTGCTCAATTATTAAAAAAAAAATCGTCTGAGGATAATGGAGTCGGGTACAGCTACAGTTATAAGTAATTTAATGTATATCTGCAAGCAACGATAAACCGTCACTAACGAAAAAACGATTTTGAACGGAGTTCAGTTGATAATGATGCTTTGTCAACAATATATATGTCGTACTATGGTAAAATAATTAAATAGGCATTATATATTTTCTTTCATAATATTTATTTTATGTACCGATTTTCCCGTTATTCCCATGTTTTTTCTTGGTTTTTCACATTTGATGAGAAAAATTTAGAGAAAATCGAAAAACTACCTCTCTAAAGTACCTTCCCTTTTTAATGCACTAACTAGACAAAATTACCTTTCAGAAAAATTGTTACACTCTATAAATCAGAGTAAATTTTTTCTTTGAAAAGTTGTGTACATATAATAAAAATATTTAAAACAACGCACACCACAATAAAACCAATATATCCCTACACTCCGAATCTAAAATTATAATATTAATATTTTTTATTTAAAACATTTTTTCCTGATTGATGAAACAATAATATTATTATAATTACCATCTGCACGTTTAAATTTCTGTCGACAAATGTCGATACAAGCGTCGGAATTGTTGTTTGATTAACGTCCATGCAGAGCTTCCCGTACTTCCCATCGCCACACGTGAAAAGTTTACCACTCGCTGTAATAATATTAAAAATATTTGTTTAATAAAACGGTAAATCAATCAATGCCTTTTCCCGTAAACAAGTAACACGACATTTTGTTCGAAAACTTCCAATATTACCGTAAGTACTCCTATGCTATTTTCGTGTATTAATTTTATCGAGGTTATCAGTTGTACAATTTTAATGTTCACAATAGTCTCTTATTATCGTATATACCGTGGCGTAGCCAGGATTTATCAATTCAAGGGTTAGCGTTCTACGACTTTTTAATCTTACCTATAGCCTAAAAATAGCAATGGGGATGGATTACAACACCCAAAACCCCCCTTTACTACGTCACTACTTGAATGTATGTGTAGATTATTGTTACAACGGTTGATAATTTTATTTTCGATTATTTTTTCTCTGAATGTTCGCCAAAGTTAATCGTGACGTTTGGAGAAAAATTACCCCGTGCTAATAATAACTATAACCTCGTAAACATATTTTGTAATATTTAGTAATATTTAATAGTTAATATTTTGTTATACATTTTTGATTTGTAATAATAATTATAACAAAGGATCAAACAAAGAAATTTGTTCAAGCAATGAAGAAGTTGAACAAAATGACAATTCAAATGAAATTATTGTATCTCATGATACGGATACTAAGCAATGTATTTTAAGCACGGAAATTGTTACTTTTAATTTAATTTTAATTAACTGGAAGTTGGTACTGATATAATTTAATATTGAATCATAGGAAATTGTTTACCCCTCGCGAATAAAGACCATTGAGTAAGCCACGCGAGCATTTAAAGGTATCTAAAGCTGTATTACTATGATTATATCATATTTTATATTATAAGTTAAGTGAGGAAGGCGATTTATAGTTTTCTACACTAAGTTTTTTTGTCTTCTTGGAAAACACTTTTTAGAGAGTTATCTGAGTAAAAATGGCCCAAACACTTTTTGTACCGTATAATAGCTTAAAAGATCTAAAATCGATATTTTTGAAATTTAAATAGTTTCTTTATAAAGGAAGGGGGTTGCCACACTTAAATTTCGGACAATTTGTTTTTCTGATTTACAACTGTTTACAAGAATATACATGAATTAAAATATTATTCACTGCAACACTGCAACTACTCATAATTATTTTTTGTTTACAATGATTTATCGTCACTATTAGGATATAAACTAAATTACCTCTAATTTAAAGGCTTATATACTCTCGTAACTTTTCATCTATACCATCATACCAGATTTTGTTTTAATATATACACTGATAGGTATGCAATTTACCGGTAATAAAAGCGCTATGATTTTCGCCGCACGTTATTTGAACGATTCGCTCGGTGGTAATGGCACAAGGGTATAGATGACCTTGGGACGTGACACTTCGCAAGCCGATTTGGCCGCAGTCGTTGTTACCACAAACAAACACTTTTCCTGCGTCTAGGACAATCCAAATTTTACAAAACATTTAATTTAAATACCGCAGTTTCAGCACAAAATAACTTAATTTTATTCTGTGGTCTCGCGCAATAGATATCACAAAAATGTTATAAATATAATATATGACTTGACAACGATAAAATGTAGTATTATTATATCGAATTACCGCTCAACGCGACTGTATGATTTGATCCGCAGGCAACTTGAATGATCTTTTCGGACGTGTCTACCCGACTAAGCGACTGCATGTCGTGGCCGAGTTTTCCATAATCCCGGTCGCCACATGTAAAAATGTCTCCGGCCTCTGAAACATATCGTGACGTGTCACGAACATTATATTTTGTTATCTATACCGGATAAACTGGCAGCCTAACAATTAACACAACTATATATATTATTTGTTATATTAATGCAACTCAACACTGCAGAACATCACTGTGGTCATCACTTAGCAAAGATGAGATTTGTTATAGATGGGTGACTAGAGTTATAGTTGAATAGAATAAAGAATGAGTCATGAATGACACGTCCTCCTCCCCTCCAAACTTCGATAATTACATTTGTGAGTCGGCGATTTAACGGTTTAATTCGTTTAAGTCGACAAAAATTATGAGAAAAAAAAATGTATCTGTTTTTGTAGTCGGAAATTATAAAAACAACTGTTGAGTAATCGGAAATAGCAGATAAAAATAGTTGTATATTAAATAAATTTCCAATAAGCAAAAAACAGTCAACAGCTAAATTCATATTTGTATATGTAGTGTGTGCACATGTACGCCCCCCATCCCCTCTATCAATAATTGCTGGTTACAGGCATTGGGAATGAGTTACTTATGTGACGGTTCGGGAGCGTTTTCGATTTCTTCTGAATGTTGATAAGGAAAACATATTAAGGGAGTGAGTAGATTGAGATGATGGTTCGGACATGTGATTAAAATAAGACACGAGTCACGAATTTAAGAATTTACAAATTAACGTGGAAGAATGTTGAGGCAGAGGAGGATTGAAATAGCGATGATGGTCAGACACGATTGAGCACCCTCAATGATTAATATGAAAAATGTGCATAGATGTGGATGACCAATAAGGTGAAGATTTGAGGCTTACGTGGCCGATTCCATAAAAAGGTGGAAAAAGAGTTAAAAAATAAAAAAAATAAGACAGCGGATAATTATTCGTAGGTATTAGTCTGGAAATAGATATATACATACTGGTAACGAACGCGGTGTGAGTATGCCCGCACGACACGTATCCGACGGGTCGGAAGATCGGCACGACGGTAGGCACCCTGACGATGACCGAATCATTTATAGAGTCCAGTCCCAGTTGTCTGTCGGCGTTTGAACCCCAAACATAAACGTCGCCGTTTTCTGTCGGCAAAAATAGCCCCCATAAATGACGAATAACCAAAAAACACGTTATCAGGCATTCGTATTACGTGCAACATTAATATATTATTGTACAATACCTACCTATGATGACCGCCGTGTGGTAAGATCCGGCCGATATTTGGACGATTTTCTCGTCGAATTTGGTAATTTCAACGGGCACATAGCTGTTCGTTACGTCCGCCGGTTGCCCCAGTTGACCGTCGCTGTTATCGCCAAATCCGTATATTGTATTGTTCTCTGCAGGAAATAAATGTTTTTTTTTTTAATTTAAACTGTGTTTCATGTGGATAATGACGACGGTATCATTCATTGTGGTAATAAAAACCATCCTATTTAACACCCAATCCTCCGTCCTTTTCAATCCATTGGTTTTTCTTTTCAATTCGAAAGTCTTTTTCCGTACGGATTTTGTTCTATCACTGCTTTTAATATTTCGTTCTGACCTCTACAAGCTGTCCACTGAAAAAAATCTCTTTCGCATTGCATAAGTTAAATTTGTACTTTGGAATAACAACTCTGGCACTGCATTTTTTTTCCTCCTCCATTACCCACTGGCACAATCTTTAACTAGTACGAAGATTTTCCAATTAAGCATTTTGCTCGTCTATTTTTTCTCAGTGGCCATGTTTCCGTACCGTACTAGATTATCGAACGAATCGGAGTAATATATAATCTCTTTTTTAATTCCCTAGATAAAAATCGGGAGCCCAATATCTTTGTTGGACGATAATATCATTTATTACCTGTTTTTATTCTAGCCGCAACTTCTCTGGGAGATTCCGAGATATTTGAATTGACGTGTGTAAGAGTAATTAATTATACATGTTGAACTAAAATTACATTTTTTATTTGTCGAACCAAAAACGACACGCGAAACTATAGTTGTAAAACGTTAAATTATATTTTTATTTGACTTTTCAAGGGAATATTTATTGTTATTATTTTTTTTGTTTCTTTAACGCTCTTGATTCAAGTCGACAATTTTATTTTAATATTAATTGTGATTTAACAAAAAATTAAAAAATATTAAACATTTGTATATATATATTGACACTATTGTATTGTACAAAATAATAATAAATAATTTACATAATAATTAAATGAAAAAATAAAATATTACACATTAATATATTTCTTTTGCAAAAGATTACCATTTTTTTTTTTGCATTTTTTCTTATTAAAAAAAAAAAATGTTAGAAAAATATAATTTTTAAAATATTTAATAAATGAAAATCTCGTGGCCAACCGTTATTTTCTAAATATTATTTAAATGAAAAAATATGGAAAAATAAAACATTTTATCAATAATTTCATTATAAATATAATATACTGGGATAGTAAGTTTTCGAAACTGAAATCCATCGGAACGCAATCCCTATAGTTTTGTCTGGATTTTAGGTATTAAACGTCATAATCGTCCGTAAAAATAGCCTTACTTCTTACTTGTATCGGACAGTAAATTAATGTGGTAATTAAAATGTGGAAAAGGACACATTTTATAAAATTGGAAACAGTTCCAATTCTCTTAAATAAAAAACTATTCTCAATTATACGAGTATTATATTTTATAATTACACGTTCAAGAAGTAGGTACCTATATTATAATAACATAATTGTCAACTTTCAAAATAAATGGTTGGACATGAGTATAATGCATTCGGTTTTTCATTTCAAATCCTTAATAAAACAGTAAATACCAGAAAAACTATATGATGAGAAATATACGAGCAACAATGCCATCATTTATTTTGTCCAGTATGATAATTATAATACATTATAATGGCGTTCAAATGAAAAATAATAATGACCTGCATTAAATCGTCGAGGTGAACAAAACGTGAAGCGATCATATCCTAGCGTGTCTCTGTACCTATTATTTTATTTTTTTTTATTTGTTTATTTGTTGCATAATAAAATACAATGAAAAACTCATAACGACTTCGTTCACCGATAAAATTAATAATAATTAATGAGACAATAAATAATGAACCCATTAGATTTTAAAAATCCGAAAAAAAATCTTTAAAAAATGAATGATACATTTAAATAATAAATAAAAACAAACCATAAGATGTGGAATCTGTGTTTGTTTGCGATTGCGGTCAAATAATTGGTTTGTGATGGTGCCATAACTCAAGGACTTTTGAACGTGTGTACATTATGCGGAACTTAATTTAGCGGAGATTATTTTCAATTTTTTATTTTTAAATGAACGATTGATGATGAGTAATGTTTCCAAAAATATCTTCAATGGTCAGTTAGGTTATAGTCAACCCATCTAATGTTTTGTGCATTTTGGCACTACCTACTGACTTTGTTTTTTAAAATATAATACAGGTAGTGTTATATTATACTTGTGTTTATGTCGTACTATAATAGTGTACTACACTTTACAATAAAATCTAAAATAAATGTTTCGGTGCAACAAATAATATCGTTATGTACCTACCAAACTATACCTATACGTAAAACATAAAACAAAATGTGGGTAGCGAGAGTATTCAAAAGAAAAAAAAATTCGGGAGATGGGGGAGTTGAACCACCAATGAATGGTCCACTGTTGTATGTAGAGAATTAATGAAAATTGTTTTTGAAAATTTAAATTTAAAATTGTAGTATTCTGTAACTAAACGTAATAGATTACATTTGTTCGTGGTGTTAATGCATTTCAACATAAATCTGAACTTAAATTACTGATCAAAATAAATTACGTTTTATCCACATGAAACCAAAAAAGCTCAAAAATTTCAAATAGCTATAAATAACTCAACAAATCTAGAATACTTTGAATATTGTACCATGTCTTAAAAGTCTTACAGTAAGTACACGATGACAATTTCAAGTCTCTGCGTTAATTATTAATTGAATTATTATAAAAAATGAATTATTCCCATTATTATGGAAAATTACAAAATTACCTGGTTGGGTTAGTTCAAATTTCTGCCTGGTTTTAAATATAATATATAATTTATTGATATTCAATTTCTGCCAAAAAATATTGATTCATTTATCGTTTACATACATAGTTTAATAATAAAGTGAAAGTTAATTCGATTTATCAAATCGAATTAAAAACTAATTAAAAAAATGTAAAACGCATTAAGATAATATGTATTAAACGTGCATTTATAATATATAATTTTAATGAAACACGAATTAAGCTAACGCGCATTAGTGACTCCGTGTAAACCTGATAAATATTGCGGATCACACTGTGAACTAATTAGAAAATCAGAGAAGTGTAAAGAGTGGAAAATTGATGTCGACCAGCGTTTAGTGTTAACAATAAATGATCGAAAATTGTATAGACATAAATATTTCTTTACCTGTCGAAACGATTGTGTGCGATCGTCCGCACGCTATATGCTTCACCTTTTCTGGTTTTAAACCTGTACGATAATATTTTCAATAGTGATTATTATATTGTATCCGATGAAAAAAAAATATTTCTTACTTTTTACACAATTCGGTTTGAATACGTTTTCCGTGTGTCCGAGGCCTAGTTGTCCAAAACTATTTTTTCCAAAACAAAAAACCCGTCCGTTTTCTAAAAAAATTAACAATAGTAACAATATCATATCAATAATATATTTGCTATTTTTTAGCAAATTATATATTGTGTTTGTATTTTTATTATCCCCCTCCGTTGATTACTAATTTTACGTTGTCACGCGAACAAGTATTTTGGTACCCTATGCAAAAAGAAAAAATGGAAAAACAATGACAACGAAAATTATCACACAATTAACGTGTATTATTTATCATAAAATGTAAAACACTTTAAACCGATTTAACGTGATAAGATTTATTATTTCTCGTTTATAAGACGCACCCTGCAATTATTTTTATTAATCTAATAATTCTATACATTATAGTAATCTCTATGTTATGTTTGATATGATTTGTCAAATCCGTTTAAATGTTGACTTTATTTTTCTATGATTTAATAAAACGAAAAATATGTTCTAACAATACAACTTTATCAGGTAGCTATAGATTTAAATAAATGTCTATATTGATGACTATAAATACTGTATAGTCGGTTTATCTACAAAGATTAATATCCGAAAAAAAATTATTGAATATTTGTTCGTCAAAGAATTTGATACTGGAAAATTAAAATTACTGAACGTTAGACACTCGAATCGCTTCGTTCGCTTTTACTCACTTTAATACTTTTCGAAATCAATTATTGTTTGATTGTTATCGTTTGGTACAATTTACAACAATTTAAATGTTGATATACATAGGTAATCATATTCATTTTTAAAAAGAAAAACTTAATTTGAACAAAACAAATTCAATATTATCTGACCATAGGTACATTATTTTACGGATATTAATTTTTATGGACAAAACTACGACGTCTGCGGAGGAATCCAAAATCTCACGGCAAACAATTCCGGAGTGTTCTTCCCCGCAACTGATTTCGACCACGGGATCATTTCTAATGAAAAAATGACTCGGAATGTTGTCAGCAAAACTGCTTTTGCCGTACGTGAAAACAGCTCCGGTATCTGAAAACCGATCAAATTTTAATTAACTGTGTAACATTTAACTACACATTTATTAATTATTATAACGTGATATAAGTTATAAGGAGGTTAGTATTAAATCAATATAACTACAGTTTTGATACACCGCCGTTTTTATATTTTGTTCATGGCAAAATATAGGTGCTGTATTGTCTGTATTGTTTAATCGGCACTTTTACATCTTTAAAGGTTCAACAGCGAGTTTACTATATTTAATATTGGATGCTGTTCATTATACGCAATCTACACAATATTATTGTGCCATACGGTTTACGTGTGCATAATTTAATTTGTGCGGTTATTAAATGTGTTTTACATTTTTTTTTTTTTGATAATAACGTTATTTAATTTTAAGAGTAAACAATGTAATCAATTACAATAGGTAAGTGTACACAAAAGCATATTCGTTTTTATGACATTTAATCGTTATATAGCGTACATTTTTTAAATTCAAAATGTGACGTTTTCGAAAATAAGGAAGCTGATCATAATAATAATATAATAACTACTATGATCAATTTTCGGAATGTCAGCCTCTTATATACCGAGATAATATTACGAAACCAAAAACAATATCCGCCTATAATACCTACTATAATAATAACAATGTAATCATTTTCGGCACTATTTTATTAAGTTGTAAAAGAAATGTCAAGCCCTTCAACGGGTAATAATAATATATTGTAATAAAACGTATACTATAATATTAATTTACTTCCTCATTTTTGTTTATTGTCTATATTTACAGTGAACAATCAGGTATAATGTAACTCAACGGCTCTCCACAAAGAAAATGTTTTATTTAATAATAAACTATTGATTTTTAACAAATTGAACAATTTTCATGTTAAGCAAACAAAGTTCCCGTAAATAAGGAACTAATAAACTGAAGTATGTTACATACTATGGGTTCATTCACCTGTAGTATAAAGACGTCGCGGGTTTCTATTTGTGACGGGACGTGCAATTTATAATTATTATTTTAAACAAGACTAAGTATATAGTTTGAAACATTAGACTATCATTGATAAAAGTAGAATTTATCGAAAAACTATATGAGTTTACAGAAATTTACGTTAATTTGTTTGACAATGGTAAATAAACAACATTACTTACATCGTAATTTAACAGCGTCCAATATTTACCTACAATACTGTGATTGCCGATTACCCAAACTTAGTAAAAAAAATAACTATCCAAGAAGTATTATAATGATACAGAGTTAGTTAAGTATAATGTAAAACATTAAAAACAATACTGAAAAGTAAAGTCCTAATCAGTTGATTTTTTTTATTTTCCCGTGACCAAGTAAAACTATATACTAAACCTAACATTAACTGTACATTAACATCCAACATTGACCAAAATTTAGTTGTTTTAAACGAAATACTGGTATATAACATCATTTCCCGGTATAATATTGTCGTATAACTACGATTTTCACAATTAAACTTACATTAAAAAACGAACAATAACAATATCGGTTAGAATAAACTAGTTTGGCGATAACAATTAGCGCCTATCAACTTTATACTTAAATTCAAAAATATAAAGCTAGCATAGGACATTAATTTGTAAGTGGATTAAAAAATAAAAAAAATCATTCTGAATAGAATTTTGAGTACGAATTATAATAGTTTTGACACTCGTTCAGTTTTTCGCAATTTTCAGGGCATTGAACTGTGAGAAATCCGCAAACGATCTCTCAAAATTAATAAGTACTCGTATACTATATAGTTCTCTCCGTTTTCAATTAACCAATAAACGAACATTTCTTTTAAAATACAATGAAGATCCGGTTATTTATATATTGATATGCACTAATGTCCGACACAGCCCCGCTATCTGGTTGAATTAACTAAACCCTATGCATACGATTGTACAGCCAGTAATGACGATGTGAAAATATCATTATATTATTATTGCCATCTTACCGGGTATAACATCTTCTTCGGACATTTCGGTACGGATATTCGCGGAATTTACCTGTATAGGTATCTGCGTACGAAAATATCTGCCGGAACAACAATTCCGGCGGCGACGAATATGAACACGAACCGAACACCTACGGTGGTGATTTACAAGCAATGAAAACGTATTGCACATTATGTTTACGGTAGTTACACACGTGGTTGCCAAGAGGATACATGACTACTATATACACACCTAAACATCATAACAACTATGACCCACCTGCACCCCTTCGGCAACAGTTATTGCGAGCATTGAAAATTATTATAAATATTTGTATATAAAGTGTCTAGGAAGTACCTTTGTCTATTTTATTTATTTTATTTATAACGATCATTGAAATGTTTAAAATGGCTAACGCGAAATCCACAAATAGTAAAAAATGAAAGCGAAACAATCGAAACATTTTGAACTGCCGATCTATTTATAGTTCGTAATACTGCTGCTTATAGACATATACGTTTATAACTAATAACTTATAAGTTTGAGTAAAGTTCGAATTTCACCTCCCCACCCTTAGAAGATGAGCTAAATACGCTCCTACTTAATATGATTTTAAAATTTAGGAAGTTAGGTAGGTACATACGATTTAAAGTTGCATTGAAGTCGTAATTAGTACAACTAACAAATTATAAGTACATCAATTTTATTTATAGACCGTGAGATCTATAATTTGATAGTTGAGATGATATAATACCCATATGTATAGGTCGGATATAGTAAAATTTAAAAAATTAAAGTTATTTAAAAAATACAAAAACTGACATGCCTGTAGCTTTTTTAAATAATAATTTTTTTTAAGAAAAAAGTCACGTATAGCCTTCGAAAATATTCTCCTCTTTAAATTCTGTTGTTTAATTCAACCTAAACGCCACAATTTACGTTCTAAGTAAGTATAATTATTGAAAAAGCGTTATAGACTGACAAAAAATCTGGCCGATCTGACTTTCTATATATTATATAAGAAAATATATGGACGTTGAAATGTATACGTAATGTTTTTATGTAAAAATACTGAAACTCGAAGTAATGATTACCCCATCGAACAATATAATGTCCGTGACAAATATTAAATCAATTATTAAAATAATACCTACTTACGAATTATGAATTGGTTCTGCTCAGAATGTTACCAACTGTATTATAAATTAATAAAAATAAATTATAGAAAGTGCAAGTAAAAACGTTTCGATAGTTCATGTTTTTTGATATTTTTGATAACTATACTTACACCATGTTAACAGACTCAAAAAGTTTGTATACTAAATTTATATTTGTTTTGTTTTGTTTTTTTCCTTTAAAATTTTTAAATGTATGGTTTTTGTTATTTTTTACGAATTTTTTTGACACGAAGTGTTCAGGTGCTCACAAGCAGCTCTCCAAAATTTAATTATTTTTCTATACATAATGAATTTCCGCTTCTATTTATCTATTCGTCATTCAATAAAAATTTATCTTTTTTTCTGTACAAAAATAAATATAAGTCAAGGTTTCCAATTTGAAGATATGTTCCTAAACTGTTTCCGGATATTTACTAAAGTATAAAGTAGGAAGGACCGGATGAGGATTGTGGGGGCACCAGGAACCATAAAAGAAATATTTCCTATTAAATAGCGATAAGTTAAAATTTTAAAAAAAATTAAATTAAATTGTGTAGATATTTGCAAAGAAACTTACAATTAAATAGAAAAAGTATTTACTTCGTATAAGTAATAAAAATAAATACATAAATTGAACTTTGAGTGATCTCTGGACATGGAACTCTTTACTCCCTTAGGGAGGGAACTACCTAAGTTGAAGTAACTAACGTAACTTGAGTACACGTAGATATAGAATAAAATATATAATCATATTTAGAAATTAGATCATCGCGTAAAAACTAGTAAAATTAAATACCTAACTACGATTCTGTGTGGCTTATAAATCCACATGTCGATTTCGATCATTAGATATAACATAATTTCCGTTTAAACTCTTGAAGAACATGGGTTCCTTGTAAATTGTAAAAATAAATATTCTGACGTCCGTACAACTAAAATTTCGGCATAGTATTTATATATTTTGATTGTTTACAAATACTCAACGGACAATATCCTCGGTTAAAATTTCCTAAGAAAATCGCCATAGTTTACACATTAATATTTAATTGATTATATAATAACTCCTTTTCTTATATGCGTTTAACGTATACATTTTTTAAACACACGCCACGTGCAATAATTGGTTATTTAAATCAATCAATATCGGACCATTAATTTTCGTGTGTATTCCATACGTTATACTGTTATGAAGTTAATGAATGTAATTTTGTTTTGGTTGTGTTAAATATTTTCGCCTACGCCATTTACGGTTCAACGCTTTTTGGCAATGATATTGGAACCGCAAGGCGCGCCTGCTCGTGCGCCGTGCAGGCCGATTTTAGAGAATCATCTTTATTGTACCCGCAGCATAACGTATCTTTAGCCATGACCCACAGGTATTTAGATGATAAATTAGATTGCTAATTGATGATGTGATGTGAAATTAACATCTACCATCTTTAGTAAATCAAATGGATGCCAAAATCTCGCCAAAATTTAAATTATATCATCGGCAAGTAGGTATTTAAAAATTGAACATTAACGAAAGACAAGTAAAAAATTATGACATGAAAAATTATTATCAATGAACAATAAAATTATATGACTGTTAAAAAATAGTGCCCACATCAAGTATCCATATTATAAATAGACAATATAGTCATATGCCTACTTAACTGATATGTTAACATATCAGTTGTATAAACATAACAGTATGAAATACAACACAACATAAAATCGTCCAATGAATCATCATTACAAGTTTTAATTCATTAGACAACAGTTATCAAACAAATGTTAAATAATACAAACATGAATTATATAGTTATAGGAATAGAACAATTAACATATCAAAATATAATGTGATATGATAAGAGTGACCTAATGGCTATTTACTATCGTAATGGATACGGTGACTTCAAACGTTTTCGTGGGTATCATAGGAAACATAGTCCCGGGTTCAGTTGAAGTTTTCGTAAAATGTTGTGATACACGCAAATCCGAACTATACGAGAAGCCGAATATTAAATGTATGCATAAAAAAGAAATTATATGTGAACGACTCGGAAGGAAAACAACCTATAAACAAATGTCGATACTCAACAGTAGGTATATTATTAGACAGCATTATAATATGTGGCATATTTTGGCACGTGGGCATGTGTAATAAGGCGACATAAAAGTTTATTTATTTTTTCTAACGTAAACAAACTGTGATTTTAAAGTGCATATTGCACAACTATTATTAATTAACAATGATAATAATCTATATTACGAAATCCGATATCAATTCCACGCCAAAATAAAACGCGTTCGTTTTTGACGACCGTCCATTTTATATATACATATATAAATATATTTATATATATATATATATTTATATATATATATATATATAATGTTTATGTATTTGTAAATGTACATATACTTTATTTGCAAATAATTTATTTACGTTTAAGTTTTTTGACGTTCAATTCAGTTCGACGAAAACAAAAATCTCCCGAGTTAAAAATATTGAAAATATTTGAAGTCAAAGTACGTAGTTATTGTCGCGAAGTTTCTATACGCCCTACTTGACTTGACGAGTACCTATCTACCTACCTACATTTTTGGAAGTCGGCCACTTTGGAAGCCATCACTTTAGTGGCTAGCAGTCAAGAACGCATGTTACGCAAATCATCGTTTTGACGTAAAACTTTACACCACTGCATGCAGATTACCGCGAGCCGATATCAAATTTCAGAAATAATTATAAACGATTACATCCTATAATATTATAGATCGAGTATTTATCATATCATGAATCATTACAATAATGTAATATTCTGACGATATCGCCATATACCCATACGAATTCACCAATGTTCTTGTCTGTACTCCATACACTTTTTACAAATATCGGTCGTAAGTAAATGCCGAAAAAGGCACAAGATGGATCCAGAATCCCACCAAGGTCCAAGACATACTTATACGATATTGGAACTTTGACCCGACATTAATATATTGTACTTAGCCTGTAAGGAGTAAATAAGATATTTGACGTAGTGGTCGGAATCCAATATCAAATTAATAAGCCACCAAATTAAACAACATGTATACACGTTTTTTTTTGTTAAATGTACTATTTTATAAATTACTCCAGCGACGTACCACGGTTCTTTGACCTTTCAAAAATCATGTGCACGTCAATAAATAAAGCGGATTTGGTAAACTGAGTCCCTCAATAAAAATGAAAGCGATAAACCGTTTCCTGTTTGAAATATGTAATGTATACATTAAATGTATTAATTTACGTAATAATAATAAATAGTATATATGTTACTCATGTTACTAATGACAATTGGTACTGTTAAAATATGAAAAATAAACCAGTATAAAATAGTAATTTTAATAATTAATACTGACAAGATATGAAAAAAATTAATTAATTAATATATACAATAATTTTGCATTAAAGATTATATTTTGGGTAAATATTTAAATGATACGACATTAACAAAGTCAATTCTACTGATTTTATTATTACAGCACTTCATCATATGTTATCATAATATGGTCTCTTTTTCGGTATTTTATTTTGACTTTTTACTCATTTCTTTGCTTCTAATTTGATAGTATATATTAGATTAGATTTTCCTGAGTGCGTCAATAAAAATATAAATATTCGGATGTGCAATATAAAATAAACTATTTAACTTCGCGTGAAATGTTTCACAACTATTTGTCGTACGATTTGATGTTGCCGAAAATTCAGCCCGAACATTAGGCGGAAATGTAGAATCTGATGCAATATACGTTTTTAAAATATAATCGGTAAATAACTGCTGGATTTCGCTGGAATTCATTTTCAAACATTTTATGAAATCGAAATTTATAACCATTAAGAATAAAAATTGTTTTTATTTTTTTCACGTTTCATGACTTCCGTCATAAAGTTTGATATATATTTCTCGTAACAACTGATGGTGCACGACTGCACGTGTAGGTAATCTCGAACACAAATTTACACTAGGTAATTGCGTCTCGTGTATAATATAGTCGTAGATATTTCCCAAATACGATAAAATAAGAATCAATACGCGACATTTTTTAACAATCTACAAAAATGCGTTCCGTCTAAAATAGCGTATTCTGTATAACTAACTGATAAATGCAATAATAATAAAAATAATAATATTTGATCATAACTCAAATAGGACTCAATTTACCGCTTTCATTTTTGTACGAGGGACTCAATTATTCGATTTTGAAAAACGATAAATTCGTTTGGGACTCAATTTACCTACGCCCAAATAATGTTATACTTTACATTAGGTCATACAGTAGGTACTTATTAAAACAAATACAAATTATTTTCGGCCATAATGATTAATACGGGCCGTCGAAAAAAAAAAAAAAAAGACATAATGACAAATTTTCCTTATCTCTCTTATCGCTAAGGTTAGGATGTTGAAGTATTTTGGCACTGCGTCAAACGCACGACATATAGTCGACTTAGGGAGAAAATAAATATTATGTTTATTTCTTTAACCGCGAAATAGGAATTTCACTGACGTGACCGTGTAGTAAACACAAACACTGTACGTACTCCCACTATACTCTCCACCGTTTATTATAATATTATACATTTCCTTCCAGTCACTTGTCGACCGGGAAAGTGATTCGATCAAAAGTTCGGTATGAACTCTATATATATATGATACCGGATAGGCACATATACACAATAATAATTGCTGATCGCGTACTTGGCGTCGCTGTATTCATAGAACGTTTGCGAGCACAAAAAATCGTGTATATACTTAATGCCAATATTTTTTCGTACCGTAAATACAACCCACGAATATTACGCTCGACACGCGTATATTTATAAAAAATGAATAGTATACAAAATAACATACAGGTATACGATTAGGCAATATTGATATCAGACACAACTACACGACGACGAAAGTATTTTTTACAATACTTTATGATTGCAGTGACTTTATTTCGGAAAATATTTTAGCCAAAATGCATAAATTGTATTCTATACGGAGACACGACAACTATTGTTAACGCCAGACAAATATTATATTTTTTACAATAATTGAATAGGAATTATACGACCTACGGACTGCAGGAGGCTAATATTCCGCGTTCTTTCAATAGTTCCGATAATCTCTGTATTACACAGGAATCCTTCCTATATTTATTGATAAATTATATAAATAAATCCCTGTGATCCATTTCATTTCGCTACGTACCAAGGTATAATATGAGGCTTTTATACTAGAGTCCAAAATGTTCAGCAAAATTCTACTTCCAACCATTTTCTAATTATTATATTTTTTTTAAAAATAGCCTCCCAATATTTCAGTTCTAGTGACAATTAAAAAACTTAAGAAATCGTCCAGTAGGTATTTTATTCATTAAAAAAGTTTACCACATCACTTATAACATATTATGATGTAGTAGGTAATGCAGTAGTTATCATATGGAATACTTTGAAATAGTCATTGAATTATTAAATTATTTTAAAAATTTACCTATGTACAAACCTAATTATTTACTCGCGTGTATTGATTATGTGTTTAAATAAAATAATTAATTACATTTTTACGATAGCTTTTTGTCAACCAATTCAGAACCACTATTCAGAAAATTATTTTTAAAAAAAAAATGTAGGTTTCTTAAAAGGTTTTTAAGACATGGCCCAAACGGATGTAAAATGGGTATTATGTATTTAAAAATACTTAAAAATATTTAACCGATCATTCAACTAATTTGGGTAAATTAATTTTGTACCCGCACAATTTCTGTCGATACGAATATTGTCTCTTTCGAGTTGTGTGAATATAGGTTGTGTGTATAATAATGTTGAGATCAGATTTTGTTTTCGGTTAAACATATCTGTTTATTTGGTGCCTATTGATGACGGTATACTTTTATATTATATATAAAATAAACTTTCACTGTTTTACACTACATATCGCCATAATATCTCAATCGTACACATTTTTGACTCTCGTTCAAACGCTTTCATTATAATTATATTGTGATCAACAGGTTGATCATTTTATTAAATGGAATACATATGATCTAGACGCCCGTGACAGATATTTTAGGAAGGGGGGGGGAATTTCGTCATCATTATATATTATTACTTCCGACTTATCATTTAAAAAACTGTACCCCATACCCTTGTGACTTTAAAATTATCCTCCCACTCCCCTCTTAGAACTGAGATCCGTCACTGCCAGACGTTTATGTTATAGAGAATAAAATAACTACACAATTTATTAATCATTACACAAACTTAGAAGTTCTACGAGTTAAATGTATATTTATATAAAATAAATTCTCATTTAACGAGAGGTTGAATTTTTGCAACTATCATAATAATATAATCGCTGACATACCTACAATATACACAGCGCTAAATGAATGTAAACCCACCGTTAATAATTTTAATTGCGTGGTTTGAAATATTCCCGCATCTACAAAAAATATGTAATAAAAAAACATCTGTATAATATTTTAAACCCGTCAAGTATAATATTTGCAATGCTCGAATTTGAGAGGGATTTATGGAGCTTCTTTTCTATTTTTTGTTTTACTAATTATTTTTACGGGAACGATAGGTACGTCTATTTGTCTATTTTGCAATTAATTTTAAAAATTATGTATTATCAACTATAAATTATTGTAATTTTTTTTTCTGAATTTGTCATTCAATAGTAAATAATAAATATTATTATCATGTCTCCATTGTACTTTTTGTATAACATACAATGGTGTTTGAAATGCGGTGTGAGGAAGTATGGGGCACGAAACACTCACGGGTTAGGTTGAGTTCAATCATTGCAAGAAATACTAATTTTTATTAATTCTCATATAGATTACAATGTATAATATATGAAACTATCCATAACCGTAGAATAACCTGGACTACAATTATTGTGCCTATGACTAAGACAAACAAATTAATTCTGTCAGCGATTTTAATTAATCATTGACTTGACAACAAATTATTCACTCAAAGTGATGTTTTTCACCGTTTAGTTAGGTACTTATTTTTCGAAAATGCATAGTTTTCTCTTTTTAGTATCTATAAACTCTGTAGTACCTACTATTGTTTCTGAATCTGAAACTCAAAAAGAAGAAAAAGAGCATAAATAACATAATATAATACGATAAATAAAATAACAATTAATCTATTTAATTTTTTTTAAATATATAACATATTATAGATAATATCTGAAATTATTAAACATAAATAATTGGTATGACATTATATTTTAAAATTCATATTGTTAGTCTAATTTTTTTTTTTTTTTTTTTATAAGTGTGACTAGATTCTACACTCAACAATTTTTGCAAATAAATCGTTCTAGTTATAACATGCGTATATTTTTACGTATATTAAACTATAGTTTATAAATTATATTATTTTTAGTACATATTATAAATAATAATAAATTAATGTCGGTGATAACAATTTATATAAATATATACAGATGAAAGTATAAAAAAAAAAAAAAAGTTAAATGATTTGAATAGTATACAAATCTAATGGTACCTCATTGCTAAATTTGCTGTCTTACTTTTAAAATTTAAATAAAATAAAATATTGAATAATTCTTTTGTAATATATAATGTAATTATAGTTTCGTATTTAATTTTCTGTCATAACCATGTGCATCAAACGCTTGAAACTGCCACTTTGATGAATTTCTTCAGTGGAAACACCGTAATCGGCCTAAAAGAACACAGCACGTTTACTTCAATTCTAAAAATCTGCATTATTATAAACACGTACCATCGGATGTGGGGCAGTCGGGTGAGGTTGTGGAGAAACACGCTAAAAAAAAAAAAAAATTAAATAATTTTATATATTATTATGTTCGTAAAAATAATTTGCAACGATCGATAATAAATCTTCACCGAATAATTTTTATTCGAACGCACTTAACAACATAAATGATTTATTTATGCTTTCAAAATTTAATTTAATCATTATACAGAGTTTAAATAAGTATTTATATAATTATTGTTTTTGTATTTGATAAAGTTCAATTTAAATAAAACAAATAGGTTTTTTTTTGAAATAAAATGTGATTGATTTAAATTTGAATAATTTCAGGTTATAGGTTAATAATAATTTAGTATTAATTTTTAAATAAATAAATAATTGTATTATATCACACTTACTCCTGGATGGGGATGATACGGAGTTGTCAGCTTCTGAAATACAAAACGATAAAAACGTTATATTACACAAAAATTATTATTCAAAAAGATCCATAATAATTCTGAATTGACTATTATTAATTATCAGTCAATTTATATAGATTAAAATACTTACATTTTGAGTGTGGCCATTGCTAACCGGAGCTTTCTATTACACAATACAAATATGAATGTTTCGATTAGAAATTAATATATTTAGATGAACAAAAAATAAACAAACAAAATTAAAACTGCCAGACTTACTTTTACTTGTCCTTGAACAGGCGTGAATACTTTTGGCTGCACTGGCTTAGATATTTCTTGAGCGTGTAAATCTCCGTATTCTGATTCTTGGATCGCCTTGTACGTTTCAGATTTAGCTGGATCGTACTGCACGGTTTTCTTGAGTCTAAATTTCAAAGTCAAAAAAAGGGAAAAGTTCCGAGGGGGAAGGTGTTAGTAAAGAAATGTGTGAAGAGAATAAATAGTATATTAAGTCGAAAGAAAAAAGAAAAACAGAAGAAATGTTAGAAACTATTAATTACAATTTTGTTAGTCAGTATTTATATCGAGGTGTGCAGGATTAATAGTGGAATTTACTAGGATGGATGGTTGTGTTTAAGTTTGGTTTTGTGTTCCAGGAAGGATAGGTCAATGAAAATACTAAGATTAGATATGAAGTACGTGTTCTTTGGTCATAAAATAAGCAAAGTTATTGGTCGACTATGTCGATGCCGTATTGTATTTATAAAAAACAGAAGTACGATTAAAAATATTTTATCAAAGCACATCCGCAATTGTTTTCCATTCTGATCTAATATACTGACATAATATTTACTACAAATTCGTGTGTATCTAGCTAACTCGAACTTAAATTTCATGCTACTAACATTCCCTCGTCAAAATGCGTTTATAATTTATATATAGGTTCCTCATGCATGCTTGCTTCATGCATCAATTTACCTCAAACGACCGTATTTCTCTTCATCCTCTTCCCTAAATAATATTATAGAATAATAATATATTTAATAGTATACTTTTTGACGAGTAAAACTTTTTTTTTTTTTTGTCAGTAGATGAGGCTACCAAATTATTTGTAACAGTAAATTTAGGTCAGAGTAGTCATCAGACAGAACAAAAATAGAGACACTGGGCGTATAAAATTCACTGTGCCATTTCTCTAAAGTATAGTATATTTATAGACTGGACTATAATAATGAATAAACAAAACCCTTTACGAATACATTTTCCGAAATTTATGATTGATTATTATATTAAATAGCAATAGATCTCCGAAGTCGAAGAGATTAATGACTAACTGACTAGTTACTGACTACAGTTTATTGCCATTCTGTAAAATATTGTTGTAATAGTTTTGTTTGATATAATTTCTCTTTTCTCAAATCTAATGAAATAGTACAATTATTTAAAAAAAACTTACGGAGTATATCCTGTTTGTCCTTTGATCGATTTAGCGATATTTTCCTCGGAGTATAGACCGATTGGAGAATTAAATTGTTTGTGAACCACCTAAAATATTAAAAATTCGTTAAAACAAATAAACCAAAAGCCGTAAACAAATAAACAACGAAACTTTCCCACATCCAAAATAATATAATGTATGTTTAATGTTTATGTTGTAGTTACAGCTAAACATAAAAACAATCAAACTGATTTTTACATTTCTCAACGATAACAATAAAACGATAGGTAATAAATTTATTTTTGAAGAACACTCACAGATGTTTATAAATTAAGCAGGACGACACAGATAAGCAAAGATTATATTATATTGATATCCCTAACCTGTCTACCGGGTCTTGTCTTTGCTTCCTCGTTGCTTATCCGTTGCAACACCGTATCTGTGACCTAACAATTAAAGAACCGTAACAATCCGGCAACTATAAACACTCAAAACAAATATTTACCTTTTGTTTCATCAGCGTATCCATGGGTTGATCGTGGTGTGACGGATTCGCTCTCATCATCGGGTTTGGATGGTGACGTAAGTACGATTGGATTTTAGGCTGATCCCTCTTAACCTTAGCTCCAGGCAATACCAACGGGTTCGTTCTGTACGGCTAGAAAAATAATCACTTGATCTAAAAACGGCCGTCAAAGGTTATTTTATTTTATTTTTTTTTTTTTTTTTGAAAACAGCCATAGTGATGTTATCCAGTGATACGCATTGCCGAATTCACACTCGGATATCGTATATATGTATTTTTGTATCCAATATATATATTCTTCGAACAATTTATTTCATAATATATAATACATTTCCTTTTGATGAATTTAATATTTCTGTTATATAATGTATATAAATATTTGAAAAAACATCAATATCATATATTAGGTAACATATAATAATCAATATTTATTGTTGATAATTCATTTTACCAACATTTCATTCCAATTTTATTAGATAAATATATGGATCAAATCATGTTTCTTGCGAGCACGTATCTATAGGGTTTGGTTTTTTTTTAGCCACGTCTTCATCAACAAATTGTTTCGATTTCTATTTTTGTTACACATATATACTTATATCATAATTTATGAACTTTAATCTTTCTAGTAGAAAACGTACCGATATTATTTTTCAAAATTGTTATTTTCAATATTATTATATTAAAATAATATTATGTATTGTAGTTTAGTTTTAAACGTACCTACGTTTAAAATAATGGACTTTGGAAGTATTAAAATCGTAAATTATTTATATAAACATGTGCCTAATAGTATTAGGTTCTCACTGATTATGATTTATGTTAAAATCATTTAAAAATTAGTATTTTTTTTTTTTTTTATTATTATTATTATTTAAAATTTTAGTTATCATAACTATATGTATATAGTAAAAAAAATAAAAATAAGTTAAGAATACTCTTGTTCATCCTGGCAAATGTTTAGTGTTTATCGATCATAATCTCAACATCAAACATATTAATAAACCGAGTTTCTGGTGTATTTTTTTGAATCATTGTGAAGGTTAAAAATACTTATTTATAATATATTGTACAGTATATAGTTTATAGCTGTAAAGTGATTTTTTTTTTTATCATATTTTCTAGTAGGTAAATTCTTTATACATTAAGCATATGATTTTTTTTTTTTTAACCAAATTCAATTTAATCAAAATTTTTTTTATTCATAACCAAATACTAACAACAAATATTTATTTGTATCGATGATTTATTACTTTTTAAATTTTCAGTTTTTAATAACAACTTATGAAATTTACAGCAAAATTTTCTGAATTAAAAATACTTTTCTGAAATAAATAATAAAAACAAAACCTTATATTCTATTCTCTTGTCACTGCACATATCTTATCTAAATGTTAAATTCTAATAAAACCTATTGTCCAATAGGCGATATTTGTACACCAAAACTTTTTAGAAAATTAATTTACGCCAAATTCACGAACAACCTGATATTGTATGAATATTTTGTATTTAAAGCTTATCCGGATATATTACAAATGAATGATACTTTTAAATGGTTAGAAGAGGAAGTCTGTCGGAGGGTTTGTTAAAGTTTAATTATTGTACTTCATTGGTTTCCAAAAATAATTTCCGACTTACCCATAGTAGAGCATTTTCGGGTTCGTAAACGTTTTGTTCCGGATCAATATGTGACATCATCATTTTTGAAATTGTTTGATTATTCACTGTTTCACTCGAATAAAAACTTGGAACAGATAAGTATATAGTTTGTTGCTTTCAGTTTCTACGACTGCCTTTTGACTGCGGGCTTTATCTCGGATGGAGTGTACAGTTAACATATAGCGTGGCGTTCTCCCACGCGCCTTGGCAAACTCCGGAGTACTTACGAGGGTCTTCTAAAATTAAAACCGGACGTTTTTCCATGGGCTAAGAGTAGAGAATATTTACCAGCAGTTTTAATTTTATACGATAAATTTTCGCGACATTCCTTGAAATTTGTATTTATTATCAATTTCGAGGACGGGCGTTGAGATAATTATTTTCGTTTATATGATATATACAAAAATGATACTATGTTTTTTTTTTATTTTTAACTTAATGACTATAATATAATACTAAATTCGTGAACCTTGAAATGTATATTATTTAACAACAATTATTATACAACGAAAATTAGGTTAACAATATTTGATTATTATTATATAGACCATATTATTATAATGTTTGTAAAAAGATGTATACAGTGTGATCATTTATTTCGGTAACACTAAATTTGTTTAACGGATAACCTTGAATTTAAATTCCACTATCAAAAGGTATAGGAAGTACTTAAATGTACATATTAAACCTCTTTCTTTTTTTTCTTTTTTTTGTTAACCTTTTTGGTACACGTCGGTGCAATAAAATCTATATTTTCTTAATCAAAAATAATCATTTTTATCACCCGATTCGAATAGTCTTATATTTTCCCATAAAATGTGTTTTTTAATAATCCCTATCACCTAGATGGAAAATCGAATTTAATAAATATACAAGGTAATCAGGCTTTATATATTTTGTGTTCCCTTAAAAAATGATCACACTACACATCACACAGCACAGCACATATTACGCTGTACACAAGCTAAATAATTTTAAATCAAGTCTTGCATTCAGTTGTCAACTAAAGACCAAAGAAATTACATTATTATGAACAAATATTAAAGTAATAATAAGTAATAATAGTACTAATCAAAAAATATTTGTTGTCAAAAAGTTAATAAAACAATTTAGTTCCGAATTTTCGATGAAAAGTTATTTAAAACGGATTTCTATTTCTAATAATAGAGTTCCTTTTATTTTGACTGTTTATTTCCATCGAATATGTTTTTCATTTTTAGTCATTTTATCAGACTGTTGTAGATATAACATAGAATTTGAAAAACTGCAGTTCTATAGAGTAAAAAATAAAATTGATATTCTATTTCTAAACGCAATATATTATCTAGTTTTCCACTATTTTTAACTGAAAACTAGAAAATTAATTAAAAGACACCATACTATACATGAATAGTGAATAGTGCGCCTCTTTATATAAATTGTATATTATTTTTAATCAATGGCACTTATTATTTTTGTAGATATGAAAATTCAAATTATAATCTCATTAAAGTACTATGCCAGATTTAAATTCTAATTTACCTCTTAATAAACTATTGCTAGTTAAAACTCTTTGAAAATTTCTATTTTCTACTTTTTTTAAAAAAAGCCAACGTCACTGAATCGAATTTTTGAGATGTGAAAATCATTTAGCATATAATAATAGTTTATGTGAAATTAGTAAAATTCTATTATTAAAGTTAGAATTAGTAAAGTTTTAAATATTAGAAGTTTTAAAATAATTAAAATATGCAATTTTTATTTCACGATTGTGTTTGGTTTTATAAAACATAATATTATATGTTGTTTTATAAAATAAATACATATTTTTCCATAAGCCACGTACCTAACTTGTTAATTGTTTGGCATTAATTCAAAAACTAAGGCCGTCTGCCAAATTATAATTGTATTACCTATTCTTATCAAAAACACGTCAAGTACAAAATAAAAAAAAATATATGACGAGGAAAAATCTTAAAATTATTGGGCATAATATCGTCGTCTAATAAAAACTATCATGGCCAGTTTGGAAAAATGCAAAAAAAAAAAATTAAATTTTATAATTCGAATAGATTTATGTTCGTTCGAGACACTATTATACCATAGCCGGTTTTTAATCTTCTCGAAAAGTTGAAAAAACTAGAATTGGCTATGATGTTTCTTAGACAACGATATACTGCAGATTAATTTGTATTTACCATTGCATTATTAATGTCTGACAATCCGTTAATGTTTTTTTTTTAAGTTCAAACGTTTCAGTTTTTCCTCTGATTCAGATTCAGATGTCAATTATCATATAATGGACTTTTAAACTTCAATTGAAAGTTAAGAAATTTCAAATACCAAGTATACATAGTTAAATATAAACCCGATTAAATTATTATTTTTGTTTTTTAAAACAAAATTAAACATTGTTTATAATTTGTTAATTATTTATTTTTTTATAAAACGTACAAAAACATTTTAAATTAGTCAGAAGTCTTTCTATGGAAGATGTTTTATAAATAACTCTGTATATTTTGGTTCAAATCCAAAATTTCTCAACAAAATACATTTCATCATGATAATTATTCGTAATATTTTCATTTACGACATCTAACATGTTCCATTGAACTATTTAGCCCAAGGCTCGAGAATATAATCCACTCGTGGATGTTGGTCATCATCGTGTCCCTTCCAAATTACAAAAAAAGAAAATGCATTCATATTGTCTTGGAACCTCAACTTCAGTCGTTCGAGACTCCCGGAGTCCATTTAATATTAAACGTTACACAATCCGTTTCAAATCACTAAATGTTCGTTGTATCATTACTACATATAACACAGAAATCGCAAAATATTCGTTTCAGAGAAACATATTATAATAAAAAGTAAGTATATTTACACCATAATTCAAAACACAATATCGTAATGATTAGATACTCGTAATTCACATAAACTCGGACAATTGTTCCTAAATTAATTTCCAAGACAAGCACATTAAATAGTTAACACTGCAGCATGCTATTTTTTGGGTAGATAATTTATTTAATTGATTCAGTTAAATGTAGTGGTATGCCCCGGGATTTTCAGTTAGAGGGGATGTAGTAAATAATAATCATCATTAATAAATCGTAGACACTATACTTCTTCTATACCTAACCCGAAAATAGGAATTCAAAAGCAAATTTATACTCAATAAAATCAAGCTTCTCATAATTTGGCTGAAATAAATACATTTCGTGATTGAATTACAAAATAAATACTCATAGTCATTATATTTTTAAGCCAATGGGGTGAATATAACTTTTAGTTTCCCCTCCATTGCGCACGTCACTGGTTAAATGGTATTTTATGGTAAAAGCTGTAAAGGATCCTACGAAAAAGGAAGTGTATAACGTATACCACTATATACCTATATAATTTAGTGTTACATAATATTATAATAATTATTAAAAATATATATACCAAAATATCATAATATTATGTAGAACCAGAGGTTGTTATTTTGCCAACTATTTGAGTTTCATTTAAAATTTAAGTCGTTCTAATAACTGCACTAATTGCCAATAGGTCAATAGTATAGCTACGAGCTCGTATCAGTAGGTAACTTTTCAAATGCGATACTACATCGAATACGTAGTGCATCTAATGTACTGAGTTGAAATAAAATCATATCTAGTACTGAATACCATGAATATGTTGTTTATATCGAACAATTCGTACCTACTTAATATTCCAACTTAGATAAAATAATTCACAATATTATAACTTTCTTGAAAACATTTTTATAGAACGATATTAAAAGAAAAAATGGTAAAATGAAAACGACAAATTATAAAAACGGAAATAAATTATACCATAATACAATTAATGAAGAATAAATTGATTTTATTACTCTATGATAATAATAACTCTGTTATCGAAAAAGTGGTGTCCCTGATAACTGATTGTTGATAATTATAAAACTGTACGAGAAAGCTGTGGTTATTATTTATTGGCTTCGGCGATGCATAGTGCTATAGTTTTAATTACCCAAACCTATGTAATATAACTAACACGTTGTTCCTAAGTAACTTGTTTATGTTATAAATAAAACTCGTTGTAAACGTCTACAAAATGTATTACATACTATATATACTATATACGTATATTAAGAAATTATTAATATTATTAAATTTTATTGTAAAATTAAGTTTATGTTGAACTTCAGAGAAAAAAAAAGACGGGCATATATCGCACGATGGGTGGGTCACTGTTGTAGGTGAGAAATTGGGAAGGTCGAATATAGAGAGAAATTTATACCTGTACGAAATGGTAAACCAATAGTAATGAAAAACGATTTAGAGCGAAGTATTTTTTATACGTGTACGTTAATCATTTTACAATTTGAACCGAATAAATTAATCGGCACTTTATCTCTTGAAATTTTAATACGAATTTCATGAAATTGTAAAAATACAACAAATTTGGAAGGGATGAACCCCAAATCATCCCTAGGTAAAACTTTTAAGTGGGAGTATATACAAATTGATGCCACTGGATACCAAAAATGCTTAACACAGTTCTGCTTATATCATGCGTTTCTATACTATACAAAGTTTGATCAAAAAAATTGAAATATTATTTGTCTATAATAGACAAAATGTATTGAGTAATAAACTTTATGCATTCAAACCAATACGATTCGAATAATAAGTGTACAATGTTATAAAATAAATAGGACTAACGAACGTGTATGTAATAATTTTTTATTAAAACACCATTTCCCGTCGTAACATAATATCACATGTATCACGGGTATGAGCTAACACAGTAGGTGCCTATCGCCATGTAAGCTACAATAAATTATATCAATATGAAATAATTTTATTTTTTGTTTACTTAATATACGTGTTCGATAATCTGTTGTTTGTTTAACAGGATATTTGAAGCCATTATTTTCAGGTTAGTGTTTCGTCGTGCAGCGTATTCGTATTTTCGAGGCGCACGAATATTAAAATTTAAAAAATAAATTTAACTTTCATAAAGTTTATTATATTATAATAATATGAACTGTGTCTGCGAAGTTATGTCGTTAACAGCGACGACGGGACGATCGTGACACGACAGGAAATAATTAAAATTTTAGTAGATATAGGTGTTTGAAACGTTGTTTAAATTGAAAACCATAGAACGAGAATCGATGGAACAACACGATATTTTGATACCGTATGGACAGAAGTACCATAATAAAAAAAAAGACAAACTGTAATTCATTTTGTATGCATTACACGATGACATTATAATTTAGGTACCATATACTCCACAACTAAATTTTAACATTGTTTATTAACCAGCACGACGTCAAGGGAAAACACGATAACGGCGTGAACAATTATTCATTTTTCATGTGTCGAGAAAACAGTCCAAGCTATTTCTGTACGCACCCCGGGGTGGCACGCGGCAGCGGCGGCGGCTGCGGGACCGAACGCCACGTATTATTATACGGTCCGTTGCGAATTTCGCCGTTTCACCTTGAGCAGTATTTTCATCACTCGAAATAGCTCTCTCGTCGACGTCAATTTTATGTTTTTCGTCCGTTTGCCGCCGCCACGTGTTAACGCGGTTCGTTTTATTATTATTATTATTTCGCTGACGGTGACGCCGCACTCGCATATCGATCAAACGTGAGTTGTTTTACGATAAAACCGCTCCGGCACGCGAGCGATCACGAGACCGGACTCAGGCGCGATCGCCAACCCCGTCCAGTGTGTTTTCGACTGCAGTGGCGAGGGCAGGGAATAGAAGTTAGGTGTTAAGGGGTTATCATAACCCTCTCTCCTGACCCCCCCCCAAATTGACTTGTGAATACTACAATAATGAACATTTATTACTCATAGTATTAGTATAGGTAATTTAATATTTTGAAACCGTATAATAAATATTCAAATCTGCGGTTTTATTCCGATCTCGATAAAACTTTACACATTTGATAAATCAGAAGTAAAATCGCACTCGTCTACTTTTATTTCAAAATTTAACCACTCAAGTAAGGTTCACATTTCATTTTCGTTATTTTAATATGATAAAATTTATTTTTTTTTATTTGGTTGATTTATGGGTTATTTTAATGACACGAATGAAATTTTAAAAAAAAAAACAGTATTTTTATTTTATTTAATTGTCACGGACGGAAGTATATTTTTTAAAAGTCAAATTACCGGGCAACAACGATTAACTGTTTTAGGGATAAGGGTCAACCCGGGAAATACCGGGTCATTCAACTAGTATATAATACAGAGTGGTTCTCTGATCATGAACCAGCAAATTTTTGAAAGTAATTTAAATTAATTGAATTTTAGTTTTATTTAACCTTTAAGAAATCTTTTTAGTTTTATTTTAAAGCTATGATTAATTATTTACCACTTCTCTGTATAGCTTAAATGAGTGTACACTTACTCTTGATTTCCAAATAGGAACTCCTCTTTTTAAACTGAATACTTTTTTAAACATTATGATGTGTGCAACACATCATAATATCAGATTCACCGTTTATGAGTTATAACAATTCAAAATTTATAGTGAGGCATGGAGGAGCGTGGACGTAATCTCCGGGATGCAATGGGGTGCACTTGGTATTAGATGATAATTATCACGTCCTCTTTCACAGATATAGATAATTAACTAGATTGCTAGGTTCCCTATACTAACGATACAAACGTCTGGAGCCATATATCCGCCGTTACTAGTAGGTCATTTGTATCTTATGTCATAATTTTGATAATACAATTTATCACAGATATAGCCAAAATTTTAATGTTTAATCAATGTATTTTTTCATGAAAGTAACAAATTCATTTTATTATTTGACATTTGTTTAGTCATTTATCGTTATCTAATTAATTTAAACTTGTGATGATAATTAATTTAATGGTTTTATGTTATTTATAGTTCCATAGTAATTATTTACCCTTGAAAAAATAATGTTACGTGTAGGTATATTTCGAATTTTCATAAAAATTATATTAGTTAAAAGGCCTAGTTTTTAACTGTCCGAGGCCCTTCTTCTATCTATGTCACTGTCTTTTATACCAACAATCTATACATTCAGGAAAATAAGTTTATGATAAGTTGATTACACAGGTATAGTTTCATAAATGTCTAATATAATATCAAATAATACAAATTATTATTATACTAAAAACAGTAACAGTATTATAATCGTATTTTAACATAGGTATAGAAAGGTGCTAAATGCTAAATTTACTTAATCATATCTATATCTGTGTTTTAGTGGATGCTATTTTTAATCCATTTAACCTACTCAAAATGGCGGATAGTAATTTCACGTCTTATCAATTATTCAATGTATAAAGAATAATAAAATAATATTTAATAACTTAATTTTTTTTATTACTATATATCCATTTATATAATTTATCAATTGCTGTTAAACGCATAAAACGTATTATAATAGTTTAAAAGTATTATTATTAACTAATGTCAAATTTTAAAACGAAATATTTAAAAAAGTTATATAGTTTGGAAATGAATGAAGAACGGTCTCAAGAGAATTAGGGAATATACGAAAATCAACTGGAAGCAAAGGAAAAAAAATTAAAAGTTATTTCCATTAGTTTAACTAGACTAAGTAAAATATAGAAAAACAAAACAAATTGGCAACGGTTCAGATAAAGAATACATCCATCAAGACTTAATATTTAGCAAGTATTTAGAAAAATAGGAAGACATTAAAGTGAATGTTCAACTCACGGTTATGAGTTAGAGTAGAAAATTTGGAAGCACTACGGTGGCACATAGAAGAAAGAAGTTAAGCAGACAGCATTAAATAAAAGTGCATAACAAAACCCATAGACCTTTTTTTTCCTTTTTAAGACTTCTTGTAATATCAACACACCAGTAATCTACACCCATTCCACTCATACGGTTGCATTACTTGGTTAACCGTGTGTGTACACAACTTTAGCAAGGAAGTATAGAGTGGATATTCGAGTAATTACCTATATTTGGTAAACACCAAACACGTCTAATGTAATATTGTGAATTTCAACGATCTACACGTTTGGTAAACGACCAGAGTGGCAAAATAAATCAGAAAATTCCAATAATTTTTTGTTTAGATAACACACAAACGAATGTCTGACGAAATACAGATATCAGATTGTTAATTAAGTCTGCTACGATTTTTATTATATTTTACTTACAAAATAATGTTATATGCTGTTATTATTGCTACTTATGCAATTTTTATAAATCTACCGGCAGCCCAAAACAATACTATTATATTTCGACTTGTTTCGTACTGTATTTTATCTACAAGCACCTATGTATTATGTTGTATTTTATGCACGGGAATCTGTGGTGTACAACACAGACATTGCACGGCACTAAAGGCGCCTTCACAGATAACACACGTCCAAGTGTTACAACTATAAACACTAAATACTGACTCAACTATGCGATTAACCGAGTTAAACCAAAACAAAATTACGATTTACCAGTTCTCAACCTTCACAATGCACATAGTTCTTCCGATCGTATAACCTTTCCGAAAATCATACGTTTCACGACTAACAGACAATCGATAGTATAAATACATAATTTATACGTATAATGTGTACGTACATAAATGATAATAACGTTGACGCGTTTATGCCATCGAAACCTATCGTGATGATTTTTCATCTATTAAGTTTTAGGTTTACAAACATGACGCTCAATTCTTTTAAGAACCTATTCGGTTTCGACCAACGGGTCGTGGTTTGGTTTTCGTACCGAGCGGTTATAGTCCGGATATAATACGGTTGCGGTACATACGTTTTTCGTGTGTATATACGACACGGTTTACTATATTATTATATCTTTAATAATTATGTACAGCGTGTGCACTTACTTGGTGATCTTGCGTCAAATCGTACGATTCGTCGTAAGACGCGTCCACCAGGGACGGCGGGAAACGGCAGAAATTGTTGACGGGCGACTGGCCGATTCGCTCGTACCCGTACAGGCCGTTGACGGTAGATGTGTAGTTGGCCGGTTGCAAGTGAAGTGGGTTGGACAACGGTCTGTTGACGCTATCCAGCGACGTGGTTCTCGACAGGCTTGGACTGCTGGAGCGGCTACCGTTTAAATTAGGCGCGTCTCTGTATATAGAAAATATTCAGAAAAAAAATAAATAAATAAAGACAGACATACTTCCTACAACGGGTGGGCCACTGTTGTATGTGAGAATTTGGGAAGGTAGGATATAGTGAGTAATTTAATTTATATCTGTATGCAACGATAAACCATTGCTAACATAAAACGATTCGAAGCTAAGTTTATTTTATACATGTAGATACATTTTCCCGTTTTTCCTACGATTTTTCACGGTTTTCCCCGATTATTATGAAAACCACTTGACCTACCTGAGGTACAAAATGACCTCTTTAAAGTACCATCCAGATAAAATTTCTTTTCAGAAAAGATACTACACTTGAAAATTGGAATAAGATTTCTGGAATAAAAGTTTTTCACAGTTAAAAAAATTGAAAAAAACATCATTGTAGAACCAATACATTCCTCGCTATGCTCCGAATTTAAAATATTGAAACGTTTGGGTTTTGGAGATTTGTTGTTTAATGGTTCGCAATGTGAATTAAGACTCTACAGAAGCTCTTAGGGGCTCTTGGAGACTTTTGGTTTATGACAGTGACACGAATTCCGAGATAATCTAAAGAACGGATACGAAAAGTAATTTTCAAATTATCTACTTGTTATCCGTTGTTAAAAAGTCAACATTAACGAAATATAATATAAAATAAAATTCCGACAGTGGAAATTTCGTATAATTTATTTGATTTCCGAAACGTACCTTAATGCATTCCTTTTTAGAGGAATTAGTTCGTAAATACATTAATTTTAAGTAAATAAATGGTAAATGCTAATGCATTTAGTTAATGTCGTAATATGAATGTAAAATTTGAATTCTGTTTAATGGTAGTCTCAAAAAAATCATAATCAAAAATTTGAGCGATATTATTGTAAAAAATTAATTATATATAATATATATATATATATATGTATATGGGATTTACCTTAATCTACTATTTCTGTAAATATTCAGTAATCGATTATGGTAGGTTAGGTTAGATACCTATCTAGTACAAGAAGAAATATTAAACAATTTAAACATTTTGTTTGTTGAAATGCATTCCAACTTTTGATCAATATGAATATGAACACATTCACTATAAAATTAATGACTAGTTTATGGAAATACGTTACTTTTTCGACTTCGGAATGTGAACGGGAATTCGCTATATTTTGAAAGGAATTTCCCAAACATCGAATTAAATTCATATTTCTAGCTATTAGGAACTAGCGAAGTTATTTAACTTGCACACAGTCCACACAGAGTTGTCTGTTTTGAATAGATAATTTCTCGGCATAAGCTTACCTTTGGATGACCAGAGTTATCGACTGATCGGCGTTACCGAAAAGGTTTTGCGCGTCCAAGTGTCTCAAATCGCGGGCATCGTACATTTCGATTTTCCTTATGATGTCACCAACTCTCAGGTTACCACCACTGGGTGACGCGACGTTTACCTATATAAAAAAAACCCACAAAATTAACACGTTTCTCGGATATTATAGTTTATATGGATAATAGATAATACATCGTTGTAGAGTGGTATTACCGGCACTCTATGTTAGCTGACCATTTATCACACTTTACATTAAAACCTATATATATTTTATGTACAGTATAGTTTTTAAGAAATTCACGAATATACGGTAAATATAATATCCCGATCATAATATTATATCGTTCAAAACACGAGTATCGAGGTATTCGTGTAAAATATAATCATAAATGTGTTTGCTTTAGCAAAAGTCAGATATGACTGACGGCCACAGAACACGCGTGGATAACGTATGTTATACTATTATTGATTTCACGCGGTGTATGTTTTAACTGTTAAATAAACTATACAGTATACAAAGTTCAATGTTCTAAAACAACAAGTACCTTTACAGGCATCTAAAGATAGGTATAATGTACATACATAAAGGTAATGTGACCCGAATAAAAATGTATGCACGTTCACAGGAAGGTACATAATACATTTTATGATTCCTGAAGTGGTGATTTCGTGGCGTGGTCACGGACTTGGAACAATAATATTGTGTGTACCTATACAATACTCACATTTTAGAATACACATACTGTGTTGCGTGATGAGATAGTTCGGGACTAGCATATAATAGACAAAACCAATTATACAATAGAAAGAAAAACAAATGTTTTATCAAGGAATAATTATACGAGTATGAGTCCTTTATAATATATTATAATATATATTTATAGAATAGATTTATTTTGATGAAATCCACGACAATCACACAAATGAAAGACGTGCCATTCGCCCATTAATCATGAAATAAAGATCGCTTACAAAGTCTTTTTTGATTTTTAATATTTTTTAGTGAATCAATTAAAATATATATATTGTAAGGTTAACGCAAGTAATGCCTATCTAATGGACTTACTTTAGATAAACTGAAAGTATAATGAAATTAAATTACACAGCATATAACAAACTGCCTACATATATCAAAAAATATGTTTCATGTAATTTTTTTGTGAAGAACATTATTTAAATAATTACTATTTTACTGTGACGAAGTAGTTTTATACATTATTAATCAATTAGTTCAAAAATTATGACAATTTAGAAAGGGGAGGGGGTGTTTTTATGATGTACAAATTTAAAGCTTTATAGTGAATGAACTATATCAGATAAAGTTCTGAATCTTTTTACTGCACTGCTACATGCCAGCAAATTGATTCTAAGAAGAGCTCTAACCACAAAATCCGTTTAAATCGGTTTCAAAAATTTGAGTAGCTAAAGAACAATTTAGCTGAAATTGAAAAATTTATTTAATTGTATACAACTGAAATAATTTGTTTAATTCATATTTTGTATCTTTTAGTTAAGTTTTTTTTAATGATCTTTAGATCAACTTTTTATATCTTATAGTTTCAGAGAAAATTTAAAATTAAGCGTTCATAAGATGTAACATCGCAGACTTTTTTCAAATCCAAATCAATATTTCAAATAGGTATAAAATCCGATCTACCTGTATCTTAATAATGTTACCTTTAATAATTACCTTATATTAATGTTAACACAAATATCTCTAATTTCTCACTATAACAAATTAGTGTTTTGTTTAAAATTAGCATTTTGTTTTACTTTTCCTATTCACAACGAGACCTAAAAGTTATAACAATATAAAATGTGTTTTAATTTCAACTACCATACTTGGTTAGAAATCAAAAAATTAATAATCATAAACAGGGTGATTCTTTTGTCGTTGAACACTTATTATTTCACAAAGTATTATAAAGTCAACTTAACTTGAAAAATGTTTGTATAACCATTTAAGATACAAACAGTTCTAAAATATTACATTTCCATTATATTTTGTCACCTTTATTTTTGGGCGTGAAACAACTACCAACTTTTGATTTTAGAATGTTAAGCTACATTAAATTTCCATAAATTGATAGACTATTAGTTTAAATAAATTTTGGTGGTGAAATGTTCACGGAACATTCCAATTTTAAGTTTGAGTGGGGGAAAGTAGCGGAGTATCATTTGTATGGCGGTTCGGCGTGCGGATTTTGAATAGTACTCCAGACTTAGTACTCGAATTGAGGGGGGAAGCAGAGGGACGGAGTACCTCAAATAATTTTTCAGAAATGTAAGTGTACCTTTAATATTTGTATGAAGTGGAACGCATGAGACGCAGTGGAGGATATAAGGTACCATGTCTGGAAAGAACTGTATATAAGAGACTATAAAAGTATTCAGTGGAATTTCTGATCTCTATGATTATTTTTCAACAAAGATAAATGAAATAGAATAAAACAGAAGCAATAAATGTAACAGTTACAAGTTTTCTCCACGTTTTTTCTAGGGGTTTCCTCGTAATTAAGAATATTATAAAGAAAATGAAAAAATAACCTAGAAAAAACAAGATTTCTGGTAGAAAAATTGTTCACATACAGAAAAAGAACAAACACATGATCATAATAGAATCATAGTGGTAACCATCATATTAGAATCTAAAATATGTAAAGAATATCTACTATAGTAGATACTAGGAAATCAAAAGTTAGCCTGCGGTAGGTAGTGTTTGTTTTCGGAAATTATGAATTACTGAATTATGTTGAAAAATTAGTGTGAAAGGTGTGTAAGTCTCCCACGAGTTGAGTTGAGTTCAATAATTACAAGGAATGCTAATTTTTTTTTTACGTCTTATAGTCCCTCTTCTTTAATTTTATTAACTCGAGTACTGACTCCAGTGCTCTCTCCCTACCTAAGTCAAACTTCAAGAGCTATTTCAACAAAAAAATGGACGTTATTGGAATGTATAAGATAATACGTTCCTACCTAATAATTATTTACAATTAAAAAAGTCTAGTATAATGTAAGATATAAATATAACGAACGGCCAAAAGTAGAACATTCCATTTTCCTTTCAACAATAGGTATATAAATATAATTTACAATTAGATACACAAAACAGTAACAACTGCAAACGATAATTCAGATAGGTATAAGCTATAAATAGCCAAGACTTGTCTTTAAATTTGTATGATATATAATGTAACACGGCCCATCGATTTCTTAACGGTTTTGTCATATATATATATATATCAGTGTTTTACTCAATGCATAATGTTTTAATATACAAGTACGGCGGTTAATAATAAAAAAGCCAGTTACAAAAAAATAAAACGTAATTTATATTAGCAAATATTTTACATTAAGAAACCAGAGCACATTTTATGCAGTGTGCACGTTTCCATATCAACTATTCGACTAATGACTTCAGCCTAAAACCATTAAAGCTCATATTATAATATGTATTTTTAAATGGTTATACATTTTGGCAAGTATAGACACGCTGCAGCATCAGCTTGGTCTGTTACGGATAATTATAAATAAGACGGTTGAAAATATTATCATCAAGTCCGAAAATTTGGCTCAAATACATTAAATGTTTAAAATTTTCTATAATATAATTTTAGTAAAGCGGGTACCTACTTAAAGTTGTATTAAGACAAAAAAAACACCTGTATAACATCGAATGCATTACCAGCAGCTACCTGTGTATATTACGTATAGTTGAAGAATGTATAATTAGAGTAAACACTAAACATGGTAATAAAAAAGAACACAAATATTTATCCAGTCGACATAAAAATTATTGACGCGATACTTTGATCTATGGGTGAGTTGCAATGTAATAGGTATAATATACAGCATAAACCTACGCACTCGACAAAAATATCGATTTGAATTACGTATACAAGCGGTAAAGTTAAAAACAACAATCTTGAACTTTGTAAAAACCAAAACGGATACCTGTACTAGTATAGAAGTTATATTTATTATCAATAGGTAGGTTGTAAAACATCACAATAAGCAAATAATAATAATAAAAAAAAAAAAAAAAACGATCCGTATAATAGACGATAATTATGGTTTAACAGAAACAAACAAAAAAAAAAAAAACAAAAATCTCGCACACGCAGAATCGAATAGGTAAATACTATTGTTACCAAAAATTTAGGTGCGCGACACGTACGCGTATGCGTTCTCAGAAGTATATACACTCGCCTCCACAATACGTGGAGGTACGTTATCCGCTCGTGAACCTTTTAAGGTAAGTACCTATATTGTATAACCTGCACGAGCATAAAGGAATTCCTCGCACTCGAAACGCGTCTGTGCAGCGAACATTACCAAGGACCGAAGGGCTTGAAGACGCTTTAGAGGCGGTCCCGCTTCTAGTCGCAATCATGACTAGGTAGGAGAAAATACAAATTGAAACAAACTAAAGAGAATTGAATTCTAAAGATTTACTCACGTTTGGTATAAGAAAGTGAAAAAGCGAAAAAAAAAAATAAAAACTTTTTAAGGTTCCACAAAAATGACCGCACATTTTTCCCGGTCAATCCTGGGCTCCTGTATATAGGGGGTACTCGTCTGACCGCCTATCAACCACAAGTAAATAGGTACGTATAGTGTTTTCGTAGACATACCGAATGAAAAAAAAAAACAAACGGACATACTTCGCACAGTGAGCGGGCCACTGTTATGGGTGAGAAGTTGGGAAGGTATAGAGAGGACATTTAATAAATTTCTATACGCAACGATTAATCGTTGCTAACGAAAAACGATTCTAAACGGAGTTTGGTTACACACACGTTTTGAAGGGCCGTTATATTTACACTTTTTTCTAAAGTGTATCCCAGGAGTATATCTCCATCTCAGTCAAATTGCCTTTCAGAAAAAGTTTAACATTTGAAAATCGGAGCAGCAATTCTAATAGGTACAAAATTTGTTCAAAGGAAAAAAATTCGTAATATTTTTTACTAACACATTTCGTATATTTTTCCGTTTTTTAAAAAGACAAAAAAAAATAAACGTCATTGTTAAAACCAAATCGCTTCGCTCCGAATCTAGAATCACGGAGAATTTACGAAAAAACGCAATATAAAGGTGTATCGCACATTATTTATAATTATATGTTGTAATATTACCTTGGTTATGGTCAACGGAGTGTTCAGATCCGCTCCGCCCGCCAGCCGGATACCCCACGGATGGTGTTTGTTGTCCCTCTTGAGCGTCACCGACCACGTGCTCGGCTTTCTGGAACCCATATCGAATCGGATTGCAGCCGCGTACTTATCGGACGTGCTTTTTTCTTTTTTCTTTTTTTTTTACTGTTGTACTACGCGAGTACTGTTTGAACGAGTGTGTCCGGTTCGGATCGCGTACGAAATATTATTGTATACGCGGTCGTGCACGCTGTGCGGGCCGACGACTAGTGGCTGGTCCTCCGAGCTTCGCAACGATAATACCGTGCGCGCCGTTACTACACTATATGGTTATTGGGAAAAAAAAAAAATAATAATAATAATAACAATAATGAGAAAAAAAACAACACTGGATAGTGTCAAAACGTGAAATATTATATGCCGATGATGTATTACCGGTGTGCGGACGGCGGCGGTACGATAATACTATAGGCGGTCTGTTATTGTATCGGCCGGCCGATATTACTGGGGCGCGCGTGGGCGGGCGGGCTGACGATCTGCACCACGACAGCTGCGAGCACCTGAGCTCGCGAGCAGATGCTTTGACACCTGTCGAATGCCGCGTAAAATATTACAATATTATTATTGTGCACCGCGTTATTTGTATTGTCGCTGTTGTGCGTGCGTGCGGGCGCACGAGCGCGACCCGCGGTACAGTGTAAAGACGGAAACGATTAAAACAAAAAACAAATCGCGGAAAAAAAAAACACACAAACGGCGGCGGCGCAGTATCAACGGTCCGCGCGCAATTCGCCCGCGATAATAGCAATGGCGTACGCGCGGCTCGCCGACTGTTGGGTCGCGCAACGGCTCTCCCGGGACCGGTGCCAAAATGCCGGGACTCCTAACGTCGCGCGTCTAACGCGTATGAAGATAATAAATAAGAAAAAAAAATAAAAATAAAAATAAAAAAAAAAACAGCGCGCCACATAAACGTTTATTATAAGAATGCGCGGTGTACTGGCCGTAATGCCATTATATTGTCGCGTTTTGTAATCGGCCGTTTTTTACTGTCGGGAAACCTATCAAAAACCGATACTGCTGATGGGCCCGCCGCCAGTGCCGGTTTAACGGATTTGCCGTCCGGGGGCAGATTTAAAAATTCCGCCCTTCGAAACCATTGTGCAAAAAAAAAAAAAAAAACAAATTATATACACAACAAAATAGTTAAAATTGTTTAGTGAATATATTATATTGATTATAAAAATATCGTAGCACCGGTAGTTTTTTTGATTAATAGACCTTATAGTTATAGGTGTAAACATTTGAATTCAGATTGATTATTCAATATTCAATATTAGAAATTTACAACTTTTTTCTAGCTTTCTGTGCAGCAAATTCTTTAATAATATCACTCTAATCTATACTTTATAGGGCACTATTCTCAATAGACGACGATGACAGTTTTCATTGGAAAATGATGTGCTCTGGTAGTTCTTCACTCTCTTTAAAACTGAGAAAGATCTCTCGCCGCTAGCGTTGGAGAATGGTATAGATACAAACAGTTTTAAAGCTACTTCCACATTAGGAAATGAATGGTTTAACTTTGATGTTGTTAATGCTTCAAATAAACTGTAATTCTATAAAACTGTAAATCTATTTCTTTTATCTTTTACATAAATTCCAAGAGATTCATACAATTTTACAACGCAAAATAAATCAATATTAACATGTAGTAAATTTTTACTTGTTGCGTCGAATCTTTCGAATAGTGGAATCTATAGAGCTATCATAAATGAGAACTCGATCGTGTATATTTTTTGATCTATAGATTCTGCTTCATACCTTACACCAGTTTTCTAATCCAAACTCAAAGCTATGATTTTCAATGAACTTAACACACCTTTAAACCCAATTTTAAAACTTTTTCAAACATTATATCTTGATGACCATTTTGTAGGGTATCAGTTTCTTACAAAAATTGAGTTTGGTATATTTTTTTAATTCATTAAAAGTTGTTCGCCATACCGATGCAACAAAACAGACATAGATATTTTAGGCGAGTGATAAAAAGTGATAACCTTCCTTAGTTACATCAGCAGCATGACAACCAACTAAATTTAATGCTGAACATGGACTTAAAATTTGCGTTTTTTTAATTTTCCTTTGATTCTAGCTTGTAACCCGTTATATATACCAGACATATTTCTTGCATTGTCGTACGATTGTCCACGACAGTAATTTATGTTGATATCAAATTTCATGATTCAGTTAATTTCGTTAATAATGAGATTTCAATTTCTTTACTTTTATGTCCAACCGATGGAATAAAACATAAAAATCGTTCTACTGCAGTCCCATCTGAATTAACGTACCTAAAAACTATCATTAATCGGTCGAATTTTGTAATATCGGGAGTAGAATCTACAATTAATGAGAAATATTTGGCGGACGTTACTTCATTTACAATATTATGAAATACAGCTTTGTTCTCATCGCAAATAGTGTGAAACAGATATGAGACATTTCCACGGCCTTTATTACTATATTCATCAAGATTAATAGATCGAGTTTCACAATTAAGTCTAAACATCCGAGATAATTCCCATTATTTTTAGAACCCAACATTTCATTATCGCCACGAAATGCAAGACCTGTGTCTGATAAAAATATTATTATTTCAATGAACGCTGTATTATACTTCTTCAATAAAGTTCCCTTTTTTCAAGTTAAATTTTTAACTCAATACCTAATAAATATGATTAATAGTTGTTCCTAAAAACTATAATACATTAAAAAATTTCAAAACTTTTGTTTACGTCACCAAAACATTGCCTCCCCTAAAAATGTGCCACCCGGGGCAGTTACCCCTTTGCCTTCCTTAACCCGGCACTAGACGCCGCTGTTGTAGGTAGAAAGTCGGAAAGGAAGGCCGTACGCATATTATATAATTTAATTATTATCAGTGAGCAACAATAAACCGTCATTGTTAACGAAAAACTTGTTTTTTACTAAAATAAAGTTACGTCTTTTTCTAGTTTTTTTTTTTGCAATTTTTGAAAATGAATAAGTTGAGTTACAAACCCATGAGTTAAATGAATATACAATTTACAGATGTTCAAGTTCGAAGCTTTGTAGATGACAAATATAGACTATGTGGATATTATACAGCTACTTAAAATGAAATGAATTGTTAACATTTTACAGGAAAACTCTAATTAGTATAGAGATCTGATATAAAAATAAAAATGAATCATGATTGTTATATCCCACGAGTAATTATTATTTTGCACTGATCGTTTTATGACTTTCTAAAAACAAAAAAAATTCGGTACCTACTGGAATTTACCTAAAATTAAAGATTTCCAAATAAAAAACAAAAAATATAGAATTATGAAAATTTGCCTTTGACCAAAATTTAATGGCTGCATCCGAATTAGGTGCCGGATTCAAGTGGTTTTGATAGGTAGTGCACTAGTTAAGTCCCAATTTTGGGTACTATGCTAATTGGGTCAAAATGTTTTCAAGCAATAAAACAATTTTCCTTCTCAATTTTACAGACTTAGGACTGTCAGTGATTTAAAGTTTAAAATAAAATACAGGTATGATTAAACAAATTTTTTTTACCAGATGAATAATATTTAGGAAAACGTTAAGAAGGTGGCCTCCGGTCGTTCAATACATACCAGACGCGTAGCCAGATATTTCCAAAGGGGAGTGTTGTGAAAAGTAACAAAACCTATTAATTTAATTGAAAAAAGACTGACATCTTCACACGATGGGTGGGGTACTGTTGTAAATGAAAAGATAAGAAAGTAGGATATAGAGGAGAATTTCCCTGTATACCTAGCGCAACGATTAATCACTGCTAACGAAAAACAATTCTGAGCGAAATTCGGTTGTACATGTTTTGAAAGGCCGTAATATTTATGATTTTCGTTGAAATTTGATATCAAAATTCTTATAAAAAAATGAACATTGTTATATAGTCATATAGTTTTGTTTATGTATGGGGGTACCTATAGCCATATTATAAAATAATTATCTTACACAATTGTATTATATACATGCAGTAAATAAACACGGTCAAAGAGGGGGAGGTATTACTACACTACCAACATGCCCTCTCACTACGCCATTGTTGTATACTATTCGTAATTTAGTATAATATAAAAAAAAATTGAAAAGATATGTTATTTAATTTCATTCATAGAAATATACCAATTACACTTAGGTGAACATTTGTAAGAGAGCGTTTTGACAAAGTCCATACTTCTAATTTTAATCTAAGTGTCTACTTGGATACTTTTAAAAACTTCTATTCTACTCACTATAAACTTGAGACCCAACTAGTGTAAAATCTGTAGAAATTTGAAACCCAACTATTATAGTACTCGCGTTAACCCGGGACTCAATTAGTATAGTACTTGCATTAACAAGACCCAACTAGAGTAGATTTTTGAACGCGGGACCCAACTCTGATGCACCCAATTCAAACGTAAAAAGGTAACATAAAATAAACAAAATTAACTTGAAGTTTGCACATCAAGTAGGTACAAAAAAATTAACTTTATTGTGCTAAAAGTTAATTAATTTGTAAAAATTTAATAGTACTATTTGCATATGGAACTTAAAATTTTTAAAAAAATCTTTAATAAATATTACCTTTACAATATATGTTGACATAGGTATTAAGTAGTAAATAATAAATAATTACTTAAACCATTTGTTTGGTTTTTTTTATAAACCTTGAAATTATTTTAATGCTGATTGACTAATTATTATAATTTCATAGGTTATAAATGAAGCAACACAATTTTTTAAGAAAATTGTAAGATTATCGTAATCGTCATTGAAACGTACAAAATGCATAATTACCCTCTGGTCGAATGCCAATATGTTACGGATAAACTCCACGCTTTGGCAATGTATAGTTTTATAACATTTTTATGAACATCTGTTATGTATATGCAAGTTTCAACTTTCAACATATTTCTTTTTTTAGATTCTCAGTGGAACGAAAAAGCTTATAGTTTTACAAAGATTTTTATTTTATTATCCATGCATAACTTTTCTACCAGAATACTTGTTCGGATTTCTACGAGTAGCACCTTTTCTGAAAAAAAAAAAATCGGCGTGGGAAGGTACTATAAGAAAGTCATTTTTCGATTTTCTCAAGAGTTTTATACGAAATATAATAAATATAATTTACGATTTTTTTTTCTGTGGACAACTTTTCTACCAGCAATTTTGCTCAAACTATTAATGATAGCAATGTTTCTAAAAGGAAATTTCACTAGTATTAAATACTTTAAAGAGGTTATTTTTGATTTTCCCAAGAATTTTTACAGCAAATGTAAAAAACTAAGATAAAACATGGGAAAACCAAAAAAAAAAAAACGTAGGAAAACTGGGAAAATTAGTGCAACATTAAACAAATTGTTTAAAAAAAAATATATAAAGCCTGTTTTATTATTTTACTAAAAAATGACATATATTGTTGACAAAGCATCACTATCACCTAAACTCCACTCAAAATCGTTTTTTTGTAACCATTGGTTTATCATTGCTTACAGATATACATTAAATTCCGTCTATATCTTACCTTCCCAACTTCCCACCTATACCAGTGGCTGCACCCGTCCTCATTATCTTACCTTTCTTTCCTTCTTTCTTTTTTTTTCATTATAAAGTAAATTTTCTTTTCTTTTTTTTTTTTTTAGCAAAAAACACATTACCTTCTTGAGTCAACACCTAATGTACCTTGAACACATCATAACTTCATTAATTTCAATATAATATAATAATACAATAGACATGAAAAATATATTTACTTGAGTATTATGTCAAAATACATAGGTACCTACTATTTCAGTAGTTCTGGTAATTCTGTTTAGTTATCTTTAATTGATAATTCAACATATTTTTAAATATTTAACATTATAATGGTGTTTAATGTCGTTTATCTCCACGTCAGCAACTGCTTATTGGCATTTTCTAGACACAGTGTTTTTTGGTTGGACACGTCGGCCCCCAATTGATTATTCCCTCATTTTTAATTTTATATTATTTCTATCTATTTCGTTCATGTTTTTTTTTATATATATATATATATATATAATAATTCTCTCTCTATATATATAGTATATTCGTCAAGCAGATAAGATTTAAATTTGCTATACATTTTTTTGAACATTGAACGTTCGAAATACCATCAATTACGATACTAAAACTATACCTCTATATTGCAATCGAATTTCAGACAAATTATTCCTGCTAAAAAAATCATAAATTATACACGTTTAAAATTCGGACCACCAAACCCAATAATAAAAATAATTAATTCAGACTTTCAAGTCTCTACAAAATTTTTAATTGAATCATAGCAACAAATGTAATTAATAATAAACATTTTCGTAAATTGTCCTGTTCTTTCAACGTTTTTTTTTTTTTATGGTTGAGTAACTCAACTACTAAAAACACTACGTGGAAATACAAAAAGAATGATTTTCTTATTTAGCAACTAGATTAAAAATTCAACAACAATGCTCACTTGTTGTTTTTTTTTATTTGAACAATATTTCTGATAGAAAACACAAACCACAAAAGTTTTAAATAAAGGAATCTTGACACCGTAAATTTATCAGTTTTCATTTTTCTTATTTTTTTGGTTTTTCTCAATTATTATTAAAACTGCTTAAACAATCAAAAAACGACTTTCTTCGTGAGTTTCTACATCTAAAATGCAACAAAAATGGTTTTTGTCATTTTTTGAATGAAGCAAGATATTTAGTAGAAAACAAGTGACAAAAATGTAAAATCACCTGTACCTGTTTTTATTATAATTATTGAATGTCTCTTGACTAATTATATACATATAATGGGTTTAATTTAGTTTAATGTAAACAAAGTTAGTTAGGATTAATAAATAGTACAATTTGATTCAAAGTCGAATATGGGCGAAACCGGATAATTCAGCTTGTTATAAATAAAAGCATTAATTTCATATTTTGTAAGACAATTAAGATAAAATATAAGTGATATTATTTAAAAACCATCATCTAATCATAAAGATACAATTTTTATTTAATTTGAAACAGTTGTAAAACACAACATAGAAACTCATTTTTGAAGTTTTATCATTTATTTTATTAATTTATAAAAACAAGTACTAAAGATAAATAGGTAACATATAAAAAGAAAAAAATTATATTTAAGCGGACAGATCTCCTTCAATGAGACAGTGTAAAACAGTTAATTTCTTCGCCATTATCGTCACTCGAAAGATCGCTGCTTATTAATATAATGTTCACAATATAAACATTCCGTGTCCGTTACATCATACAATAAAAATGCAAGGACGCTCGCAGAAATATAAACCGGGAGGTAGGGAAGGGGGAACCAAAGTCAAAAGTATACGACTTTTTTTACAACTTACAAGTAATCGTGGCTTATATTTAATTATATTACAAACATTTACAAATGTTTAGACTTTCTTCGACTAATTTCAGACTGTAGTAAAATAATAAAATATAATAATGTATTATTAATTATTGTGTCAGTGATTATATTTATAGACAGATTAGTAAAAACTGAAATGACAATAAAAATCACTTTTGTAAATATGTATCCACGAAATCCATTGTTATTTTTTAGAAATATTATCGACCAATATAACCGACTTACTACTAAAAATCGCATTTATCGCATGTTCTTTGAATTTTCATCTATGGTGCCTTTAAAAACAAAATATTCCAAGGGCCCTCGGTGTGCCAGATAGACAGTGGTTGCACAGACAAGTTTTTTATTCAAATAAAACTTTTGGAAATAAACCGTTTTTTTTTAATTTTCCGAAAGTTAGGTATTGAAGAATATTATCATTTTTCTAGTCATCGATTCAATTGTATATAATGTATATTGCATATTGTAAAATGTTAACTTAAACAAATTGATTAGATATTTCAGGGGATTTATTTGTGATTAGTGATTAATGATAGTGTCGACACTAAGTTTTGCACAGCAAAATATTCCAGAGGACCTTGAAAACACATTATGCAAATTAATAGTGAAAACCAAGAAGACATTTTACTCACCTCTTCTCTTAATATTGAAATATTATTTTAACTTATTTTTAGATGAAAAACGCATAAAATAACACCAATTTACTACTTGATACTTTAAAATTAAATAATTAAACGTCACATTTTGATAAAATAAAATTGTTATTTTTTTCATACATATTGCCAAGGTCATGGTAACATAGATAAACAAAAAAAGTTTAATTTACGTTACAAAAATACCATAAACTCTGGGTCAGTTACTCTTTAGGGGTTGATTTTGGTATAAAAATAGACACTGGCATTCCCCCTATTATTAATATTAAGTACAGGCGCATATTTATGGGGAGGCTGAGCCATTTCAATGGCCTATGAAAAACACTGCAATAGTCTTAAATTACTTTTTATTGATTTTAAACCTAATCTTACAGATATTTAGTACTTAATAAACATTGTGATAAATTCTATTTTATGAAACATTAAATATAATTTTGGATTCTGAGCGAAGTGAGGAGTATTAGTTTTACAATGATGTTTTTTTTTTCTGTGGAACTTTTCTACCAGCAATTTTGCTCTGATTTACAATGATGCACTTTTTCTGAAAGAAATCTGACTGGAGAGATATTTTAAGAAGTTTTATTTTTGGTTTACCCAGGAGTTTTCTCAATAAATTGAAAAAATAAATAAATACACACACATCATAGTGAAACCAACAGATCATTCACTATGCTCTGAATCTAATATATTACCTTCATAATTAAAAATTGTAATATTGATGAGTTGAATGATATTTCTGCTTTCTTTTTATGTTTATTTGTGATGGGTTTATTTTCCATGAATTCCTGAAAATAAACAATAAATAATAGATACCTACTTCAGATTATAATAATTTTGTTTATGCAGTAATAAATATAGTTTCACTAACACAAAATGGTAAATATTTATTTATTTATTGATAAATTAGTTGATATTTTGACATTTTCTTACCTATTGTGGTCTATGGAGTATAATAAAAATGTACAAGAAACATTACCAGCTTCCTGAATTGCATATTTTGCAGTAACAAGTATACCTACGTAGTATTGTATATTAGTAAAAGTTTATATTGATAATCAATTTCGTGCTAAAATCTCAGTTTTCTTAAACTATTTACGTATTATCAACATTGAAAAAAATCAAATTGAGATGGAATACAATGAATACCGATAGTATTATTACCTCCCCTTAACGAGAAGGGGGTTAGCAGGATTGTATCACAGATACAATAGTATCTTATATCTTGATAAATATTTTGCAAAAGATTAAAGATACTTTTATTACACAAATTTGTATAGAATTTTTTTTTAAATTTAGGACGCTAAAAACTTAAAATAAATGTAAAATTTAGCTACTTATAAGCATTTTTTTAAATTATGAATTATTAAAAAAGTTAAGATTATTTAAAAAAGAAAGAAAAAAAAGGTTTTTGTATCTTTTATATTGACCTCAATAATTTGAATACAAAAACCCTAGAGCATTCCCTCCAAAATATGTTTTTGGATATTTAAATTTTTTAAGCAAGGTAAAAGCATTTTTTATATTATAGTGATATATTCATGAATATTGCTTAAAAATATTGAAAAAAATCTCTATCGTTGCACAGACAATGTTCTTATTTACCTTTAGGCTTTAAATTAGATAATAAATGAGTATTAACCGAGTATTAACCTGAATATTAACTTAATATTATTAAAAGTACAAATAGTAGTTGTCCCTGCTAAACACAAATTTGCCATGTCATTACAAATGTAAGACAAGACAGCTCATACGGATTGAAAGTGATTCAGTTTTTTATAAATTTAAACTTAACATAACATACTTCCAGAAGTACTATTTCAGTTTTGAAAAATAATTTGATTTGGTATACTTTTCTATGAAAAGTGGCTCAAAGTAAATCAAAAATGACCAACTTTTTTTGAAAATTTAATAATAAAATAATAAAGTAAAAACAAAATTATTAAAATGATTAATACTCGTAAATAAATATATGAATAAAAAATGTATACCTACAAATAAAATTAATTAATTAATTAATGCGTTATATGACTGGTTTTAAATAATACACTTGTCATAATACTCCAGGTGACACATTCATTAATTTATTTATTTTATTTTTATAATCAAATTTTTTATTTATACATTTATTTATTATTATTTACTCATTATCTCTGAAAGGTTTAACTTTTTCCAGAATTTGTTTCCTAAAATATTTAAGAATCAAGCTGCTCTAATATCTTATATTTATATTATTTTTTGTCACCCTTATTTTTGGAGGGAAAACCACTACCTACTTTTGATTTTTAATTGGCAACCTTTATTAAAAAGTTCATAAATAGATGGAGTAATAGTCAAAATTAATTTTAGTGTTGAAATTTTTGATTTGTTGACAAGATATTCCACTTCTAAGTTTGGGTTGGAGGAGAGTAGTGGAGTATCATTTGTGTGGTGGTACGGTGCACAATGTGTTATTAATGATTCACTACCCTCCTTCAACCTAAAATTAAAAGTGGAATCTCTCGTCAATAGCTTGACAAAAATAAAAAATTTCAACACTCAAATTTATTTTAACTAATACTCCATTTCTTTATGGTATTTTTTATATAGGTTGCTATTTGAAAATCAAAAGTAGGTAGTGGTTTTACCCCCAAAAATAAGGGTTACAAAAATAACAAAAATATAAAACTGTAAAGCTGATTATTTCTTAAATGTTCTAGAAAACAAATTCTGAAAAAAGTTATTACTTTCCGAGATAATGAATGTACCCACGTAAATTAATCACCCGGTATTTGAAAATTTAATTATAGTAAATGTTTTTTCTGAATTTTTTTCTCAAAAACTTTCTAATTCTTTCTTGGTTTATAAAAAAAATGAATATACATCACAGAGTAGCTTTTTTTTAACATATACGTTAAATTGATGAAAATTTTTTTTTCAAATTAAATATAATAAAGTTTAATGATTTAAACAATATTTTGATACTTATAACTGAATAACAAATGATGATTTATAATATCCATTTGAATCAATAGTATGACGCTGAGATAAATGAATTTCTGTCAGGTGTACCATTCCAAATATATAGTTATCAAAAATCTGCAACAAATATGTAAATAATATTGTATATTATCTATAGAATTTAAAGTTTACAACAATCATTTAATAATCTTACTTCTACTATTTTCTTAGCATCAAATGTAAAATGAGATCTATTGTCAACATTTTCATCTACAATATTTGCCTGTTGAGAGAACCTTGAATTCATTAAAGTTACATGTAACTTTACATGGTCATTTCTTGCTGGTTTTACTAAATCTATTTTTTTTTTACAAATAAAATAATGAATTTCAATTAGTGTTGTAATATTTCATTCAATATAATTGATTATGATTAATTAAATGTCCTTCGTAAAAATTATGATTTCTAATCAAAATTGTTGTATAATCCAAATTCAATAATTTATGGACTATTATAAATGAGCAATAAATAACCAAAAAAAAAAGTTCAATAGCTGTTGTTATAAGTTAAAAACACATCTACTATGCAGTAGTTTTATTATTATATTAAAAGTCATGGTATCGGCACGTTTTATAAATCAAAAACAATATCTTATAGGAAAAATTCATGGCTCGTATAGTGGTCTGATTTCATTATTTTAATTTTTGAACAGAACAAGAAATGTATTAGTTTTACAATAGTGTTTATTTATTTATTTATTTTTATCCATGAACAACTTTTCTACCAACAATATTACTCAGATTTTCAATTAAAACAGTTTTTCTGAAAGGAAATCTAAATGGGGTGGCACATTAGGGAGGTCATATTTTAGTTTTCCCAGCTGTTTTCATAAAAAAATGGGAAAAACAGGAAAATAGCAAAATAAATTAAATAAATTTTACCATAAAATTACATATATATTTTTGATAAAGCAACACTATTAACCAAACTCCGCTCAGAATCGTTTTTTGTTAGCAATGGTTAATTGTTGCGTACAGGTGTACATTACATTTCCCTCTACTTTACAAACTTCTCACCCATAACAGTGGCCCACCTATTGTGCCAAGTATGTATGTATCATTTTTTTTCGTTTATAGGAAGTCTTCCAACAGACTGTATTTAATACCATTTTTCAATATTTTCATCTCAAACTTTATAATACATTTGTAAAAAGGGTAATTTTTAATTTTTGTATGCTATTAATTAAAATGAAATGAAAAATCAGAGTTCAATGTAGTCTGTATTATCAGACACTTAATTTGAAAATTTAAAAATTATGGGCCAAATGAAAAATTCTAAAATAGTAGTTGTATTAATTGAAAATACCAAATTTATTATGAACATAAAATTTATCAGAAGTGTCACCCAAAATTTTAATGTAAAAGTTTATCTCTATTATAAATACAAATTAAAACAAAAATGTATTTAGTATGTATTTACCACAATCTTGGAAAAATGTTTGTATTTTATCAGCCAACACTTGAATTTCAGGATTTGTCACTTTAGCATATAAAACTTTTACTTCAGATGGATCATCATTCATATAATCTAAACCAGAAACTAATACATCTAAAGATGTCAAATTCATAGGCCTTAAAAAAATGATTTGATAATTAAATTCAGTCAAATAGTATGTATGTAAATAAATGTTAAGTTTTATACTTTATAATAGTTTCTTCGCAGTCTTTCATTAATTTATGGGCTATTTTTATCTCTGCTGCATTACATAAAACAAAACAGGTAATTGTTAAATGAAGTTGTAAATGATCCTGAAATAAAACTTCAGAGATACCACGGCACTGGCCAAATTCTTTAAGAACTACTTTCTGTTACACACAAATCACAAAAATAATTAAAATTAATTTTTTGACAAATTAATTCTTACTAACTAATATTTATTACCTTAAATTTTAAATAGTTGTCAATCACTGTTTCATTTATCATTGGCAAAGATATAAAATGAGTCACATCCTGCTTGAAACGAGCTTTCTTGATAATTGCATTAAGTTTTGATTTAGCAGCAATAATAAACGCTCTCTGTTCTCCTTTTATTACTGAAAATCAAATTAATACTACACTATTAAATTCTGTATTTTAACACCATGACTGCGTACATCTTTTTGCAGTTTTCACTCCAGTGTGTACATAATTGTTTAATCCTTATCTATTTAATCATGTTAATCATAAGCAAATATTCAACCACGGGTAAGAAATACCAAATCATATGTATATTGTTGGACACCAAATGGTGTCGAATGCATTACTGACACCAATTATTGATGTTGGTAAGCATTCAACATATGAAGTAGCATCAAAAATTATTTTATTTTAATAATCGATAATTCCTAGTTACATTTAGTACAAATTAAGTTATTCAATATAATATAAATTATAATAAAAATTAAAATTATAGAATGTAATGAATAACCATTTAAATTTATTAAACATCTTATATTTTAACTAGTTATCACTAATTTCTTTAGACTTACTTATCATATTATTTTCTCTAGAACTTGGTATTTTAATTCTTGTTTTTGTTTGATACTCAAGATTCTTAAGATTCTCTCTATTTCTTCCAATAATCAAACCAAAAAATATACTAAAATCAAATAAATATCAAATATCAAAATAAAAATATGGTAAATAAATAAAATTATTATTAAAAAATATTAAAATATTTTCCAAGTTATATTTAACATAATATAAATTATATTGATATCCCATAATACAGGTAAAAATGTAGTATACACTGATTTACCATATCCCAAATTATATATCTTAGATATTTCCAACATTTTCTTTAGTAGGTAGATGCAAAATAAAAAAAAAAATTGTGTACATATTTGAAAATATTTGTACTTAACATTAAAATTACATTTTATGGGAGTTTTAAGCCAAAAATATTGGACTAGTGATAAACAAAGTAAAGACTAAAGTAATAGAAATAATAACCAGTGAAGACAAAAACCTAGCAATTGAGAGCTACACGTTTAAAAAAACTCAACATTTAAAGTATTTAGGTCAGTGGTTTTCAAACTGGATGCTGCATTCACTAGTTGTGCCGCCGTCTTCTAAAATTTATTTTCTTTACATTATGCTGGACTACCAGTTACGGTTATCCACTTTTTAAGTATGAAATCATAACTCTTTTGATTATGATTTGTTTGACTATGACTCATCAATTTTGTTATTAGTTCTAATTTTGTGAAATAATTAAACAAGGACCAAAAGAAAAAGGTCAGAGTGGACTGTAAAAATGTTGAGAGAAACGAAGTGTGCCAAATTAAGTTTAAAAACCACTGATTTAGGTGCAACAATTACCGGGAATAACAATTGAAATATTGAAGTAGATATAAATAAATAAATAATAATAAATAATTCTCTTCTCTAGAATTACAAAAGTACCTTTATATACTGTATATACTGTGACAGTAAAACCAATAATTACTTACAAATTCAAAGTATAACCCCTGACAATAATAGTTAATCAAAAACTTAAAACTTCAAGAAGAAAGTGGTAAGAACTATATGCAGACCTTTAATACTGTCTTGAACTGCTGGAGAAGAAAAAAAATTTGGTGAAAAGAAAAATGACTAAATAACCTGTAATAAAAAGTTATAATAAGGAACAGAGATTAAAGTGGTTTGGACACATAAAATAAGAGGCAACAAACAAACATATAGCAAATAATGAATGGCAACCAGAAGAAAAGAAACCAAGAGGGAGACCAAAGAAACGATAGATGGATGGCATACAAGTCATAGAGAGATTGGAAGCTATAAACTAGGAGGAAATGATCCAGAACCGTGTTAATTGGAGAGCACTAACAGAAGCGGTTAAAACTCAGAATTATGAAGCAATATAATGATGATGATGACTTGTTATTTTAAATGTTGAAAAACAATTATTAAAGCAAAACGCTTTAACTAAAAGAAATACAATGTTTTTAAAAATTATTATTATTATTATTATTATTTATATTAAATAAACAGTATCCACACATATAAATATAAAATTATAAGTTATACACTGTCAACAGATAATCTATTTCTTATTTATTACACATATTATTATTTGTATACTATACTGTATAGCAGCAAATAATAATAGTTAAAAAACATTCAATATGAAGTTTTAAAGTCACATTATTAATACGAACAGAACTATAAACTGATTGCTAATAAAACAATAATACATTGAAAATGTCTGTTATTATCAATAAAATATAACTTACTTAGGAACTTCTAGTTTCAATATACACTGACCGTCTTCTATGTATATATTTAAATCATCATATTCTTCGTCGGTATCTATATATAAAATATATATACAAAAAATTTATATTTTATACTATATTTTAATCTATAGGTACTAGCAAATGAGAGTCAAATAATAACATGTATTTATTATGAAATCTAAATTTTCAAAAACCTTAAATTTATTATAGATATTGTTAAGGATAAACAGAAATTATAGACCAACCGGCAAATATACAACTAATAAGACTATGGCCAGCCATTGATTAAAATCCATTACATTAGTATGAATCTATGGATAAAGTAGATATGGAAATTAATAACTATCAAATTTTTAGGAATACGTGTCAGGATTTATTATAATCCTGACATACTCACCATCTCTTTCGACATAAGATGGAAGCTTTTCCGCAATATCCGTCTGAATTTCATTAATATTATCATCGGGGAAACAATCGTCAGTATTTAATCGATATTGACGTCCATTGATGACAAATATCTTTGGACGTAATACATCCATATTTCATGTAATTTCGATATACCTACTAAATGTAAAGGTTTAATTCTACTTTTACTAAACATAACTCGAGGAAACGATTACAATATGAGTATAGAGTATTGAGTATTTAAAATTTCATTATTTACCTCGGTTAGTCGGTTCATCTGACTAGTGTCTAAATTCGTGTTATTTACAATGTACTTAAATCTATTATTACTGGACACAGATTATGTAATCTTTGCTATATCTATTTACGTGGTTGATATAGATACTAAACCTATAACCGTGGTTAATACCACGATTATCCACAGATCTTTTATCAATGCTAGCGTTAGGGGTAGGTACAAATTAAGATCTTAATCTTATCTTAATTCGTGAGGTTGGGCGATCAGGGCGTCTGCTATAAGGAGGTGCCTCAACGGTTATAATTATACTTGATTAATTGGGAGAGAGACGCAGACATGGTTTTGCCCTAGATTCCCGTAATTTATACGTACTTTTCAATGTCGGAAAATCAAATCTATGTGAATTTGAGAAATTTTTTGAAGTAACCGATATTAAAATTAACGACACCGATTTAATTTTTCTGCACCATCATGTGTATCATAGTAATACCACTTTGGTCTTTCGTTACACCTATATATTAATCTATTGGATTTACCAACGAAAATCATGTAAATATTCCAAACAACTTATCCTATAAAAACTGAACTATTTTGAAACCTAAACTGAATCAAATTATAAATTACTTTAAAAATGTTTGAAGTAACATTAAGCCAGGTAAAATTTTTTGATTTGTGAGAAATATTAATCTTATAGTCAAAAATAAAAAAAGAGATTTTTCAAAATTTGAAGATCGCACAGGGGCCAGCAAAACCTCAGGCCGTCACTAACGATTAACAATAAATGATAAACCATTGATCACTGTAATATTTGAATTTAGCTATTACAAACAGAATAGTACAATATTGTATTTTAGATATAAAAATAAAATCTAATGAGGTACACTTGTGCTATCTAGCGTTGAATTTATAACTATTGAGTATTCTTACTTTGTACAACATTACACCTTTAATTTCTGTGGTATAGGCAACTCAAATTACACAACGGCTATAACATTATTTCTTATTAAGAAAGTCCCTTAGTTCTGGTCCCCTAACTTCACGCACGTTAATACAATAGACTCATGAAACTTTTTTTCATATTTTTTGCTTAGGTCATTTCTATTGTTAGATAATTGAATAATAATTTTAAAAACGTCAAAATGTTTTAACAAATAATTGACAATTACAGACAATAGTTAGTACTTGCATAAATTGTATTTTACAAAAAAAAAAAACTATCCCTCTCTCTCATTTTTTTTAAGCGCGACCTTGACACGGTTATCTACCATATTTTCTTATCAGATAAACACATCAATTTATTGAATACCTAATTACTTTTTATTTCATAATACTTAATATCTATTTTATAAAATCAATATTTATATATATATATATATATTAACTATTGTAGGTTTATTCATAATATTATTTTTATAGTCAAATCTTTCAAAAACTGTTCAGAGAAAATTTTTGTTTAATAAAAAACACTTATTTCATTATCTATGGATAACTCTACCAAATCTAAGGTATGTATAAATGTATCTATACAAATTTGAAACCACTTATGAGTTATAGGTACCTACATCAATACACTACTAATTATTTGTAACTATGTTATGCAGACGGACACTCTGATTGAGCATGCAAATATCAGTATAACTGAAGCGGACAAGCGTATGAACTCAACATTGAGTTTAAAAGAATATTATACGGTGTACATTATTGAAACCAAGTAACTTATATGACACATAATAGTTTATACTATATACACATTTCATAATATAATGTAAATTAAATAACATTTTACATTATGTGTATAGGATTGACAGTGAAACATGGGCTGAATTGAAAAATATTCAAAAATTGTTATTGGCTACTCGACGGTATACGGATTTTGTAATGTTACACAATCACTTGGGAGACAAATATCCTTGGGTAGTGATACCACCATTACCTGAAAAAAAACAAACTTATATGTGGAATAGTGAAGCTGTATCAGATACAATGGATCCAGATTTTGTTGATAGGAGACGCGCAGGACTAGAAAGTTTTCTCAGAAGAATAGCCAGTCATTGTGAATTAGGTTATGATGAATATTTTCTTAAATTCTTAGGTGAATGTGATAACTGGATAGATTCCACAAAACCACTTAATAGTGAGTCAAACATTTAACCAAAACTAGTTCATAAAAATATTAGAATATAAATTTATCATTAATTATAACATGTTGGGTATAAATTTAATTTAAGGTATATTAAAAGACACAGAGCTTACAATTAAAACAATGAATGCATCAATGCGGGGTAGGAATTCAGATAAACGTTTTGAAGCAATTAAAACATATAGCAATAAATTACAGGTTGGTAATCACAAAATACAATGAATTTTAACTATTAATTTATATTTATATTTAATAATTAATGTACTTTAGGGTTCTATTAACAAGATATTGACATACCGAGCAAAACAAGCAGAACGACTTTACAATGTAGATATGTTACATTTACATTATGGTCGGATTTTCAGTGAACTTAGTGCTGTAGATAACGATATTGGTGATGCAGTTCAGGTATTACCTAAGTAAAACAAGTTTTTTTTTTTTAATCAACACTAATTAATAAATATATTTAGAGGACAGGTCATTATATGGATTCAATTTCTTCTGCTATTAGCCCAGCTTTAGAAGACGAAGAAATTATTATGGACCAATTAAAAGAGTAGGTACATTTGTTATTGTATATTGCTATGTTATTACTTTGGCAATAATATAAGTATTTTGTACTTCAACCCTTAACTTCTTAAACTTCTTTGTGTGAGTGCTTTGTAAGATCATAATAATTTATCATCCAATGTTATTTAATTAATTATTGTATGTAATTATTTATTGGTAATATTGAAAATCTACTAATCAATTACTGATTTAAAGGTACTTGGCTTTTACAAATTCTCTCCACACAATTGTTAAAAATCACGATTCACTTCATTACAACTTAAATCAGTTGAACAATATGTCAAACAATAAAGGTGATTTTTAAAATTATTTATTATATACCTATATGTGCATATTTTATTAGAAAATGTTTTAAATTGTATTAAATCCGTTCTTTATAATTCTTTTATTGTAGTTTTTTGGTTAAATATTGCTAACTATTAAAAAATGACCAAATTAAAATATATATATATATATTCTCAATGACTTCATTAATGTTTCTATTATTATTTTAAAATATAAGTAGTGGTTATAAATATAAATTAATTTGAAGTAGTAGATTTAATCTAATTGCTAATAAAATAATTTCATATAGCTAAATATATTAGAGTTGTTTAATTGTGAAACCAAGATAGACATCTATGTTATAACTAGTTGAAAACTTAACATTTAAATTTTTAAAAAGTTTAATTGATTTTATATTAAGATTGCTTAAAAGCAAAATATCCTAATTTGATTATTCTCTTGTTTAAACATTAAGTTTTTGTATATTAAAAGTTATTAATTTGTATGTCTTAAAGATAATTATAAAATAGTAGTTTGAAGTTTTAGTCTATGATTGTTAAACATACCATTCATTTGTATTTATTATACAAAATTAATTATTAAATGTAAATTATGTTATTATAATAAAATGTATAATTATGTTTTAGAAACTACAGGAGTTATGTCTCGACTTTTTGGCTATACTTCATCAGCAGTTGAACGTGATGCAGCAGCAGTAGAAGCATTTGAAAACAAAAAAATTGAATCCCAAGCAAGTTATTGGTATGTACTTTAGTTTATTAGCTATTTGATATTTTCCTTGAGTTGTTTAAAAGAGATGTCTTGTTCTATCATTTCAAATTCTAAATTATTTTATTCTAAATAACATTTTGTGTATCAGTGTCAAATTTTCTAGGCATGTTATTATAAAAACATAAATAGTAAATACAAAAATTATTTTATCATCAATACTATGTGCATAGCATATTGTAAAACAATAATTATTTATGACAAATATTTCATCTATTTCAATTATACTTATCTCTATTATGATTTTTCTTAACTTTTACTGGCAGCATGTGTGCTAGTTATATAATGCTTATTATCACTAAAAAATACTGAATGTGTCAATGACATGTTCCGTTCGAAACCGTGCTACTGAGCACTCAGAATATCCTTACTCTATTAAGTTTTGTAAATTAATTGTATGATTAATATTCAATTGTACAGTGTATACATAATTGAGTATTGCCATTGTTTTTACTGTTTAGGACTATAATTAGTTTATTAGTTTATATTTCTTGATTTTCTTTCATGGAGACCTTTTTGTGAATTATAATGATAAATTATAAATGAACATGCAAAGCTCTGCCCAAACTTCGGAAACTATACTCGCCACTGAATACCGTATTTTCTTTTTGTTTGATAAAAAAATTTAAAGTTTTTATTTGCCAAATAATTTATAATTATTTATTTAATATCTATTTTAATATACTCTTTAACTTTTGACTGTTTGTAATCAGAGGTCTCACTGATAAAAAATTAAACTCAATAATTGACAAAATCTTATTTATTCTTTATACATATTAAGTAATTAATATTAATTTGTATTTTAGCGAGTTTGTTGATAAATCATTAGAAAATTACAAAGAATTTGAGAGAACAAAAGACTCAGATCTTATGAAGATTCTTAAAGATTATGTTGTATTCCAAACTAAGTATGCTCAAAAGGTTAGTAAAATGTTATAACTAATTTTCATTTTTCATTTAAATAATATTATTATTATTATTATTATTATTATTATAATATACAGAAGTGAAGAAATTAAATAACATATTACTATTATAGTAAATTGTCAATTAATCTACAATTCTGCGCATCTAAAAATTTAATAAAATAAAATAATTATCGACATTAATAAAACAAGTATTTTTGAAAATATTTTGTTTTATAATTTTTCTCATGGTTATATTATAAATCACAAAAATGATAGCACCAGTTATATCAAAACCCGTTATTTTCTAAAATGATTTTTGATCATCCTTATAAAACTGCAAAACTTAAATACTCACTGTTATATCATCATTTAAGGTGATATATTTTATTTAAGATTCCTCAACAAATATCTAAAATATAATATTTATTCAAATATTTTTTAAAACATTCTTAATACTAAGTAATCCCAAACATTTTCTTTTTCAGGGGTTACAAACTTGGAAAAATATTTTACACAGCATACAAAGTATTGAATGAACACTACTGTCATTACATATCTTTATTATTAAGTCAATTATTAATTAAATTCATTTGCCATTGTTTACCTAACCAGTAATTTTATTATTCATATAATACTAGATCATTCCAAAATTGTTAAGAATGCCTACTTAAAAATATAAGTCCCTCTAAAATATTGTTGGAATTAATATGAAGTAGCTATTATTCTCGTTCATTGCATTTTGTTATTTAATTTATAACTAAACCATTCGTATATTCATCAACGCACTATTATAACATGTTAAATTATATTTTATATGCATTTTGTTGATTATTAAAACACTTTTTATTTAATTATACCATATTATATAATTAAAATAATATGCCTATCTGATATTGGTAAACATTTAAAAAAATCATTGTTAAATTCTCAGTTGGCATTATTTTTTATATGCATTGTTTATTGGTCAAATTATGATAGAATTTATCATAATTTTCAGTAGAAATTAGTGATAAAAATATTGCCTATGAATCCTATAGTACCTATTGATAAAATCCTTTATAGGTAATATATTTTATAATTGGAAACAACCGACAGAAAAAAGAAAACTAGTTTTTATTACTTAGAATCCAATTTAATTATAAACCATTCTCACTGTATGTAACTATCCAATAAAAAATTTCACTGGAACTATCATCTATATTTTATTTAATTATTACATCAATGTTTGTTATTCTTTGACTATTTGTTTTTAATAATGAAAGTGTATTCATAATAGAATAACTAAATTAAAATAATATTGTGTTCGCTGTTTTTATCATTTGTTAGGTTTAGTACACATTGAAATTTAATTGCATAAATGAATAAATTAAATTTTTACACACCAAATACAATACTAAATTACTATTTTATTAGAGTTTAAGTAAAGCGAGGAATGAGTCTTAAGGTATTGTCGTATATATATGGTGTTTCGATGAATGAATGCAAAAAATAGGAAATTATTTTCACTTTCCTACTTTCTTGTACAAGTAAATTAAATAATGTAAAATGAGTTACCTACCTACAACTATGTTTGTGGATTTTTTTCTAATGATATTATTGTCAAGGCACCAATAACCCAACTACCCTATCATTTAGAATAATTATTATACAGTAAAATTGTGTATAGGTACATTTTAAATCATTGTATGTTTAGGTATATATAACATTTTTGTTATGCAATAATAATGCATATACGTATTACTTACCAGTAGCATATTATTAAAATATTTCCAATGACGACAGCGTTATAACTTGTGGCATTTAAACTTGACGTGTAATAGTATTGGCCATACTTTGTAATGCCACATCTTAAAATATATGTTGGTAGTAAGTACATGCAAATTTCTGTTCAAAATTTGGATACTACCTACATGTATATATAATTATAAAACGACTGTAATCATTAACTGAAGCCATAGTCAGAAATAGACATCCCAACTGTCGTGTAGCTAACCCAATAATATGTAATTTTAATATAGGTATCTCTAACCTTATTGAATTAAGAAATTATAAAATATGTATAAGTACCTATAGACATAATAAAATGTACTTTTTAAGTATAAACTTGAAAATTGCTCCTGGATTTTTAATTTAACTTGTTAGATAAAAGGTACAAAATATTTACATACATAGCTATTATGTCAATACAGTAAAACCTCTAAATACCGGACACTCTAGGCCGCTGAAATTTTTTTCACGTATTTGGAGGTGTCTACTATTCAGAGGCGAAAGTGTCATACATTTAGAGGTTGTCCAATGTATAGATAATTAGTAGGAATTTTCCCGTTTCACCACAAAAAAAATCCGCTACTCGGAAGTTTTCTTAAAGAGGACGTTAAATCTGCTTTGCTGTCTCAGTCCAACTTACCGGCAATGTAATAAAATCTACCTTACACAGATTGTGTAGAACTGGCTTAATTTTGGTTTTAGAGTAAAAGCTCCTATCTATACATATTACAAAATTAAAAGAGGGCATTATTCCGGAGGGCAAGGTCGTTGCGTTTCGTTTTCTTTAATTTTACAGTCATTTAAAAACGATGAATTACCTCGTTTTTATTTCTAAACGATGTATTGAACCAGTGACGTATTGAGGAGGGGCTATCGTTCCCATCAATTAATTTGTGTAGGTATTTGTTATAATAAAAAAATTTCATGGTAAGGTAAATAGGGTAGAATATAAGCTTTTGTATATACCTTGTGTATAATAATTTTAGTGTCGAACCCCCCCTCCCCTTCATAAAACTAAGTCAAATACGCCACTACACCACTGTATTGAACATTATATTTGGAATGATAAAAAATGATTAAACAATTTCAACATTGTACGTAATAATAAAATACACACAAAATTTAATATTTACATTTTTCAGTATTGTACCAGACAACAAATAAAAACCGGAGATTCTGTATAGAAACGTTATCAAATTTTTACAAAAATGTAAAAATGATGCATATCGTTTAATACAAAAAAAATATACATGTAAAATTAGAATATATTATTATTATTACGTGTACATAATATATTTGTAAACATGTTGCAATGTTCATATAACAATAAAAGCCAAACATATAATTTCTCATCACGATAAATCATTGTAAATAAAAAACGACTCTGAAAAATATACGGTTAATCTAGTTCAGTAACACATTTAGCTCATGTTTTGCTCTAGATGTGCATGTTTTCTTTTACCTGTGTGTTAACACAGTTTTGACCAATCAAACCACCACAGGTCGTCATATTTTTTTATTTAGATGTTACATTCTGATGGTCGTTTTAAGAAATACCTGTTTTATTACACAATACAATACACGAGTCAATATAAGTCCATGTATGACATCAAATTATTTATTTGTATATACATTTAGGGATTATTAGTTTCAAAATAAAACTTGGCCTGAGCTTTAATACAATCTTTGAATGGCAACGATTATGGTTGCAAGCGTGATTGCGGATGCTATTCACTGATGACTGCCATTAGTGCTGGTTTGCAAGGGCTACTATAATCTCAAACGACCAAATGTGTGAAACGGGGACTTTGACTAGAAGATCGTGAACATTAACAAACAATAACAAAACATTATGAACCATGCTGAAAATGTAATCGAAGACAGTGTCAAAAAAAACAAAACCTGATGACGGAAAATAGAAATGTATAATCAAATTAATAATATGTATCAAATAATTTGACAAAAGCCCAAAAATGTAGAATCTCATATTATTTGTATAGTTTCTTACATTCATTAAATTACCATTAGATGAAATACATCATAATCTACATTGTTGCGTCGTGTTAACATGATATTTTATATAAATTAGGAAAATCGTGAATTACCTATTTACATAAACTTAAAGTTCAAATTTAAAAACTTCATAGACTCCCGCCGTATAAAAAATAACAAACATATTTGGAGAAAAAAAAATTCAAAATTGTTGAATTTTTAAAATTTTACTAATAATAAAAAAAATCCAAATATCGTACGATTGCGAATTTGGGAATGTTTTACATATTTATATAAATTCCAAATGAAAATCAACCGATTTATTTTCCTAACCTTTTTTTTTAACTAATCTTGAGCTTTTATTACGGGGAAAATTGTCATCTCGAGTCCACGAAACACTTTCGAGTGGATATACTCGATATACTAAGTTCGGATATACGTCGTTATACTCGTACATCAATGTGAATAGCGACTATCGAGAATATTTATATAGGTACATTATTCAAGTAAAATGCGTAAGTGATTTTTAAGTTGTTCGAATCAATCATTTAACTATCCATAAATATTATATATTGAAAAGATGTCAACGTGAGCATTTTTAAGTATACAAACCTCGTGTGGAAAAGTGTCTAGAAAAAAAAATCTAAAAATGGGTACCTGGTACGGTTTAGCATAAAACAACCCACGATGAATCTTAAAAACCACAATTCTATCTACGGAATAAATTATTTAATTTTTAATGTTTATTATTTCATTCGAGTAAATTATGTAATGCATTGAAAGATTTAATGAGAAGAACATTTCCGAGAACAGGACTATAAACAGAGCGGTATTACCATGCATGCACTGTAGACGCTGTGTTTAGGATCCATGAACAAATGGGGATCACGACATTTTCAATAATAATTTTAATTTAATTGAAACAATTATTTTATTGACATAAAAATGTATACACGTTATGTCTATATAAATAGAAGATTAACGCGATTATAGCAAACAACAGCATACTAGTCTTTAGTACTATAGTTGAAAAGACGCATTTTACTGTTATAATTGTAATCATTATATCAACGGTGATTATGACATTTTAGCTCCGGAACACAACGGATCCTTAATCCGGTATTGGTTCCAATCCTGGTTTTTTTCTCAACGTTTTCGTTTACAATCGATGTGTAAGTATTTTTAAATTGCGATATTTTACACACTCATATGTCATTTGAAAATTAAAATAACGAAAAATCCCAACGCACAAACGCATATATAATGCATGTGCACCGACGTACCGTTCTCTTATTAAGCGAACAACTGACAAGCGGTTCTCAACCTGTGTGTGTTGGCGACCCAAGATATTTACCCAATTTTGCATGCAACCTTTTTGAAAATAATTCCTATTGGGAGAGGGACTACCAACCCTACTCAATCCACCCAATTGTCTCATTAGTTTAACTAAAAGAAACTATTGCCTTTCGTTTATTTTTAAAGTAATATACACGACCCAACGAGTAATAGGGAGTATTTTGCGAAGTTGTTAATATTTATAACTAATTTCAAAACCAATGGCGCTCAACAATATATCAAATTTAATCGTTTCAGTGTGTGTTAACCGATAAAGTATATTTATAGCGCTGAAAAACCATAGTGAAAAATAAATTACGAAAAATGTTATTTTTAAAACTATTTTATATAGGTACATAGTTTAAAATGAAAATATCATATTAACGTTTTAATATTTTGACGACCGATTCAAAAATGACATGCGCATTGTGCATAATATCTTTGGTCCCATGGAAGAAGGACTTAAGTCAATTTTGTATAGCTTTCAATACAAGCAAATTAAATTCTGAAAAAGTATTCGCACTATTGTACACGAGCTAAGACAGTAATACGTTATACACACATTTGTTTTTGAAAATACGTACACTTATGCAAACCAGACACAAAAATAAAATTATGAAATCTAATTTGGAAAAAAATTACAGAAAAAAAAATATACCAAAAATTCACTCAAGTCCTTTTTTTCCTTGGACGAAGAATGTAAGACTTATTCTTACATTTTTACCACATATTCAATAAGTGTTGGGGATATGACAGGTACGGATACCGTCGAGTAGGAGTGATTATTTTTTTGTTTATTTGGCAGTTATTTTTATATACACGAGCGCCTACACCGGCGATGCGCGTTTAAAATACGTGACCGAAATCTAATCGAATTGTTTAATTTTACGTTTTTTTTTTTTTTTTTTCTATTACTCTTGTGTGCACTTTTGCGAGTGGTCACTAGGGTGATTATGTGTGTGTGTGTGTGTGTGTGTGTAGTGTAGTGTATGTGTTATGTGTTCATGAATGATGCACGACAAAATATCGCGTGGGTAATATCGACCGACCACCCCCGGCGTTATTATTACAGTACGCCGCCCACGCTAGCCGCGGACGTGTTTTATTATACATCGCAATTATTCTCCGTTATTCCCGCAATACTCGCTGTTTGAATACCATTAGACCGGCGAGCGTATCGCGCAAGTGTGCCCTATTCGTACCGACAATATTATCATGGGCGTCCGTTACGGCAGTCGGCCGCGGACGGTGCCTGTCGCCGCACTGCCTATATTATTATTGTAATAACAATAACGCAATAATATTGTAAACGCTATGACGTCGGGCGACGACCCGCGGCCGTCGGACGGGACGACGGCGGCGGCGGTGGCCGCGGCCCCGCCGACGATATGTCCGCCGGCCACCAGACACCGGCCGCACGCACCGTCGGCCGTGGAGAAAGTCGACGGCGGCGTCACCGTCTGGGGCATAACCGTCGGGTCCAATTGTCTGATCGCGTTGCCCGTTTTCGGCACGCTGTTCCTGGCCGTCGGCGTTGTGCTCACAGGTAGGCAATAATAATAATATCAATACCGTGCACCGCCGATACCGCATCTCGACAATCCCCCGGCTATCGTTTAGTTGAGAGATGTCCCCGGGCAGAGTGGTGAGAATTCGAGTCGTTATTATTTTATTGCTTATCACTTGTTTGTATTCTGACGGGAGTTGACAAATTTTTGGGTTTTTTTTTTTTTTTATACTCCCTTTTCCGTTAATAAACTAGTACTCCGAATTTTCCAATTGAAAAATCACGTGGATTTCCGACCGGCGCAGGTTTTATTAATATGAACACGTATTCTGAATTCCGGACATTTAGCACTAGAATTTTGGTTATTAAATCCGGATCGGTACGGGTCTGTAATCGCGTTAAGCATTCGGACATACCTTTAGACGAAGAAAACTATAAGACGCGTAGGTATGTATTACATACTTCGATTAGGTGCAGTCGGTTACGTTTTTGTAAAAGTTAAACTAACATTAAACTGATGCGATACGAAAAGATACTCCGCACCACGGGTGTTGACGTGTTGTAAGCGAGAAACTGCATTAATGGTAAGATATACCCACAGAGTTATTTACATGACAAATCACGGTAACCGAAAAGCGATTCTGAGTTTGATCGGTTTAAATTGAAAACTAAATTAGTTTTTAATTACAAAATAAATGTCAATTGTTAGTGTTTTTAACGAATTTGAACATAACACATTTTAATTTAAAAAAACTAATAAAAATAAATCACAAAATTATTGTCTACATAAATCAAACGAAAAATAACTTTTAGATTTCAAATAGCTAAAAGTAACACAAAAAATAGCTAGAATATGTTGAAAATGTTACCACATATAGAAAGTACTAAGTCATAAATATTCAGTGAAAGGTTTAGGTATATAATTATTTTTCGCTGAATTACAACAAACCAAATCGAATATTACAGAAATAAATTTAACCAGCACATATTCTCGGTTCTCTCCCCTTGTTTCGAAATAATTACAAGGAAACACCAAAAATGGTCCCAATGTACTGGATGTCCAGATAAAACTTTCTACCAAAAATCACTCCTAATGTTGAATTTACAGCAAGTTTTCTAAAAGCAAAAAAATAAAAACCACTCGTCGTAATAAAACTAATACATTCGCTTTCGTTTTTTTTTTTTTTGATTTATTTTTTCCTGACTTCCGGATAAAATTATCAATTACAGTTATTAAAAAGGACGTCATCCGCCCAGTATTTTAAGATGTTGTTTATAGGTAATTTAACCAACGTCTTTGAAAGCATGGAAATTCATTAACTTGAAAATATTGAAATTCTCATTTAAAGGTTTCCAATCGTATTCACTAGCCCTATGTATCATTTTCATTGGAATTTGTTGCTCAATCGTTAAATTAAATATGTTTTCGTAAACCCGTTTTAAAAATTAAGAAACCGAATTTCCATTACCACAACAAATATAAGAATATATCAATTACCATTTGTAATTGTTCGATATCATTAAACTATTCAAATAAAGTTATTTATTCGGGTTTCAAAATTTAAAAAATCAATAATAATTACCCGAGAGAAGAATTTCTCGGGAATTTTCTAGAATGTAGACAATAAAAATAATTTCATTGTTAAGATAATAAAAAGTCAAAAATATAGAATAGAGAATGAATATCTCAGATATGAGAATGCTTAAGTGGATTAGTGAAGTGGGGAGGAAGCGAAGCCATCCCGGAAGGGGGGGTAATAGGGGGTGGTCATTCCCCACGACTCAACTAGTTGGGCCCAGTCGACACATTGGTTCATCGATCCATTGAGTCGGAAAATTATAATAATAATCAATAATAATTGAATAATGTTTCAAGTATTGTTTTATAATAACAGTTTTGTTTAAAATATAGATTTATTATATCATATTATATTATATAATATATAATATTAACATAATTAAAAATTAATTTTGGTATACTAGTATTTTTATTTACTACTATAGTCCATAGCAACTATTTTTTAAATTAATAAAATTAAAACAAATTGTGTATTAAACAATGAGAAAAATAGTATATAATAAATTGTTAATGAAGTATATAATATAATAATAATTTTTAGTTTATCTGTTAAACAAAGCGAGAACATTTTTATCATCTCAATTTTAGTTAGTCTACACCATCTCATAGATATTTTGTCAGAACGGCTCTGGGAGGAAGATAGAATAAGTAAATAAGAGATTCTCCAGAGAATTAGAGTACCACCTTGGCTTTGATAGTAGAATAATTACGTATGTCTCGCCATTTCCCCCCTCCGAATTTTGAAATAATCGTTTTTTTCATTTCAATATTTAGCATGAAATTAGTATGTGTTTGTATGACCAAACCTGGAATTTGTATAGCATTTTTATAGCAGTAAATAAACTTTTAAATATGGAAGGCTGGATAGACGTCTCTGTCATCTCCCCGGTAAAATGCTAGTTAAAAAGCTATTTTTATTGGCACTTATCTGCATAACAAATTTAAATAATTTTTTCAAAACCTAACCTGTAATTAATGATAAACCATTGCTAACGAAAAATGATTCGAAACAAAGCTCAAATCTAATCACAATAAAAAAACAAAATTGAAAATATTAAAGAAATTAGTTTTTTACATTTTCCCGTTCTTTCTACGTTTTTTTCAGTGTTGCTCAATTATTAAGAATATAAAGAAAATCAAAACCTTACTCACCGATTAGATTAAATTCAATAAAAAATGTCCCTTTCATTTTCTATTGGAGCAATATTTTTGGTAGAAAATAAGAAGCGTAGAAATTAAAAAATAATGTAACGGTAACATCGTAAATTTGTCAGTTTTTGTTATATGTTTTTTTCCGGTTTTCCTAATTATTTTGAAACTATTTTTCCTATTTGGAAAATCAAAAACTGCTATTTTACAAACTAATAAGATATAAAATGCAACAAAAAGGATCGGTTGTCGTTTTTCTATTGGAGGGATTTAAGGTTGAAAACATAAGCCATAAAAATTGAAAATAATTAAATCGTACGCCATAAATTTGTTCGTTTTAATTTTTTTAAATTATTTTAAAGGTTTTAAAAAATTAACGAGAGAAATCCGATAATGATGTCAAAAGCTACTAGCTAATACTAACCCTATTGAGTTTTAGCCGCAGGATCTTTGAAAGACTTCTATATAACTGAATTGCAGGAACCATAAATAAAACTATCCCAATAGAGCAGACCGGATTTAGACCAAACAGGAATTGCTGTGATCAAATTTATCGCTGATTGCAAATATCGAAGATATTCAACCTAAAACACTTCGAAAAGTGATGAAAAATGCCAAAAAAACCGAGTCCATTATGCCATTCGCTTTTGAAAGCGACTATTTTTTAAAAAGTAGTCAGAACAAATCCACATGTCTAAAATAAACGGAAAATGATTTCAAATTAATAATTTGTATTTTGTTTTTTTTTTTTTTAATTATTACCAAAAACATCCCCAAGGTTTAAATGGCCATATACATCATTAATATGATTCTAATTGTTTTCCAATATGCGTTACCTATAACTGAAAGTTAAACAATTTGAAGATTTTACTCATCAACATAATTAAACCTTGCTCCCATTCACCCCACCAAACACCATCCGAAATTGATTTTTCGGACTCGTTCCGTCTATTATATTAAAAACATCATATTTTCCCGTGTAGTGATATCTTACGGTTGGGTCAACGGCGGCGAAGACGACGTGAAACGCAATAAGTTGTATTCCACTACTAATAACGGACGGTTATTGGGACCTATTTGTTTGGCCGTGTCGGCCATGATGTTCATCGCGACCGCGGTGCTCCGGACGCTCAGCACGAACGCACGTTTCCGACAAACCCGCGTCGGATTCCACTGTCCCGTGCACGGAGACTTTTTTCCGATCAGCCCCGGGCCCGACCCGAGGAAATTCTCTTGTGAGTTCACGACGAAATATAACAATAATAATAGTTTAATTATTATAATATATTACAATACGTATTTCGGCGATTACCAATTAAATTATACCGTACTTCGAGTAACCTATGTAGGTTATGAAGTTTGCCTTTTAACGATTTTATCCGGTTTGCATCGCGATTCGCGATTATTATTATAGAACAATATTTCAGTAGGTACAAGTTTATAGGTTTATATATCATTATAATAATATATCGCTTTGAAGTCTTCTAAAGGGAAAACAACTTGTATCGGTGTAGGAAAAGGGTTCGTCGTAATTTCATAATATGCATATAAAGACGGTCCAAAATTTTGAATTCAAAGTTCTTAAATGAAAAAAAAAACTAATTTTGACAAACTTGACTCAAATTTAAAAACAAGCCAAAACAAAAACATGTACAACTCTAACAAAATTTTTTTTTTCCTTTGAAGAATGATAGTATAAAATGTTCTTCAAATCAAACAAGATTTTTTGGATACACAATATTACTGTAAAACTACGTATATTTTAAATGAAAAGATTAAATTCTGATGGGGCCCCATCTAGAGTCAAAATAAAAATCTGAAATACTACAGGATTTTTTTAATAAATTATTTTGAATTAGTTTTTTCACTTAAGAACTTTATCTAAAACTAAGGAACACCCTAATGTACATAAATATTGTTTTTATTTTTCTATTTTCTAATAAATAAATCAGTTAATTAATCAATTAATCAGTTAGTTTTATCGTTTTTGATAATAATTGTATGGTTATTATAACAAAAAAATAAAAATAAAGTTAGTGGTGAACCGATATGACATTTTACCATTATCCGGTATTCAAATACAGTGGAAACTTGACAAATCGAAAATTAAGGGAAATGCAATGTTTTTGACTTACTGAGGTTTCCGATTTACTGAGGTTTCGAGTTATCAAGGATCTAGGAACAAATTCGACTTAATGAGTTTTTAAAATGTATGTACGTATGTATTATAATTTTTAATTGTTATTTAGTAAATATTTATGTATTATTATAATTATATGTACAGTGTATAGTGTGTATACAGTGTGTATTGATATTATTATTTTAAAAGTGTATTAATAAAAATGATTGGATTAAATTTTGGAACGCACAAGCCAATTAGACAAATGATTATACAAATCATCCGTCATTACCTGTCTATATTCGGAACACAGAATTTTCAAATTATCTGTAGTTTTTCTTTCCAGTAATCGAGGTTTTCGCAAAAGAACGGCATTTATCTCAACTTTTCTTGATTCCACTGTATTTAATATAAAACCGATAGCCGATCCGATATTTTTTTTGAAACCATGAGCTGATATTCAAATTATCCGATACCTCAAAAAAAATTGTATACCTATTCGATTTTAATCGACATTATGCACCATCAAACACATTGTTTTCTGTTTGAAAAGAAAAACTAAGCACTTTTTTTCGAAAAATCTCGGGTCTGATATTGGTTAAAAAAAACCCGATTACCGATTTTCCAATATTACAAATATCAGCCAATATTCGATACTGTCTTCTGTCAATGCTCACCCCTACATAAAATATAGCCGGATCACTGGACTTACCGGATTATCGCACGGCTGGAGTCTACTATAATTCAATATTTAACTCTAAAACAGAAAAATAAGATTTCAAGTACCTATTACGCATTATTATATGTAGGTACTCATTTTCATGAGACTAGGGGGCCCCGAATGGGAGAGTGGATAATTTCGGAAACGTTATTTTGATCGTATTAGTAGCTATATTAAATAACGCATATTCATCTTATCCTATGTTTATAATATGGTTTAACAGTTTCTGATAGCAATATTGCTGCGAACACACCTTGGATCTGTAATTGTTTGAACCGATTTAAAGCCGACTCTCAAGAAACCTTGGCCGTCGAAGAATTACCTCCACAATGTCCATTAAACGGAATACATGGAAGCAGCTTGAGTCCGAGTCCATCGATATCTACTTGTCCGACACCGAAACCGTTTTTAGTATTCACCGATTCTGCGCACGGGTAATACATTAATGCACACGAAAAACAAATAAAAACACCAATAACTCTATGTAATAAAAAAAAATAAAACAAAATTCCATTCTTTTTGGTTTCATCTCCGGTCGTTCTCGAAACATGAAACATTAGGTATACTGTACAGTTTTATTTAAACCTATTACTTGGAGATATTTTGAGAAATTACCTACTATTACTTGAATTAAACACTCACGAGCAGTAAAAATCCAACATTTGAGACGATTTTTTCCCCCAGTCTACTCATATCGTTACAATATTTCACTTATTTATTTTTATAATAATTTATCTAAAGTAAGAATTTAATATATATATATATATAACTGTGGCTTTGTGCAAGGAGGTCAATGTCACATTTTATGTTTGTTGGGAACTGGGCTTTGAAATTGTATTCCCTATAAGGCTCTGTGTATTTTATTAAATGTAAATATAATTTTTAATTTGTACAAAAACTTGAAAAAATGTTATTTAGAAAATAAAAAAATGTTACACTTTTTCTTTTTTTTACTTTTAACTGATTTTTTCAAAAAATTGACATTGGCCCTTCTTTCATCATGCCACAGAATTATATACACACCAGATAATAGTATCAATTTTCGGGAAAAATTCGACAAAGAAAACAAAAAATTAGTTTCCACGATATTAAAAGCTAATTATATTATTCACACAGTACTAAATTACTATTATAGGTTACTTGACGAGTAGGTACGTATACAGTTTACATAATACATTTTATTAGTCGTAATTAACGTTATTCACTATAATATATCTTCGGGTTACACGAAATATAGATATACACATAAGTACATTATACTTACCCGGTAAGTTATCAGTATCCTTATACAAGTGTAACTGTTCCACTGGCGTAGAATAGCATTTATTAGGTAGGACATCAACGGTATTTCTTCTGTACCTATTTTTTTTTTTGTTAATACTTTTCCACGCTTCGAACGGTAATGATGATATGAGACGTTTCCATAGGGCTTGCAAAGAACTGTGCAGCGGAAACACGTTGTTTCCGGACGAACCATTCGGGTCAATTCGTTCACTGTCCGTGCCCAACGACACTCTGGCGGTGGCGTGTTTTCCCGTCGAACGCACGTCCGAGCAATACTTAAACGTGCCCGAAGACTCGTGGTCCCACAAGAGGTACGTCCATTATTACTGCGATTTCAAACGTGATAATATTATTGCTGGCATGCGCTTGTAAATTAATTACCTATCAGTACCGTATAGCCGGAAATAAATTTCGAGAGACGCATTAATAATTGTTATTGTTATACCTAGGCGTACTTATTGTTTTTAAAACGATAAAATACACAACAGTTACCTAAATAACCAACAAAAAAGATTCTAGGGGCACATTCCCCTAGTGTCTCTCTTGTTGGATAAATAACTACTATAAACACAAAATGATCTAAGTGCATAGTAGTGCGCCAGACCAATTTCCAGTAAACATGCCAGTGTATTTTTATACTTGAACCAATTTTCCGATTTTTCTCACCCTCATATCTCTGTTTCCTTCTAATCATGCACATTAAGAGATTCAGATTAATCAAAACTAAAGTAGTGATAGGTATTTATATTGTGACCAAATCGTTCTATGCTTCATCCAGAAATTGACCAAGTGTTAAGAAATAAAAATACAAAAAAAATGTTGCTCATGAAAATAGGAGTGAAGTGAAGGTATGGACTAAATAAAGAGCAGACTTGACCAAAGTGTAGATATCATCAATTTGATAAAGCTGACTTTTTAAGCAAAAGTCTGGAACTATAATACTTTTTCATTGGTTAGGTTTTTTTAGGGATTGTTTAATTACGAATCAACCGATAATCTAAAATCTGATATTGTCGACTAAATTTTAGATTCCGAATATTCGTGGAATATATTGATTTTACAATGACATTTATTATTATTATTTTCTTTTTTTCTGTGGACAACTTTTCTACTAGAAATTTCGCTTCGATTCACAGTGATTGCATTTTTTCTGAAATCGGACTGGAGAGGTACTTTAGGGAGGTTATTTTTTCATTTTCTCAATAAATTGGAAAAACGGAAAAAAAACATGGGAAAACCAAGAAAAACGTAGGGAAAACAGGAAAATAGGTACAATATTAAACAAGTATTATTAAAGAAAATATATAATGCATATGTAATTATTTTGCCATAATATGACTTATATATTATGACAAAGCAAAAATTATCAAACGAATTCCGCTCAAAATCGTTTTTTCGTTAGCAATGGTGTATCGTAGCTTACAGATATAAATTAAATTGCCTCTCTTCCATCTTTCCAACTTCTCACCCAATTATAACAGTGGTACCCTTGCGGAGTATAAATCCTACAGTCCGTGGTAACGATCATGAGGTTGTATCGTTCGTCTCACGACCACGAACGAGACGGTCATCCGAGATTTCTCCCGAATTCCCGAATGTATTCCATATATCATAATGTGGACCCAACTTCCACTTCTCAATTTGCCATTCCGTCTGCGCATAGAACCATTGCCGTCGGGCGAGTTTCTCTCGGCTATTTCACTACCATCAAGCGTCACTCATAAGCCCAGCCGAATCCTACCGCACGGCACCAACCACAGGTAATGTCGGTACTGGGGTTTCCGTTCAGAATTTAGCTAGTTCGGCACCGGAGTTCGAAGACCACCTGGCTTACTCTCCGAAAAATGTCGAGAGTTGGACATATTCGACACCCAGAGGCTGATAGAATGGGTGATCAGCCCACAACTAACCTAACTTAACCTAACCGTTGCCAGAAGTTAAGTGGGCCAGCTGAGAACATTTCACAGGACGACTCTACGGTCGGAACACGAGGACCTCCGACTGACCAGGTGGAAAAGTGAGCCCGTACTCTTATTTTCTCGATGAAAACAACCTCGGTGGGGAAGCCCCGACACTCGTCGCTACACGATGTAACTAATATTTAGCACCACGAAGAATCCCGTGCCATCCAGACTGGCCGGGTTATCGCGCAGATAGCTCAGCCTATCCAGGAATCCACTGGAAAAGCCGTGTATTTTCTAGATACCTAGCTATAACAGTGACTGCAACCATCCCCATTATCCTAGGACAGCTTTTTTATTTTGGTTTTTTCACTCATTATCTATAAGGTATTTTAAACCGTGTGCTAATTATAATTTAATTTATGTCGCTATATCGTTATGCCGTATTTATACACAGTCGTTTTATGATCTTATTTACAATATTCTCAATATTTTACACTTTCATTGCGATTTTAGATTCAAAAAGTATATGCTTTTTTTTTTTCAACGTTTACTATGCATCACAATAATATTACCATCGATTAATTTTTTTTTTTTAGAAAATCAAGTATTCTGTTTTTGATCCTGAGTTTAAAGTCTAGATAATTATACATAGTATAATAGATAACCCGGTTTTTCTAAAATAACATCATATTGTAATCCCCGATACCCCATTACAGACCGGTGGTGCGGCGGTTAGTCGCATATATCTATCAAAGAATCGGTGCCTTTTATCATCATAACATATTATATTATTATCGACGTATGATTATATTTAGTCTATGATTTTATCTACTTCGTTATATACCACAAATATGTCGGTAACGTGGTTTTTTTCCCCTACGTGTCGTATCGTTATATTTTATTGTGACGTATCCAATGCGTCATTGACGACGAAGACACTGGATCGATTACAGAGACGAGACGTAATTTTTTCCGGTTGTTCACAAACACCGTTGTCGTCACGTCATTTAAACCGCGACCACGAATTCCTTACGCCGCGCGCCGTCGAGACGTGGACGATTAAAGAACGAATTCTGAATTAGATCTGATACACATTCCACTAGTATAGTGCCGATCCGCATTGTTCCGTCTAATCCGATTTTAATTGCTCTTCCTGTGATACCGTTTTTAAGTACCATTTATATAGTCGTCGTTATTAATAACCACGAGTTATTCTAAAATATACGATTATAGTAACCGTTTTTTTTTTTTTTTTAACGATAGTAAGTTTCTATACACAATGAGTTGTCTTATTATTGGACTAATTAATTGATTACCGCGCGTACCCTCCAGTGGCTAGCCCAAGGATTTTCTATGGAAGGGAATGTATAGTAAATAACCATATTTCGTGAATAAATCTAAAAATTTTCTTTTGTGACATCTATACCCCGATTATGAGAATTTAAAAACCTAATCCAAAAAGCCAATAAATCAATTTCATTCCAGTTTTACTTGGCTGAAATATATAGTTTCAAGATACAATTACTAAATAAAATATAGTATTGTAATAATTATTGTATTTTTGAAAGAATGGAAGGGAATGGAGAAGGCAACGAACGTTTTTCCCTGCGCACGCCGGTATTACCCCTTTACATCAAATATTAACAGCCCCACTACATAATATTACTTCGATATTTTATTATTACTATCATACATACAAATTACTACGAATGTTAATTGTTACGAATATCAACTACAACGATACTACTTTAAACCTATATTGTTATCTAATTATGTCACTACTACGGTTGTATCAGTGTATTAATTACGACTGTCGGACTGTCGGAGTAGACTCAGTGACAAACGCAGGGGGCTAAGGAGCTGAAGCCCCCTCCATTGACCGTATTTATATGTATACATATTTATTATATTTTTCAAGTTTCAACTATAACAATGAGTAGTACCAAATTAGGGACTTTTTCATAAAATATACTATTTTCGTAAATAAATAATTTAATGTACCACCGCTGTCTATTAATAACTTTACTATATTACAATATTATCACAGAAGAAGATATTATTAGGTTTATAAAATTATTATTTTTGTCTAATCGTGGTTTACAATCATTATAATGGTTTTGTTATCCTTACAACTTTAGTAGTTGGTGTTATCGTGCATGTGTGGGTTGCCACACAACCTTAGATAATATCTATGATTTTACTGCCTAACATTTTTTTAGTTACCTAAATATTAAATTTTTTTTGTGTACATTTTATATTTACTATCAGTCACAACTAAGAATCTACCGACCTACTTGATTTTTCAAATTTGTGACAAAACCACTGATTATAATTATCAATTTTCAAGCCCCCTCCCACTATTGAATAACCCTGCATACGCCACTGGGAGCAGTTGTATTTGTAACATTGACATTTACATTAACATATTCAGTGTATCATATTTTAGTCGAAATGGTCAATTATCGTAGTTATTGGAGCAACCCATACACGCCATTGCCTAAATCTATGATACTCACCCGCGTAAAACTTCAAATTCAAACAATTTAATTAAAAAACACGTCGTAAAAAAATCATATTATGTGGCAATTTCTCACGGACGGAATTTCCTAATCGAAAATGTATTTATTATATGTTGTAATTTTATTTTTGTTGTGTTTTTTTTTTCTTGTTCTCACGACAGATTGAGTTGTCCGAGTTTGCCATCGGCAGGAGACGAATTTCCACAGTCAACGCACAAGCCGCTAACTCCACAGGTTGTAAAGGTGACCCGAGAAATTCAATTCGTCACTCCTATAGATAACTGTAGCAGCAACATGAATGCACACGAGAAATGAACAACACGCCGACCGACTTCTATCGATCTCAAGAATGGCGATTGAATTTTAAATAATAATTATCATAAATAGTGATTTCCGTCACCAAAATTAGACGACATAGATTGCGTTTCATCTGTATACCTATTATGTACCTATTCACCGTTTTTAAATTCAATGTTTTTCAATTTTATGCGATGTTGGTTGTTTTTTTTTTTACATTTCATCGATAAATCGTCAATTTTTCCAGTAATTTAAATCGCTCTAAAAGTTTCGTGTAGTCAGAAAATCTTGGATTAGACGGGTCATTTTTTGCTTTTTGAAATTCCCGATAATTTTTCATGAAACAATCGGTCATATTTTTCTACTTACATAAAAGTATAGAATACTAAAATATTAATACAAATATTGAACTGTTCGATAAACTTAATAGATTATTATTTATAAACACATAAAGTAGAGAGAATAGGTGAGTGGTATGTTTTAAGTATGTACCACTACAGTGCTATTAGTATGAACTACTACTTACATACCTACATACCTACTGGTTGATTCCAGAAAACAACTTGAGCACTTATATATAGAAGGTAAAAAAAAACCACTTAAAATAATTATAACTTACAAGTATAATATTATTTCCTAAAATAACTTATATGTATTAAGTATACATCATCAAAATTGTTGACATCATTGAAGCGCATTTGATAAATTAAATATCTACACAATTCACAACTACCTTATCGTTACACCGCTACTTGTTTTTCACAATTGCGAGTATTCTTATTTAAGTAGGTAACGATGATATCAATTAAACAATTTATAATATTTTACCCTTAAATATGGTATGTAGGTATTTCCGTTCGACATGATACTATGTTTTCAATAAACTTAATTTAAATTTAAAAATATATGCCTACTTAATTATATTACCAAAATTTATATGCGATTTCTGTGAATCGTTAATTTTAATTTTTTGAATTTTTCAAAACTATTTTTAAAGATTAGATAACTATACAGAATTATTATAGTTTGTATCAACCGTATAATTATATTTTTAAATTAAACTAATTAGTATTGGTCCATTATATTAAGTATGCAAAACGAAGTTGCATTGTTTGTACGGTAAAGTTTACCATTAAACGTTAATTGTAATTGGGTGTAAAAGGAAAAAAAATTAAACAGTAAGACTTTGCTATACATACCTATTGATAGCGTAGGCGTTGAAAAATAACACAAACATTTTTTAATTGGTATTTTGTAATTATAATGTCATTCATATCGCAGAAAATAACAGTAAATACTATATTTACTAGCGAAATAATAAACAAATAAAAAATCACATGGTTCGGCTTGTATTTGAGTTCGAAATATAAACAACCGACATGCAGGTTGCATCTTATAGAGAAAACATTTTATAATATGCTCGGAGACCATCTGCAGCAATTACCGGTTAAACACATTTTTCTCATCTCACAAATAAACCCATTCGTATACAAAACCGAAAAATATTTTATGCATATAAACAGATGCTCTTTTATAAATCCGAATGAATATATTTTGAAAAACCTCTACCATTTTGTTTATATTACCGTTTACAGCTACTTTTTTATACACAAATATGTGCCCCCTTCGTTGAATTATATGAATAGGCTAATACTATACGTAGATTAAAACATAAATAAGATGACTAACCCAACTCTGAACTCTGAAATAATGAGTATAAGCGAAAACAGTAGGTATACTGATGGATGATATTTATGGATTACCTAAACAAATATAATTTTATAAAAGCTAAAATCACTTCGCGTTGTACCATTTCAAAACGAATATCTTTAAGTATTCGATGTTTTTATTAATTACCGTATAAATACTTTAAACCAAATAAACATAGGTAATGTATAAATATGGTAATGTATGTAATATGGTGTTTTGACAGTTTTCATTTTCAAACCCATATCTATGTCTACTTTTTTTAATTTGCCGATTTCTGAACGTTTATTCTCTTATTAAAACCAACCGGATTATCAAAATGATTGCGTCAAGTTTATCTTGTAACGTTGACTTACAAAATATAATATTATTCCTACTTATGTAATAACTAATAACTAATTACTAATATTATATTGTTATTTTTTCATTTTATATACATTTTTATAAATTGGAAAAAGTATGTGTAACTGATAAGGGATGTAATAAAAACGAAAACTATTAAACAATACTTATTCAATATATTTATATTTATTTTAAAAACATTTATTGATAAGATTTTATTTACACGTAACACTTAATGGCATAACATAAATTATATTTTTTTAATCGGCCAACATTCAGTCGTGCCGCGAACAATATTCACACGATGGCTAATGTATTCTCATGCATTCCAGGGAAACCTAATTGTGCTTCCTGCATTATTCTCAACCTCGGGCCCATCGGTATTCCGATTTTGTGCATTCTTTCCTCACTCATATACGGTAATTCTACCAAACCGATTTTCTCTTTCTCGAATGCCGCGGCATATTTCTGAAAAAAAAGCAACGAAATGTCATGTAAGTAAGTATGTTTGATTCACATCTAAAAAATGTGTTCATATAGTTATTTTTATTCTAAAAATAGTGTTCTTATAGTTATTTTTATCATAAAAGTAAAGTTTGAATATCATTACCTCATAGCCTAATTTCTTGAGGAACAGTCTTAAAAGTGGTGGCTCATCACCAAAAAATTTGGTCAACTTCTTCACTTTATTCGGGCTCGAGTTGGTCTGTTCCGCACAGAGTGATTGGAGGACCCGGGGAACTGAATGTGAACGTATGGACAACATATTCGTCTGTGTTCTCAATGCGGAAAGTTCATTTCGAATAACTTCCATCTCTTGAATCATTAGGTGTTGAGTCCTCATTTCTGATGAAAGGTGTGCTACACTTCTCGCTAGGGTGACTACATGAGATTCCAGACGTTGAAAACGTTTATTAATTCCCTGTAAAAATATATATTATATATTCTTAAATATTTAAATATTTGTTTAGGTAAAGCAAAGTATCACATATTTTAATTAATTTATAAAAATAAAAATTATTACCTAAATACTTGAAAAAAAATTATTATTATTTCAATACTGTTAATGTAAACAATGTCAAAAAAATATTGTTTGAGACTGAATACGTATATGTAGGTAGTTAAAAATAATTAAATAATACATTATTCTTTTCTTTTTTCTTACATCGGGTGTGGGAATCGTATATGAAGATTAATTAAAGTATAGTGAATTTTATATTTTAGATTCTGAGTGTAGAGAAGAATGTATTGGTTTTATAAAGATGTTTATTTTTTTTATACTGTGTACACAAATTCTACCAGAAATCTTCTTCCGATGTATTTGGTGTAGACCCTCTTCTGAGTTTTCTTAGAGTGGTACTATAGGGAGGTAATTTTTTGATTCTTCCGGTAAATTTTCAAAACATTTGAGCCATTTTAAAGATATGTATAAAATGTTTAATATTTTTGTTAAAATTCAGTTAAAAATATTCGTATCGACGTTATAGACATGAAATTTGAACAGTAAACTTATATTTATATTAAAAAAAGTAAATACTTTTTTTAGACGAGGTACAATTTACAACAATTTTAAACTATTCTTAAGCTATTTATAGCCATTTGAATTTTATGAGTTTGTACGTAATTTTTATTCGGTAGGTACTGAGTAATGTCTGAGTTTAATTAGTATTTTTTTTTTTTAAAAGAATTTTAATATCAATTTTTCACGAAAATCATTTGAGTAAAAAAATATGTTGAACAAATTAAATTTTTTTTTTTTTGAAAATATGCATATTGCCGATTTAATAACGACGGTGAAGTCAGAATTAAAAGGATTAAGTTTCGAAATTATTAAGTATTTATTTTTAAGTGAAGCACTTTTTCTGAGTGAAATCGGATCATGAAGATACTTTAAGGAGGTCATTTTTGATTTTTTCGGAGATTTTTCAATAAATGGGAAAATCGGTACAATATTAATCAAATATTGTTACAGAAAATATTTAATGCCTATTTAATTATTTTATCACAGTATGACATATATACTGTTGACAAAGAAACACTATCAACCGAACTCCGCTCAGAATCATTTTTTCGTTAACAATGGTTTATCGTTGCTTACAGATATACATTAAATGTCTCTATTACTTCCCAACTTCTCACCTACAACAGTGGCTACACCCACGTGCGAAGTATGTTCTTTTTTTTTGAAATTTAATACTTAAAACTTACTTTAATGTCTTTGACAGATTTTTTTCTGTCGTCCGTTGACCTTCGGTGTCTCTCGCGATAAGGTCTACTGCTAACAGACGACGGAATTGAAGACATACTGCCATACATTCGTCGCCGGTGAACTCTAGGATCTGACGGTTGATATCTAGGCCCGCCCCCAGATTTCCGAACTCCAAGTAATTTGAGTACCTGTACACGTGGATAATGGTTAAAACGACAATTGGGGTGAAAAATAAATATCAATTACAAACCTCAGAATACATGGTTTCTAATCCTTCCAGCTGTTTCCTTATTGTACGGACATCACTGTTGACGGTTTCATCGTCACTACTTGCTTCTTCGTCAAACATGGAGTCCATGTCACCAACACTGCTTGCTGAATTCACACATTATAAATATGAGTTTCTTTTTTTGTTAAAGTTACAACTTAATTGATTTATTTATTTTTATTTTTATTTTTTTAATTATACTTACACAGAAGTATTCTTTTTAAGTCTGGTCTTTTAGTAGAATTGGTTTGCCTATGTGATTTTTCCTTTGGTGTTCTGTTTGACCACGTGGTTCGTTGATTTGATGCTTGGCCTCTAGATTTTACTGAATACTCAGTTCTACTGTAAATAAATACTAATTTATATACAAACCTTGAATTCGTTGTTAAAATATAATGTTCAAAAATCTTACTGTTTATGAGCGGGTGTTTGCATATCATCAGATGATCCATCGGGAGATAACGGCGGTAAAGGTGGAGTTACTGAAGATACGCTGTCACTTAAAGTTGATGGCACACTGACTTTGGATGGATCGAGAATTTGTCGTAACTCGGTATCTACATAGTCCATCCATTCACTTTGACCTTTTTTTCCTATAAAACAATGAACTAACTTTTACAATTTTCCACAAAAGACTTTTTATAGGCTTTTAAATAGAGAAATTTGTAATCATACTTAACAAATTAAATAAAAATTTATCGTCAGCACAAATAATATTGTATAGAAAACAATATAATTTACACACCTTGGTTTGTTTGTATTTCAGATGACGATTCGGGACTAGTTGTAGAATTCTGAGCTTTACCACTGCTGTAAACAGTACTACCTCGTCCAGAATCCGATTGACCACCACTCCCCAATCGTCCGTCTGAGCTAGCCCCGCTTATTGGGCCACTAGCAGCTCTTTGTTCTTCGAGTTTATCAACGTCATCCAAAGAACTCGGTTGAGATTTAAAATCATCGCGTTTACAAATTTTTCGACCAAGGTATCTATCACTTGAATATTGCACATTGGTTTGGATATTTGTCTCGACAAGATTATCGTTGGATTTTGATCTCGGGAAAGGCGCTATCGTCTCTTGACCCTTAACCGGCAACGGTGTTTTAAAACATTCTTGTGGTTGTGTGGGAGCTGGAAGTCGCTTTTTTACATATAATGGACTTTGATTGATTTGTCCGTAGTTAGATTGTACTCTGACTTCATAATTTGTTCTGTGCGCATCACTGTAACTCAGAGGCTCTGATTTTCTCATGTCAATCACCCTGTTAGTTTGTATTGTATGGGGCCTATCATATGTTCTTGACGGACCGGGATTTGCCCTACATTGTTCTGGTGTTTGGTAAACATTTTGGTTGGGCACATTGAGTGCTAAATTTTGCATTTGATTATTTACTGCTAAATACACACCATGTTGGATTAGTTGGCTGTGCGGACTCAATGTTGGGTCATCTAATTTTACAGGGGTCGGTGTGGGATTTTCTGCATTGTTCAAACTTGTCTCTGGTACTTGGTCATTTTTAGATTTTGTGAATCTAGTCGTTATCATATCTTTAATACGAGATGAAAATTTTTTGGAATTATTTGGGTCTTCAGGCGTGGAATGTGATGGTCCAGCTCCGTAAGTCTCAGCACGTCTAAAAAAAAAAATGTCAAAGTTTTTACCTGACAAAATAAACAGTGTAATATTTTTATAAAAAAATTAAAAATTAAAATCTCACTGTGGAAATCCATTAGAATCATCTCTAAATATTGGCGATAATTCTGTTGGGGGATCCAAAGGCTTTATAGGTTCAGCCTATAAAATATTATCGTAATAATGTTATTTTTTGATTAATAAATTATTATACAACATAATAATAAGTAGATAGGCAAATTTTTGTAAATGTTTAAATACCTTATAAACATACTGATGATTTTGAACATTGTCTTTTACCATAACATAATGATGTGGTGTATGATATTGATTAATGTTTTGAGGAACATTGTTCTAAACAAAAATAAGTATAAATTAAATTTAAATTAATTTGGACCATTTCAATTAATTAATATTACAGTAAACCTACTGCATTTGAAGATTGCTCAGACCACGCGATTTGTACATTTGGCATATCAGGTGCAACGGATTTTGGTTTTTTTTTATACTCGTTCAGTATAGGTATTTTTAAATTCTTGTCGACATTGCTGAGAATCACTTCTCTTTCGATCTATAGAACATAATTACGTTTAAATTTAATATTCTGAGATATATAATTACACGTTAAATGATATTTTCTTTTAATTAGACGAGATTAGATTTTTTTTTTTCTTCATATGGCGTGATGGTTTTTTATGTAAACCTTGATAACTTGAATACGGTTTAATTGGTTGTTAGGCTTTTAAACGAATTCTAACGAAACAAGTGCGTAGATACTGCAGCTTATTAGTGTATACTATATTTGTACTGCATATAGGTTTATTTTAACACGTTCTCAGAAATTGTATTTGTATGTCAAACAAACGTCGCAAACTTTGTCTAAAGAGTTATGATACTTTTCAATTCCTTAATAGTAGAAATATTAAAAAAAAAAAAAAAATGTAATTTTAATGAAATTTCGCATATTAATCGTCATATTTTTGTCACGTCAACATTCTCGTGTACCGTAATAGTAATATTGTAATCTTTCACCAATCATGTGTATGTATACGCAAGAATACGAGTATAATATTATATTGCGTGGAAACTTTCCCCGAACTATACCTGGGAATGATTCCCACGTACCATGTCTATTACCGTGTTCCCATGATGAAAAAAAAAACAACAAACAAACTGTACATTTCGTACTAAATAAATTACAAAGATAATATTAAACTGTTTAGCTCACCGGAAATTTACTAGAATGCGTGTGGATTTTGTTGCTGGTCCCGGGCAACGGTGTGGATTCATTGTATAACGGATACGGAGGCATCCTATACGGCGGTGGCCCGGGCGTCGTTGTCGTCGAAGTCGTCGTCGTCGTCGTCGGCTGCGGTTGATAGTTTTGTGGACTTTTCGCCGGTTTTGGTGGAGGCACCGGCTTGGTCAGTCCTATAACCCCTGTAAACGCCGAAAAACAGTTTCACGTCAAAATCCGCTAAGCAAATAATATTATACGACGGTATATTTATATAAATTATTTATCATATGAGTGTATACAAGGCGGGTAAGGTAATAACGTTTCGATCAACGGGTCGGAAACGGATTTTCTGTCCCGGCTCAGCCGTTTCACTTGTCGGACCGTCGTTCTGGCCGGGCCGGGACGGGCCGCAGACGAAGAATTATTGGCGCAAGTGCACATTGCCGAGGTTCGGACGAGCGTACAGATCGACTATTCGGCGCGTAATGTGTAGCATATGGGATATTATCTTATGTCACAGGCCACGGGTTCTAATAAAATACAACGGAATAAGTGGCCCGTGCCGCGGGTGTATACAAAATTGAATAGCGTATTATATGTATCTTATTATCACCGTTGCGAGACCGATTTAATTGTGTACATCCGTTAAGAATACTATTATTTTATATAGGTTTGCCGAATTGCGCGAACCCCATACAATCCCACTTTTCGTACATTTATTATACAATATTCGTGATATAATCCCTATATTATTTGTGTATAATACCCATCGCGTTTTATACAAAAAAAAAAAAAAAAAACCATATATTGTATATGACCGAAGAAATCAAAAGGAAAACAAATTATAAAATCAAAGACTATAATATATTATACTATATTACGATAGTACCTACTGGCCGGTGTCCATAAATCTATCAGTTTTGACATTTGTTGTAAATAGGCTCGGTCTTAACAAAAAAACACCCGATTTTATATTATTATTATTATTATTATTATTATACTCGTAAATAGTAATCATTAAAAAAAAAAATTGTCATTAATTATGACGGTATTTTTTTCTTATTATTTTTTTCTTTCAATAAGACTATTATTTTGTCTCTTAAAGATATTGCCTAACTCTTATAAACGTTTAACGAAAATCACGAATACTGCGGTCAATGGGAAAAATAAAAAATAAACCTCAAATGTATACGGTAAACGTATACCTATGTGTAAATGAAACGGTGCATAACGGATTTGTCGGAAAGAACGTAAGGATTTTTAGCGGAAGTTCATTAGTTCCACACGGTACTATACGCAGGGAATTCAGGCGACCATGAATCCGGAGGAGGGCTGCGTGTAGAGCTTTCTTGTCTGAAACACATGACGCACACCTGTTGAATATTATACCTACTGTGACGTGTAACTATTATTGTGTTTTTCGATATACGACTGAAAAATGTTAACGGTCATAAACTCGTAACAACATTGAATTGAATTTAATGATACTATCTATCTATACGGTAACCGCAATTGTATAGTGCCTACCTAGTACCCATATAAATACAGGTAGGAAGGTATATTATAGATACCTAACTATACATGTTAAAATTAATATATTTTGAATTCTTCAAATTGAAAATTCAACGAGCCATTTTCGTGAGATTTATTCGATGTAAAATATAGGTAATACGAATATAAATATTTGATGATTTATTTCAGCGATGTGATTGACAAGAATAATAATCGATGAACGATGTTGATCGCATACAACAATGCATATATATATATACATATATTGTATATATAGGTAGGTACCACGTAAAACGTATCATTAAAACGGCTTTATACAAATATACCCCACGATCACGTACAATCCAAAATATATAATGTAGGTACATCAGGACGGCACAATAAATTAGATATGCCTCATTGATCAGATAAAACATCGAAACGTTACACTTCTTTTTTCTTTGTAGAATACACACTATATACATATATATATATATATAAGTACTATGTACATCCTATTTTTTTTTTTTGTCTGATCGTAATCCATTACACTATAATGTCATATATAGTATTACTATTCATAGATCTTCTAGTACTAGAGTACGAGAATCTAATATTTTATGCAATTTTAAACTCGTATAACGTTATTAAAATAGGTATAAAATTTAAAAATTGATGTATTCTAATAACGAAAACATTTTTTGAATATTCTATTATTATATATATAACTGTCTGACGCCCGGTATTGACCGTACTAATTTTTTATTATTTTTACCTTTATTTCCGTTTTGCTTTGTCAGTATTAGTATACTGAACTAAAAAGAGGTGTCCTAGAGTTATGGGGACGGGTATAGCCACTGTTGTTGGTGAGAAGTTGGGAAGGTAGGATATAGAGGGGAAATTAATTTGTATCTGTAAGCAACGATAAACCATTGCTTACTAAAAATACGATTCTGAGCGGAGTTCAGTTGATAGTGATGTTATGCCAAAAATATATATGTCATATTAATACATTATAGTAAAATAATGAAATAGATAGTATATATTATCTTCAATAATATTTGCTTAATGTTGTAGGGATTTTTCCGTTTTTTCCGTGTTTTTCACATTTGATGAGAAAACTCCTAGGAAAATCAAAAAGTTAGTTCTCTAGTCCGATTTCATTTCAAAAAAAGTACTATCATTGTAAATCGGAGCAAAATTGCAGGAAAAGTTGTTCATAAGAAAAAAAAATCGTAATATTTTACTAATATATTTCATACATTTCCCCGTTTTTTCACACGCTTTCCCTTTCATTGGGAAAACTTCCAGGAAAACCAAAAAGTTAACTTCTTAAAGTACAAAAAAATGTCCTTTCAGAAAATGTGCTATATCGTATACATCAGAGTAAGCTTTCTAGTAAAAAAAGTGTTCACATAAAAAAATAAATCTTTGTAAAACCAATACATTCTTCGCTCCACTCTAAAATAGAGTCCAGTCTGAAATAGGTGAAAAGTGGATAGTCCGCAGACTAAAAGTGTTCTAGTGTGTCTTGCATTTTTTCATTCGTGTTAGATTAGGTTAGGTTTTCATCCATGTTACCAAGGTAACCCATCCTATTTCAAGCCAATAATAGACCGGTAGATGATCATATAGAATCTTTATTTTCAGTTGTTATAGTTGTAATGGCATTTGTATTTCTATTTATTATTTAATTTTTGTTTTGAATTTTTTTTTTCATTTCATCCATGTTACTATAGTAATCCATAATTCAAAAAAATAATTTAATTTCCATACCAAAAATACCTAAAAACCTTTCATCCTCTATTTCATCTACTTCAAATTTTATTTTCGCAACAAAAGTAGCCTATATGTTATTCCCTGGTCTAGAACTACGTCTATGTAAAGTTTCAGCTTAATCCGTTCATTATTTTTGGCATAAAAAAATAACAAACATATATACATCCTCACAAACTTTCACATTTATAATAACATTAGTAGGATCATTTAAAATAGAACGTATTTATACGTTTGACGCATTGTGTTAGAAAAAAAAAATTATATAACATTTTTATATCTCTACATAGCCACTTCTATGAACACAAATAGGTAACTAGTTTTAATTTTTTAAGGATTCAACGCAAAAAAACACCTGTATGTGAAAAAAACTGAATACCATGTTTCAAACGACGACGGTGGGGTGATTACGGATTCTCAACGGCTTGAGAAAAACCGCCAGACGTCTAATTGTCTATTGTACATGTAACCCCTCGACTTCCGGAACTATGTTTATTTATATGTGTATATATATATATATATATAAACATTTCTTCATAAAGAACAATAAAAAAAAATATAATTCGTGTTACAGGTGTGCCAACCGTCCGGTCAGCCACCTGCAGTAGTATATACCGAAGTGTAGTACTCGTAGTAGATATATATATATATATATAAAATATGTTTGATCAAAACAAGGTCTGTTTAACTGTTATTTAACGATTATATACATATATAATTATATATATATATATATATATATTATACTGTATGTTCACGAAAAGCAGAAGAAGGTGTGGAAGCAGAGTAAGAATTGGTTATTCTATAGTGGTTTCAAGGTGAGCAAATACCTTAGCGACCGCTGCCGCCGCCGCCACTGTCTCTCTCTCATTCAATTTGCCCGAGGCATATTTATTTTTTTCCCCACTTTACGATCGTATTTTTATTTTTCCATTAAACACACACACACACACAAACACACATGCATACACACGCATATAGGTGCACACAAATACACTTTTATTGTAGTTTGATTACACACGTCCGATATTATGATAAATCGCATTACAGCGCTTGTCTAGAAGTGAAATTCATCAAAACATCTATACGCGCGCCTGCGATACCGTCAAGCACCTTTCTCTTGTGTGCCAATCGGTACTATATGGGATCGGATTTATTTAAAAAGAAAAAAATGTACCTAGGAATACATCATTATCCAGACCATTAAAATATACGATCGAGAGCCTGGGTATTTTTTCGCAGCTATATATCCGCACGTCAGCGCTAATAAATAATTATAGGGCACAAATTCTCGTAGTGATAATCTCTCTATTGTATGTGATTTTTCAAACATCCAATTTAAATCATTAGTGTAAACTTGTAGGTACTTATATAAGATTGAATTTTCTAACTTTATTCTTTCGATTTTTGCGGAACGAAATATTTACTGAACGTCTAATAATAGATACATTAATTTGTTGACGGTACACATGCACTTGTTGTTTCCCTCTTACACACAATATAATTAAAACATGCTTACGCAGACTACACAGAACTCATTTAATTTTGATTTTAAATTAAAAACACCTATTATAAAATCAAAAGAAAACAATATTCCGGAGGGCAATACATTGCATTTTTTCCATATTTTCCGAATATACTAGTCAATTCGCCATTTATAAATAACGACTTTTTCAATGGTTTTTCAATTTCCTAAAACTTAAAAAAGAAAACTGTTTTTTTTAAAAAACCGCAACGTTATGCCCCCCGGAATATTATTCTCTATCAATTTCATAATAAGTACATTTAATCTAAAACCAACACTAAATGAGTTCTGTCTTCTGTATAGTCTGCGTAACCATAATTTTACTATAAGGTGGAAACAACAAATGCGTGTGTAACGCCCTCTAAATAATTAAATGCATTCGTTATAATACACGCAATTAACTATTATAATTATACACGAATCCGATAATTTCTCCTGGAGAATAATCAACTTTAATTTACGTACTCGTGTATAAAATGTATGCACAGTTCAAAATATAATATTCGTCTACTTATTGCAACAAAGAATTGCGAGCGTAACAGCGTGTGTACACAATTTTTGCATGTTTCATTCACACCGTGACTATACATAATATTATAATTCATATTAATTTAATAATAATAGCTTTAACCGATAAAAAAAAATAATTTTGAAACTATATGCCTAGTTTCAATAACTCACTATTTTAGATTTTAAGTGAAGCGAGGAATGCATTGGTTTTACAACAATGTTTATTTTTTTTTTTCGGTAAACAACTTTTTTACCGGCAATTTTGATCCCATTAACAATGACAGCACTTATTCTGAAAGGAAATCGAGCTGGGGAGGTATTTTAAAGAGGTCATTTTTTGATTTTCTCAAGAGTTTCCCCAATAAATTTGAAAAATCGGGAAAACATAGGATAAACGGGCAAATAAATACAAATATTGAAGAAAATATATAATACATATATGTACAATCATTTTACCATAATATAACATATATATTGTTTACAAAGCAACACTATCAACCAAACTCCGCTCAGAATCGTTTTTTCGTTGCGTATAAATATACATTAAATTTTCCCTCTACTACCTTCCCAACTTATTACCTATAACAGTGGCTGTACCCGTCCCCATTATCAAAATTTAAGTGCGTTTTAACGAAATAAAATTTTATCGTTAGGAAAATAGCGGTAGATTTAGAATTTTGTCTAAGAAGGAGATATTACATTTGAAAATGTCATCGTATTAATCTAATCTATAGGCCAAAATAAAAATTTCAATATCAATATCTTGAATTTATGTATTTGTAAGTGGTTTATTGATTATTCAATCTATCATAAAATGATCATTAAAATCAAATAACTCGGTGTTAGTAATTATTATTAGTTTATATACTATTTAGGTAATCTAAGTATTTAACCTCCTTTATATTATAGTGATTCAGGATAGGTTTCCTTTAAAATGAGAAAATCATATCTCCTTAATCTTACCCTTAAATACGCCACTGATTGGAAAAAAGTCGGGAAAACATATTATATGTTGTTGTACAAAATAATAAACTTCGATTTCGTGCTGTTTATTATAAACATTTGTACGCAATTCAATGTATTTGGTTTTCATATACTAGCTAGTATACTTCTGTGTATTTTTTAGTATTTAATATGTATGTTGAACGTATAAGAACCGTAATAATGTATTTTATTATACCGTACCATATTTATTATACCGCAGTGTCTTATGAAACCCGTGGCATTCCAAGGTTTTAATTTTAAAATTATATTTAATTAGTTACCTATATTATAATGAACTTATTGTGACCTAGAAAAAGTTATAATTTTATATTCGCGGAAAATATATACCAGCTAATAAAAATTAAAAAAAAAAAACAAACAATAATATTTGAGTTAAATGTTGTTTTATTTTTTTAAATTCTGAGTGGAACGAAGAAGCTTATAATTTTACAGATGTTTATTTTTTTTGTTTTATCTATGCGCAACTTTTCTACCAGAAATCTTGCTCCGAATTTTAAGTGTAACACCTTTACTGAAAGGAAATAGGACTGGAAAGAAACTTTAAGGGGGTACTTTTTCGATAAGAGTAGTCCCAGCACATAAGAAAAATCGGGAATAAACATGGGAAAACCGAGAAAACCGTAGAAGAAAAGGAAAAATCGGTACAATATTAAACAAATATTATTAAAGAAAATATATAATGCCTATTTAATTATTTAACCATAATATATTAATAATATATATTCTTGACAAAGCATCACTATCAACCAAACTCCGCTCAGAATCATTTTTTCATTAGCAATGGTTAATCATTGCGTATAGATATACATTAAATTCCCTTCTGTATCCTACCTTCCTAACTTTCCACCTAAAACAGTGGCTGCACTTACGTGCAAAATATTATGTCCGTATTTTTTTTATAACATCATAAACGTTTAGAATAAACTTTACATTCCGCAAGTCCGTCAGGGTTGAATATTATTATAATTACATAGTCGTAGACTTAAAATGCATATTATTTTGTAAGTTATATCGTTGGTCCGGGGAAAACAAGGGTGTAAGTTAATTATGTAAAGTTTTCAATGCAAGCAAATTAAATTTTGAAAATACATACACTTATGCAATTTAGACCAAAAAGTAAAAATAAAAATATTGCACAAAACCAAATTATAATAACCTAAAAATGCCAAAAAAATTGATTTAAGCCCTTTTTCCTTGGGTACCAAAGATATGGATTATACATTAAGATATATTATACAAACAAAATTGAATAAGATAGTATTATAATGGCGTGTTAAATTATGTTTACCGTGATTTTGATATACCAACAACGCCCAGCTCATTTTATTCGAATACATCTACCGAAACCTAACGAAATCTATATCTAATTTTTATAGGTACCTACCTACGACTATTATTATTATGAACTAAAATTACGTTTTCAACGAACTCAATCGAACTCTTAGTAATAATCGATTATTCTTCAAGTACAAAATATTGCATTACTATTGAAAATTACGGGTATTCGTTTCGTCTTACTCACCTACCAAAATTCCATGCAGTCGTGGCTCCTCAAAAACCCAGTCAGCACGCCACCACGGCACGTAATGTCAAACAAAAATCTATGCGCTCTGCATTAGGTTTTCGGGTGGAGACCTATACAAATTATTATAATAATACTAAACGTCATTTTTGTCCGATGGACCAGTATAATATATATTATTTTAATACGAACATTCTCTTTTTATAATATTATTATTATGATCGACGGTCACGCAACTTTTAAAATATATTTAAAAAAAAAAAAAAAATGTTAATTGCCGGTCTGTAGGGAGGTATACAACATCTGCGTATATAGCTATATATAATAGTGATACTCTCATCGTGCCAACCGTCTATATTATAATAATATAGCTATGTAATAATTACAATCCCATGGAAAACTTGTACCTCTATAATATAATATATACCTATATACATTTGTTGAGGCTTTGCAATTATGCAACGGTTAGGTTGCACACAATGTGTTATCGAGAGTTTGAGACTGCAGCAATTCGCAAAGAACAACAATAATAATAATATACAATGTTATGGGAACGTAATTAAAAAAAAAAAAAATTGTCAGAATTTCGAAAGCTATAAATAACTAGAATAGCAGCAGTATTATAGTTGTTGCAAAGCAGTTGTGAAGGCGTTTTACTTTTTTGGGGTATGGATGTTTTACGTATTTATATTATACAGGTAGGTGCCAATATATAATATATATATTATCTACAAGATTATAACGAATTTTTTTTCTTTAAAAAAATAATAATAATCAAACGAAAGGAGAAAGTCTACACACGTTATAATATTTGATAATATTCTTGTTATTATTATAAGTAGGTACCTATTTTTTGTACGTGGGTATGTGTAGTACCGTTAAAATTGATTTTTATTTTTAACAAATATTAATGCCGTAATAAATTTTGTTTACTTGAAAAAAAAAATTTCGTAAATATCATATTATGCAGATACGATTTGACTACATGACGACAGGCTGTACGATTTAAAAAAAAAAAAACGTAGGTATCTCGTTAAATATCATGTTAACAACAATATTAACAGATTATATCTATATTCTCTACAGTATACAGACATCAAGCGGGATATACCTATAATATTATAAGGATTATTTGTCCAGTTATACGTAATAATTTAGCGTTTATGAATTTCAGAAAAAAAGTAATGGCATTTGGCATAATATAGCTAAATATAAATACATATGTTCTTTTAGACTCTGATTAGAGCAAAAAAGCTAATTGTTTAATGCTAATGATGTTTATTTTATTTTTCAATTTTTTTTTATTTGTGAACAACTTTTCTACAAGAAATTTAACTTCGATTTACAATGATAGTACTTTTTCTGAAAGGAAATTTAACTGGGGAGGTACTTTAAGGAGGTAATATTTTAATTATCCCAGGAGTTTTCTCAACAAATGTGAAAAACCGAAAAAAACGGAAAAATCAGATCAATATTAAACAAATAATATTAAAGAAAATATTTAATGCCTATTTAATTATTTTACCACAATATGACAATATTATGTCACATTGTTGACAAAGCATCACTATCAACTTAACTCCTCTCGCTCGTTAGCAATTGTTTATCGTTGCTTACATATATATATATATATATTTATATTAAATTCCTTTTTGTATCCCTTCTATGTTCTACCTTCTCAACTTTCCAACAGTGCCTACACCCGTCCTTATTATCCTAGGACAGCTTTTTTTTAATACACACACATAATTAAATATTTTCAAGGTTCATAATATTATTGATTCGTTAAATAAAACATAAAATATATCCATTAAAACCCTGTTCACTGTACTACACATTATATACATATATATTTAAACCTATGCTAACAATACAAGTTTATTATATAGATTTACGTATTCTAAAATAATCATATGTCACCATTATTAAAATTAAAATAACTATAATACATAAATATATAACCATAATTATGGTTAACCTATACATTATTTTAATGTATACAATATTTCTCTTGTTAAATATAATTTTATGCCTTACAATATATCCATGGCATTTATTTTTGTTTTGTTTTTTGTCACTTGTCTTTTTAATTATTATGTCAGTTCATACAATTGAAATTATTTACGAAAATACCTAATGATATATAATCAAAAATATGATTTACGGATATATACGGAGTCCAATGTTATGGCAGAGAGCAAAAATTAAAAATAACCAAAAATGAAAACTTATAAATCAAAAATGTTTTTTTGTCCGTCCTTAATACGAGTATTAACCAGTAACATAATAATTATGATGTGTGCTTATTATTTTTCACATGAGTCCTAATGTTTCGTTCTTATAGTGTTGAATCTTTTATGGAATAATCAATATTCTCATCTAGGGAAACAATAAATTATAATATAAGTAAAATATTGTTAAATTTTATTTAACATTTAACTAGCAACCTATCTGTATTATGTAAAAATAATATTGTAGCAGCACTTAAGTTATGTATCCACCTAATTACTATTGTTATTTAACACAATACAATTCAATACAAACAAATATTTGTGTAAAAACATACACATTATAAATACCTACCTTTTTAACAGAATAGTTGTAGGTGACTATATCTTTTAACAATGGAACAAATGGTTTTTTTTTTTTGTAAAGTGCTCAACACGAAAAATAGGTACACATACATATATATATATATATATATATTTATATCGCCTAAGTCATGTCTTATAATATATAGGCTCTTGTAAAAACGACACCGTCCAAGGAAAAGGGTTTTACTTCTATTGTGATTACTCATCACGATAGTTGTATAATGTGTTCTAAAGGGTTTTGTGAACCCTAAACACGCGTCCAGAGTGTTTCAGAGATTTATGGTGTGAATAATCATAAACCATGTTGGTAGGTACTGTACGAGTATAGTGTATACATATATACACAGCTAGATAGGTACGCTTAGAGGCTGTTCAATATTCATCGCTGACGAATGTTAGCGACAACAGTCGAGAATATTAAATATAAACGAACACCGTCTGCTTATTGCAGTTGGCATTGGACTCTTGTAGGTTCCTAACAAAAGAGCATTGTTCTGAACAAATATTAGTGAGTCGAAAATTGAATATTTTATAAGCCCCCAAACGTACGAAATATTGTATGAAAATAGCGGTAAAATTATGATATTATACCTAGGTATGTATAGTGTATAATACAGCGTTCCGTAGAATCGATACGTCTTACATATTAAACATAATTGACAGTTCAAACGCACAATTTAAATTATGATAAACAAATTGTTAATCGTACATAATGATGAAAAACATGTAAATATAAAAATCGTTACACATACATAGGTAGGTACATAAGTATACGTTACGTATTATTGAGATACATACCGTCTATAAGTATAATAAAATGCGTAAGTTTCACAACTCAGAATACTGGTTTGCAAGTAATTTGCGACCAAATCACGTACTATCTACTATATCTATACTGATTTTATGCGCACGTTGAAAAATTCCATGTAATAATATTTAACGAGAACTATATCTAGACATCGTGTAATTTCATGATCGCGATTGTAGGTTTTTTTTCCTTTTTTTTTTTTTTTTTTTTTGTACTGGCAATGATTATAGGTATAGGTACGTATAGGAACAGTGTATAAGTATGTATACAAAACGTATAACGTATACCCGCCTAGGTAAAAATATATTCCGAACATTGTAGTTATTAGTCACCCCATTCTTCTTGAATGGAAATAATGGCTTTGATAATATGCACGACGGATAACTGCTGCGGGAAACGGTTTATTCCCTCGGATATTAATTATATTATACGATACAGGTACAGGTCGACTTTAGTATGCCTGTACACTTGTTGCTTATCTTTCGCATATCTAAACCTTCATATTTATTGGATTTCATAAATCTACGCGCACATAGGTACGCACCTACGTCACAATATTATTAAACATATTACTTAATAATAAACAACACTCACCTTTATCTATGCGGCTACCCTCCAGTTTTGGACTGATCGGTAATCCGATTCAAGAACATAACAATAACGCGTAAAACATAAATGTATAATATGTGTGTGTAAATTTAGAAAAAAAATTAGTTTGTTTTTTTTTTATTATTATTATTATTATTATTTGAATACGATTACGTGCAACACGAAAACGGCGGTGTCCCGCCGGTGTTGTCGTTGGTCGCGGTATTATAGGGTACACGCCGACGGTGTAGGTAGGTATACAAACGATTGTCGGTTTCGAATCGTCGAAATCGCGCGGGTTCGGTCGGACAGCGAGAAAACAAGAAAATTTAAAAAAAAAAAATATGCGACGATAACAATATCACACCGAAACGAGTGTGCCGCGCGCGGGTAAACGGCGAAAAACGGAATTCGACTGGATACGCGTACGCGTTTACGTCGGGCACATCGAAACGCGCCGGGGACCCGGTGAACCGAACACTGTCCACCTGTTACACGCGACGGAACAACGACGCGTACGGGAGAGCCTCTTCGCTATCGGGCAGAGCGTCCGTAAAGATACTGATGCGGCGGCGGCGCAATCGTCCGGCGTGGGGGGAACGGTAAAAAAATAAAAAAAAAAATAAAAATATTACGACTATAATATATACGTATATATATTTTATTACGTGTATAATATTGTTACAGTACAACTCTCTCGCGGCCGTTTTACACAGAGGTATACCTGTCGACCGGCTCGCGCGCAAACGCACAGGTGTCTGACAACGTAATAATAATAACGACCCTGATCAACGGTTTCGTGTACCGAAAACGTAACAATACACCCCCCTTTTGTGCGAGGTTTTATTTTTTTTTTTCTGTTATTAACAGGTGGGTGGTACCTACACACGTCGCCGTATTATAATGTTTTTTGTACACTGACTGACGACTGACTGCAGTCCGCAGTCCACCCGCGGTCATGGGAGAACGGCCAAATGCGGCGCATTCTGTAATAGAATTTTCGTCGTTATAATAACCATGTATATTTTATACATACCGCTATGGTGAACGTTTATTATGCGGTTAATTTGTTTTTTTATTTTTTTATTTTTTTATTTTTTTATTTTTTAACGGTCAAATTGTTCAGCTGTACTTACGACCTATACAATAGATGTTAGGTAGGTTATAATATAGGTACCTAAAAAGCCCGCGCAGTTTTCAGTTTATCTCTACCGTACTGACATAGGCGCATCCAGACCAATAGTTTTGGGGGTGCACAAGTGATAAACACCTCATAGCCCCACGGGGGTTTTGTCCCCACATCTCCTACCCCCTCCCTTAGACTTCACGGTGTATTTTATAATAAAAATAATTGCAAATGCATATTTTTGTAGGTGTAACCGGGATTATTTACCCCCGTGAAATTTTACCGGGGTTAAAAATTTTAACCCATCCCCCCCCCCCGGTAAAATTTCACTAGAGATAGTTTAGAAATTCATTGACAAAATTGTACACTCCGAGGCCTACATACATTTAAGAGGCCTATAAGATTCTGTGCATAGCGAGGAATCTATTGGGTTTATACTATGAAGTGTTCTTTTTCTGTCGGTAATCAACTTTTATACCAGAATTCTTGTTCCGATTAAAAAATAACAAGAGCCCTTTATTAGTTATCTTTCGGGTTTAAATGGTAGGATATAAGAGAGGTCATTTTTTAATTTTCCAAGGAGTTTTCATAATAATTGGGAAAAACCGAAAACAAAATTATAGGAAAAACGGAAAAATATTTATAGTGCGCTGGACGCCGTGCCAGGGCGTTACCGATTTCATTATAAAAATTGTTTACAATTTATGTTTTATACCAGAAATCTTGCTTTAATCAAAAATAAATCACGAGTCAAGAGACTTATTTTTTGCATTTAAGATCTAGTTGTTTAGTTAGAAAATCGTATTTTAATTTACCAGCCAGTTTTCATAATAATTGGGAAAATCTAGAAAAAAAACATATAGGAAATACAGGCAAATTTACGACATTAATGGTTTATTTTCGAATTTGGTTTTTAAATTTTTTGTTAGTCAATAAGTCTACTCGTATACTAAATATCAACAAAACATGGTTTGAAAATAACCGCCTTGAGCTTAATTTAACAAAAACTTGTTTTATAAACTTTAGCATAAATAAATTGTCATGCGATGGAAATAATTATCTTAAAGCACACCAAAGTAATTGCAATGAATTTATTCTAAATACTCTGACTGCTACTAGTAATAATAGTAAATGTAATTGCACCTCTATTTCTTCAGTTCAAAAAGTAAAATATATAGGTATTGCTTTAGATACTGACTTTAAACGGCATAATCATATTATTAATACCACTGGAAAGATCAAATTATTATTCTATAAATTTAAAACCCTTAGTAAAATACTTTCAACAACTACAATTAGAATGGTTTTTATAGCTACGGCTCAATCAAAATATTCATATGGTATTGGGAGTTGGGGTGGTGCCTATAATATACACCTTAATACACTTGAAACCACCATAAATTCTCTTATCACAATATTATTTTTAAAAAAACACTATAGAATGAGCACTATATTGTTATACAGAGAATGTATTTTATAATTTAATTAATAGTAGGATAGGGTAGGGTAAGGTAGGCTACCTTAGCCTAGTGACAGCTAACGACAATAAGCGGTGAACGTAATAGGCGAGGTTGAGAGTTTTAAGTAGGTATCTACCTAGAATACAAAAGAACAGTGGCTTTGATGAGGATGCGAAATATAGTATTAAGTGTGGTTGGATAAAGTGAAGGGAAGTGTCAAGTGTTTTATGTGACCAAGAGAATTACAATGAGGCTTAAAGTTAAGTTATACAAAATTGTGTTCTTACAAAATGTAAGACTATGTTGTTTGGTTCGGAATGTTGGAATAGACAGAACAGTAGAACAGAGAATGAGTGTAACAGAGATAAGAATGCTTAGATGCATAAATGGAGTGACGAGAGAAGATAGGAAAGAGATGAGTACATAAGAGGAAGTTTAGCCGTAGCTTCGATAGTATAGACAAAATGAAAGAAAACAGACTGATATGGTTTGGGCATATCATGGGGAGAAAGGAATCTGAAGCAATAAGAACTGTAATCAAAATAAACGTAAGAGGAAACAGATGCAAAAGAAGACTAAAAAAGAGGTATTTGGACGCGATTGAGAATGATAAGAGGACGGTCGGTATATGCAAAGAGGGAGATCGGGTTAAGTGAAAGTTTAAAACTAGAGTGGTCGACCCCAAATAGTTGGGATGAAGGCAAAGGAGTTGAAGGCGTACAATAATATTATAATACATTGTGTACCTAGTTGCAATTAATAGTACCTGCATTTTATTTGTAATTTTTAATTATGTCACAGGCCACAGCGTCAATCAGACGCGACGACGACGGTTACAGACTACCGGGCATCGATAGTGGACGACAGATCGCGGTAGTATAAATGTAGTAGTACCGAACACTACCACCGCTTGGAATGAGCGCAGCACATGTCGGGCGTATTAAATAGGTAATTTGGTGTAAAACTTTTTCGCGAGATAACTACCAGTAACTATTATAATCGTTCTTTATTTATAGTAAAAGTACTAAAATTTCATTTGGAACATATTTTTCCGGTGATTAATATTTTATTTAATAAATTATTTAACTATTTTTAATCCATGTCATTACGAATAAAACTCTTTTTAATGTGCTATGCAATTTTGGTAACTCTACTATAATAATAATAAATACGGAAAGAGTATACTTAACCCGCGTAAAACAGTTTTTAGTTGTTTACAATCAAATTACTAAATTACTGCGGGTTACACATCCTCTTCATAGTATAATACTGTATAATGTATACCTAAATATTGATATTATTTAAATTTAAAACAGAAAAAAAAAATGTATAAATTACTATTTAATGCAATGATTAGATATTTTGGAATGGCGTAATTTATGGTATTCAGTAAGTTTGTACACCGAAATAATTATCAACGATAAACAATAGTTAATTCGTTTAACAACAAACAGTTTAGTTTATTTGTTTAGTTAACAAACTTAACTTAACTCAATTAACGCCTTATCCTACCTACCGAATTTTTGGGAAGGGGTGATTTTATGACTAAATAAATTATTAAATCAATTTTAAAATGTTATATACTTATACAGTGACATCTCAAAATTGCATTATTACCAAATATATAATAATATCCAAAATTACATATATGCATTAGATATTTTCTAAATAATATTGTACAATATTGTTTAATATTTTAGGTACCTATTTTCCCGGTTTTCCCGTGGTTTTTCCAGTTTTTAGTAATTCTTAGCAACATTGCTGATAGAAAAGTTATTCACAGGGAAAAAAATAAATATTGTAAAACCAATACATTCTTTGCTTTAATCAAAATCTAAACAATATTAACAAACAAATACTACCAATGAAAATATATAATGCATAATATATATAATTATTTTACCATAGTACGACAAAGCAACACTACTAACCGACCTTCGCTCAGAATTGTTTTTTCGTTAACAATAGTTAATCGTTGCGTACAGATATACATTAAATTTTCTCTCTACTACATTCCCAACTTCCAACCTACAATGCTAAAACAGTAGCTGCACCCGTTCTCATTATCTTACGAGTATAAAATAGATTTTATACTTACATTTTACATGAATATAAAGCAGGCATTTCTAATATTGTTAAAAGTAAAATTAAACGTTTTCTGTTCCTCTACTTAGGTATCTACCTACTTATATTATACAATTACTTTAATACCTACGTACGTATGTAGTAGTTACAGTTATGCAGTAGTTACACTTGCAACATTAATTTTAAAATAAAATCATACTATTGAGATCTCACTTGAATAAAAACATTTAATTTAATAATATATTGCAATTTGTATCTTTTTAAAATACAATCAATATAACTAGTATTCAAAAATTATGAATTCATATCATTTTTAAAAAATAATTTATCCATCTTCACTTAAAACAATTTCCCGGTTTTTTTTTACTTAACCTAAAATATTTTCGTAAACAATATGGTGGTTTGTTTTGTGCCTTCGGTATACAATTTATTAAAATTGAGATATTTATTTTATTATTTTAAGTTAAAATATAATTATAAAGTCAAACAATTTATATTAAATTACATTATACAATTTTATGAAATTGATTTATGAAAAAAGAAAAAAAGCTAACCTTACTACACGCCATTCACGGTTTATGTGATAACGTTTATCGAACAAGAGAAACGGCTTTTCTAGTTTGCTATTTTTTGTGATTAATACCCACTTTTTTTTTTTATTTGAGGAATCTTAATTTACCTTAGCTCACGGTGAGCAGTTTTTTTGTTTATTTTTCTTCCGTCGTCCGTCCCAAAAACCAGAGATCAATTTAGGTAAGAAATTATATTACCATTCTTTTATTTCATTTTCAACATTTCACACGCGCTTATGTCAAGGACGTCTGGCAACATGATCAACGAAGAAGTCGTTCAAATTACGAACCTTTTGGAGCGCACTATTTCCAACGACAAAGAAGAATTAAATCAAATACAGAAGTTCTTAGAACATGCAGCGCAAACAAATCTACCAGGTTTTCTCAAAACTTTATCTAATGTTCTACTGTATTCGGTTAACAACCCAGTCGCTCGTATTGCTGCTGGCCTTCAAATCAAAAATCACATTACATCGAAAGATGAAGCCGTTAAAATTCAAATGAAACAGCGATGGTTATCTTTCACCGAACAAGACCGTATATTTATTAAAGAAAATATATTTAAAGCGCTTGGTACAGAAAGTCGGCCTAGTTCCGCTGCGCAGTGTGTTGCTAATGTTGCTATCATTGAATTACCATTAAATCTTTGGCCTGGTCTTATTGCTTCATTAGCTACGAATGTTACCGACCCAAATTCTACTGATGTTCTCAGAGAAGCTTCTCTAGAATCTATTGGATATATATGTGCAGAGACCGATCGCGATGTTTTGAAAACTGAATCCAATACAGTGCTTACAGCCATTGTGCATGGAATGACACAACCAAATAGTCATGTTTGTTTAGCTGCCACTACTGCTCTTTATAATTCTTTGGAATTCACCAAAGGCAATTTTGAAAAGAAAAATGAACGTGATTACATCATGGAAGTCGTTTGTAAAGCTACACAGTCTACTGATACTCCGATTAAGGTTGCTTCACTCCAATGTCTTGTTAAAATTGTTTCTTTATATTATGAACACATGGAACTGTATATGACAACACTGTTTCCAATTACTCTACATGCAATTAAATCTGAATTAGATGAAGAAGCACTTCAAGGTATTGAATTTTGGTCTAGTATTGCTGAAGAAGAGGCAGAAATTGTATATGAACGACAATGTCAAGAACAGTCTGATAAAAAACTTATGTTGTACGCTGAAGGTGCATTGGAATTCATAATACCTGTTCTAATGGAAAAACTTACTAAACAAGAAGAAGGTGATGATGATGATGATTGGAATCCATGTAAATCAGCCGGTGTTTGTATAATGTTATTATCTACTTGTTGTCAGAGCAATATAGTTCCGCATGTAATTCCATTTATAAACGAAAATATTACCAATCCAGATTGGCGTTACAGAGATGCTTCAGTTATGACACTTGGTTCGATTCTTGGTGGACTAGATCCAAATGCACTAAAAAGTTTATTAGAACCCAATATTCCAGTTCTTATACATTTGATGTACGACGCTAGCATTGCTGTTCAAGATACATCGGCGTGGACATTTGGTCGTATATTTGAATTTGTACCAGATTTAATCATTAATTCACCTTGTTTGAGCGATGTATTAGGAGTTTTCATAAAAGGTCTTAAGTCAGAACCTCGTGTAGCCACAAATATTTGCTGGGCTTTTAGCAGTCTCGCCCAAGCTACAGGAGAAGATATGAATGTTTTAACTCCATATTTTGATTATATCATTCAAGGTCTGCTTGAAACCACAGAAAGAGGTGATGGTATGAGATCAAACTTAAGGTCTGCTGCATATGAAGCTCTTATGGATATGATTAAGTGTTCACCAGCTGATTGTTATGAAACTGTTAAAAATACAACATTAATCATACTCACTAGACTGAATCAAATAATCAATTTACAAACAATGAATGAAGATTGTATAGACATGCAAGGACTATTGTGTGCAACATTACAAAGTGTCATAAGAAAAATGAGTGGTCAAGATGTAGAAAAAATCGCCGATGCCATAATGAATGCTCTTTTAGTTATGCTGAGTACGAGTAAAGACAGTGGTTTACAAGAAGACGCATTAATGGCCATAAGTCCACTGGTCGAAAATCTTGGAAAAGGATTTAACAAATATATGGAATATTTCAAAACATATCTATTTATTGGTTTACAAAACAATATGGAATTCCAGGTGTGTTTAGCAGCTATAGGTTTAGTAGGTGACTTGTCCCGAGCCCTTCGCGAAGATTTGGCTCCACATTGTGATCAAATATTCGCTTTGCTCTTTGAAACTTTACGAAACAATACCGTTAATCGAAACTTGAAACCACAAATCTTATCCACATTTGGAGATATAGCACTTGGAATCGGATCAGAGTTTAAAAAGTACTTGGAACACGTATTGAATGCATTAGTTCAAGTAGCTCAACTTCAATTGGATCCTAATGATGCAGAAATCGTCGATTACTTAAATGAACTTCGTGAAGGAGTATTGGCTGCTTATGTTGGCATTGTTCAAGGCTTAAAAGGTGAAGGATACACACCAAATCAAGATGTTTATTTATTAGAAGCTCACTTACCATTTATGGTTCAATATATGATATCTATCTGCTCCGATCCCAACGCACATCCAGGTATATTAAAGAGTTGCTGTGGTCTTGTTGGAGACTTGTGCACTGCTTTTGGTGCAAAAGCATGCCCAGTACTAGACAACGGACAGGTGCATGAACTTTTATACAAAGGCCGTCAGTCCGCAGATGTATCTGCAAAAAGTCTAGCTCGCTGGTCAGCAAAAGAACTTCAAAAAATCAAGACCCTCGCAATGTAAAATTCATTTTGATTTTAAACGTGAGACTCTATCGATCGTTTGTCTTCTCGTATGATTGTCTTTATTTAGTGCCTATGTAATTAAATAGTATAAATGGAACCAAAACGTGTCTGTGATTTTGTATAACTGTATGAGTAAATGCGCTACTCTGTATTCGTATTCCTACTAGTGTACGGATTTTAAAGTTAAGTGAGAAATTTTTTTTTAATTTACATTAGTTTACAATGATTGAGCTCATTTACTCGGCTCGTATGACTGACTGATTATCAAATAATATTTGTTAAATATTTAACTTGTAAATAATATTTGTTTTATAAAATGAAAAAACTTAAAAGTTGTTTCTGAGTGTCTGTTTTGTTCCGAGTGCGTATTTTTGTATGAATGCAATATATTTATTTATTTTTAGGAATTTCGTATTTGTTTCCAATGCCTGTCCGTCTGTCATTGAATAATGATTAAACATTTAATTCATTGAATGGAATTTTTCATGAATAATAATTTAAAAAAAAAAAGTAAAAATGAAATACGTTTATATTATTTATTGTAGAATAAAAAATTATTATTTTCTACTGTAACTCAAAATTTAGTTGTTTTTCTTATATAAATAGTTTTTGTTTTTAACAATGATTCTAATTATTCAAAATTGTATTTTGATTATTAATGTTCATGTGTATCACATCAAATGTTTCTTTGGAATTAATTTGACTTCAAAATTTGTAATACTATATAAAAAAAATATTATTTTAATTTAACAAAACAGTTTTAAATTTTTTTTTTTTTATTTTTATTATTTTCAAACTAATAGTATAAAATATATAACCAATCAGTTATGTTTACTTAATTATCTATTTTATAATAAAAATATATGAAAAATTATTTGTCATTGTATGCACATCTAAAAATTAAAAATATAATGTAATTTGTATTTCTGTGTTATATTTGTCAGTATTATTTTTTTAATAAAAAAAATAATTAAAAGTAAAAAAACATTGTTCATAAAATTGTAGGAACAGTATTATAGTTTATATTTATGAAAACTGCAATCAATTAAAATTAAATTCAAATTTTATATAGACAATAATGTTAGTTGCTATAGTTATATTTAAATTAGTGTTTATTAAAATATTAAACAACAGTAAAAATGAGGTCATAAATTTTTAACAGGGCATGATGTCAGGTTTTACCATTTGTAATCCTGCCAAGTTCCAACCTTTTTTTTATGGATATATTTCTATTTTAATAACTTTTTATTTGTGATCCAAAGCTTTTTTTTTACAGATAACAAGTAAATAGAAAATATATTAGTAAGTTGTCCCTAATCGAAGTATTGTATCAGCATAGTCCAGGCAATAAATTACTATTTTTACATGCACAATTAAAGGCGGTTAAAAGTGGTTTAATCATGCATCAAGTAAACGCTTTAAAGCGACTTTAATAAAATAAACAGGTTTAAGATTTAAAGATGTTTGAATATGTGGTTTAACCAAATTAAAATCAGTTTTATAAATAAAATCAGTTATATTTTTATACATGTAAATAGAACAATCACTTTTATTTTTATACCTAAGTGATAACATAAATCTTTATACATATTCAGATTTCATTTTTAGAAATTATTACTTACCTCTTTATAGTGTTGGAAAGGAAAAAATTTCTTTCATAGGAGCAAAGCTTAGAATACATTCCTTTTCAAATATAGGAGTGGAAAATAGTTCCTATTTATGTTGAATGTGAACGTAAATTTCTGTTCCTTCTATTAAGAAAAAAAAATGAAACTCATATTTTAGTGATAATATTGTTTAGTGTTGGTATCATACTTCATGACTGTAAAAAGACAAGTTTAGTGATGCTTAGTTAGAAAAATTTGTGCTTTAACAAAACAAAATGTCAGTGTAATAATTTTTTATATTTATAAAATATTGTATTTTGAATTTTGAGTAAATTAATGATGAATTTTTTTATTTAAGTAATATGTTTTTTCATTTTTTAGAGTAGGAACTAGGAAATTAATTTAATTTAATTTATTAGGATTTTCAACATGTAGATTCTAAGAAGTAAGAATAGTTTCCAATTTTAGTTATCCTACCATCCCAACTACCCACCTACAATAGTAGCTTCACCTATCCCTGGTATCTTTTTTCTATGAATATGTAATATATACGTATTCATAAAAATAAAAAAGAATGAGTTCCTCTTTTTAGGGAATGGGAACAAGCTGGCACATAGCCAGAAAATGTCTACTAAGGGGGGGGGGCAATAATTTTTGGCTTTTTTATCATTTTCCTCCATAATTTTTCACATTAAAATACTTGTAGGGGGCTTCTCCCTCTCTTATCTCTAGGCGGTATGCCATACATGGAATCTTATTAATTTATTATTTAATTATGGTCTGTAGATAGTTAAAAAAATATTTTTTACAAATTTTACAATTATACCCATTACAGTAATAATAATAAAAAAAAATACAAAATTACCAATATTTTCACTTTTGGAATATATTTTTCATGCTATGAAAAATAAATCTACCTACATATTTAGAATATAAGCTGATTAAATTTCTCAACTTAATAAAAATAATAAAAATAAATTTATACCTGAATATTACCTAATCAAAAATAATATTGATAATTGATTTTTAAATTAACTATAATCTTTTAACAAATTCAAATTTTTTTAAAAAAAATTACATGTCACAAGTAAAAAATATTAATAACACAGTACTTTATTATAAGTATTTATATAAATATTAAACAATTTAATAGAAAATAATTTTTCTGTTTTTGTGATGTTCTGAAAACAATTGTACATACATTTCTAAATCTAGGTTCATAGAAATATTTTTTCTATGCTATTGAAGCCAAATTATTTAAACCATCATTTGTCATTCGATTCCTCATGTAATTTTTCAGTCATCTCAGACATGAAAAAGTTCTTTTGCATGTAGAACTGGATACTGGATTAGTTATTTTAGTAATAGCAAACTTATACTTTTTAAGTAATTCAATTAAATTCATCAAGTTTTTTAATTTAACATTATAATGAACTTGATACTTTTTAATAGTTTCTGGTAACATTTTTAGTTCTGCCCTTAGATAGTGCTAGTTTATTATTGTTTATAAAACAGGTAATTTTATGAAGACCCCATTATTTTTTTCAGATGACGTTTTCCATGAGTATAGAAATTAATTATTATGATAATTGTATTACCTAGTAGTAATCACAATAGATGTATTTCAATGTGCAAAATCACATTTTTGATAATTTGGTAAAAATAATTACATTATGAATTTAGGGGGGGGCCTAGGCCAGAGTAAATTTAAGGTGGGCCTAGCTAATTAGGCCCTCCATGCTACGTGCTTAGGAACTAATTAATTTTTTGCAGTAGAATTGTAGGAACAATAACAAAATAGTTATATTTATAATGGCCTATTTTGTCATTGTAAGAACGGGAACCGTGTTATTTATCACTTATCCTTTACCCAAACTTCATAATATTCTTTATTCTATGCCATAATTCATGCCTTTACCAAACAATTTCTCTACAATAATATAATCACTGAGTATGCATTATATTATGTTGGATACACTGTTTTTTTTTCTATCTGTTTGGTTACTGATAACAAACTTACTGGCCACCATTTATTATCTATGCTGGTCACTGCATGAAGTCATAAAATAAATGCTTAATGCTAAAATTAAAAATTGTAGTACTTATTAATATTATAAATATTTTGATTTAATTACTATCATGGTTTATGGTAAAAATATAATATAATATTATAGTTATTATACCTGTTTTTAAAGGTTTTTTTTTTTTTTAATTTTAATAAATTATATATTTTGTATTTTATTATGATTAATGTGTACGATACATTTGGTTCATTACAATTACATGTATACTGTAATAAATATTAGGAAAAATTATTTAGAATACAAAAGGTATTACTATACCTAAGTAGTACAGTTAATTAATTAATGTATTTTAATTGTATTATACCGATGTTTATTAAATTAGGTAAAAAAGTATCATTTGATCAGCAATAATGACAGAAATTGACACTCGGTATATAGCATTTGAAAATGATCATACCTATTTAAAAACTACGCCTGATAGCAAAAAAGATGTTCAAATTGTACAAACTAATATTTCTCCTGTTAGGTAAGTTTTAATGATATTTTAATATATTTTTATTTTTGATTACATGATACCTAATTGTTTTTTATTTGTTTAAATTAAACAATTACAAAGTATACTTAATTTTAGATTTTTCATATTTTTTAGTTCCAACAAAAATGCATTTCGCGTTTTATCGGATCCTCCACCAACAGATTGTCAACAAAAGACAGTCCATGCAACTCAAAATAAAACTATTCTTTCAAAAACTCTAAGTGCAGTGAAAGTACCAAATCCAAATGTAATTTTCATTGCAGATCCTTTACATTTTTCAATACCTTTAAAAATGAATATGTAAGTATAAGATTTATAAGAAAGTTTTTATTGATATTTTTTTAATATTTAATTATTTTCAGATCACCCAATAACTCTTCTGTACAAAAAGTTAATACAGGAAATAAATCTACTATGCGACCTATACAACCAAAAATAACAAATGATTTGAAAATGATTAATACTGCACAGGCTCATTCTAATTCCTTCCTTCTTCCTTCTACAAATACTTCTTTAAATCCAAAATTACCAATTATGTAAGTACTTAATACAGCAATTATTGTTAGCATTTAAAATATTAATTGTATTTAATGACGTCAGATAGGTATACTTTTTCTTGTATCTAATTATATAATAATATGGTGCATATTTAGTATTATTGATTATAAATACTATGGATCGCTTACTGGTTCAAGATGCGACTTTTAGGGGAGGGGTATAGATGCCAAGCCCCTACCTAGACATTTTATTGAACTTTACACATAAATACTTTTTTCTAAAAGTATATAATAACACAATACAGACATAGTGTATGCACAATATACTATTTATTTATTAATTTATTTTATAATTCATCCAAAAGCCAATTTAATAATAATATCAGTAAATAAAGTACAGTGAACACAACTTGTAGTATAACGACAAAGATGAGACTAAGAGTAAAAATTAAAATTTAAGTTTAATAATATTAGTACTTGATATTTTTATATTTTTTATTTACATTGATAATAAACAAAAAATTTATTTCGAAGTTATGAAGGAAAACTTCAAAAAGTTTGGGTTTTCCATTATGTGCATTTTTTAGTTAAATTTAATATTTTCAAAAAAAAAAAAAACTGATAATGTATAGTTTTCAGTGCTTAATCTATTATTTAAAGCAATCAATAAAAACTTCTCTATCATACTTACTATTAAAGTTTTCGTATATAACCTTGGAAAATGTCTTTGAGAATTTTGTTTTTATCATTTTCTTGAATTCATTAAAGAAGTTACAGGGATGTGGGGATAACTTGCTATTTATTCCTACTCACCAACTTGATTGCAGCTACATGGCTCACTTCAACCCTTCTAACAGGAAAGCGAAAGAATAATCACTTAGTTAAACTAAATTTCCTACCTAATACTATGTTGAGGAAAATAATGTCTTTACATAATCTAGAACTCTAGACACGTTCTTTGACCGTCTTCTTTCAATTAGTATTATGTACAATTAAAATAACTAAATTTTTTAATAATGATTTTCAAAAAATAATAATAAGATTTTTATGTTTATATGTAAGAATTTTAATCAAGCTTTTTTATATTTTTCATCTATACAAAGTCAATAGAAAAATAAATTTTAAAATTGCTTGTATACTAAAGTAGAATTATGCCAACAATAAAAAATATTAATAAATTTATATTTATTATTTATTAAACATTTTTTAATAAAACTACATTTGAGATAAAATAGTATCAAGTGTTTTGACAATTAGTTTTTAAATATGAAAATTCATTATTTTTCTTGAAACAAAAAATAATAATATATAAGCACAAGCAAGTTGACTTGGTTTATCCATAATAGTCCTACCTGGAACTTTTTCCATGCAATTATTTGCAACCTATTTAATTACAGAAAAAGTAATACAACATTTTATGACGTTGCATGGAAAATTCAAATTACTAAATGGATTATAAAGGCATAATTCCGATAAACTAATGTCTAATTTAGGTACTTTCTAAATATTTATTAGAATCAGTATTTTATATTGTTTTTATTAAATCATAAAAATTTTGTTTCTTATAAGTTATTAGAAACATATACATTTATTTATAACTAAACAAACAAAGAGAAGCATTTAAAATAAAAATATCCAGATCCTATTACTTATATTTAAATATAAAACCCTTTTTATTCAGTTTTAGGTTTTTATTTTTTATAAATCAAAAATTAAATGTATACAAATTGTAAACAAATTCAAATACTAATTATTAGGTATTTATTTTTTAATAATAAAAGTACTGATATTTTAAGTTATTAAATAATTTTAAAGAAAGCAAATAAAGTTATATTTTGTGGATAATATGTAGGATTAGTATTTTAATTAGCTATTATGATTAGTTATGAATGATGTTTATTAATAATTGAATTTAATATTGTACTTTGATTGTAATTTCAGAACACAAAAAAAATCATCTAAGAAATCAAAACCTATTGTACCAAATATACTACCAGAGAAACCTGTTGTCAAACCTATTAAACCAAATACAATAAAAACCAAACCTGTTATTAGACATAATATTAAAGCATTGAAAAATAAAATAGCCAATAATTATGAAAATGGAGTATGCACAATAAAGTTATCTTCTAGTTTACTTAAGCGTATACAAAATGGAGAAAAGTTGTTTATGTGTATGGAATGTGATAAAATCTTTACAGAACATAAAGATTTATTAGATCACCAAATAATTCATAATAAATCTGATGAAAAAACAATTGAACCAGAAACAGAAATAAGGTAATGTCAAATAACTTGTCATTAAAGGTGAATTTTATTAGTTAACAATAATTGTATTTTTCAGAGAAAACCCAAGTGAAAACTCATTGGACACTAATTTAATACAATTTACAGCAATTGAAAGTGAAAGGAAAAAAAATAATGATAACAACAAAATCAGCAAACAAATTAAACCCACAACAAAAACTACAATTAATCCTAAAAGGCGAAAAATTGTTTTTCAAGGTGAATGTATTATATGCCATTTAGTATTCCCAGATCTTGGAAAACATATAAGAACTGTTCATCAAACTCATCCAAGAGACTTCAATAAAAATAATATTAATCAATTAAACTTCAATTGTTACTCATGTGATATGGAATTTGATGATCAACAACAGCTACGTGCTCATGAATTGGCTGCACATAAGTCAATTAATTATGTTTACAATTGTGAACAATGTTGTCAAGATTTTCTTTATAAAGAAGAATTGGAAGCTCACATTGAAACACATTATAATGAAAATAAAAAATATTTATGTCCATATTGTGATGCTGGTTTTCCTTATTCTAATGGATTGAAAAACCACCTAGTTAAACATATTGACTTAAATGGTTCTGAAAACTCAACCTCTGATGTAGCGACCAATCAAATAGAACATAGTCCTATTAGGCCTATTAAATCTGAACAATTGGATCAATTATTTGCAGATTTAGAACATATTTCAGATGATTGTGATGAAGTTTATGTTGAACAAGATGTTGATGATAAATATCAAGTTAGGTTTGCTACAAATGATGTTGTAAAAAGTGAATTAGATTCACTTGTTGATGAAGATACTAATGTTGATATAGAATTTAACAAGTGAATGCTTATATTATTTTAATATTATACTTCAAATTTCTTTTTAAATAAATGTAATATGTTTTTAGTAAGATACCCAACTTATATTAATATAATACATATTAATTTGTATTTTGTTGTAGCGTGCCATTAGAAGATAATAACAAAACTATTATTAACCAACAGCAAATTACTACTGTATCAAAAAAACGAGTAAGTTATACAGTATGCCGTTTATGCTTGATGATTGTAAGTTATTCAAGAATTGGAAAACATATGAAGAAAAAACATAATAATGCTGCACCTTATCAATGTGAGTTATGTCATGCTGAATTTAATCGCAAACACATTATGGATGATCACCGAAGAAAACATACAAATACTAAACCGCATAAGTAATAACTTCTTACTGTTAGTAAGAACTATACTAACATCATTCATTTATATTTTATGAATTTTAATTTTATCATTGTGTCTTAAAGTATGAACTTTAAGATGAATAGGACGAACATTTTATTTACTTCTTAAAATAAAAATATACACAGTACTATACAAGGTGTAACAAAGCACAGTTATTAATATTACTTAATTTGGTTGTCATGGGCGAGCTATATAATATATAAACTTTATTTATATTAATTTAGTATTATGGGTAACATTGTGATCTTGCTCCGCTAACAACTAATAATTGCTGAAATTACTCAATATTTATTATTAAAATTATACAATTTTGTCACTAAATGGTTCATATTATATTTCAAGATACAATAAAATAATTTTTTGTTTTCATAAAGTTGATGAACCATGAATTTAAAAACAGAATATTATTTTCAGCTTATAAAATTATTAATTAATATGTGTTGATTTATTTAAACTCTTGATAATTTATTATGTGGCAAATACTTAAACATTTTTATTTTATTTTTTTTATTCATTTGTAAAATTATAATTTTATTAGATGTATTGAGTGTTCCAAATGTTTTACTTACAAACACCACCTTAGTCGGCACATAATGATAGTTCATAATTCTGATTCATTGGAAAAATTATTCAAATGTCCTGTCTGTGATAAGGCGTTTTCATTTAAGGAGTATTTGACACTACACATTAAGTATGATTATTAATTTAAAAAAAAAAAATTATTGAACTTGTGCATAAATTATTATGATTAATTGATTTTATTTAATTTTTTAGTAGCCGACACAAGGGCAAACATTATATGTGTCAGATTTGTGAAAAAAGTTTTTCTACAAATGCAGCACTGAATAAACATCAACTATGTCACACTGATGAACGACCATACATGTGTGAACATTGTGGACGGACATTTAAGTGTAAAACTCATTGTGATACACATACAAAAAATATGCATCCAGGAGATCCTCAACATGTACTACCACCACAAAAATTTGAATGTAGTTTGTGCAATAAAAAATTTAGCACAAAAATTTACCGTGATATGCATTTTAAAAGGCATAATGGTCAAGGTCATCACTGTGATATATGCTTCAAATTATTTGTTTCCAAAGCACATATGCAAAGGCATATTAAAATAATGCATGCAAATTAGTTTAGATAATAATGATTACAATTTTATTTTTATCTGTTTATTATTTTGTAAACATTTTTTAATACTGAAACAAAAATTATATTTTTAGTCCTATGAAACATATTTGTAATATAAACAAACAAGTAAAATTAATAAGTATTCACGTAAAAATACGTGGTAAAAAGGTAGGTACTGAAAGTTTTATTAATATTTTTTTCTTTTTTTTTAAAACCAATTTATTGAAAGAAATGTACTATTTTTTGAAACTAATATTTATTGTATACCCTGTTAGATGATAGTGAGTAAAAATAAATATTTTAAAATATGTTGCAACCATAGACATATAATATTCTATTATATGTCTGGTTGCAGCATAGTCAATGAATACTGCTTATCATTTTGAACTATTCCATGTTTTGTGGGAGATATATTTGTATTTATATATGTACACATCCAGATTGGGTTAGTGTGTGGTCAACAAACTTTTGGAAGAGTTTATTTTGTTCATATAACAGATATAAGTTTATGCTTGTATTAGGCTAAGTATTAAATTTACACTTATACAGTTATTAATTATAGTACTGGTTAAAGTCTGAGCTGAACTTGCTGAGAAACTCATCAAAGGTTTATTTCAGTGTTGGAATACCTTGAAAAAATACCAAGGTATTTAAATATCTAGTTGTCTAGACCATCCCACCATAGAATAGTTGAACTATCTGGACATCAATAACAGTTAACAAATTAATTCATACTTATAAATAACAACTATTTAGTTATTCAGCGACTTTAATTGTTTTTAAACTAAAGTAAAGAAAAAAATATTTTTATATTAGTTAAGTAATTTGTTCCAATTACCAGTAAATTTGGTACACAAAAAAAAATATCCAAATACAACACACAAAGACACTGACAACACTAAGTGAAGAATGCTATAAATATAGCATTACTATTTATATGTATAAATAGTATAAAATTCATATTGATAAATTATATTGAATGAACTCAATATTTAATTATAACTACAACTAGTTAACATTGATATCCGAACATTATTTAATAAATATGTACTTAACAAATATGATACATATAATATAATTATAAAATAATTTGTAAATTGTATTAATTATTATTTAAAACAATTATTAATTAAGTAATAATATTTAGTTTTCTCTGTGCATTTCTGTCTTAAATGTTAATTAGTTTAATTAGTAGTAAATTCCAGTACACTGTACTAAATACCCAGACAGTCTCATAAGTATCCTAACACCAGATTAACTAATGAGACTTTGGACATGATCAGGAACCAAATAGTGTCTTATTAGAATGTCACACTGAACTCTAAATTTCTCGTGGGACTCTTAGAAAGGTAACCAATGAGACACTAAAACATATTATGTGCGCACCTTGGTAAACATTTTTACAACCCTATCTCTGTAAAATAAATCTAGATTGAACCATCTCTGGCAGGAACAATAATAGTATAATGCAATATTTGTTTAAATAAGTAAGTGTAATTACATGTCTAGCTATAAGTATCTATGCATTTTTTCAATAGTTACCTACAGGTGTAGGTATGATTATGTATATTTTTAGGAAATCTAGAAAAAAAAATGTGTGGGAAATCTGTTTAGGAATTAAAATAGAATTTAGTTTTTGTATGTCCATTTATTCAATATATTAGCATTGATAATGTTTGCTGTAGTATGGAGATCTACTTTTATTTGGAACTTACCCAAATGTCTTCAAAATTTTGTTTCAACATACATATTTGTATTTATAGTTAGTTTCATTTTATAACTCAAAACTTAATAAAAACTCCCAAAAAGTAGTCTCTACCCAATGAATTTTGTTTTTCAATTAGATAAGAAAATTGTATTAATTTTTGTTGATTTCTGATTTTCATTGGTTACTTTAAATGAAAAATCGTTATTATTAAGTATTTAATTTGGTTGTCATTAAAATTAAATCCTTGATTTTGATATTATAAATTTGATTACCACCTACAATATAAGAAAACTTAACATTAGGAAACCATTGTTTTTAAGTAGGTATACTTAGCTACCCATGGAATTGAACACAGAGAGAGAAAGGACACCGCAAACTATAATAGAAACTCAAATTTAACCAAATATTTTCAGAATAATATATTTATATATATAGATAGATTTTTAACTTATGATCATTTATCAACAAGACAACATTGTTGTTTATTTTTATAAGAATGTAATCGATTAAGTTAGTAGTATTAGTAATTTTGCCTGTTATTTTTAAAAAACATACCTAGTAATGACCTCTGACATTTATTTTTTCTTTAAGCAATCTGGTATAAATTTAACTCTAAATTCAATTTAACCGTTAGGTATAACAATTCAAATTCTTAGTAAATTAGTGGGTAAGCACTTGGCAGTTAATATAAATGTATTAAATTTTCTGTATGACAAAAAGAGATGGTAAATTCTACTACCGCGTCTTCTTGAGATATCAGAGTAGATGTTTAATATCTTTGAAATCAATTGAAGTAAATAATACTTAGTCAGTGGCATAACCAGAATTTCTAATACCAATGGCAAAATAACCAAATGCACAATCTGAGTTGAAAATCAATTTACAAAGATTGGAGAAAAACAAAAGGCCATTGCCTATTTTCATGCGCCTCATATTACTTAATAAATAAACAGTAAGTCATCACCTGTACCCACTCAAAATAATGCTTTAGACCTTGATTTGAGGTCCTTAAATTCCGGGAATCTGTGGCTCATCTATTAGTACACCACTGTACTTAATATGCACTTTTACATTTTAATAGGCATTTAAAAGCATTTACAAATATAAACCTGAACTAAGCTGGTAGGTACCTAATTCATAAACGAATTCATACTTTTAATGAACTTTCCAAGATCTGAATAGATACCTACATATTTATAGATAAAAAAAAAATCTTAATTTTCTCTGGTAATATAATATGTTATTTATAGAAAATATAATGTACCTATGGTTTATTCTCAATTTCATTAATATTGTGTACCTATAGTTTTACTTTTACAGTTGTATTTACTTATGTATTAAGTAGGCAGGTACTATGTTATTGCAGTAGGTATGATAATAATTAGTGACTTATAAAAAACGTGTTTTTCATAATATGACAGAACATTGAGTTGAATTAATTGATCACAACCTACAGTGGCGATGCAAACTTTATCATGAGCGAGACAACAAACAAATAGTTAGGTATTTAATCCATCTGGATATTTATTAATAAAATAAATCAAACTTAACTATCATTTTAATATTTTCAAAAAAACGCAATTCATTATATTTCCTATAAAAAAAAAATAGTTATCTTACTAATAAAGTAGGTACCCTTCGCACTACCACTGATCACCATTCTTCCTGTAGGTAAACTATATTTTGAGAATCGTGATCTTATGGGATATTTTACTTTTAGGTACATATCTTCATAAGGCATAAATCGTTTTTGTATGGATCATCAAAGTTGTTGCTATAATCAACAATTCGGTGAGAAAACTATGATTTTTCCAGTAGGTATCTTATACCTATCTTGTAGGCTCTCGGACTCCATTCAACCGATTAAAGAATTGTGCCTTATCTTGCATTATTTTCTAGTTAATAAACATATAAGATTAAGCCCATTAAACTTATTGAAAATAAATAAATAATTATTTTAGTCCCCCCCTCCAAAAAAAAAAAAAATGACGTACGAGAAGTTAGGGTGAGATAGCGGGTCCGAAAGTAATATACCTATATCGCCACAGCTTTTTATTCTCGGTTGCCCTTAATATGCAATTATACTGCGGCTGTATACTGACGCGGAGTAAATTTGTCTTGAGCATCTCATCGAGATGATGGACGTGGCTTTATAGGTCTATGGTTATAATTCCTTTTGTGTGCAATAAACGTTGGAAGTTCGCAGCAATAATTATAGTTGCAGATATTTCAAATAAACCGTGAAGATACAGATAGAGTACACCGTTACTACTTGGCAAATCACAATATAATCTTTTTTACTAGGTAAGTAATCAAGTCTTACACGCGTTACCTAACGTCCTGCAACTACAACAATAATTAGTTGTATATTTTATCAAATTGTTTTGTAATCCAAACACCGCTTTTTGTATATATGGCAATACAATTTTGATATTTTTGCAATAATCATTTCAAACACACTGATAAATTCAACAAACAATTAAATTAGAATAACCAGTATCATTTATTCATTTTATAACCTCTACAATGTATTATGCTACAGTACCAGATTTCATTTTACTCCAACGTCTCCAACTACATATAGTTTAATATTTATTACAATTGTCTAATACCTACATACCTACTGTTATTGATAAATTACCATTTTTTAATTTACACTGTTTATATAAGCAGAGATCGGGATAGAATTAAAAGGATAATAATTACTCTAAATATTTAAATCAATTTAAATTTGTTATATTAGTTGTGATCTCATAAAATATGTGTTTCAATTATTGCAAATAATTAAAAATTATTGACCCATAAAATATTTTTCCATTTTATCTGTATTGAAATTTAATAATTTATACATTTTTTTACAGTGATATTTCAACTAACACAAAGTATTAGAAGTGCATGATTGTACATTATTCTGTATGGGAAACACTGTTGGATAGGGCAACGCGTGTGTACTTGTTTTTCCTAAAAAATATTTTTCCAGTTTTAAGCCCATTATAATTATGCTACTCTTTTTTTATGGGTCCACAAGCGCGAAGCCCTGTACGCAAGCCCCGCTTGTCCTATCCTAACTTTGACCTTGCTTGGTGCACCAGTGTCCCGAAAATAAATGCCAGTACGTCAAAATGTCCTGGTTTTGAGAACAAATTAATATTTTTAATTTTGACATTTTTTTTTTTCAAATAATAACTGTAGAGATAGATTTTTATTGAGAGAGAGATAGATTAAGATTGTTAACAAATACTATAGGATACTATAGGATAAAATAAAGATGACAAAACTCGTAAGTTTTATAACAATTTTTTTGATGATTTAAAAAAAAAAAAAATGTGTTCTTTTTGTAATAAATTTATAATTTATGAAAAAATAAATACACATTTTGGTGTATTGAATATTGGTATGTTTTTAAAACTTTAATGTTTTATTTTTTTAAGCAATAATTTATTTAATTGTATAAATAATAATAATAATCTCAATAACTTAAATCATAGTAAAATCATTTGATTCTTCCCTATCCACCGATTCGAAAAATAGGTTAAGTAGGTATCTAATAACTCTTGACTTCGATGTTTTTACATCAAATACATACAATTCACGAGGTATATCGTAATATATAGGATTTCTTATCTGATTGATTATTGTGTTGAGTATGGTTTTTAACAACCGATTATCTAATCTAATGAGGATAATGAGGAACGCACGAATACCGTATTACCTCGGTTAAATTGTTATGAAGTTGAAATTTTAGATAATACCAAGAGTTGTTGGAACTCAAAAACATGAAGACAATTTTCGGTATTAATTCATCATAATGTTTGGAATTATGAGGCAAATTGTGAGAAGTGATGATACTTCACAAGTTAAATCGAATAGCTCACAGTTATCATCATTGAACTTATCACATAATAAATTTAGCTCCATACCTCCTGTACTATCAATTAACGATACTTTGCATTAGGTGGGTCAACATTGCACCAAAATAATTCTTTGTTATTATTTCGTAAACTCTGAAACTAATTAAGTATGAAACGATTTAAAAATAATCTCGTTCCTAACTTCTAATTAATGTTTAAAACCATTTTATTATCACTATTAAGATTTCGCTCCAAAATATATGTCTGTTATAAGAAACATAGTAACCAACAACAAACTGTGTATGATAAAAATTTGCCAAGTTTACACAATAAAAATTTATTTTAATATGTAAGTTATTTATTTTTGCATTATAAATGTTGTGAGGATAAAGAAAAATGTTTTCTTGTTTACTATGCTGGTACTGAATTTGTAAAAAAAACAATCAAAAATGCTGTATTTTTCAATAACTGCACCAGAAGTCTGATGTAATACATTATTTTTCTCATGAAAGAAGTACTGCATCATAATTTTCCATTAATTATAGATACCTGAGATTTCAATTGTATCAGGAAAATGCTTGGTTTGATGTGCCAATGAAAACATCTTCCATTCTCAAAACTTATTTACCCTTAGATACAGTAATTATAAAAAGACCAATAAAAATAAAGATAAAGAAGACAGGGTTCAGCGCTATTGTGCTAGACCCTTCTTCTGTACATGCAGCTAAATTATTAGCCTTTGTAGTAGATCACACTCTGTGCTTGTTTGGTCTATCCCAGTACCATTACAAGATCCTTACGCAATAAACACACATATTAAAATGGCAGATTATGGTAAGCATATTATTTTATATTATACAATATTAACATATAATGGTTATTTTGTTTTATTAAAAAATTATTTTACAGGAATTAGTCCCCTGTCTTTACCATCTGGCACTAATGAATTTGGAGGTACAGAAGGTTTTATGGCTCCAGAAATAATAAAATACAACTGTGAAGAAGAGTATACTGAAAAAGTTGACTGTTTTTCATTTGGAATGTTTATTTATGAATTGATCACAATGCATCAACCATTTAAAAATCATAAATCTGTAAAAGAAAGTATTTTAGAAGGACACTGACCTGCATTGACTTATAAAGTAAGAAAGTCTTGAATAATAGTGTGAATAATTATTTTTAAACGTTCTACACTGAATTATTATAACATTTTACCGTTATCATTCTTATAGGAAACAACATATCCAAGTTATTTATTTGATTTAATGGCAGTATGCTGGTCACAAAGTCCAAAAGATTACTCTTCGGCAAGTCAAATTGTATTTACATTATCAGATCCTGGGTTTACTCATCTTTATGATGTTATATTACTTAGTCATTTAGCTGATGTAATATATTTTACTCGAGTACCATTGCCACTTAGTATACTAAGTGTAGTATACATATTATACTTAGCATACATTATTTTCACAAACAATTTATCAAATAATTGTTATTGAATTTCCAAATTTCATCTAATGTGAAATGTATGTAGTTAATATTTACTAAAATAATTTTTGAATAGAAAATGATACTGCTGTTGTATGCTACTCTTGGAGATGGAATGTTGGGAAAATAGGATGCATAATTATTTAATTTATATCTGAAAATAATGATAAACCAAAGCTAACGAAAAATAATTCTGAACCAAGTCTAAAGAATTTTCTATAGACCCTTTCAACCATCATCCTTAGAAAAAGATTGATAGGTTCCTAAAAACCAAAGCATATTTAATTTTAAGTTGAACCATAAAGTATCTTGAGGGGGTTGATGTGTTTATCCAAATAAAAAACAACTTATTCATTAAATATATTCGCATATCATATGGTCTCAAAAGACGTATTTGTAGATACATTCTACAATAAGGGTAAACAAAGGATCAACATTTTAATTTGTATTTACAGGTGAAAATAATGAGAATAGTGGCGATAAAATATGGTTACCTTGTTCTAACAGAAAACTGGATAGATTAGTATTAGGCAATACCAATTAGTTTAATTATAGAAGTACTTATGTTACACATAAAATTACAGCTATTCGTACTGTAGACGATCACAGTTGGTTAGTAGATGCTGAAGGACAAATTCATGCTTACTCGTAAACTACAATATTTTTTTTAGTTAATAATTATTTAATTGATACTATATTTCAATTATAGGAGCAATGATAATGAATGCGTGTTTAGCCACTATTTGATACCAGAAGATCAAAATGTTGGAGTGAAGTGTATAGTGACTCTAAAAGACAGATATATGGTTGCAATAGGTTAAGAAAATAGAAAAATATTTCTTGTGCGGAGTGATGTTTCACGCCTAGCTCCGACCATGGGAGAAGGAAGTTTTGTTATGAGTGAACTTGAAAGTTCCACTGTTTTGTTTAATTCTATAACTGTTGACAGTAATAAATATGTTTATACTCAAATTAAATTCTTTAGTTATAATATATATATATACAATTTATATTAGAATTTGTGAACTGTAGTGTGGAGAAAATCAAAGTCAAATATCTGTATACACTATAAAACGAAACGTGGCCATAAATCTTTAAGCACGTCTCATGGTCATAATTTAGTATGATCTTATGTACATCCAGGTTAGTTAAAATACTATTAAAGTATTAAATAATGGTAGTAATTTTATTATTTCTTCACATTGTAATTATTCTTTGCAGGTTGGATTGTTAGTAATGGGATGTAGTTAATAGGACAATGTTGAACAAATTGGATTGCTCAAAACTAGAAACTAAAAAACTAGAACTAAGAAAGTCTTAAATCTATTAGTATAGAGGAACGATTAGGTAGGCCCAGAAAAATGTCAGGTATTATTTTTAGAAGTTTAATTTCAATTTGAACTCACTATAATAGAATTCTTGGAATTTCAGATAACTAGCTATATGTATAGTAGGCGACGAACTTCACCTATATACAGCCTAGGGCTGCATATTAGTTGTTGAACAAGATACAGCTAGATCTATTACTGTGTTTAGACTGTATGAACAAGAGGTAACGTGTATGGCTGCTGCTGCTAAAGGTAATGCAATTATAAGTATCGTCATGGGTACAGAAGTTTATTGAAAAAGTACTTATCTCATTGTAATAATATGGTCAACATAACTGGTACATTTGCAATTCTCTGGTCAACTTGTAACTGGAATGCTTATTAATAAATATGTCTCATATCTTAATAATTATTTGTAAATTATAACCTTTTTCTCTTTCCAATACCAAAACAAATAACTACCAATTATTAATGTTGTTAAACCGCTCATATTTATGTTAAAGAATTTTAAAAATGTACAACAAAAAGATAAGTTATAATAAAATTACTCTACCTAATTTGTGATCATTATTTAAAGTATCATCGAAACCACAGCCTTATTATAAATTAACAATTCTAAAGTAGAGTAAAAATGCTGCTGCATAACGATTGTTGTTTATATCAATAACAACAAAAAGAATTGTAAATAATAAAATTACTCACTCTATATTTTTAAAACAAAAATATGTACAATAAATTCTACAAAAATATTTTTTTTAAGTTAGTAAATTGAAAATTATTTACAAATTATTATATTTATATTGGTCTCTTAAGATAACTTAATATGTGATTAACTAAATGTTTAACTAAATTAAAACATGAATATAATACTAGGTACAAATGAGCTTAGTAAAGTTTTATATTTGTTTTTTTTTTTTTTATATTAACTATTAGTACTTATATTTATGTGTTTTATTATTAAAAAAAATTATAGTTATAAAATGGAGGTTTTTTGTGTATTTTTTTTAAATCCCCTTCCGTCAAATCAAGATCGAATGTACTCTATTCAGGTATATAATATTATCATATAAGACAACCTAATTTATCTTAAGCATAGGTAGTGTTTATACTTGATTAAAATATAAAAATAATTAATTTTGTGTTATATTAATTTACATTTTAAATATTTTCAGTTGTTTATGGATTACTTGAAAAATAATTAAAGACAATCGTGTTTATATTTATTAAATTGGATATTTCAATAATATTATACTGTTGAAAATTATATGAATTATATGAAAAGAATTACCAGAAGGTATTGATATATTATTTAGTTGTTTCCCTAAAATGCTTATATTATATAAAATACATTTTTGTTAAAGGTGTGAAATGTTTAGAAATGCTCTAGAAGTACTATGTGTTATGTTACCAAAAGTACAGTGGGCCTAAAAACCTGAGAACCTGTCCCTAAAATTCAAGAAGATACTCAAACGGATGGCTCTAAGATGAAAGAAGACTCTCAAACTGAAAATTAAAATAATTTCAGTTTGAATATTATATTAAGCAGCTGATGGAGGACTTATATACATATAGTATGTATTTGTATTTTCATCTTCTGTTTCAGTTTAACAATCAACACAGTAAATTTCATTACTCAGAAAATAAATTGTGGAATTTAAATTTAAGAAATTAAAATTTAAATACAAATAACAAAATTTAACTAGAAGAATACATTTGCGAGCTTTACATTGCTTTTATTTTTAAAAAAATTAAATATAAAAGTTATACTCGTATTAATTTTTTTCTCTTCAAATGATTAATAGTTTTTTTACAAAAAAGTTATGTAAAGCCCTCAAAAATTTGTCCTTTTAAAATTTTCTTATTTGTATTCAAACTCTAATTTTAAACTAAACAATCTACATACTAAATAACATCATTTTGTCACTATGTCATCTATTAATTAAACTGAGAAAACTCATTTTAACTAGTATATGTGTTTGGCACCTTCTTAAACTACCTTTGATAAAATCTATCTTCAAATAAATAATTAAAATAAACATGACCAATAACAATTTATAAATTACTTGCTGTTTGTCAAGTGCATACCTACATATCTTATTCCAAGATATTGTTGTAAAATTATTGTATTATTGGGTAAAAAATAGTTCCTTTTGTAATATTGAATAAACATTGGCTGATTCAGAATGTTTCTGGTCATTTAACTATTAGTTTAATTATTCAATTACTAATTACTTAATGGGGATTTAGGTTTCAACTATGTTGAAATAAAAATGAAATTACAAATCATGTAGTTTAATATTATTTAATATATATATATATATATTTTTTTTTAATTGATAACCTTTATATACGTATCTGTTGTAAATATACAAAGTTCATGAGTACATATTTCTATTTATAATAAATTATGTTTGATTTATTTACCCATTGATACTTATGCTGATAAAAAAAATTCCATTCACCTTTAAGTAAATTCCATTTACGTTTAACTAAATATAAAAAAGGGACAAATTATATTGTCCATCTCTTGTATTATTATAAATTATTAATATTATATATTTTTAACAAGTCAAATTGAAGGATAAACACATAATAAAATGTTAGTAAATTATTTTGCTAAAATAAATAAATACAGATTTGAAACACTAAATTTGGTCCCATTTTACACAGACGTCAGACTGTTAGTAAATATTTTCATGTTAAACTGGTATGGTTAAAAATTGTGTTTCTAATTAATATAATAAACTAACTACATTGCCTTGTTAATATTAATTTATAGACTGGATTATGCAAAATGAATTATAAACCTGCTGTGGTGTATTTAGAAACTTTCAATGAGGAGAGGAGTTAATATAAGTTTTCACAGTAAAAAAAAATCATTGATCTAAATTATTGCTAAAATGTTTTTTTTTACTTTTACTTTTATCACTATAGAATCTTGTAGGACCTACACATTTAAAACTTTATGTAAAAAACTTAAATGTTTAGGACATAGTACTAGTTTGGTTATTATTTCTTCCTATCAACATGTACCTGTGAACAGATAAAAACGGCAGACAAAAATCACTTGTTATTATATACTGAATTCATTATATTATACCTTTACAAACTAAATTTAATGATAACCACAAAACAAGTATTTCTGTTAAAAAATAAATAAGAATTCAAAATACAATTTTTCGTCCCATTTTACACAGCTTGCGGATTGTCAATTTAACATTTTTCAAAATGCTAAAACTGTTATGGTTAAAATTTGTGTTTCTAACTAACATAATAGACCAACTATATTCAATCTTTTTGAATATTACTATTAATTTATATAGAATGTAATATGAAAAATAAATTATAAACATAATAATATCTTATTTGTGAAGTACATTTCTTATATTTATATATTTATTTAGATAAATATATCACATTTGGTCATAATAATTTTAAATTTATTTTTAGTAAACATATAATTTATATTGTTATATTATTCATATTAGGAAAGAATAATAAGTTTATAATTATTACAAAAATTAGCAATTATACTGGTCCCTAGATTCTATTACATTTACTTACTACATAAAAAACAGAAGTAGTCATTGTTGCTATAATCATTTATTCTCTTTTGTTTAGGAATACAGTTCAGGGACATCCACCGACTACACAACGAACATGCCATCCACTGAACATAATCATCATCTATCTGAGGCCTGTGTTTTCTAGAATGTTTTTCACAATACAAATATACCTATGTCATGTTTTCAGAATTCTCTAAGAGGTATCTATTTAGAGGTATCTCTGAAATAATCCGGATTATATTTTTTATTAAAATTTGATTTGTTCATAATTGTTAATGTGTAGTATATTAAGTAAACCTTACAGTTATATGAACCTGTTTGTTTCGAAATATTGACAAATGGACACTGAATAAATTTTATTAATAGGAATCCGCCTCTGAAGTTAAAATTTAATTATATTCTTTTCCATAATAATTTAAAATTTGTTTTTGAAATTCGACCTTTGATGTTGTATGGTTTATGTGAGTCCATTATGTAACCTTCTTTTTCACACAAATTTAGAAAAACAATAATCCAATGATTGTCATTAATATGCAATGGTGCAATAACAATACTGTTCTGTTTTAAAGTAATTTTTTTTCAATTTGTTCGTCAAAGTATTTTATGTTCATTATGTTTTGTACTGTGACACTTGTCAAAATATGCATGGTGTTTATTTTAGTAAGTTTTCTGGCAAATGTCCCCAAACAAAATGTCAATAACAAAGTCATTCAGCCACCTTATCCCAATAATATAAATTTTTAAAAAGGATTTTGTGTACATAAAATATTCCATTATCTAGGGACTCTCTCCATCTAACTAAAGATTATACTGGCCTTGTTCCCCTTTTACTTAGGCACAAATTAACTGATATAATGTTTGTCTTTGATTATATTAATTATAATATTGTGTATCCCGAGTTGTTATTGGTTTTCGTATTCCATATCTAATTACATGTAATTCAGATTTATTTTTAGTCCCTAATTATAAAAGTAATAGAGGTGTTCTTTTCTGACTCTAGCGTTAATTTTAGCTTGTAAAATTTGTATGCATTTAGGTATATATCTTCTTTCTTGTAATTGTTTTAAAACAAAATCAATGTTGCTATTATAAGATATTCATTAATTTGAAGCATAAAAAAAAATATTTATATTTTATATGTACTTATTAGTCTGAATTATTTATATATTACTAGAATTATTATATCTTATTATTATTGTTATTATTTTTTATAACTAGAGTTAATTAATTCGTTTTTAGTCTGAGTATGTTTTCTTTATATACTTTGTAAAAGGGTAGATACCCATTAATACATAACATAAATAAATAATATGCTGATGAATGAAATGTCAAAATCTAACAGGATATTTGAATTTTGGTTGTTACGTATGTAATTTACATTTTTGAATTACGTTTCTTTTAAGTGTACTATCAAAATTGAGCACTTTTGTAAATAGTTTTCCTTATTTTGTGAGTCAACTGTTTATGAAATCTTAGTATACGCTCTCTAGTTGATATTAAAAACCTGCTGAAATGTAATTTCAACCTGCGATCATCGTGTAACATTAATTTTCACTGTTTTGAACCACGATTCGAACGTAGTGTTTTGACGATTTTCAATATCATTATTTGGCCTATTATTCATAATAGACGTCCATAATTTAACATATTCGGTAAAATTGGGTCGTATAGTTCTCGTAAAACTATATGTATCGGCACCGATTACCGTAATTAGTACTTTAGTATTTTAGTACTAATTAGTACCTTACGACTTTCTTCAAACAAAATTGGCGATAAAAACTGATCGAGCCGTTCGGTGTACCGGTTCCAATCTTCACCGGGTTTGTATTCTAGTGCCGTGTCTACGCTTGACATTATGTGCGGATAGTTAACGTTTTCTGACTCAGTGCTTATATCGTTTTGGTTACAAGTACCAGGGTTGTTTTTGGGTGTCTTTGTCTTTCGCAATGAATTGCGAACTACAACCGTAAGTTAACTTCAATTTTTATCCGTTTAAATCTACGTCACCACTGTAATGTAATAGCACGGTAGTAAGTAAAGGGCTGAGATGGCAACCCTGTGGGACACTGGATGATACATCCATCATGGTAGATACCGAATCGTGTAATTTGACGTATTGTTTTCAACATGTTAGGTACGAGGTTAGCCAAGAACGTAGTGGGTCACCCACGCCTAGTGATTTGAGTTCTCTAATTAATAAACCGTGATGCAAAATATCTTTTTTTTTTTTAAAAATCAGTTATAATCACATCAATAATATTATGCAGTGGTTGGGCGACACTGTCGACCATGTTTACTGAAATTTAAAATGCTGAAATGCGGTCGAAACTGAACTACTGAACAGTGAACAATTGTAAATTGTAATTCAACCCTATAAAAACGTTTGTACCTATCAAAAAGAGTTGAGTTTTGTATTTAATTTTTGTAGATTTTAGAAATTCAATTCAGTTGTTAATTAATTTTGGAACAGTGAACACTGATAGATGATAGTGCACATTCTATTATCAATGGTGACATGGTGTACTGCTCACTAGTCGTCCATGTTTAGGAGTTTCAACGGGCAATCCAGACTGCTGACTTCTACAATTTTGAACACGTTATTTAAAGAATCGGGACCTTTGAGGTTTCGTGAGAAAAATAATCAATTTGTTTGTCTACATTTTTCGGATATGACATCGCTAACGACCAAGGTAATTGTAGCGTAGTGAATGGCGTAGCTAGGATGGATTTAGGTTGTAACCCCCTCATGGCTATTTTTTAAACTATAGTTAAATTTAAGAAGGTTTTTAACCTCTAAACCCATTTCACCATTGATAAATCCTGGCTACGCCATTGAATACTATAGTGCAGTAGTTAATAGCCGGTATTTTTATTTTTAGACAAGTCGTAAGTGCAAACTATTTTTTTGACCCATTTTTCTTTGGAATGCCTATCTACATGTACGTTTTTAAGTAATCATAATGATTTCTCCTTTCTCTTAATATTCTTCAATGGATGTTTTTTTTCATAGATCTTATGATAGGTGACGGATTAGGCTGACTGTAAACACAGCAGTTCTTTGACTTGTTAAATATACGTATATGGTAAGATATACATCATGGTAATATTAGAACGAAAATCTCTCGTTTGTTTTAAACTGACAATTGTTTTCCGCAAAGATTCGTTATATAAAATCAGTTTTATTTGTTATGTCCTTTTATTGTCAGTTTAATAATCAAAATTCTTATGTTACTATAAATAAGGTGTAATATATTAGTTATATACACATGTAGATTTGCATATTTCCATTTTCAACCAATTTGTATTGTTGTTATACTTATGAAAACCTAATGATTTTTTTGTGACATTTTTGTTATTTTATTATCTTATTATTCGACACAACCTGCATAACTCGATATATTGATACTGTGTTGTTTGTTTAGTGTTTATTATTATAATTTCTTTTATCTACTCTAGTATTTATACAAAGTCCGAAACGATTAAAACAGAAATTCATAGATCAGTATTGTGTTCTACCGTAGTCTTGTGACATGAAAATGAAGTATAATATATATTTTAAAACAATTTTCTCGGATGTTTCAAGTTTTTAAGTATATTGTTTTAGTTTTCACTGTTTAATATGACTAAGTGATTCGTGCAAACATTTTTCTTTTTTGTGAACTCATAGTCATAAAGCAGTTTCAATAATTTATTATGCATTCAATAATAGGATGTACTAGATATAAATTCAGAGCACAATTGTTATAATTATAATATTTACCCTATAAATTAGACGTTATTAATTAATTATTAATCACTAGTTTGGTAAATTGAAATTTGTTCCAAATTTTAAAATATCTAATTTTTCCAAAAATCTCATAGTACTGAGTCCTGTACATGTCAGATTATCAATATATAGGCCTATCTTACACGGTGCGACCATTTCTCACCGGGAATAGGAAACCAGTTGCACAAGCGATTGTTTTATGACTTCACACTTGTAACAAAACAAAGAGCTGCATACTTGTCGACTGAAACAAGACTGATCATAATTAGTTTCCAACCAGTCACGTGTGACTGCTTACTGATTACATTTTATCTTCACTTCTATGGTTGTATAGTCTTATTTTTGAAATAATTATAATAACGACTGATCATATAAATAACATTAAACTTGTTGAAGAGGTGGACAAACATGCTTATTAATATTTTTCTTTCTGCAGAAACACTACAGTATGTAGGTTAAATGTTAGGAGCAACCTACCTTACAGATTTTTGATAAGAATCTTTGAACATCATGTAAAATGCAATACATTTTTCCATCAGATTGATTTAATTGTTCTGCTGCTGTAAACATTCTGCAATTGATATTTTTCTCTATTTATGGATGGTGCCAATATTTTCTTCTTACTGCTCTTCATTGTCTACGGTATTGATAGTAGTCATTAAAATTATCTTTATTAGAATTATTTGACTTGTTGCAAAACAATCTGCACCCTCTTATCACACAAATTCCCATAAAAATGATTAAAATTCTATCGTGTGCAGGGAGAAGATACAAATTGATTGCAAACTAGTTGCCATGTGAATATTGTACAAATAGTTTGAGATTTCTGTTGCAAAATGGTCGCATAGTGTGTGGAGGTCTTTATATATACTCAATAAGAATTTTAATTGGTAACTTGCGAGTTTGTATTTGTAGTGGGTTGATTAAATTCATGACAAAAAAATCCGGAATCATCTTTAATTCAAACTAGTTTTAATCTCATTCTTACATACATATTTTAAACTTGAGCTATCTATCATTCTTGATTCTTAACTATTACAAAATTTGTATTCAAATAGTAAATGTGGACCATTGATGAGACCATTATATATTTGATTGATTTCTTTTTTACTTATTATTTAAAAAAAAAAAAAAACAATTTTCGTTTGATAGAATTTCAAATTAAAATTAAATTATTAGTTATATATTACTTATATTTAAAAACTGTTTTTCATTAAATATATAAAAATTTATTATTAAACAGGTAACTGTATTTTTAGATTATTAACGACTTCAATGAAAAAGCTATTTCAAATTAAAAGTTACTGAATATACTACTATAATCATTTCTACTTTCATATTATTTTAATTTAAATTAATTTTAATAATATTATTTTAGCAAATTGTAAGTTGAAGAAAACACAATGGCAAACTCCAGAGATAATTCTGCATGTTATGGAGCTGAAGATAATAATGTATCTTCCATTGCTGAAATTACAGATAAAGTGATTAAACTTGAAGCTGACCTATTGAATGATAGTATTATTGAAATCCCAAAAACTGCTGAGAACAAAACCTTGTCCTCAGAACATCAGGTATATATCTATCATTGTCTTATATGAAAATCCTAATATACATGGATTAAAAAAAAAAATAGAAAGGTCTAAAAAATGTCTTTGTTTGTTTTTTTACAGAATGTATCTGATAGCAATATTCATTTAAATAGTGAAGATATAAATAGTAAAGAAACATTTTGTTGTAATATCTGTAAAAAGGACTTTGCATTTGAATTTCATCTCGAAAACCACATGGCAGAACATACAGAACAAACCCATTTAATAGATACATCTCTGAATCAAACACCGTTAATGGATACTAATCTAGATCAAACACAGTTAACAGATACTACTCTAGATCAAACACAGTTAACAGATACATCTTTGGATCAAACACAGTTAACAGATACATCTTTGGATCAAACACAGTTAACAGGTACTACTCTAGATCAAACACAGTTAACAGATACATCTTTGGATCAAACACAGTCAATGGATATACCTATTTTTAAATGCAATTTTTGTGATAAATCATTTAAGTTAAATTTTAGCTTCAATCGACATATGCAAAAGTATCACCCATGTGAAAATAGTGTTAGTTTACATAATATGTATGAGTGTAATACAAAATCTGATAACAAATCTGAATATGCTTTGAGTTTAAAACTTTCCAAATTTAATGGTATTTGGAAAAGTAAAACAAATAGTACTTATAAGTGTAAGATTTGTTTTGAACAATTTGATACTGAAGCTATTTTGGTAGAACATATGAACATACAGCATAATGAAGATCAAACACAGTGTCAAGATTCTTTAAATAAAAATTCATTTAAATGTCAAAAGTGTAACGTAACATTTCTTGAACAAGAGAATTTAAATTGTCATTTACTTCATTGCACGAATAGTTCTCGTAATTTATGGAACAATTTTTTTGGTAGTGCTAAGATTAATGAAACAAAATCCTATGTTTGTACAGCTTGTGGGGTTGCTTTCAGTAATTTATTGTTATTAAAAAACCATATGTCATCAGATTGCAAGTCTCATACTTGTAGTTGTTGCGAAAAAACATTTATTACAAAAGATTTATGGTTTAATCATATAACAGATAATAAAAAATTTGAAAAGTGTGTACAATTTTATGCAGTTAATAACAAAACGCCTGACAAAAACATAAATTTGGTTCATAATGATTGCAGACTAAAAATAAAGAAAGAAAAACTTTCAAACACTAATGTCTCAAATTGTAGTTCAGACAGTGCAGAAAGTAACAATGATTTGTTCATACAAAGTGTATCTCATAAATTAACAGTAAATGCTTGTAACACAGATAAAAATTATGAAAAAATCTCAAACACTACTACAAAAATACATTCAAATTCTACAGATGCAGAAAATCAAAGTAATTCATTTGTACATGATGTATCAGGTGTATCTAATATTTTAACTGTAAGCGATTTTAGCAGAAATATGAAAAGTGATAATATCTTGCCCATAACTGTTACAAGCAGAAATATTTCAATTTGTACGAACACAGAAAACAGTGATTCATCTGCACAAAATTTAGATGTGAACAATTATTCTGTTTTAAATATAAAGAAAGAAAAAAATGTATGTGCCACTTTAACGAAACAAACTATTTCAGTTTGTATGGACACAGAAAACAGCAGTGATTCAAGTTCACACAATTTATCTGAGAATTCAGGAGTGAACGATTTTTCTGATTTAATTATAAAGAACGAACATAATATATGCCCTTCTTTATTACCTCCAGGAACTAGTAATGATTTTTTGGTAGACGCAGAACATGTTCATAATTCAACGCATATGACTCACTCATGTAATATAATAGTGAAAAGAGAACCAGAGTATTTAAGTGGTGGTATTATTGAAAAAACTACTAAATATTTTTCAGTTAAACAATTGCCAAATAAACATTTTTCTCCTATAGCCAATGATGTTAATCGTAGACAAAGATCACAGACTAATATTTATTTATTTATCTGTAATGTATGTGAAATGTCAACATCTACAGATAGAGACACATTTGCAATGCACATGTCAACTCACAGTGAATGCGGTACCCGTGAATGTGTTGTATGCAATCAAGTATTTAGTTCCGTAAACCAATGGAAAAATCATATGACCTTTCATCAAAAACTCATCAATTTGCGTATGTCAAAATTATTACAACGTAGGACAGAATCTAGAAAAAGAATGCACTCTAATAATTCAGACACATCAATGGAGCCTCAAGAACTTTTAAGAAAAAGAAAAAGTCAGTTTCAAAATTCATCTATGAATTTAGTAATAAAAAAAAAGAACAATAAAAAAATTAAACGCATGTATACCTGTAATATTTGTTTTAAAATGATGCCTTCCGAGCTCACTTTAATGGCTCATCAAACACTCCATTCTGAATCACTTAATACTGGACCACTTCATTCTGAACCTCTTCATACTGAACCTGTTCATAGTGAACCTGTTCATAGTGAACCTCTTCATACTGAACCTCTTCATACTGAACCACTAAATACTAAACCATTGCAATTTTCTTGTAAATTCTGTGGTCGGACATTTACAACTAAGGGGGCATGTACAAACCACGAAAAAATACATAACCACTTAGGTAAACCACACCATAGCACAGTTGAAAAACCTAAACCAATATCAGATGACTTGATTGTTGAAAGCACTGAAGATAATATTGCATTTTGCAACTTATGCAATAAACAATTTGGACATAAAGGTGCACTAACCAATCATATGAGAATTCATTACAATTGCAAGTACAAATGTAATGTATGCGGTAAAAAATTCCGTACAAAAGAAATTTTAATGCAACATAATAAAAATCATTTAAGCAACGTTTTGGGTAATACTAATATTGAGAACAACGATCAAATACAAAATAATGAGGAACACCAAAATCAAAATGATGATTGTGCTCAATTTACTAAAAATTCATTAAAAAAGAAATTAAATAGTAAAATATTATTAAAGAAAACCAATATGAGGTTTGTTTGTGATGTGTGTGAGAAGAAATTCTCTAATGCAGCTCGACTAATAGTTCATAGAAAGTTCCACGGAAATAAACCATATTTGTGTAAAATTTGTGGTAGATTATATGCTTACAAATTTCGTTGGAATACACATTTAAAAAGCCATCATTTAAAGAGGAAAAATATTAAGAATCCAAAAAGTAACCATCAGAATCAATTTAAATGTGGAAATTGTAAAAGAGAATATAACATAAAATCCCAATGGAAAAGACATTTATCACTGAGTAAAGAATGTCGTAATTATGATTATAACAAATCAATGGAACGATTTGAATGTAATATTTGTCAGAAATCGTACAGTACCTTTTATAATCGAAAAGTTCATTTAATAAATGTTCACAAACAAATAAATCCTCAAACTCATAAGAATCATAATGATAATGATAATGATAATGCAGACATTGAAAATAAAACTATTAAAGGAAAACCAAAAAAGTTATTCCAATGTAAGTTGTGTGGTAAAAGTTACTACAATTCTGCAAATTTAAGGCGTCATCATGAATGTATACATTTAAATTCAAATATATATTGCAATATTTGTAAAAAAGTTTATAAACACAAATATTCTTATCAATTGCATTTAAGACAATCTAAAGAACACAAAGCACTCGAAAAAGCAAAACATCCAAAACAGCATATTGTATCAAACAACGGAAAGATAACTTCACAAAATGTTGAGAAGGATATAGTTCAAAGTACATCAAACAAATACAATGTAACTACCAAGCATCCTGAAAATGTTACTCAAAGTACTTCAAAATCGAATAATAGTAATGATTTGCCAGCCGAGTGTACAATTTGTTTCAAAATCCTAAAATCTCAATCATACTTACCTGCCCACATGAGACTGCACTCGGGTGTTAGACCATTTAAATGTATTTACTGTAATACATGTTTTAGATTCAAATCAAATTTAAGAATGCATTATAAAAAATTACATCCTAATAAAGAAATATTTATAAATTAATATAATATTCATAAATGTATATATTAATAATAAAACTACTGTAATTTAAATCTAAAAAAAAAAAACAATATCAATTTTACCCTAAAATGAATTTTTTAATTTTATTTTGTTGACTTAATAAATCATGTAAGCATATAAGCGATAAATCATTACATATAATTAATAATTTTACTACAAACAATTACCTAAATATATATAAAAAAAAAAAGGGGGTTTATTGAATAACGGCTTATAATGTATTGTACAAAAATATTTCATTAATTTTAGATATTTAATATTGTCCTTGATATTGTTGATAAATATTTCGGTATTATTAAATAAATACTAAAACATACTTTATCAAATGAGTATGATCAGTATCATAGAGATCAAATCTATATATTAATTTGCCTATTTGCCATTTCTATTATATATTATATTATATTAAGTATATCTTGTGTCTCTCGTAACAAGTTTAAATTTGTATGTATATTATTTAAAACAGATATAATTTAAAATTTTTAAAATACAATAACATACTCTATGCTATTAGTTTATATTAAGTTGATACATAAACATTTTTTAATTTAAAGTACCTCCCTATTGTATTAAAATATGATTGGTTAAGAATAATTATTAATTATTTTGTCTAATTTTAATATATTTAAAACCAATAATATTAGATATGTAATGTGTGTTTTAACAATAATTATGAATTTAAGATTCTTATTTTTAGTTGTCTAGTTTAATATTTAATCATTAGTTAATGTAACTTTTAATAATTGTTTTAAACAAATTATTTTATAACTTTAATCATAACTAATGTATTTTCAACATTTTCAAATAAAAGAACTAAATGGTATTGTTTTTTGTGTTCATTAATGATTTTTATATTCAGTTAAATTTAATTTTTAGATTCTGAGTGGAGTGAGAAATGTATTGGTTTTATAATAATGTTTTTTTTTTATGTGAACACTTTCTACCAGAAAGCATACTCCGATTATCAAGTATAGCACCTTTTCTGAAAGGAAATATTCTCTGTGTGGTACTTTAGCGAGGTTATTTTTAGAAATTCTCGTTAATATTCGAGATAATGAGGAAAATCTCGGTCTTTAGGTTAAAAAAAGATTGAAAGATTAAAAATGAGGTTGTCATTGGCAACCATTTTATTTATTTTTTGTTATTAGGTTTTTATTATTTTAATCTTTTTCAAACAATAATTTTTCTCATGGAAATGCACATTGTAATCATTTTACCGTAGTATGATATTTACCATTTTGTAATCATATTGTATTGTTGACAAAGCGACACTATCAACTGAACTCTGCTCAAAATTGTATTTTCGTTAGCAATGGTTTATCGTTACCTACAGAAATCAAATCTTACATTAAATTCCCGTCTTTGTCTTATCTTCCCAACTTAACACAGTGGTTGCACCCATGTGCAAAGTATGTTAGTCCTTTTTCACCTTTGTTTTACAAATATCTAGTAATGAATGAAAGGCTAAATTTTTCTTTATATTTTTTCATTTTATAGATATATTATAAACATTGTTATAATTATATAGATTGACTTAGGAGATATATTTTTTAATCATTTGTAGATTGTATTGCATAATTGTTGAGGTAAATATAAATATCAACATATTACACATTATGATTACATACGTATATATAGCAGCGCCATTGGGAGGGCAAGAGCTAAGGGGGGACATGTCCCCCTCAGAAAATAATAAAGTATGCAAAACAAAATAAAAGTGTTCATAATTGAAGATAAACAAACTTAATTTATTAACAATGTAATAAAAAATGTTGATCTTATAAAAATAAATTTGTAATTTTATTTTTGCATTGGTAGGTATTTTATATGATTTTTATACAATAATATTTGTAGTGTTATTATTTTAAAAATAATATTAATCTAATTGTCTACTCAAATGTATAATGTAAACTATAAGCAATAGAATATTATATTGTCTTGATTTCAGCTTTTAGTTTTAGATTTTGAGCGGAATGTATTGGTTTTACAATGATGTTAATTTTTTTTCACTGTGTACAAAAATTCTACCAAAAATCTTGTTCCGAAGTATCAAGTGTATCGTTACTTACTGATACAAATTAATTACCCCTCTATATCCTACATTCTCAACTTCTCACCAACAGTGGCTGCACCCATCGTGCGAAGTATGTCAGTCTTTTTTTATATACATTTTTGTTAAAAATGGTTTAAAACTTCTTATATTTATTTATTTCATTTGGACTGCCGAATTGAATATTTGTTATTTTTTTTTAATAAGCAATTACAAATTCGTAAAAAAAAATATTATTAAATTAAAATGAAATTGTTATGTTTGCAAATAAAAAAAGAGCAATCAAAATGATTTTACTTTTTTTTTTTGTTCCTAGATAGGTTTGATAAATAACCAACTTAGGATGGTGTTACATAGTTAATGAATTTCCCCTCCTTACAAATGTATTTAAGGGGCTTTATAAATATACTTTTATAGTACTGCACACAAAGAACAAGAATACCACAATAGATATTACTGTATTCTGTTGGTGTAAAATAAACTATAAGTTCCATAAGTATCCACTAAGACGGCGCTAGTAATGCTAGAAGGGAAATATCCCCTGCACTCCGCCTATTCTATTACATTTCGTAACCGTAGTATTCATCTCGTGTCCAGTGCTGTATATCTTAGTCCGTGATTTTTGATTGTAACGGGCCAAAAGCAGTTCTCTTAAAACGGATAAGAAAAAACAAAAAATAATATCTCACACCAATCAAAAAATGTAAATTATTCCAAATAATAATTTAATATCAGGTTTGTGTGTCAGCCTGTATCGTGAACTAAGATATACAGGACTGAAAAGAGCTTTTTAGCTTGTTTATTTTATACCAAAATATAAAAATTGAATTTAAATTTAAATATTTGTAGTCCTTATCCCTGCAATTAATGTCAAAATTTGAATTTTAGAGCGCCGAAAGCTTCGCCCTCACTCCTTCCAATTATATACCTTGGAATTAACGTTATCGTGAGCCAACAAACGATCAAGACATAAGATAACAAGACGAAATAGAACAATATAGGTACAACATAAAACAAATATTATTAAAGAAAATATATAATGCATATGTAATTATTTTACTATAATATGATATATATATTGTTGACAAAGCAACGCTATTAACGAAACTCCGCTCAGAATCGTTTTTCAATGGTCAATCGTTGATTACAGATTTATATTAAAGTTTCCTTCTACTTTTCCAACTTCTCACCTATAACAGTTGTCTACCCATGATCGTGTGAAGTATGTCCGTTTTTTTTTATGACCTTATTGCATGACCCGGCGTAGGTAGGGGGCTATTGGTTTTACTATGAAGTTTATCTTTTTTCCTTCTAGTCTGTGGACGCGTCTTTTCTAGTAAACTTGTTTCGATTTTTATACGTGTAGCAACTTTTCTGAAATCTCAAGGTGTCTAGATGGTATTTTAAAGAGGACTTTTTTTGATTTTCGACGCCATTCTTTAAATAAATGCACTTAAGCGAGAAAAAAAGTAGTAAAACGTACAATTTCACGATTTTATTATTTTATAAAAACACGGACGACGTTTTCTACCAGAAAAAAATGATTTAATTGAAGATACCTTTTTTGTTGCCTTTTTGATTCAATTTATTACGGTATCATTGCTTAAAATTTTGAGTCACTTTTGAGCTTTTAAGGAATTTTAATTTTTGGGAGTTTTTTGCTGTGATTCAGTTATAAATGTACGTAGAGACTTGAAACTTGGTAATAATACTTATATTAGACTGACCTAGACGTGATAACATTTCTAAAATCATCAGATGATTTTTTTTTTTTTTAATATTGTTTTTTAAATCAGATTTGATTGAATGAAAATCCCCAAAAAAATTACGGCGCTTCAGATTATGTATTATTGAACTGCACTCGAAATCGTCTTTTGTCAAGCAATGGTTTATCGTTGCTAACAGATACAAATGAAATAACCTTATGTATCCTACATTCCCAACTTTTCACCTACAACAGTGGTCGCTCTCAACTCTTTTTACTTATATGTGTACTAACATTTTGTTTATTTTTATTGCATTGATGTTGTGAGTTTAATATTTGTTAAACATTTGTTTTTAAACTATTGTGAGTAGCCATACAGTAAATAAATAAAATAACCACACTAATAATGTTGCACAATTTTTTGTCCATGTTAATATAGCCATGCAGTCCTTATGATAGAAACTACCGGCTAGAAACCCATGATACAGATATCCCCACAACTTATAGTGGCCACCACTTCTTAAACACCTTGATTGTTCATTTTTTTACGTAAATGTATTACTTTATAAAAAAAAAAAAAAACTCCTAAAATTCATTCAGGATACTACCCGTTTACACTATCTACAGTATTATAAAGTAAATTGTTTCGATGATCTATAAAAACAAAAACCATTTAAAGTAAAATACTTTACTATTTTCATTAATAATTTTCTAGGTCTTATTGGATACTATTATTTAACCTATTAAATTATATTTAATTGAGGTTAACTGTTAGTTTTTCACTCCGTTTTAACGTCTTAGAAATATCGGCGGAAGTGTTATTTAATATATATTAATGATCAAGGTTATTTATTTTATTATTATTTCAATACACGTCAAACTTAAATTATTTTTCGGTACCCACGAGTCTATATAACTAATAAGAAAATGATAGGAAAATAAATTTCATATTTTTGTACTTGACAAAATATTTTATTGGTACGCTCATGATATAAACCTACTTGATGTGTATTGCAATACTAGGTAGTTATAATTTTCAAAAATATTACAAAGTAAGTATATACTATATAAATTCAATTGAATAGTGTAAACGTTGATTGGGGTTTCAAGGGTATCATATAATTATAAAATTTGTATAGTGTAATAATAATGTTCGTCTTAGACGTCTATCATTTTATTAACATCGTGGAACCCATTATCAATTATTGATTAATATGAACAATATTCATTAGAAATTCATTGTAGATTTTATTATTAATTTGGGTAAAAACAATTAATTAGTATCCCTGCAATTAACAATTTAAATATTTATGGAAAATAAAAAAAAAATAACGAAATCTATACTAACAAAGACGGTCAAATGACCCAAATATATTTCACTTATTCTAAAAAAATTTCTTCGGTTATAATAAATATATTAGTTTAATTTTTGATTATATACAAACAAATAATTGCAAAATATTATTTAAAATGCAAAACAAATAAATATGATACTAATAAAACTATAAAGATTAAAAAGACGTCCTAAGATAATGGAGTCGGGTGCAGTCACTGTAATAAGTAATATATTGTATACCTATAAGCAACGATAAACCATCGCTAACGCAAAAACGATTCTGAGAGGAATTCAGTTGATAGTGATGCTTTGTTAACAATACATATGACAATATTATGGTAAAATAATTAAATAGGGATTTTATATTTTCTTTAATAATATTTGTTTAATGTACCGATTTTCCCGATTTTCCTACGTTTTTCCCAGTTTTCCCATGTTTTTTCCTGGTTTTTCACACTTGCTGGAAAAACTCTTGAAAATCTAAAAATAGCCTCCTAAAGTACCTACCCAATCAGATTTCTTTTCAGAAAAATTGTTATTGTAAACCAATGTAAGATTGCTCGTAGAAAAGTTGTTCACGAAAAATAAAAGGCCGAAATATTGTTCAACTAATACCTAAATTTCGTAATTTTCCTGTTTTTCTTATTTGATGAGAACATTTCTAAGAAAAACGAAAAATTACCTCTCTAAAGTACTTCCCCAGCATGGAAGTAAAAAGGGGAGGCTTAGGAGAGCTTAGCCCTTCTTGAGCCATCTTAAGCCCTCTCTAAGATATTTTAATGTTTATAGGTAGTTTCTATTAGAATAAATTATATAATTTATAATCTATGATAAAAGTTATAAATATAATAATAGTAATTCACTGAATTTTTATTTTAACGTTCCAATATTAGTGATAGATGGAAACGACTAGTTTTGACTTCGATTATCAATCGATAGTTTAAAAAAACAACCGAGAGATTTATCGATTGAATTTATATTTTTATTCATCGATTGCTTTGGACGATAGTTTTCATTCAATAGTACCACTGAATAATTTTAGATTCTGAGCGGAGTGAATAATGTATTTGTTTTACAATGGTGTTTATTTTACATTTTTTCTGTGGACAACCTTTCTTCCAGCGATTTTTCTCCGATTTACAATGATAGCACTTTTTATAAAATGAAATTTAATGGGGGGAGGGGGGTACTTTAGGGAAGTCATTTTATGATTTTGCCAGTAGTTTTCTCTATAAATGGGAAAAATCAGGAAAAACGTAGGAAAATCGGGCTAATAGATACAATATTAAACAAATATTATTAAAAAAAATATTTAATGCAATGTAATTATTTTAAAATAATATGATATATACATATTGTTCACAAAGCAACACTATCAACCAAATTTCGCTCCAAATCGTTTTTTTGTTAGCAATGGTTAATTGTTGCTTACAGATAAACATTAAATTACCTTTAACAGTGGCTGTACCCATCTTTATTATCCTAGGAAAACTGTTTACTGTCGATAGTTTAAAAAACAACCTATTTTTTTTTTTTTTTTGGACAGGACCCGTTTGGACCAATTTTGAAGACCCGTTTGGGCTATAAAATACTACTTTTATACAGCCCATTTGGAACATAATTTTCTTTATATTAGTTTAAATGAACGTTTATTTAACGAGCCTCTATGTAGTAGTGTTTTATCTGTGTTGTTTTACCATGTATAAGACCTTGATACACAGATATCTTATACATAAAAATAATAGATATAGGTATATATTTATTATTTAATATAACTGGATTTTTGGTATGTTTTAAAACTAATTTGATACACAGAAATTGTATGTAAACCTAAATAATTTGCTTTAAAAATTAGTTTTCGTATAGTTCTCGTGAACATTTATTTAGCGAGCCTTTATAGAAATTTAAAAGTATTGGTCCAAAAGGGTTCACTAAATTCTGGTCCAAATGGGTGGCAGTTTTATTAGTGGTTCCTGGTCCATCCGTACTTTACATTATTTTTTTCAACTGAAAATAGATATTATCAATAGAATGAACTACTACTATTCGATAGTCCTATAGTCGATAGTTACGATAGTATAGGCGATAGTTTCTAGAAGGAACTGAGTAAATTGACAATTAAAAACTATCGAGTGGTCCGATAGTTTTCACTTGGTAGTGTCTATCATTATGATCAGTTGTCTATTATAACGGTCTGACACATAAATGTATCGTCTTACAGTAATGCGGGTGCCGGTGGTCCTTTTGGGCTCAAGCCCTATGTATCTGAATATATATATATGCCATATTATAGTAAAATAATCGAATGGGCTCTATGTATTTTTACTTTAATAATATTTGTTTAATGTTGTACCGATTTCCTCTGTTTCCCTACGTTTTCTTGGTTTTCCTATATTTTTCAAGTTTTTCACATTTGCTGAGAAAACTCCAAAGAAAATCTTAAAACGACCTTTTTAAAGTACTTCCCCAGTGAAATATCCTTTTAGAAAAATTGCTATCATTGAAATTTGAAGCAATGTTGCTGGTAGAAAAGTTGCCCATAGAAAAAAAAAATAAGTTATCTTTGTAAAATCATAAGCTTCTTCGCTCCACTCAGAATCTAAAAATGGACATCCACAATTTACACACATATATACATACGCATATAAATAATTCCCTAATAACTAGCGATGAAGGTCAACGTTCAAAGATAATGTTTTCAATATTGAAATTAATTTTAAGTTTGACAGTAATTATAATCCACCTAAAATTGAAGGCATATATTTTCGAAACCGTTTGCTGATCAACTTGTTTAAATTACATTCAACGAGAGTTGCTAAAGAAATAATACCTTCGTGCACTGATGACCAATATTATTAAAATACAATATCGGCATTTGACAAACGCTTATATTTTAGATCTAAAATCGTACGCGTGTGCACGAATGACTGCATCCTGAATTCTCTTAGGCGCATTCCAAAATAGTAATATATTATTATTTGTTTCCCGCATCGTTGAATGTCTATCACGCTCCAATAAGCGATTGTCCTGTAGATTTAATTTTCAAAGTTTCCATTTAATGGACGCTATAAATATATTTGGGGGAATTTGTAAATTTACAATCGGAGAAGTCGTGCCCTGCGTGAGATTTTGTATTGTAAAAAACAAACCGTGACAAGAAACGTATTGTTTTGTCTGGATTTTGAATCGGAGTTCAAATTATTCTTTTGTGGAAAATTGGACTTGGGTATTCTAACTGAATAATGTGCGTTTTAATTAAAAAAATGTTGATTGATTTGTATTGTATTTACCTAGACATGTACTTTCAGACTTACGTTCTTTCGCAGCATTTAAAATTTTCACAGTTATTGCAAAAGTTTAGCCATAATAATAAAATATAATATAATATGGTGCACGGTAGAATAAAATTAAATCTAACTCGCCAAAACTAATTTCTACCAGAAAACTTGCTCCAACCAAATATCACAAAAAATCTTTTATTTGTTGTATTTTAAATCTTGATGGTGTGTAAGAAAGTCGTTTTCATAATAATTAGGAAAATAGGAAAAAAAATGTATAGACGGATTTGTGCATACGGACATTACTTACTTATACAGGGTGATCAGCATAACGTAAGACATTTATTATATGTAGTCTCGCCAATAATGGGCAGTATTCCAAGAAGCATGGCAGAGCCGAGCTTGTGAGTGAGAGCCATTAAATTGGGATCGCTTGTCTTCTGGTGCGGATTCCAGGCCTCAGGTTCCTGGTTTGGGTGGTTTGCAGGGCGATGCGGATACCTGTTAGGAGTGATGATTGTAACCGTTCCGGACGGTATTTCGCCCATGTGCACTGTAGTGCAGTTGTTAATGAATGCAATTTCCAAGCAATTAGCAAGCACAGGGTTTGTTTGTAGGCATTCTGTGATTACTGAATATACTCTAGTTATCACGGATCTATGGCTGTAGGAATATATCGGAATTCTATTATGATAAAAATATCCGTACCTAATACTAGGTAGGTACGGATATTTTAATATAGGGTCTAATTATTTTCTAAATTCACTATCTATGAAAGTATTTATTTTTTTCAGATTTTGTCTTTCAGAATATTTAAGAAACGAGTAATTCTAAAATGCAACCTTGTCTTTTTTTTTTTTGTCAACCTTGTTTTAAGAGGTAAACCATGTATTTACTTTTGATTTTCAAATGGCAACCTATATTTATATATTTATTAGTTTCATTTAATTTTGGTGTTGAAATTTTAAATTTCTGTCAACCAGTTGACAATATAATCTATTTTAAGCTTCGATAAAGGATGAGTAATGGTGTTTTTTGTATCACCATATAAATACATGGTGGCACGGTGCTCAGCGTTTTAATAATGTTACACCTCTCACCGCCTACCCAAATTTAAAATACCCTTTCAACGGGTTGAGGAAAATCAGAAATTTCTACACTAAGATTTATTTTAACTTATACTCCATCCATAATGAGCGGTGAATCTATTGGTTTTACTACTTACTATTTTTTTTCTGTCTGTAAACAACTTTTCGAAAAGAAAACTTGCTTCGATGTATCAAGTATTTAAGTGCAGCATCTTTTCTAAAAGGAAATTTTATCTAGTTAATACATTAATGAAGACATTTTTTAATTTTCCTAGAAGTTTTCATAATAATTGAGAAAAAAATTATAGGTAAAATGGAAAATTTTACAGCCCGCTGTGGCATTACCGATTTCATTTTCATTAATTTGTGTTCACTATGTTTTCTATCAGAAATATTGTTTCAATCGAAAATGGACAAGAGATTAATTTTGTTTAATTTTCGATTAAGTTGCTCACCAAGTAGGCCGTTTTTCGATAATTAAGGAAGTTTTCATGAGAATTGGGAAAAATCAATCAGGACGAAAAATATAATTTTTTTTTTCAAATTACGGCATAACGATTTCATTATTTAAAATTGTTAAGATTATATTTTTTACCAGAAATCTTTGTCCAAATTTCAAGAACACTGTACAGTATATTTTCTGAATGAAAGTTATTTCTAGTTTGTGAGCGAAAAAGTCTTTATTTAATTTGCCATATAGGTTTCCTTATGATTACGAAAAACCGTGGAGAAACGTAAGAAATACGGCTGAGTGTACGGCAATTTGGGTATTTTGTTGTAATTCGGTTAAAAACTATTGTAGAATCGTTTTTTCGTAAGCAATGGTTTATCGTTGCTTACAGAGTACAGGTACCCTATACATTAAATTATCTATAACAGTGGCTGCACCCGTCCCCATTATCCTAGGACGTATTTTTCAAGTTTCAACTGTAACAATAAATAGTAAATAAGGACTTTCGTGAGATACGCTATTTTCGTAAGTAAATAATTTAATTTGACGTGCCACCGCGGTGACACGTCGGTGACATGATTTTATTATTTCGGTAATAACAATAACGCGTTTAGTCAGCGCGGTAAAGTGTTGGCCGCGGCCGAACCAATTTTCCCCTGGACTGCGCCCGCCGTCGCACTGTGAGCGGTCTCCGGCGGCTGCGGCGATTGGCGGGCGTCTACGCTATCCGTGGTGCCTTCCAAACGTTAAACGTTTGCCATTATTCATTTCATTTACATTGACAGTTCGGCTTCTGGAATACGAAACCGCTTTATGTATCGATTACCGCGTTCTGGAGACGCCGTTCCGGCGGTAATTTTGTCTTTTGTCGTTGGCGTACCGAACCGAGTAAGTATTGTCCATGTTGCGTACTCGTGCCGGCCGTGTTTTTTTTTTCCGTCACAGTTTTATATTTGTACGACCGGCCGCGGCGATTACATTTCCGTATCTGTCGCGGATACGTACGTCGCCCGGCATTTTGCCGGTGGAAGTTTTGCGCGTAATTGTCCGTGGCCCGTCAACGAACGAAGCCCGGCCTCTGCCGCGGTCGGGCGACCCCAAAGCGGCCCTGGCAATGCCGGCGTGAGGTTGCTTTATGCGATGTACCCATACGATATTATATTTTGTACGTGTGAAGTATCGAATTTTCCCCAAAAATTGATTTTTTTTCGCCGTAGCACATTATACCATAATAATTGTATTTAACTCGACAACATTTTTTCTTTTTTAATATATATTTATATATATATATATATATATATAAATATATAGGTACTTTCAACTATCTACGTATTAAAATATAATAATATTGGCATAATTACAAATTCGCAATTGAATTTATACGTATAACTTGTAATAAACATGATAAATTAATAATATAATAATTTTAACATAAATAGAACAATTGAAAGTTGACATTGGATATTGCAATGTATATTCAATTTATTTTAATGTTATCTTCCTATTTTTATGTTTATTAGAAAATGTATCAATAACATAATCAATGTTCTATTGTTTTGTTTCATATTTTTCTATTGAAATTAAATTTAAACCGGACATTGGGTCGTGCGTGATTCATAGAATTTCTTAAGTAGTTTTTAACTCTTTTCATACATGTAAATGTGCATTCAGCTGTCGATGAATTACTATACTATGCAATTTATACATCTTAGAAAACGCTATTTTATACAGCTTCAAAAAACTGTGAAATTGGTAATGTTTTTTATAAAAGTATTATTTATTTTATTTTAAATATTTTTTCAATATGTTTAATTCAGATTTAATATTACTGCAATAAGAAGAATAAATTATAGCCATAGATTCAATTACATCCGAGGGGTAAACCATTAACCACCTAATTTTTGTGGTACACTAGATTATTGATTATCAAGAGTATCAAAGATTATTAAAGATTTTCTAAGATTACCCAGGGCCGACGCTAGGTTTTTAAACGCTAGGCAAAATATTCCAAAGGTCTCTGAAAACAGCTTTTACATAAACCTATACATTTTACTCACCCCCATAATCAGGTATCGGTCATTTAAGGTGCTTATCTCCCTAGACATTTTAAAAGCTCCCAAAATTTTAACACAAGACTCCGAAATTGTATGACCTTTATTATTGATGTTTATCTCTTGTTAATTTTTTTATCATCATTACAATATAACCCTGCCCCCTTTAAACCAATAAAATATCTACCTCCACCTATGTTAAAAAAAAAAAAAAAAACCATTTACTCGCCAACTAGATTAAAAATGCAACAAAAAAGGTTTCTTGTCGTTTTTCAATTGGAGCAATATTTCTGGTATAGAAAACATACGGCAGTCGTCATAACCGCACAGTTTCAAAAAGGGTCGTCGTTCAAAACCGCACACTTATCCAACAAATCGAGGGTTATTTTCAATTAAAATTGTCCAAATGAGCGCAGTGAGCAAGTCACCACACTGGTTCTCTAATTTCACACATAATGCTTTTCATTACCAATCACATGTTTGCGGCTTTGAATTATCGACCTTCTAAATTTCCATATTTAACAACAGACAAAATGTGTGTGGTATTGAACCACGCCCAAAGCATAGTTTGCTAATATTAAAAACAATGAAATCGGTAAATATTTGTCGGTTTTACTATAATTATCTTTCCGGTTTTTCGATTATTTTGAAAACTCTTGAAAATCAAAAAATTGCTATTCGAATGCATTAACTACATAAAATTTCCTTTAGGTGTTACACTCTATTTATCAAAGCAAGAGTCACTTAAAACTTTTCAAATGAAAACATATAAAAGGTCAACCAAACGTATTTAATTTGAAACTTGATTTGAGTTGACACGAATAACTTAGACGATCGAACCAAGTTAAATATTTAACACCATCATTACGAATTATTTTAACTCTCAAAATATCTATGTGTGTGTAAAACGATTAAGTTGATTTTTCTAGAAGTTTGTGGTACAATGATGTGGAATAAAGATAATTCCGTTTACACATTCCTTATTCCTAATATGTCTTGTAACAATTCTTTAACATATTTCTTTAATTGATATTTTTTTTTTCATAGCATACCTATTTATTTCTTATTTTACAAAAATCGGATGTAACATAAAATATGTACGTCAAAATAACGTACAGTTAAATATTAATAATGCATGTTAGTTTAACACTGACAGCGTGTATTTATGAAAATATTCGCTGATATTGTGACAAAACCCGATTTATTAATATTAATACATCACTGGGCGCAATATTGCGATACAAATTATGCAACTGTGTGATGTAAGTATAGGTAACCATAGGTACTCGTATTACGTGGGATCTATGAAAAAAAAAAAAAATCTCACATTTCAGAGGGATGGTACGGCTACACCCCTTAAAACCTCACCCTTGGTTGCGTCACTGCAGTAATGAAGGGTCTTTATCATACAACAATAGTATATGCGTATTTATAGAAATAATGAATTGAAGGGGCATACACACACACACAAAAACCGTGTATATCGTATTTATGTTACAGTTTGTTCACGGAACACTTTTTTCTAGTTTAATAATTGATAATATTTACACTGGTGGAGGGTTTTTATTAGTTTCTTTTATTAAATAATTAAACTTCGTTTAAATTGTTTTAGAATAAACACGTGGGCACATCTGGGCACTGTTGTCTTGTGCCACCCTACAATAACAGCTGTATAGAATTCATAGTATGATATTTTACAAATTATTAAGTTTTACATATTTTAAGTAAAGTTATATAATTCAAAATATATTTTTGGTTGCATCCCGGAAAAAAAAAACCAATATTTTAGTATAAATAATATTATATATTATAATTATAATATTATAAGAACACTGGAAATTATATAAAAATAATAAAATTATAAATATTAATAGGTATGTTATTTTTATTGAACTCTAAATTATGTTCCCTAATATTGTTTTTTTTTTTTCATTTTTGAAAGCAAAAGCATTTCATAATTTTTCCTAGAAATTTCTAATACTAAACAATTATCTGTATACCTACCTATAGTATTACTTGTTATTAAATTCCAATAAATTGAAAATTAAATAAATAATTTAACGATTTTATTTCCTTCGGATTTTTTTGTGTACCACATTTTTAAGTTAATGCAAATAAAAATAAGTCAAGTAGATAATAAATGAAGTTAAATAATTATTAATTGATTGTCTTTGAATTTTAATTTCGGCATTGAAATTACTACACAGATGGCGTGAAAAATAATGTGGTTTGAAAAAAAAACACGTGGTTTTTTTTTTTAAAAATCGCGGATGAATGGACTGCGTTTCGTTTATCGAACGGATTGCGGGTATACAGTGTCAAGAATGCGGTGCTTGGTAATATTCTGGTCCCCTAATTTCCCATTGGTCGGTTCACTCCGCTCTATACAATACCTACACGACTGCATACCAAAATATACTCGTATAGGTTACATTATTTACATGTATTGTACAATTTTCATCAGACATTCCGATTCCGTCTACTCGGTGTGTAATATTATTATTTCGCGGACTAGATAATTTTTATGTCGTTGAGAAAAATAAAAATCAAGTCGGCGCGCGGCGATACAGAAAACGAATTATTATTTTGTTTACGTCGTCGTCCGGCTATCGCGAACCGAGCGATACGTAATATTTTACACAATATTTTGTTTATATTCGGGTAATCGTGTAAACAAATTTATAATAGACGCGTTTTCGAGAGACGATTCGGAGGCGTTCCGAACGCTGTTGTGCGTATGGATTATATTGCGAGGTCCGTACGGTCATCGTACCCTACGGAAATCGTACGGGCGCATCCGGTTCGTCGGCGGCGGCTGCGGCGGCGGCGGCGGAGGAATCGTACAGAAAATCGCGAACGACCGCGTCTGGTCCGGATCTAGCCAAATTTTTGGCTGTTTATTTATTTTCATTATTATTTATTTATTTTTTTTTTTTTTCTACGGCGTTGTTCCCGCGAAAGCGATCGCGCGCCACGGCCGACCTTGAACCCTCGACGGTTTTACGCATGCCCCGTGACCGGACAAAAAGCGTTCTCCCTCTCTCGTCTGTTCGCATCCGCCGACCGGCGGCGGCGGCGGCGGTTCGGCTCCTCAAGCACGTCGCGTCGTACACGCACGCACTGACACGCACGCGAAACAACGGCTAACACTCCGCTAGATCGGATCGCAAGACTATTATCACTCGCACGGCACGCACAGGCCCGTCGCGCATTGTTTTCTAGGTTATGTTATGGTTCGGTCGTATGCTCGGGTTTTTTTTTTCTTTATTAATCTGGTTGCCGTTAGTGGTAGTGGTAGTAAATAGTAGACAGTGACGATTGATAATAATTGCTCACGTGCCTATATATTCCGACGGGCGAGGGATTTCGGTGCGCCGAGCGCTCTCGGAGGGGTTACAATAATATAAATGCACGAACATATTTCAGCCGGAAAATATATTCACGAAAAATATTTCAGTGTTCAACGGAAACGTGTTTTATCCGAAAAGTAATAAACACGAAACGCGTGGATTGGTCGTAATTGGCCATAAGGGGGGGGATTAGGTTAGTGATGGTGGGATAGGAAGTATAGAAAAACGTTCTATACGTTACAGCTTACCCATTACTCGGTGTGCTCAATGGCGCCGAGTGATGTTAGAGCAGGCAGTTCAAATCTTAATAATCCACCCATTTCTTCTATTTTACCAATCCCTAGAAAGCATATTTTTTATTTTTATAGCTATACTAATTTATATGTGAATAGCGTTACTGAGATAATTTGTCTTGTCATGTATTAATTTCGTTTTGTTATAGTAGTAATTTTGTTTGTTTAAATTATTTCAAATCAACTGAAATCTTTTAAAAATTGGCACTTTTTCGCTAGTTGTTTTATTAATTTTATTATCAAAAATATTCCGAAGAATAATTTCAAATATATGGTGAGGAAAATGTACATTTTTTTCTGAAAGTTGTTTCAGTAAGCCACAAGTACCTCCCTTTTGGTCACTATTCACGGTATTTGTATCAAATGAAAGCATTTTTAACGAATTACCATGTAAATTAAAATCTGTTAATCTGTCAAAAATGGCATTGATAATTTGGTAGTTCCATGTTTTTTTAAAAAAAAAAACAGCTAGAAGTTGTTCGACAACACTAATACTAATAAAGTAATAGCTATTAAAAGTCTATCGATAGTGTCTTTGTTCATTAAGTTAGGAAGTAAATAAACGTCTCAATTTATAACTTTAAACCAGTGGTTGTAAATCATATTCATTAAACTAATCCCTTAATCAGCCATCTTTTGACAAGTAAGTATACTGTATCTAATTAAATAAAAATAATTTTCATTATTTTTTTGTATAAAAAAGCAACGTTAGGACTATTTGCATGACCTACTTACCCATTTTAAGGGCAGTTCAATTGAACTACTTAAAGTAAGTGTTCGGCACCAGTGATCGTTTTCTCTCACAAAGATAATTGTTTTTCGATAGCCAAAGTAGTTTTTATAATAATTGGGAAAATCCGAAAAAGACAAAATATACAATTTTTTCCCAATTCCAATAGTTTTATTTTTATAAATTTGGACGGCATATGTTTTCAATCATAAATATTGTTTCACTTAAAAAACATTAATAGATCTATTTTGTTGAATTTTTAAACTACTTGGTGAACAAGAAAGCCGTTTTTTTGATTTTCTTTGTAGTTTTTTTAATGATTGAGCAAAACCGTAAAATACGTAAAAAACTTTACGAAAACAATTATTTTAGTTTCCGAGCGTATCAAGGGAGCTATTGGTTTTTAAAATGTTTATTTTTTCTAGTCTGTGGACACGTTTTTTCTAGTAAACTTGTTCCAGTTTTTTTACGTGTAGCAACTTTTCTGAAAGCTCAGGTTGTTTAGATTGTACTTTAAACAAGTTATTTTCTGATTTTCGACGCAATTTTTTAAATAAAAGCACTTAAGCGGGTAAAAAAGATAGGAAAACATACAATTTCACGATTTCATTATTTTATAAAAACACGGACGACATTTTCTACCAGAAAAAATGATTTTATTGAAAAATCACAAGATACCTTTTTTGTTGTCTTTTTGATTTTCTTTCTTATGGTATCATCATCAAAACTTTTGAGCTTTTAAGGAATTTTAATTTGTTTGCTGCAATTCGTTTATAAATACATTGCAAAGACTTGAAATCTGGTAATAATACTTTTGGACGGACACATGATTTCAATTAAATAAATTTGATCATCACATGTAAAATGTCCAAGTAAACTATATCCTAACCAAGGACAATGAATATTAACAATAAAACCAGATTTAATAAGAGTAATGTTTTTTAATTTTTCAAAAGTTTTAATAGTCAACGGTTTATTTTCCATTGCATATTTAGTAGCATTATTCCCATAAAACCTTGAAAACAATAAGGATTTCAATTTTAAATTAATATTTTTATTTGGCAGTGCCCTACGAAAATAAATAAATAATTTAAAAGCTGATATATACCTGTAATTCTCAATTGATGAGACATATGCCATAACGGCCATACTTGAGACAATGTACTATTACACAGATTTACAGATTCTTGTTCATTAATTAAAATTTTTTCTTTATAAAAATTAAAAGCATCTAGAGAACAATTAGCATAGATATATTATTTTTCTCATCATGGATAATTGAATTATGTGCAGTTACAGATACCAATTTAATATAAAAGTTACTTATATCATAACTGGGCATACTGATTACCTACTGTGTCTTGCGATGCATTAATCTGAGGACTATGGTGACTTTGTAAATGGATGGATGTTGCTCAATCTGGAAAACCTAAAAAAATATTAAATGTTAGGGTACTAAGAAATAATGTAAAATTTACCTAACGTATTTCTCAAAATTAAATAGTTATTTAATAAACATGCATTGAATAATTTACATTTCACGCGCAATACCTGAAATCATTATTTTATTTAATAAATAATTAAAGCAATTTAACAGGACATAAATAGTAACTAATTTCGAAAATTTATAATCTTACACAGTTATATATTATAACCTACATACCTACCAATAATCTGACGGGACCTTGCCGCCGTTTTTGTTGAATAGTTCGACTGTGAATACGACTACACGTGCGCGTGTCGTCACGTCCCCGTCGACTTTAGCTTGTACCGAGTGATCCATTTAAGTGGAAAGTATTAACGTTTTCGGAATTTGTTTTTTGAACATTTGAGAAAAAATCAGCTCTACAATTTTATATTTATGGTATTTTTGTTCACCCTTTTTTGGGAGGGTAACCCCCCCCCCAAGTATCATTTGTGTGGCGGTACGGCGGGCGGAGTGTTAATAATGCACCACTACTCTCCTCCAAACTAAACTTAAAAGTGGAATATCTCGTCTACGGCAACGGTTCGACAGAAATCGAAAATTTAACCATTGAAATTTCTTTTAACTAATACACCGTCTATTTGTGGGCTTTTTGAAATAGGTTGCCATTTGAAAATCAAAAGTTGACCGTGATTTTACCCACAAATAAAAGGGGAACAAAAAAAAAATAACGCGAATATAAAATTGTAGAGCAGTTTGTTTCTTAAATGCTCTGGAAAACGAATTCCGGAAAAAGTTGACGCTTTCCGAGATAGCGAGCGTGCACCCGCTCGAATGGATCACCACCGCCACCACCACCACCACCTTCTATAGCGCAATAGTTTTGAGCGAGACGCGCCGGGCCGCCCGGAGGTCCCTAGAAAAATAATAATATCACGGGCCGCGCACCGCGTGCGTATTATAAATTTATTAACTCGCGGACGACTGGGAAGTTAGGGGGAAAACGGAACGAAATGCGGCCGGACGAAACGACCGGCCCAGTCCGGCGTAGGCGTCGCGACGGCGACCGCTCCGACGCCGCCGCCGCCGCCGTCGATTAAAAAAAAAACTGTTGTCGTCGTCGCTGCCGTACCGCTACCGCCAGACGAGACGTAAACATAATAACGGGACACCGACGCAACTCGCGTAAACAACAATTATTATTAATACGACGTTCTTGACGGGAGAATAATAATTGTACGCGGGCCGTCTGCGGTAACAATATTGTTAAATTTACCGGACGGGCTCTTGATTCTGACCACCGCGCGTCGTTTACGAATATTATCGATGCACGGACAACCCGTTCGTCCCTCGACAACGCGGTCGTTGCTGTTAAATATTATCGCCCATTCATTTTTTTTTTTTTTTTTCATATCAAATACGTCTTGACGAAACCGGAAACACGTTTATCCGGCGGCTTGCGTACGGTCGCCCCGAGTTATTTGTGATTAGAGGACATAATGTTATTGTCGTCGTTATGGGAAAAACGAGTGGGGTGCTGTTTGTGATCGTTTGTGTCTGATGATGATACCGCCGCGCCGCGCCGTCGCCGTCATGTCGTATTCAGTGCATTCGGCCGTTTTCATCGTTGCAATAACATTATTCTGTTTCGAATATTAACGCAGTATATTTTCATGGTGACCTGCGAATATTAACTATAATAATATAAATTTTGAGAACAAATTGTGTGGGTATAAATGTGTATAATGTGTGGTGTGTAATGTGTAGGTAATAATAATTTTATATAGATATAGACCATTGCTAACGAAAACGATTCGGAGCCAAGTTAGGTTACAAAAGTTTTGAAAGGCCGTAATATTTATGAATTTCATCAAAATTTGATATTAAAACTCTTATAAAAAAAAAAAAAATGCATTACGCTCAATTTGTTTTGTTTTTTTTTTGACGATATACGACAATTTTATCTACAGAGTACTTACCGAATAAAAATTACGTACAAATTTCGCAAATTTAAAATGTTTATAAATAGCTCAAAAATAACTCGAATGTTGTTGAAAATTCGACTACGTCTACAAAAAGTTAAATTTAAGTTGTCTATCCAAATCTAAAGTCTTTACGAATATTTTAAAGTGAAATGGAAAAAAAAAGAATTGAAAGTAATAATAACATTATTTCCGTACATTTTCCAGTTCTTTCAACTTTTTTTTTTTTGGTTTTGCTTAAATAATCAACATTGATTCTAAAAAGAATTATATTATTGCCATTTAAAGTCTCAGGGGATCTGGCACGAATCTTTAGAACTCGTATATAAACTTGTGAAAATGTGAAATGTGTAGTACAGAGTAAATTATTGTACGAGTCGTGTAAACTGTTAAGGCATAGCTCCCGCGTGTATTCAATGTACCCATAATTTTAGCACCATCTCAATTGGTAGTTTAGCTGTGCCCATTAATTTAGTGTAACAATATACTATGGACGTAAGAAAATTGCATAATCACTATAGAATATATTTGAGTATTTTTCTCTCTTTCTCTAGCTTAACAGTCAACCATTTCCCACAATAGTGCAGTAAACCATTTGTCTTAACGATTTAAATTGATTAAATTCTTTTCATTATTTAAACAAGACTGCGTCTCTGTATATAATTGTTGTAATAAACATTGCATGGTGTCAGGTGTGAAGTACATATTTTCACTCCTAGTTACTGATCGCATTTGATTTTTCCGCAGTTTCTATGCGCGTATGTGTTAAACGTGTGATCTCGGTTATTGCATGCATCACTCTCGTGTGTTCCGCTAAAGTGCTAATATTATGTCTTTTTTCTCTACAATATTGTCTAGTTTTTTAAACAGGGTGTTTCTCCTGGATCGTCTACTTCGTCGTCTCTTCTTATTCTTTTTATTGTTGATTTGGTTCTTCATTCACCTTCTTTTTTCCAACTCTTGTTCTTGGTCTGGTTGTTCCATCCTTTTCGTTTCTATTATAGAGGGTCTTTTTGGGTTTTTCTTTTTCATTTGGTGTTTACAAACGTTCAAAATATTTTACTATTTATAATAGCACTTAGACATTTGTATAAATGCCTATTAAATATAATAATTACTGTATAAACTGTATATTTGACTTCTTCAAAATGAGTATGTTTTGCGGTGAGTATGTTCTTCAAAATTAGTATTATAATATTATGCATAGCCGCATAGGTGTTTGTAATAATAATTGTTCCAAGTGCAAACATATGTAATAAGTAATAACACAGGTCACGATTGAACATGTTGCATATTATTTGGTGGAAAAAAACAAAAACAATATAAAATTAATTAATTAATTATATGTGTAGAAAATTACGTGGTTTAAAACAGCATATTATACAGCTTTGTTATTGTTTTCGAATATAATTGCTACCTGCTGTACATGAATGGTTGACGGTTTTACCACAATAATATGATGAGTAAATACGGTAATCTTAACCTATTATTTACTTTTCATTTTATTTTTCTGATGTTAGAGTGGTCATGGTTTCCATATGGATCTTCTTGGATTTGAAGAATATTATGGATATTTGAATTATAATTACGACCATTTATCGCGAAATCGTTATTTTTAAACCGTAGGATGTTCTGCAGTTCACGAAAAATAAGTATCCACGTACCGAGATAATACGTCATTATTTTTGTCCACAACACACAAAATGAGTATCGGTTTTATTATTTTGTTTCTCTTCTGATAAAACAACTAAAAATAGTTTCTCGAAAGGCCCTAAATTTTGTATTCTTTGTCGGGCAACAGCATATTATTTATTATTGGTTTAATACTTTAATCTTATCACGCCATAAAAGCGTGAACTTCTTTAAGGGTATAATAAATGTAGTTTTTTAAGACTTTACGGGATAGGGAATTTACTGACGATGATATTCGTGTAGTTGATAGTATAAAATATATATGAAACTGCATTTCTATTGTTAATTCATTGTGTTGTACCGTATTGCTATAAATAATACGCACTTCAACACTTAAATCATTCACTGTAATAATGGTATTGTGTAGCGAAATCTGGAAATTAATATATATATATATATATATGAATGTACCTAGGTATATTTTTTATACATAAAATTGATTCTTTTTTGACCCACCGCAAACGCGCGAGTGAAAAAACGTGGTGTTGTATAAAGAGAAAAAAAAAAACGAGCCGAATCAGATTTCTTTTGTTAAATCGTAGTATTTGACATCCGGTATTGTATAGAAACGTGACCTAGGGAAGTATAAGAGAATATTATTATTACGAATAAAACTCCAACCAATAACTCTTATAATGGTGTAAGGGAAGGTCAGTGATAATATAGTCGTTTTCACTTTTGATCGACATCATAATATGAATTGATACTAACCTATATAAATGCGGTTTATTTTTGAATATGGCAGTTTGGTACAGTAATAATAATAATGACGGGTAGAAAATTACTTAATTATTACTTGATTATAGATTATCATCTGATATCTAATTATTTTTAAGCACCTAATTATAATTGTATATACTTATTCAATAATTAAGTTTAAATGAAAAATATTATTTTATAGTTCTAAGTTTTCGAATAAAGCATTTATCCCGGGACTTTTTTTTTCATTAAGATATTATGTTTCAATATAATATTATAATACTATTTGACCAGTATGAAAAATTCGTATTAAAAAATCAATTTTATACGAATAACAGATTGTACAGTTCTAAGTCAGCAATTCTTCAGAAGTTTTGAAAAAAAAAACCTTAAGTGCAAAATAAAAAAGATGCATTAAAATCCGGGCCCTAATAATAGATTTAAAAAATACGGACATACATCGCTCGCGGGTGCAGCCACTGTTGTAAGTGGGAAGTTGGGTAGGTAGGATACAGAAGGAAATTTAATGTATATCTGTAAGCAACGATTAACCATTGCTAACGAAAAAACGATTCTCAGCGGAGTTCAGTTGATAGTGTTACTTTGTCAACAATATATATTATGTCATATTATGGTAAAATAATTAAATAGGCATTATATATTTTCTTTAATGCAGTAGAACCTCATTAATCCGGATATCATTAAATCGGACTTCGGTTAATCCGGATAGACGTTTAGTAACACGTGAACTACGCAGTTTGTGCCGCAAATCAAAATAAACACGAAAATGAGTTCCACGAATTACCTATAAATGCTATGCATGTTACCGAGATTATTTATGATTTTATAAATTATGCTTACTATAATACAAATTCTGAAATCTATAAGTTCTAATGGTTCTTTTCATTTGTTGAAGCCGGTAAAATGTTTAAATAAAAAAAAAATACTTGGTTTTTTGTTATTTTATTTAATCCGGTTTTCCATTAATTCGGTCAACTTAGAGCTCCAATTAGTCCGGATTAATGAGATTCTACTGTAATATTTGTTTTATATTGTACCGATTTTCCTACGTTTTGCCCGATCTTTCATATTTGCTGAGAATACTCCTGAGAAAAACCGAAAAATGATCTCTCTAAAGTACCACCCCAAAACAATTTCCTTTCAGAAAAGGGTTTACATCTATGCATCTATGCATTTTTAAAAAATGATAACAATATCGATTGATGTATATGGTTTTCTAGGATTGTTTCTAGGATTCGCGTTCACACGTTGTTTTGGCTGTCAGCTTGAGACCGACTCATTATCGCTTTCATCAACTACCACTTTCTGCTAGTAATATTATAGTACAATATAACATATATGTTAAGGTTTAAATAAAATTATGATATATACAACATTGTATATAAATACAATAGATTATTAATTTGTATTCGTTATTATTTTTAATTAATATTTCGAGGGAAGGGGGTTATCCCCTCCCGTTAGTACGCCACTGCCTGGTATCATTTGAGGTTACAATTAAAATTAAATAATGTTTTATGTATTATTTACACGTATAAAACACAATTGATAAAAAAAAAAAAAATTGTGTTTAGAAAATTGCTTGGTATCTTTCATATATTGTCATTTGATAAGTGATCCTTATTTCTTGAAGAAAGTAGACATATATTTATGTAAAATCAATAAACATTGATTGATAAACTATAATAATTAATGGGGGGGTGAACCTTTTACCCCCCCCCCCTTTTTGAGTACGCTCATGTAACCAATACAGAACCTTAATTATTGATCCCTCAATACCCCTAACAAATAATACACAATATGGTATGGGGTTCTTAAAAGGCGTATGTTTTAACGAACGACCTTAATAATTATTTACGTTTATAAAGATAAACATATTTTTTATTATTCATTTAATAACTGTAGTAATAGGTAAACTACCTAATGTAGATGCCATCTAATAACATTATATGACATCTGGTATATTATTATTTAGGTAGCCGACTGAGTTAATGATGATCCGCTGTAGTTATGTCTCTTTCATATACTGCCGGTTAGGTTATTCTTATTATCGTCTCATGTTAAGTGTATTGGAGTCAGACTATTTTTAAGTCCGAGTCAGAATTAGACATATATAATATTATCTCTGCACATACGTGTGTGGGCTTACCGAGTTCCTATGTTGTATTTTACGACTAGGTTTGCATTTTTTGTATTCGTATATGAAGTGGCGTATTCGACTTAGTTTTATGGGGGTGAGCGACACTAAAATTATTATACACAAGGTATATGCACAAGCTTATATTTTACCCTATTTATCTTACCATGAAGTATTTTTAATTTTGTGTCTGATGACACTTTTGAAGCAAAATTAAATTTTTGTTTGTATACATAGCAAACACCTAAATAAATTAATTTGTAGGGGGAAACTCACCTCAAATACATCACTGATATGACGTACTTATAATATAATAATAAATAGTAATGCACTCTTAGGGATATCGGTTTTAAAAACTGATATTATTATAGAAAAAACCGACAATATTATAATATGCTAGCTGTCCCGCCGCGCCCGGCGTTGCCGTGACAATTTGTATTATTATTATTTTACCCATATTCATTTTTGGTTTTGGCTGTGTTAAAATTGAATGAAAACAAATATGTGGAAAATTGGTAGTCCGAATTCGGTGGACTAGATGTGTTCTATTGTGAAATTTGAATACTGTAAATAATAGCAATAATAATGATTAAAATAGTTTTCTTTTCCGTGGCAACCCTTGAATAAACAAAAATCTTATATAAACAAAACGAAGTCGGGTTAGTTATACCATTTATAACTCAATACGGCTGGACCGATTTTGATGATCACATGATATTTTCCGACTAATTTTTAATAATAATTAATCATCATTTTTTTTTCATTCCTGTTACCGGGGTAACACAAATTCATAAAAAATTATATTTATTATATTATAAGCTAAATTATTTGGTGCTATGCTAGTGTATATACATATAAGGGAAAATACTAAAATTGCGATTAAAAAAATAGTGGGTGGGGGTAGGAGGGTAAAAAATACTCCATGACCTTTATTCTTAGATCTACCAAATATACATAAAAAATTTCATGAAAATCGATCAAACCGTTTCGGAGGAGTTCAATAACAAACACTGTGACCGGAGAATTTTACATAAAAGATATATACGCACCTACCTATAGTTAACGATTTATTGATTCCATACATTATTTTTAATATATTTATTTATTAAATATTACGGAAATCCATATGTATAGCTAATAGGTACATAGATGGATACAAATATTATAGAAGTAGTTATCGGAATAAATATACCTATGCACATAAATTTGATTTTATTTACCTATAGTCTATGGTAAAATAATATTTTTTTTTGACATTCATATATATATTATTATCATTCATTCATTCATTCAATATATAATGTATTAATATAATTCAATTTTGGTAATTTATTAATTTATTAACATGATTTTATAAAAAATGTTATACTTCTTTTTTTTATTTTTTTTTTTATCCAATTTTAGGAATATAATACTTAAAGAGTACTTAAAAAGTACTTAAAAGAATACATAAGAGTTTAATATGTCTAAACGTGTTTATTTTGGATTTTCTTTCAAATAAATTATAATGTATTTTCGTTCAGTAAAATATGTATATAATATATTATAATCAATATTCACAATTTACGAGTTTATGAATTATTATATTTACAAATTAAGAAAAATAATTACGATAAAAGTCGATGACTTATTTATGTCCGCATTTCAAAGTAAATATTATAAAGAACAAATATCAATCAGGATGATTCATATTATATTTTATATAAAGATAGTAATATTTTTACAAAATAATCGACTAAATATGTTACGAAAGTAAATATTTATTTATATTATTTTTTGTGCAAATAAATATTCGGTATTTGAATAAACATATATATATATGTATATATTTTTTTCATTAAGGCTATATTACAATTTTTAAATCTAATCAATTTGATTTTTAAACTAAAAATCTTTAGAATAAAATTTAAATGTCGAATACCTATATATTTTTTGTTTACTTAAACAATTGAATACACACTTAATACTATAATAATAATAGTATAATATTAAACATTTGCTAGTAGTTGCTAATATTTGATAATTTTGTATTTTTAGATTCCGAGTGAGCGTGGAAAGCGTGTGCGTGTTTATTTTTCTCGGATTTAATAGAAGTAAAAATTTCCTGATTTGTTCATGATATACCTCAAAAGTTATATGTTTATTTCGTTTGGTTGTACTTTATTTGAACAATTATTGTTCAAAATTCCGAATACTTTTTACTAAAAAATTAATACAAATCCTACATCAAATATCGTTGATATTTAAGTTTTATTTTTGTTGATTTCCGAGTTACCGTGGTTTTGAAATGAAAAACAATAAGACTTATATAATTATACTAGTACTATACTATACTTCCCAGGTTACCAAGCTCTGCTCAAAATCGTTTATACTGCATTGCAGATGATACCTATGCATAATTCGTGTAGCTTTATAAACAAAATAGTTGTTTTTCACTAACACCTAAAAAAAAAAAAAAAACTCTACTTATCCGACCTTCCTATAATATACAAGTGACTGTTTTAAAATTAAATTCGTCTGTATTATTAAAAAATATTTTTGTATTCGGCACGCACTTAGTGTGTTTTTATATTTAACAAGTCTGATTTATTTTTGGACACAGTGATGTCAATGCGTTGCCAAAGAAAAACACTTAATGACACGTTGATCCATACACATATGTGTTAAAAAATATATGTTTTAAATGTTTTAATAATGGATTATTGAAGTTTATTCTACTTTTATACTGTACGATTTATACAATATATATAATACAATACGATGGACTTTATTATTTTCATAATTATTTATGGACGGTTTTTAATAACTATAAGTATAAAGAAGCGGTTAAAAAAAAAATATCTCTAAAAAAAACTCGGAAGTTATTGATTACGTCGAGGGTTTAAAAGGTTAAGTAAATAAGGGGGAAATATTTTTTATACTCGATAATAAAAGTCTACAGTTTTCAGTATTAATTATCATATTATATATTATTCATTTTAATTCTAAGAGTACCTACCTGTCTTAGGGTTTTTAATTTTAATTACTAAATCATAAAATTATAATATTACTGTAGTTAGAATAATTAATATAGATTACATATAGTGGATTTTCTTGTAATTATATAATATTATAATATATATACGTATCTTTCGTTGTAATAAAATCGGGTAAATGTTATTGCATAATTTGTTCTATAGGTAATATTCAAAAAAAAAAATCCATATTATATGAGAATTTACAGGCAAATCAAATAATATTATTTTTAGGATTCTATCCCAATCGTAATATTATGTAAAACATAATTGTTCTGTTCGTACTATCATGATAATTTGCGTTTAATAAAATATTTGTGAATTATAACCAATGCTCACTCATGTTAAAATTAACATACCTATATAGTTTAAAATAATAATATTTTCTTTAAAATTAAAACGATCTCAAAAAATATTTGATTTGGTAAATTTTAGAGTGTTCGTCTATTCAAGGTAAATTGCCAAATAAATTTTATCGCCCTCGTATTTTTTTTTAACTCAATTCAAGGTTAAAACAGTACATTTTCTTAAAAAGCAAAAAATTTCCCATTTTAATTAATTTTTGTTTTGTAGACGAGATAATTATAATTACTGCGACTATACTGTCTAATTTTTTTTTATGTAAAAATTAATTATTCCTAAATTAGAATTAACTAAAACTATGGAAATTACACGACAGTAGACAGAACTATTAAATTATTGTTTATGAATAATTATTTAACTATATATATAGTGCATCAGTAATATTTTTATGTTAATATATTTTTTTTTTTTACCAATGTGATACGTCTGTGTTTATAGACTAGTCAGTAGTAGGTTGTAATTAAGATAGGATGATGATAAACGTCGTTTTTTTTTCTAAAAACACTCATACTATTATACTTTAAACCCTTTTCTTTTATACAATTTTCATAATTTCAAAATAATACAATGATTTAAAGATGCTAAATCGAATTTAGTATACTTTCTACCAATTCGCTACTTACCTAAAAAGTGTATGCAAATCAATCAAATACTTTAGATTTTTATATTTCTATATTTACTCTAATATTTTTATTTTTATCATTGTACGATAGACCATGCATCCATCTATCCTATTTATAAAATATAATAACACTCTACAAATGTTAATGAGTCATCAAATAATATCAACACCTACCCACGCACCGACCCTTTTAAACTCATTTAAACCCCTAGCAACACAAATCCCTATCTTCACGCTACCCATGGATTATATTGTAAATCGATTATATATTCTGATGGTATTAAATGAGGCGAACACTGAAAAACTGATACAAAAATATACAATAAATATTTATAACTTGTTTATGAAAAATAAAATAATTCAGCGATTCGTTATTTTCGAAAGTGTATAAATCTAGGACATCATATTTGAGAATTAACATTTTTTTTTTTTTTTTTTTTTATGTTTTTAAACCCCCGGAAAATACAATATATATATATATATATATTAGAATTATATCACGTATACTTATACTTACATTTTAATAAATATTTAATCAGTATGACGTTTTCAGTCGTTGTTTGTATTTAAATAATTTAAAAAAAAAAAATGTACAAAAAATACGATCTGTACATTTATATTATATTACAATGTATGCATTGTACTGCATGGTCATTTTATTTTTCGTGACTGTCATACTAAATTTTGTTAGTCAATCTGTATGTTGTTTATTTGAATAAGGTTAAGATTATATTTGGGTCAGCTTTGTAGTGACAACGTACATTTTTCGAACGGAAATTATTTTTTTTCATTTCGATTTATTGCGATTTCCTAATCGAGATGTAATTAATTAAGAGTATACCACCGAACTAGTAATATTTAATAATTGTAACTCACAATTTGTGAGCATTTGAAGTCTAGAAAAGAGGAAGAATACCTACCCATTAGATTAGAAATTCATATGATTGTGGACCTATTTATGTATAACATTTATCTGTCTATATTTCTCCTCACTTCACTTTTACTACTCATTTTATTATATATTTCATCGCATTTAAAAAGTTCATTAAATTAATTTGAAATAATTTTAAAATATACGAACGTTTATTTAAAACAAAAAAAAAGGGTATTTAAGTATTCTTTGTGGTAATAATTTGTGGTAATAAAAAGGAAATGATAAAATTATTGATATATGTGTTGAATTATGATTGTAACGATGTATTTAAAACACGTTTCACAGTAAAAATTCAAACAGCTTTTCATGTTTTATTTCGTATAAATTATGACGTGTCTTGTATATGGCCTATGAATATACCTACATACGAAACTTTTCGATCGTTATTGTTATAGGTAGTTGGTACCACTCCAAAAAGTACTTCCTCATTGTCCTGTATATTATATGAACATGAATCGCGTAAAAGTGATAATAGGTATTAGGAGCTTAGAATAATATTTTTTAGCTATGGTATTACATTAACGTTGAATATTTGAAAATACAATTTTGCATCACAATGTGTTAAAATAATCCGACGTGGGTATGCGTGTTAAAACATGTCCTCAAACCTCTAAAATATGTAATGTAATATGTAATTTGTTATTTTTATATTTATAGTAAAGGGCCTGTAGCGTACGACCTGTTTTTTTGTCACTCAAACACGAGATTAACATGCTAAACAGTGTTATGTCTCGTAAAGTGATCCGATGTACAGAGCATTTTTCGTGCTGTTGTAAACAGGAAAACTTTCTATATTGATTCGATTTTTGATTATGTAACTAAAAATACCACAAAAAAAAAAAAAAAAAGAAGAAAAGATGATCGAAATAGGTTCACTCTAAATTAGTCGTTAAGAATTTTTCCTATGTGAAAAATATTTTTGAGCCGAAAAACGTCCCATCTTCCCCCATAATTTTCGTAGGTATATTTCCGTCATCGGTATTTTGAACCGTCGCATCGTCCGTTCAAAGCAGCAGGATATTATTTGCAGGTAGAAAATGAACGTTTAATATTATTATAATCAAATCGGAAATAAACTACTTTTACATTAGGTAGGTATACACACACCTCGATTACCACGCGATTGTCGGTTTATATTTTTTGAATAACTCGTTAATGTGCGGTATTTTTTGGTTGAGAACGTTTGCATAAATTATATTCCGACGTGTTTGGCAACCTGCTATTATGGAGGTATAGCGGTTCGTTACATTATTATTGTATATAAATGACGAATTAACATTATCGAAAATCATCGGTATAGACTGAACTACCGCGAAACGGTTTTTTTTATTATTATAATTGAGAGACCCGACAGTCGTGTGTACGGTTTTACATTTTTATTATTATTATTTTTTTAATTATACATAATAACTATAATATAGTTCTATAGCAAATATGCTAGGAGTTCAAAGAGTCGTGCAATACGTTTTCGCGGACTAAACAAAAAATGTCGTTTGAATCCCAAGAATTATAATACTGATTATTATTATTATTCTTTTATTATTTTTTTTATTAATAACCATAAGCAAGTTTATAATCGGTTTTTTTTCGTTTACCTAGTGTAACATATGTCGAGTATGTTTGTGGTAGGTATGGTTTCGTATCTTTCAACAAATTGCGTAGTACAGGTATTAAATATTATTTCAACTAAGCCCTTACGAAACGCCGACGAGAATAGTTAACGAAAACTAAATAACGACATATTTCAAAAGTATACAGGACATACATAATAATTATTTTCTCGTAAAACCCTTTGTATGTTCTTCTGCTTTTTTTAAAACACGAACCAGCAAAAAGTATAAATTCAATTCATTTTTTTTGTCTAATATAAATATAATAAAAAAGACGGGCAACATTGGTATTATCGTTTAAAATGATAACACCAAAGTCGGCTATCTAGTTGTTTTATATATCTGTGTGGATGGGTTATCTATGCTTATTATACGGGAACGAATATGAAAAAAAAAAAATTATAGAGTCGTCTTAACAAAAATAAATAACAGTATTGGGAAATGATAATTTATTTATCAAAACAATTGATAAATGATATTAGAGTATAGTGGATTTAATAAATCAATAACATAATAACAGTAAAATCAATTATAACAATATAATTTAATAATTTTTTTTATAACTATAAATCACAGAACATATCTTGTGATAATTCCTCGGCCAGAGTGAGGGAGGCATCGAGGCAGTCCATCTCTCTTTCCCATTCTGACACGTTTCCCTCTATTTTGTTTTGGCCTAGCCATGGCCTATCCATTCTTTAATGGCTATAGGCAGATCGCACGTCGTAAAACGTACATCGTCAACAACCGGTAGATACCACGCGTTGGACCAATGCCTTCGTTTTCATCTGGTACGGAATCGGTGTGTACATTTATTCGTCCATTATTCGGTACGTAGGTAATCGGTTTTCCGCAGAAAAAAAAAAAAAAAACATACATTCTCGGGACGGTATATCACATTATATTATATTATTATTCGGGGGGCAGTCGAGTGCACTACAGTATTAATGTCTGTGACGGTTTCACGCGTCACGTGTTAGTTATTTGGGTATCGCGGAGACGCATGTGGAGTGTAACATTGTAATAATGAGCACAATATGTCACGTTGTCACCGGGATAATACGGTATTATCGGCGTACCGATCGGTGTGTGTGTGTGTGACTCGCCGCGCGAAACGGGCGAAATTGCCCCCGGTGAGTCGGCGGCGGCGGCGGCGGCGGCGGCGGTAACCCGCGCGCGGGCAGTACTGGGGGCGGCGGCGGCGTCGTCGTCGTCGTCGTCGTCGACGGGGTTGATAAACCAAAACATCGGCACGCGGCGCGGTCCGACCGTCGGAGGTGTGACAATATTTAACAATAACAACAACAACAACAACAACGACACCGCCGACATTGCGACCGTAATGACAATAATTATCGTTATTGTAGTCGACCGACGCGCGGTCGCGCGCTTCTCGAACGCCCGGCCTCACGCGTGTATTATTGTGTACGAACATCACAATATTTCCACGGCGTAACACTGACAATTTTACAATCGTGTCCGACGCACGCACACAGCCTCGCTCGCCGGTCCGTCGTCTGCGTGGTTTTCGGCCGGCGCGCCGTTGTTTTTCGCGTGGTTACCACGGTCACCGCCGCGTGACCGTTCCGTTGCGATTATCGCGCGGATTGTGACTCCGCTGTCGTCGCCCGATCCGGCCGGTTTTCGATAATAATATTTCGATACCGACTCTATTCGCCGTCGTGTTCCGCGCGCGCGCGCGCGCGCCCGCCGTCGGTCGCCCGTTCCATTTTGTACACCGTAACTCGGCTAGTCTCGTCCGGTCGTCGTCGTCGTCGTCGTCGTCGTCGTCGCCGTCGTAGCGTTGTTGTTGTTGATTCGATCGCAGAACAGGTGGTGTGCGTGCGTGAGTGCGTGTTGAATGCGTGTGTATAGCGCGAGCGTTTATACCGCACGTGTAGCGAGCACCGGCGATCGCTCCGGCAGAATTCGTTCGTGTCTCGTCGCCGCCGCCGCCGTCGTCGTCGCAACGCAGCGTTGTATAATACACTATTACTATATTATAGTGGCGGCAGTAGTACCGTCGCCGCTCGCACCGTCCGTCCGTTCTCCGAGCGCGTGTATCGTGTGTCTGGTGTGTGTGTGTGTGTGTGTGTGTCTGTCCGTGTGCGTGTGTGTGCGCGCGCGCGCGCCCCGTTCGTTTCGATCGGTGTCGTCCCCGGGGGCCGTGGGGGTATCTCGTATCATAACATTGCCGTACCGCCGTCGCGTGGTGTGTCCGCACCGTGACGTCGCAACAATATTATCGCGTTCAAAACACGAGACTTTTTAATTGTTTTTTTTTTTTTTTTTCCTGTAAATAATACTACACGTTAGTATCCGCGTTACCTCGTGGTTTTTTTTTTCTTCTCCAAACACATTTTCATTCACCAATCCGCCGTCGCCCGGGTCCCATTGAGGAAAAACGCACTACGAGACTACTAGGTACGCCGCCGCCCGGTATCGTGTGAGTACCAATGTGCAAATAATTACGGGTCCTGTTCGCGGGTGTATTTTTTACAAACTCTGATCGTCGCAATCGCGAATCGCGAACGTTTACAATGTAATATACTAGTCTTCCATAAATCTCAATAAGTGTAAGTCCGGTCGGTGGGAATGTAGGATCACGATTGCCGGTTGTTTTTAATTTTTTCGTGCTCGAAACATTATGATTTATATCGGTGGCGGAGACGTGGTAAATAATAATCGTGATTTATGAACAACTCGTACAATCTCCTATTGTTAATCGACCAACTCGACAACGAGCAGTGACGGATCTAGGATTTTTTAGTTTTTCGAAAGGGGCCCCCAAAGTTTATACATAATAGTATTAAACGTGATAATAATAATAAAAAAAAAACCGCCTTATTGTAGTATTGTAAAAAAAAAAAAATAATGAGTAAAATGTAGTATTAATAGTAGTAAAAATTATAATTAAAAATATTTGTGCATACGAAATTGCGTAGTAAGTAACAAGAATATTATTATAATGATTGTAAACGCCTAGGAGTGTTTTGGTGAACAAATCTTCCGGTTTCGCGTTAATTTCGTTATGGATGTTCAATAAAGCTATAGCGCCTACTGCTAGTAGAAAAAGTAAAAAGTAAAAGATGACATATTTGGGAAAATATGAATTTCCGGTCTTATTAAATGCTTCTGTAACCGTACTGATTTGTTTACGTTTTTTTTAATCTAGACGTTAAGTCAATATAGAGGTGGGGCCGGGGCTCTCTGGGCCATACCCTTAAATCCGCCGTTGACATTGAGAATAGTTGTTTAAAACCCGAATCCAATCAAGCCAATTTTCGTTCCATAAATCGCACCTCCCCCTAATAATCAACAATGCAGGACTCATGCAGGACTTGGATCAGTACCTACCTAATCAATCAACCACACACAACAAAACCTTTGGCGTTTAGAAATATAATTGTCGAACTCCGAGTACTTCAAAAAAAAAAAAAAAGGTAAAAGGGATTTTTTGTCTAAAACGTGTGGTTTTGAGCAAAATGTCGGAAAAAAAATTGGATCGCGTGCAGGTCCCTTTAACGGGGACGGGATTTACACAAGGTAACATTGATTAGCTATAGCTTTTGGACTTTGGACCCGGTGACGTCATTTGGCAGGGGCCGGGGAGAAATTTGCCCCTCTCCTTATCATCGGCGGGCTGCTGTCAGGCTGGGGTCGGGCTAGTTAGTTTTGGGCACCAAGCCTGGTAAACATGATTCATGTCATTATGTTTTATGATTCACGTTGCACACGACCACTCTGAACTACATTTGTTTACGGTTTGTTTGCGATAATAATTGTGACAAGTGTGATAATTGTATAATATATTTTTTATTGTGCTTTTTTAATTTTTTACATTGATTGCACTTCAGCTCAAATTACCGGGCTCTCATAAGAGCCTGTGCAAATTGTCGGAGAGTCTATTCTGATTTAATCCATGATTCTATCGATCCGTCTATCCTACGGTTATACTAACGCTCACGGTGACATGTCTATATTTTTCGTAAATACACGTGCACTCCTTACAAATTGGTCATACATTGCGATAAAATTCGTCTTCAAATGAAATCTCCGTAAAGTAGCCAATGGGTAATATATTTAGGTTTTCATCTACGTTGATATTTATTATTTAGCCATTGTTGTCCGTCAAAAAAATTGGGTTGTGCCTATGATAGTGAGTATAAAATGATGTACTAAGGATATCGTGGTAAAAATGTAATTGTGACGAATGTGGTGGCTAGCGAGCGGAACGAGCTGTTTTTTTTTTTTTGTTCGGTTTTACTACGGGCTGGTGAAAAATTTTATTACCCCATCCCCCTCTCTCAAAAACTAATGACGCCACTGTTTTGACCGTTAAACGATACACAAGACCGAGATCGACTTGATACCGAAATATATTGTTTTGGAGCCATATAACAGTCCATTTCAATACCCCCCGGGTACCTATATTATTTTAAACGTAACAATAATACCGTCGGGCGGGTTTCCGTTTTTTGTACGAAAATTACGAATTCGTTTGACTTTTTTATATTTTAGCGTTATATTATGATTTTTGTTTATGTTTTTTTTTGTTTTATCAATGATATTTTTTTATGTATCGGGGTTTCGTCGTTGTTTGTTCAGAGATCGCGGTCAACCGCGAAACGCCGCGGATCGTGGGTATGAAATGTTCTTGGGAAAAAACAAAAAACGTAAACACCACGTGCGTCCGTGTATACTTAGGTAATGTATTCGGTTTATTTTTTTATCTCACTTTTTCCGTTCGGATATTTGTATTCTTCGTTTATTAATATTAATATTATCGCTACGCGTTGCGTGTCGTAATGAAAAATGGTTTTTTTTTTTTTGTTACTGTAATTCTTTTCCTTTCCCTACCGTCGAGCGTATTTTTATCGCGCAAGTATATTGGACACCACGTGTTTACGAGCGTGTGAATGGCGGATCGTTTGTGGCGACGACGACAACGATTTCGAAAATGTCAATAATCTGCCGCAGTACGTGCGTAGTTCCGCGGTCTACTAAATAATATTATTATTATTATGCACTTCTGCAGCACAATTAATGCGCGTTCTGTTGTTTTGCCTAGTCGTCGTCGTTTTTATTTATCGCCATTCTATTTTGATAGCGACTGTAAAATAACAATATTATTATTTTGTCGCGTTCGCGTTTTCGCGTGTGCATAAGTGCTAGCCGCGGCCGCGGGGGGGGGAGGGGAAGGGGGAGAAAAACACCAAAAAAAAAAAAAACCATCCCACAACGTCAACAGTCGGCCACTGGTATGCGGTACAGTGATGGTCAATCTCCGTCGACCAGAGCGTCGGTCTGGTCGCGCGTTTTATTTTCAATTGTTATTCGCAACACCCCGATAACACGTACGCAATACGCATTGTCGGCGTACGATTCGTCCAGGACTTTCCGTTTTTCCGCGTCTCTTATCTGATATTAACGATATTGTTATCGCGTGCGCGAGGGCGATGCGCACGCACGCGCCGCCGGCCCGTTCCGCCTAAATAATAATAATATTATTGTTTTGGTTTTACTGCGTGCGTGGTGCGCGGCGCGCGCGTTTTTTTTTCACCTGTCCGTAAACAACTTTTCCGCCGGACACCTCGCTCCGGTTTTCGCGTTCGACGTAGCCGCCGATGACGGCAAACTCGTCCAATCGGGTTCGCCGGGGCCGGCCCGCGGCCGTTTCCGTTATTACACTAGTCGCGTTCCCCAATCATTCGCGGCGAAATTCGGCGAAGAAAGTGAGATAAATTTTTATATACAAACACATCATTCCGAATGAACATTACCTAGAAAGCTATTCACACGATATGAGTTTATGGCGTGTATCTGCAAAAACAATAAGTACGAGAATACGGTTTTAGGACACATATTTTTCCTGTTTAAAAAAGAGGAGATAGTTATGACTTATTCTAAGCATCTAAATTGAAGAATATTTGAATAATTGCAATCGGTGGCGTGCATATCCATGCTTATGTAATTATGATTATCATCATGTGGCATATGTATCATACGGAGAATTTTTCTAGACCCGCTTTGTGGAATCATGTTAAAAACAGATAACAAAATTAAAATAAACGGAACCTTAGCACCTCGCTTAACACTTATTGAAAACCAACTTATCGAATATGGTGGCGTCTCATGAATCCATAAAATTAATTTTGGTCATTCCTTCCTTATGTTAAGACCAATTAAATTTCATAGAGTAAATTTTGTTTTTAGATCACTAAATAGTAAATATTATAATATTTTATTATCATTTATATTGTAATTACAGAATTTGTGGTTAGTATTGCTTTTGTGTTAAAAAAAAAAAAAACTCCAATTCGTTAATTGGATGTTTAAAAAAATTAACTATAAAATGTTAAATTTATACATTGAAAACTTAAACTCATTAAGTTAATAAGTTAACAGTACAATAGTTTTACAGATATGTAAATAATGTCAATAAAATATTATAGGTAAATTAATTTTAAGTTAATTAATAACATATTTATTAATTACTTTTATCAGTGTACAGTGCTCAAGCATTAGATTCATCTTTTGTTTTTTTCTATAATTATTATTATCTGTTAAGAGGCTACTGTAATAACCACTTTTTTTTTTTAACAACATACTGTTACTTACACAAAAGTTCTTGAAGCAAGTTAATTTTTTCAGCAATAAAAACTTTTGATTTTTTTCTCATTATTTGTTGCATTCAACTCGATATTTTTCGTGTTATTATTTATTTTTATATTTACGTAATACTACTAAGTAACATCGAGTAACGAACATCGCGAGGTTATGAATTACGCAATATAAAAACGAATAATGGTGTCCGTAAATGGTATTTGATAAAAATATACTTACTGATAACAATATTAATGTATAATATAATCTCCCTGATATTGTACAGAAATATTTTTATTTAAAATTATTCTTAGTAAAAACTTAATACCGTTTATAAATACCATTTGTGAATTTGTAATGCCTATTTACGTATTTACTTAGTCAAGTTAAATGTGAGTGAAATTTTAGCGTCGTTTATAAATTTACTTGTTTACTAATTTACTTTACTAATTTCCCAATGATTAACAAAATTTCCTGAAAAGTTACCAAAGATTTTCATGATTGCCAAATATTTGTACACTGATTTCCGTTAATGATTTACCCTCTGGTATTTATAATGGGAGAAAAAAAAACAGGATAGCGAATTTTCCGTTTTTTTTTTTTTATACCTAATGCAAGACATATAAAACAATATCAACGATGTTGAGTTTCGTTTCGAATGCGGATTATTAACTGCGTTATTGGTATTATACCGATTCTATTTTGCGTCATTATTAATTTATCGTTCTAGTTTCGATCTAAATTTATACGGTGACCATTGAATTGGCTCTCAATATTAGATAAAATACCTCATCGCACATTGAATTGGCTCCCAAGAAACTAAATATTGAATTGGCTCCCAATAGAAGTTTTACCAAATGGTTCTCAAAATATGAAGTGGTTCTATAAACATCAAAGTGGAAAAAGTACGAGACTTTAATATTTTTAGTTCTAAATAACTGCTGGGACTTATCTAATCTTTAATTCGATAACGCATTAAACAGTCACAACCATCGTAATTTTACAATTTAACTATAATTTAACTACTAATTTCACTGATATCATTCGTTGCAGTTCGTCACAATTTGTTGCGATTCGTCCCTCTATAGGTATGTATAAAATTAATTCGGTCGAAAAATGAATTCATTTTAATAGTAAATAATTTTAAATTTACCTAACATAAACCGCTCCAAAATGCATTATACGATTCTAATGTACTAAATTTTACAATTTTGATGATCCATAAAATGTAATATTTTAAATTATTTTAATGTATAATTATGTCGAACAATTTTTACAACCAATGGATTTATAAAATAAATGCTGAGGAAGCCAACTCAATACATAAATCTTGGGAGCCAATTTAATAGCTCCGATTTATACATACCTACGTACATACATTGTTGTCGCGTGTCAACCGACAGATAAGTATCTGCTTAGTGTTTTGTTACACAACAATGATATTCATAAACGATTGTACACGTATTATAGGTATCCATAAAAAGTACATGACGTATGTGTGATCAGTGTTGGTTGAAATTTTCGAATTTTTACCGATTAGCGCGAATGCTTACCACTCATCTGTGTCACGTGTGATATAAATTTGCGTATTTGACATTCTTATTTGGTAATAATATAGTTTAACCGGTTATTATTATTATTTTTTTCGTTTCTGAGTATAACGAAGAAACTATTAACTTTGCGAAGATATGTTTTTTATCCTCGGGAAAACGCTTTTACGGTTTGTAAAAATGTTTCGGTATTGTTGTCATACATTATAAGACGCGATTTTTTGGCCCACAAAGATTTTATTTAAAACATTTTTTCGAAATTCCTAATACTCTTTTTTTTTTTTTTTTTCTTAACATTCGGTTAGGCGAATGATAGAAATATATCCTTCACAATGTTTGATGTTAATATTTAAAATGCGTATGCATATTTCGCAAAATTGTCTAGGTTATTTAGGAATTCGATTTTCAATTTTCAGTTTTTGTATTTTAAAATTCTGTAAAATAACCATATTATGTTTGTATTTATTTTCTATGCATCAAAATTCACATCGTTATTTTGGTTTATAGCTGAAAACATAATTCAATAACTGAATAAGTATAAACTATCGTACCCTTTTCTCCTTAAATTGGTATTGAGCAATCGATCCTTGGAAAAATCTTATCATTAAGTTGATCATTAAGAGATAAAAAATATTTTTTATTTTTGTTAGTATGGTACTCAAGTAAAATTTAAATAAATCTCGTATTATAACAGCGAGGTGTTATAATAAATGTGTAGTTTCCAAAATGTTCGGAAAGGTTAAAAAACCTAAAAAGGTTAAACGGTTAAAACGATTTTAAAAAACCATATTAAACAATGACTCCGTGAACCTCTTTAGATCTTTTGAGTTCTGTTCGCCTTTGTTCATCGCCCCGTTGAATATTTTACATTTTCTAATTTTAATTTAAAATTATTTCTTATATTTTTAACTTATCGCTGTTTCCAGTCTAGCGAATCGCAAAAATCCAAAAATTTGTTTTTTATTATTGTAAAACATATCGCGTTTATAAAAAAAATCGCATGGGCTGCAAAAACGAAAACTTGTTATCGCTCCTTCCACCCCTGTTATTTGTAAATTTACCTGAACGGTGACGAAATTGCAGGTTTCCCCCTTAAAAGGGGGAAAGCAATGTACTTTTACACGTGACGGGAACTCTCGTTAGTGTATTATAAAAAAAGAATTGAAAAAAAAAAAACCCAAAGAAAAAAAACGCGGTAAAAGTATATATACGAGCTCCGATCGCTTTTTTTAATATAATGCTCGGATTTTTTTTGAATTGAAATGGTACCATAACAGATTATAATAATAGTTACAATTAAACAATATTATTTTATAATATGCTCATTAATAAATCGGATTTATGCAAAATATTTAACGGGCGTAGTGGGGGGGAGGAAACAACAACAAATCGAAGGTAATGACCTTAGATTTGAACATTGCCTATCATATTACGATAATGCGTACGAGATGCGCGCGTAGGCACTTTTGTTACGCTCAACAATGTTTTGTTTTTGTTTTGTTGTTTTTGTTATCGATGAACAGAGGTACGCACAATACATCCAATAATAATATTTAATGACTACTTATTGAGCGCACGGCCAAATTCGAATGGTTATTTTACCTACTATAATATATTTGTTAGGTGTTTAAAATATGTATTTTTTTTCGCTTTAATATGTTTTGTCTAGACCAATTTAAATATTTTCATGTCATTTATCGAAATTCGTAGCAAAATTTAGCTTTCTGCATTAAACCACGTAAGCAAATCGTGAAGTGTACGTAAATTAATACGTACGTAAGTCAACCAACTAAATTGTACATTGGCTACGGATTATTATGGACGCAAAACGTTATTATTTCGTACAAATCGAGATAATTATTTCTTTTAATTTGTGTTGTTTTATTTGATAACAGATATTAATATGTTGTTTATTTATTTTAATCGGTAGACGTACGCCAATCGGCATACAATTCGTGTCTTGTTTGACTTTATCACTGTCAATAACAGATTGGTAAACATTGTTTGACCAGCATATTATTATTACAGTGGCGATCTTTGACAATAATTTCGCGGAGTTAGCTATATCGTCCACAGTTTTTATTTATCGAATACCTTTGGTTTAGGCGTATACCACTATAGGTACGTATTGATAATGAATTATCCTACCTGTGGAGCATTTGAAAATTATAACTTGACGTATAAGACTTGTGTCAATATTCTCAATACTTCGATTAATAGCAGGTACCTAGATTATAAAACACTACGGTGCAACGATGGAGATAACCCGTACAAATATATTTAAATCATTCCGATACGTGCGGGTTTTGTTATTCCGTTTCCGAGAGCGTGTTTTTTCTTTTCAAAATGCTGCAATTATATAGAGTATATAATAACAATGTGCTTATAGATAAAACCAATACTTTAACAACAATTAGACCTCTAACGTGTATAATAAAAGTATTAAACAGGATTTTTTTTCACGCCCATTGAAATTAATATTGCATAAATCATGAAAGCATTTAATTTAATTGTTTACCTATTCGTTTTAGATTCGGAAAGTAGCGAGGGATCTATTGGTTTTAGTAGGACGAGCGTTATCTTTTTGCTGTCTGTAAACAACGTTTCAAAAAGAGAACTTGCCTCGATGTATCAAGTGTATCACTTTTTCTGAAAGGAAATTGTATCCTGTTGGTGTATTAAAGAGGTCATTTTTTGATTTTCCAAGGGGTTTCCAAAATAATTGGGATAAATTGGATACAAAATTATAGGCAAAATGACAAATGTTTTTTAAAAGTATTTTTTTTTTTTTTTTTTAATTTTCGGGTAAGTGACTTCAAAAAATGTTATCAGGTTATTATACTGCGAGTACAACTAAGTTTATTCAAAGGAACTAAAGTCTAACCTAACCTATTGGGGGCGGGAGAGCCCGTGACCGTATTATAGTCGTCGTTAGCAGACGGCACGGCGTTCCTTTTATAGTTAGAAGAAATTTCTGTTCCTGTATCAATTAACATTTTCCGCACTCTTAGTAAATGGCGAACAGCTTCGTTTATAATATCGTAGTCGGCTATCTAGTTTGTTTATATATCTGTGGTTGGATTACAATTTATAACATAAAACAATTTTCAGCAATCGTTTTAATTTTATACATTGGTGTTTTGTTAAAATCAAGTGAATATGAAAAAGGTGTCCTAGAATAATGGGGTTTTATTATTATTACAGAGAAGTTTATTTATTTAAAATAAAGAAAGTTCTTCTGTACAATCATAGTTCAAATGCTCCTAACTTTTCCAAAATTGTTTTGGTTAGGGTCCACGTTTCCGTGCTATACAGAAGAGTTGAGAACACTAACATCTAAGGAATCGTATATCCTTATGTTTAAGGATAGGTTGTGGCTCTTGAATGCTGCACTCATTGAATTAAATACACTTTTGGCTTTTCCAATGCGTATATACACACATACATACGTAAATATTATATAAATTAGGTCACTCTATATAACATTATTGTACCTTCCCAATAAAAGTTTCACATTCATCAGCAGTACATATCAGATTGCTTTCCCCACTTCTTCGAGTTATGCTCGAAAACTTTCACACCGTACCATTGAAAACTTGAGGTTTATCCGCGTGGTGGTATTTTATTGAAACATTTTGCCAGATTCCCAAGTGTTTAACCACTATAACCGCTACTTTTGAATACACTTACAATTTGATTTAGGAATTGTACTTTTAATAAACTTTTTCTGGTATATAGTAAAACCGCCCAGAAGTTTTGTTCTCAATTTAATTTATAATTATACATTTTGAAAACTTGATATTTAGTTAATATTATTTATTAGATATTCACACATTTTTGCATCCGAGATTAAATGTTTGAAAAAATTCGTTTAAGACACGAATATTCTTCATCTATTTCGTCGTTAAATATTAATACAGTTTTCAATTTAAATCTATATGAAACGAAAAAATGTCTAATGATTAATGGTGAACATAACCTTTTTTTTTTTAGCATATAGTATCTAAATTACCCTCCCCGACATACCATTTCGGAAGTTCAATTTGGGTATATAAAAATAGTATTTTTTTTATAACGATTGTAAAAAAAAAAATTATATCGTTGAAATATAAATTACAACTATAATAAAAACAATATTAACGGTTAAAATTTTTTTTTAAATATTTAATAATAATATACTATAATATAGTCGCGTATGTGTTTGAGCGATATGACCTTTGGACCAGACGATCAAAATTCACTGATAAAATTATTCGTTCGGTCTGTTTGGAATGGCTACATAATATAACGTTACGTCTGGGTCCCACTTAGTACGTCTCGTTTGGACCAGATGCAGCTCTAAACAGTTATTCGACGTCCTCGACATTCCTTGTATAGTTTTCTGAATAATGGTGAAAAAAACCGCCGAAAACGGGATAATTTTTCCCAGTTTGTGATTGTAATACGACGGCGGTGTGATTTTATAACCATGTAATAGCAATAAATTTATTTCGGCGCCATCGCCGATAACAAAAATTATGCAGCACAACAGTTCGTTTTTTTTTTTTTTTTTAATAATACAATATTAAATTTACACGTTCATTCATTTATTTGTAATAATATATTATATTTATATATTATCATGCATGTGAATGAACGTGTAAATGTTTATTACAACCGTATACACATTGCACGTAGTATAAAATAATATAAGGTTAGGTTTTAAATGTAAAACGGTAACGCGTCGACAATATTTAAACTGTGTATTCTGATAAGTAATTATTTTATTTTTGCGCGCCGGATACGGAAAAAAAAAACAATCGCGGTGTACCTACGCAGTAGATAAAAACTAACACCCATTTCGTCGGGAAATCGCAGATCCAAGAAGAATATTTTCCAATCGTTTCGAAACAATTTTCTTAGTGATATAAACGGAGAACCAGAAAAAAATATGTCTCCTGTTCAAACGGGTTGTGTTTATGTGTGAAGCAATGCGGCGGCGGTGTTGATCCTGACCGGCTGCGGGTCTCTAGTAATTTTTTTTCGATCCAAACGGGTTGTCCAAGTCGACCTAAACGAGTTATGTTTATTTTATTTTTAATTCCATTCGAATTATTTCTTTTATTATATGAATATATATATATATATACATAATATAAGTTCCAAACAATATTACATTACGAATTTCGACGTGACACTGTAAATTTTGATTCGCATTATTATCATATATACCCGCGAAAAATTAATAAAATATCGTTGCAATTTTAGTCGCAGTTCGGTTATACTATTAATTCGATAAATCAGTCGGCCGCGATTGTAGCTAATATGATATATTATGTTACACCCCAGTAGTGAAATTTGCAATTTTTTACCCGTTTCGTAAAATTGACAAGTATAAGTTGCTCATTTCATGATTCGAGCAAATCTAGTAGTATTTTCAATATTTATAGTTGTAAAAACGATATTTTTAATAAATTATGAATTAACATATTTTTTAAAAGGATAATAATAATAATAATAATAAAAAAAAATAAAATAGATTTAATAATAGTTATAACGCTATTTCGAAGAAAACATCGATAGTAAATAATTCATTAATCAACGAAATAAATCGTTAATACCTTTAAAATATATTAATTTACATTATATTTTTACATATTCGGCCGGCGTGTTTAGTATATAGTCGCGTTTCTAATATAATAATCGCCAGTCGCCAGTTCATAAATGGATAGCATTTTTGCAGTACATTTTTTGAAATGAGCGACTCTCTTGGCCATTTTACGGATTGGGCGAATAATAGTCCATTTCATAAATTAGTAGACAAATCCACCTATGCGGTTTAGCATTATATTTACACGTATAATACGAGGAAACAATTCGAATTAATAATTTCATCGCGGCGAGTGAAGTATTTAGTATTATCGAATGCAGATGATGTAATAAAATATGACTTGAAAAATGTTAAGTAGGTACCTGTGTGTGTTTGCGTTTTGATAAAACTGAATAATAATATTGTGACGACTGCACGATGACCTAGATACGGTAAATCGAACGTAAAACTATCGGTATGCGAGAAAGAAGAACAGAAAAAATGGAGAAAAAAAAAAAAACCGAACGTTTTTAGAGTGTTCCGTGGTGTATATTCTAATTATTTGCGTTGTGGTCACGTTAATTTCGGGTTACTATAATTTGTTCGTTTGTTTTGTCTTTATTCGCTTGCCCGCCTCAGTCGTCCGAATTATAACCTCTAGACTCGACGCTCCATTTACGCGACATTGAATGGTGCCTATATTTTTATTGAGGTTATAGATTGTAAGGTAATATTTTACACATTTTTCTTGTCCGTTTGTCCGCTTGCTTATAATATGCCTACGTTGTTTACGTTGGTTACAATTAAATGGTTTGAGAGCTTCGAACAAGTTCGGTTTGTAATGCATCTATTATATTGCGCAATTAATTTGGTGATTTTTCAAAATTACGATTACCGCGAGATTTTCACTATTTTCAGTTTTGCGGTCACATCACTACATATTCGAACAATTCGATGATAATAGGCATTCCACAGAGTACATATTCGAATATTTGGAATATTGTTTAATTATGCTTTATAATTAAACGTCATTCAAATTGTTCAAAGAACAATTTTAATTTTTCTTATCTTATCTTGGTATTTTTTAATAATTCATAATTTTTTTTTTTTTTGTTGTTTATCTTCCGATACATCAAAGTTGTCGATATTTTAAAGTCGGAATATATTGAATATCGATATTCAAATAATTTTGCCCATCCCTAACTTGTCTATAGTTGGTTTGTTATTGGGTTTTTTTTTTTTTTAGTGAACAATTTTTCGACCAGCAATTTTGTTCCGATTTACAATGATAGCACTCTTTTGAAAGGAAATCGGACTGGGGAGGCAATTTAGGGAGGTTATTTTTTGATTTTCTCAGGAGTTTTCCCAATAAATGGAAAAAACGTAGGAAAAACCGGAAAAAAGGTACAATATTAAACAAATAGGTATTATTAAAAAAAGTATAATGCATATGTAATTATTTTACCACAATATGACAAATATGACATATATATTGTTGACAAAGCAATAACACTATTAAAATAACTCCGCCCAGAATAGTGTTTCGTTAGCAATGGTTAATCGCGAAATATGTCCATATATTATTTATTTTTTTTGTTATTTTCGTCACTGAATAAGTACACTTTTCGGTAAAATATAAAAATATCAAAGTAATAATACGGCAGTAAACTTTTTAACTTGTTTTAAAATCGTTGTCATTGAGTCTAAAAAATATATTATAGGGTCGTTAGATGCGATGGTTGATAAACCTAGTATGATGGACTCGACTCGTGCATGTTCGAAAATATACGTGAATTGTAGTTTGAGATTTTATTTTATTTAGTTACAATTATTGGCGGTATATTGAAGTGTATATCCGTCTATGTAAAAAACCGCAAACGCTACTGCGTTTGATATAATTTTGATCGTGGCGTAATAAATACCTATAAAAAAAAAAAAAAAAAACGTAGAACTTCACATAAAATAAACATTTTCCATCGCGGCGTGGTAGTGTCGACTAAAAACAAAGAACTAATAACATGTTTATTCATTGTTTTTTTTTTTCTGTACGTTCGCACATACGTAATTACGTTGTTTACAGGATTTTTTTTCAAGTACACGGTAACCTAATTAGTTCTTTGAGATTCTATAATATGCATATTGTATATTGTGCATGAAAATATAGTACATGTATTAAAAAGGTAAAATTATAATTTTTTGATATCACATAGTTAAATAATTATCATGATTTCCGATACGATTTTTTAAATTTGATTTTCACATTTAAAAAAAAATATTTATATACGCTAATAGATACTGTTATATAAGTCAGCTCTTGTACAATATTCATGAATTTATCTTTTAGTACTCGTATATGTACGGCGTACGCCATACGGTATTAGGTTAGGTTAGGTTAATAGAAATTATCTGCGCACTATTTTAATTTTAAACCGTTGTGTGTTATTATTTCGCAAACTGTGAAACAAAACCATGCGTGAATAATACGCATTTAGGTTTTTTTTTTTAGTAGTATTTGTTATCACTTTGAATTTAAACACTTGTATCTTGCACTTTCTGGCACATTAATTCGGTTTCGCTGTGTGGCTAAACACTCCGAATAATAAGTATTAGGATCATTTATTTTTAACTTTAAAGGTTTAATAAACTCGGAGGTGCTATTTATGAGTATATTCTTTAAACAAGTGTCCATGTAATGTAATCAAAATTATTAAAATTGTACGTATTATACAATTGCTTAAGTATAGATTGTAAATAATAATAAAAAGATTTTCCGTTGAACTCTAATATTTTTTTCCCAAAGCTTGGTGGTTGGTACAATAACATCAGTTTTTTCCGTGTTGGTAGCCCTACGCTTAATCTTCAACCTCTTATCTGGAGGAACAGATTATCCCAATTAGTTAAGATTAGAGGGGTAATAGCTATTATTATTACCTTGTTTTATCTGCTTTTGGTAAGTACAATATCATTGCGTGTATACATATTATAATACGGTATATATTTATGTATTCTTGAGTGTAGTCATCTTTATTTAGCCCGTTAACGGGCTAAATTTATTTGCATTGAAATTAATTAATTTCCTAAACGAGAAACGAGTGTTCGTATTAAAAAAAAAAAAAAAATAAATATTATTATATGTAAATGAAGCATGAGACTTAGGGGAAATTAAAATGATTGTTTAATGTAAACTAGAAAAGCATACTCTTCACTTTTTATTTTATTAACTGATGTCATATTATATAGTCTAAAACTTTCAATATTATTTTTAAATACGATTAAAAAAAAGAGCTGATGCATTGATACTGTTGATGGGTATGCCACTGTCCCAGGTTCGAATTTGGGAAGGAAGGATATATTATGTTACTTATATCTGTGTGCAATCATAGACTAGAAAACGGTTCTATGCGAAATCCGGGTAAACATGTTTTGAAATATTAATTTTTTGTGATTTTCGCCAAAATATGACCTTTAAACGCGTAGAAAAAAAGACTTAATTTTTTTTTTGTAATATGATGTACAACTTGAGATGAATCTCAAGTAAAATCTTCAAACATTCCTGCAAGGCCACAATAATATAATCCACATAAAACCTTATAAAACTAAAAAAAAATAAATAAAAATGTAAATGTTTAAAACTAAAAATTGTCAGGATATTTTGAAAATTGTATCATGTCTAGAAAAAAATATTATTATAGTATTCTTTATAAACTTTAGATCTCTACAATTATTTTTAACAAAAAAAAAATCGAAAATAATATTACCTACAATGACTAGTCTTAAATAACTTTAATGCACTTTACTATAAACTTGATGTTTATTTATGTTTAAGTATATTAAAGATTTTATTGATGATGTGGTGCATAATCATAAATCATAATCAAAAATTCAATTGGTATTATTGTACCGAAAATTCGTACACATTTTAATAGTTTTTATATTTTAATTGTAAAATGTTTTTCTTTTAAAAATTAAATTAGGCCCCTTTCGGTAATAATTTTATTTTATTTAATAATTGTTATATAAATGATTTAGATTTGTTATTTGTTCTCTTTAAGTTATTTTGTAAGTTTAATTGTTAAAAATTTGTTTAATTAACTATGTTTCTTTTCCCTTCTTTTTCTTCTCTTTATTCCATTTAATTTATATTTAGAACTTTGATTATAGTGGGTAGACCAATAATTATGATTTTTGTGTTTGATCATTGTTATTTGTTTGGTAAAATATATTATAATTATCATAAATTATGAAACCGTTAGTGCCTTGAAATTTCCCGTTTTTTCTATACTTTTCCCGGTTTTTCCAATTAAAAAAAACAATAAAAAAATCGCGCCTTCAATCATCAACTAACCAAGATTTCCTTTTAAAAAAAAATTCTACCTTTGAAATCCGGAATAATATTTCTAGTACCTAGACAAATAAAATCGAAAATAATGAAACTTTTACTGTCTCTATTATTCTTTTAAGGGTTTTCACAGTTATTATGGAAACGTAAAGGAGAATAAAAAAACAAAAAAACCTATCTTTTAATGCTCTAGCTATCTCCAAAATGCTATAAAAAAAATTGTCGTTATTTTTTGACTGTAGCATTATTTCTAGTAAAAAATTCCTTATAGATATGGAAAAAAAGCGCCGTAATAAAACCAACTCGTCACGCTCAGAATCCAAAAGTTGGCTGTATAGATTTACTTTACATAGAATATACGTATACATACATAAGTCAAATAAAACTAAATTCGAGTAACATTACACGGGATTAATATTTATTACATTTTTTATATATAATATATAGGAGACGAACTGAGATTCGTAAAGTTTATATTGACGTTTTAACAAATTATTGACATTAGACTTCTATAATGGCCAAAGTTTTTAAATATGAAAAACGATGTGTACGCGTTGTATACAATTTTATAATATATATCTGACCGAAATTCAGAAAACTTAACAAAATGAAGTTTGTATATTTACGGGTATGTCCCGGAGGAGCAGAGCCGTATAATTTGGGCGTTGGCCGGTAATCGTCGTTATTATTGCTAAGAATCACCCCTTTTTTCCGTGTTAACCATCTGCTCAATATTTACCTTTTTTTTTCTAAATTCACCTTTTGCGTGTCATTTAAAAATTAAACTTTATTGTAAATAATTAATAATTTGAAGATGAATCTATCGGGTTGATCACTCGAAATTATGTAGAATACAATGGATATATCCATACGAATCCTCGATTTCGGGTTGTGGAGTATTACTTCCCCCCCTTCTCCCGTATACGGAGGGTCGCATTCATATTCAATCAAAAGTTTCTAAGTAATAACCGTTTTAATTTCTAGAAAAATAGCGTGAAAACAATTAATTTTCAATAGAATAACACGTTAGAAATTGGCCCTATAGTAACATTGAGTTATCCATCCCTGGCATGTTATTAATCATAGACTTATATTTCTAAACCGAACATTCACCCGGAGTGGGATGCGGAGTGGGAGTCGGTCCGCACAGATCAAGAGAGATAAAATAATATAAAGCCTAGTGTGAGAGAGAGCAAATTTGCTCTCCGTGGAAGATGTTTAAACATCCTGTTTATCATCTCACGTGTTTCTGTTCTCAAAATGAAATTCCACCGACCGGAACGTGTTTTCATGCTGAATGTTCCGCCTAGATATATAAGTCTATGGTTATATTAGACAGAACGTGTTGTAGTTCACAGAACACACGACAAGCAGTGTCTTACGAAGCACCAAAGCACTACTCACATGCACATTAATAGCGTTTTCGATTTGATAAAAAGTGTGCACTGCTGGTCAATTCTTGAATCTTATTCGAAAAATCACTCATGAGACATTCTCCGTAGGTTTTTGTCATACGACATTTGAAATATCTATTTTTGAACTACTCATGACATTTGATTGTGAACGCAATTATTTTGTCACATACGAAATATTTTTCACACGAACCGTGTTGGTAACTAATGCTACCATGATAAGAATTATGACAAGACTACCGCCTTCTTTTTTTTGATTAATGTTTTGTAGTTACCTATTTGATTTTATAATTTTTTATTATTTTATGAGTTATTTGAAATTATAATGATAGATAAAAGAAATGAATATTATGTTTTTATTTTATAAAATTATTTACAAATAAGTACTTTTTAATATTTATTTTTTCCTTTAATAGTTTTATAATATCTTAAGTAATTTAAAAATTATATTTTGTCTGTTCTAAACTATCTATTGTACAAACATCTTGCTGTAGTGTCTCTTTTATTCTTTTACTTTCTACTAACTCTGGATTTACATTTCTCTTCTTCGATTATCATCTTCAGAAATTTAATTGTCGATAATTCCAAAATAAATTTCTTCCAAATTTTAAGCAGTCATGCCTTAAAACTTGAACTTAAACAAATATCCACATATTGTGTAAAATAATATAGGCATTTAAAATTTTATCAAATTTGTTTAGTATATAGTGAAATACTTAATGCTTCAATAATACCTGAACTTAAGCTTTAATACACCATTACACTGCTCAATAATACTCCTAGTTGCCATTTTCATTTTGTTGTACTTTTTTTCTTCATTGTTGTTGTTTCAGAAAATAGTTTAAAAATGATTTAAAATTGTTTACTTGGCAAAAATTCCGTAATTCTGATAACGGCATTTTTACATAGCATACCAAAATGTACTGATTACTAACAATTGAAGAAATAACGCCGCGTATCATCTATATTAATTTTTAGTTATAATTAATAGGACAATTTGAAAGTTATTATAATGTCTGTACCGTGAAATCAAATTTAATTATAACATAAATATTTTAACATAATTTATTATAACATTTTAAATTTAATACAACTCCTCATTATATATTTTTATTATCTATATAATAATTATGATCTAAATTTAACTAATAATTGATTATACGTCGTTATGTTTTCTCAAAATTGTTTTCTATTAGGTGGGAGAATTTGACTCGAATTCGAAAGAATATCTTCACATATTATAATAATACTTTTAAAAGCATATTACAAATATTTTTATTGCATTGAGTCATAAGTTCATAAGCATAAGTCATAAGTCATTGAATTCTAAATTTAGATAAATAATTATTATTGCTTATCAATTGATAATTGCAATATTTATTAATGATACTTTACCCACAAGTCTTAGTATTAAACAACAGGTAACATATGAAAAATATACAATAGTTTTTACAATTAAAAATAAGTACACGTAGGTTATTTTATTAACTATATTTACCTTATTGATATCTTGAAATACGAGTAGTTAACAGCCTCTATGTCTTATACTCGTATTTGAGTAATTATTCTTTGCAAACAAACTATATTTACAAAAAGTTGTAAAATCGTATTTTAATTAAAAATACGAAATATATACAGTTATAAACGAAATTAATATATTATCTCTTTTCATTAACAAGCAAAAAAAAAAAAATTATAACATTTTTGTAAGAATATTTTTCTTTCGAAAACATTCCTCTCAAATCAATATCTACAGGCTAACACCGAGTTATAAATTATAATATTATTATGGTTGATCGGGTAGTTTTAATTCGCCATGAACTATTTAAACGAAATGGTGTGTTATACGCACCAAAATCGTGGAAATGTGTGTTGTAATTTACACCAGAATAAAGATAAATAATTCACGCTGACAGCACCGTAGGTAGAAGAAAATATGTTTTGTAATTTGAACCAAAATTAAAATTCGATAGTTTACTTATGACGACAGTAAATAACGTGCATTTAGTTAAACAGCGGGAAGGTAAAATAACACACGACAGTTTAACTCCGAATTAAAATCATTCTGCGATAAAAAAGATAAATTATAGAAAGACACGCCGACGGCCAATGAGACGTTTCTATGTTTGTGTAAACTTTCGTCACGAAAGACCAGACGGTTTTCCGCTTGCCCGTAATAATGAAATTATAATTATTTTATATTTTAAAATATTTTCCTTGCGATTGTTTTTTTACCGGTACCGCGGTATATAATATTACCTATAGTCTTGTCTCACAAAAGAAAGGTTACCGTTTCACGTATGTCGACAGAGCTCCACACCACCGCCATCAAATCCCTTTGCGCGTCGCTAGTTCACGTGCACGGGTAGAAGTGAGGTTTGAACGACGAGTGTCGTGGGGAGGTGCGCGTCACTGACCGGATTTGGTTGAAACGCGGTACGTTTTATTCGTGAGACGAGAGTATAATATATATTTATGGTATATATTAATATATGGTAATATATACCATGGTATAAATTCATACTTCACAATGAGCTAATCTCGATACTAATTGCCTACTGAAGCTGCCAGGCACCTCATTTATTCACAGAGTCGGCTACCTAGCTGTTGTTAAGCATGAGATACTTTGCAAAAAGTACGCTAAATCTAATCTATCGATGATAAAGATGATGATGATGATGTTGCCGTATGAACATAAATAGTTAGGTCAGGTTAGTGAGCCATATCAGCTATTCTGTTTTATAATCAATGATAAAACGATTTTATTTAATAATATTATATTTAATGAATTTCCAAGCATATCAAAAAGAAAAATAAGTAATAAATATTACCTAATCAAATTTTAATTTCGTTCCGCCATAAATCATAATGTATTATTATACAACAGAATATTGTCTACAGTGTTTATAATAATAATAATACGACTTATCTGTAAAAATTACGTTGTTGTTCATTCAGCTATTATACAGCGGTTTTAAAGATTATTATTGCCCTAAGCTAAAGATTTCCAAGAAACAAACGCGTGTAAGAATGTTTTTAAGAGTATCTATAACGTTGAGCATTCATTTTTTTTATTTTTTAATGTTCAAGTGCATTATTCGGACTGAAAATAGTGCAGATGATGATGACTGAGGTTTTTTTTAAAAAAAAAATAAATTAACATAGTTTTCGGTGTACTGCAAAGTTTATATAACTAAAGTTAATCAAACATTATTACAGTTTCGTAATTGCAACTGTCAAAAAGAAAATGTTTTGCTTTGTTTTCGTTTCGTTACCTGCGGTTAAACGGAGTTTAAATTGAATAAAACAAAAAGACTATTACTTATAATTTCTGTACTTCTATAATGTAACATATAATATAAAATATTTATAACGTAAAGATAAACTAAATGTAACAAATTTATAATTACTCAATTATCGTATACAATTGTCGTGCCGAAAATCTAAATGTATCCATTTCTATTTTACTATCGATGTATCGGTCGTTATTATTATTGATTACAGTTTGATATTATGTCTAAATTACTTTATATAGCAGGAGGCAGTTGTTCGTAAATGATAACGGTCGGAAAACGTAATTTCTATACCAATATTTGATTATTAAATACTGTATATATATTAATATAATATATTTAATTGTTAAATTGTTTCGTTTAAGGCCAAAGTGAATAGAGGAAATTAATTGAAAACAAACCTTGATATTTTTCATGTAAAACCGCATAGGGTAGGATTTTATATTTCGTGTGCAGTATATTAATATGTGACCCATAAGATAAATATATTTCGTATCAATTTCGGACAAATGCTTATCACCCAACATAACAATAATAACTGTTAATTTTGCGATATTCATTTACTCGTTTATATTTTGGAAACTGAACCGATTGTAATAATGTTCTATTTTCCCTGAAACGTATTGTGTTTATTACAATATACTTACTACTTCATTATTACTAGGTAATTAAACAAATAATCCACGTTTACTCTTGCGTTTTTATTGCCAACAATGTAGTTTTAGTCTATCCTCGTCCTTTTCTTCGCCTCAGTAATCTCTATTTTGTGTGTTTCGGCCACCTTGGTCCTAACTTTCCACTCTATTTGGTGTCCCCATCAAACACCCGAGCAATACTCTTAATCGTATCTAACCATCATATTTTGGATCATCCTCTCCTCCTCACTTGCAGATTTATTCGTAAAACTTCTTTTACTTATAATAATAGCATGTCCTAACCATTCTCTTATATTATTTTATCGAAACAACGTCTCTATAATATGCGCTACCTCTTATAAACTCGTACCTTATTATATCTTGTATAGTCTACATAGCGACTTTACTTGGGCTTGGAGTGGGAATTAAATTAATGCTGGGAGTTTGAAATTTAAACAGGCCACTCGAGAAATTGTTTTCACTTTACTAAAATTTAGCGTTTTAATTTGATCCCAAAAATTACACAACATTTTTTCAAAAATAATTATTTGAATAAAAAAAACATTAGTTAAATAATTGTATTAATACTTCTAACTTTTAGTAGTTACAATTTATTGTTGAACTAATTTAAGTATTTAATACTTTTGTAAATTGCATTACCTATTATCCAGTTAATATTTTCTTGCCTCTTCAATTGGTTCATCTTTGATTTCATAACTTTTCATTTTATCTTTTCCTAGCAAACCAACGCATAACACCATGTTTTTTTTTTAAATTTTATTTGATGTTCATAGTTATATAATATTTTTTCATTCTATATGCAATGCTTACTCATGCACATAGACTCTATGCATCCATTTAAGCGGTCTCATTTTTTGCTCCATCTAATTCTTTTGTTTACTGTCTAAAATTCTGTAACCCGAGCTCGCCATAGTTTTTAAAATAAACCGCCTGGGAACAGGATTTGTATTTAGCGTATTCTAAAAACTAGATTATTTTCTTAAAAAAAAACTGCATCCGACAGCATTCATAAATTCGTTTTAAACCCGATTTATTGGATAACATTTTGTGTTCTATACTTCTTTATAGTTTGAGTGGATTAAAATATAACACTAGGTAGGTACCTAATCCATTTAAGTGGGTACATTCATTAATTTGGAAAGTGTTAACTTTTTTAGGAATTTGTTTTCTAGAACATTCAAGAAATAAACAGCTTAAAAATTTTATTTTTATGCTATTTTTTGTCACCCTTATTTTTGAAGATTAAACCACTATTTAATTTTGATTTTCAAATAGAAACCTATATTAAAAATTCCATAAATAGATGGAGTATTAGTTAAAATAAATGTTAGTATTTAAATTTTTGATCTTCGTCAATCCGTCGACGAGATATTCCACTTTTAAGTTTGAGTTGGTAGTGGAGTATCATTTGTGTGGTGGTATGACGTGCGGCTTGTTAGTGTTCATCACTACTTTCCTCAAACTCAAACTTAAAAATGGAATATCTCGTCAACAGATCGACGGAAATCAGAGATGTCAACACTAAAGCTAATTTTAACTAATAATCCATCTATTTATGGAATTTTTAATATAGGTTGCCATTTGAAAATCAAAAAAAGGTAATAGTTTTACCTCCAAAAATAAGGATAACAAAAAATAACATAAATATACAATTGTAGCTCTACAGCTGCTTGCTTTTTAAATGTTTTAAAAAACAAATTCCGAAAAAAAGTTAAAACTTTCCCAGATATTGAGTTTACCCACTTAAATGGATCTCCTGGTACTATATTTACTACCGGACTTTTGGTTGTTTTTTCAACCGGAAGTTTACTATACGTTAAACACACAATGTAATGTTGTTCAACGTTTATATTATTACAAAAAAAAATAAAATACTCAAAAACCGTATCATATTATTTTTTACAAAGGTTATATATTTTTATGAAAGGTATACACCTTTTATCAAAATATTACAAACACAAACACATTTATTTTATTGTACACAATTTAAACTCGAATTTCGTAGTTACATTTTTCATAGCCGATCAAGAAGTTGTTCTATATAATGGATCATAAAGTAAATATTTATACAATAATACGGTTTTGAATCTAAAATAATATCATTAAATTTATGACGAAACTATTTATTAAATATTATTTTATCCAACCGGTATGTCTTTAGAAAAAAAAAAAATCTATACAAAATCAGCCTTGAAATATCACGTTATTATTATCATGGTTGCGACTGTACCTACGCAATTACCACTCGAGCAAATAATAATATATCACATAGATAACAATAATTTTAATGTCGACGTTATTTCTCAGGTATAATAGACGTCATAATATTATATTAATGTGGGTATGTTAAATTCAAAACCGAGTAAACATGTTTTGACGGTAGTGTCGAGTGGTGTTTGTGGCATTATCACTTATATAATAAAATATGTGTATAAAATGAATTAGTTTAATCAAATTAAAAATTTGCAAATATATTCCCCTCCACTTAAATAATTACTCATCATTATATACTTTTTAGAAAAAATAACTACGAATTTATATTGTACACACAGTGAAGTGCCGAATATAGGTATTTGTGTTGTCCGGGCAACACGTACAAAAAGGGTAGGTGTTGAAATTATATGATGACTCATAAATGTATTTTGTTTAAGATGTTTGCATGGATCGTGCCAGATCCACTGTAAGGTCTCCTACTGTTACAATGTTTGGCCCGTGGGTTACCAGTGTCGATTATCTTTGAACATGGTATCGGACAGTAGATTGGTGAAAAAGTATCATCTTTAATGTGGTTATAAAAAAGGTAAAAAAAAAGAAAACAATATTCCAACTTTACAGAAGTGAGAATCATTTGAAAAACCTTTTTCTACTAGCTTTGTTCTTTTCATATTTTTTAAACGGGATAGATGGACACATAAAATACAACGATAAAAGTATACACGATAGTTTATATTAAAAAAAAATCCAAAGACCAAAGTATAGCATTTTGTCGAATGGCAATTTCATTATAATTTTATAATTTATGGATACAAATTTGAGAATTGGGAATGGTATTTCCTCCCTACGGGCGCCCTTGAATATGGTCCATTTGTGAGTAGTGGGGTGATAGGTGGTGTTCTAAATTCGGTATAACATCAAAAAATGTTCAACCTCGGCATGCCATTGAAATATAACTTATTGCATTATTTTATTTGTCGCGGGAAGGATAGAATCTCCAGCGTTAGATATACATACGTTTGAAGTAAATATTTTGAAGGTTTGAACTCGAGTATAGTCATATTTAAAAATGTGTAACTATTTCTTTTGTATAAGTTACGAGTTTAAATATCATCTGTATTCAGTACACATGCGTAAGTAACTTTATGGAATGAAGGGGAGTGTGGAATCTCCATACTAATATAATCCTAATATTGTATATAAATATAAATATATATTTGAATTAAATGAACGATAGAAATGTATTTTGTACTCGTACTAAAAGTGTGACAATATAAGTTAAACTATTTGGATTTCTTAATTTTTTTCAATTTCTAAAACATTTAAATATTACCTTAAACATAAAAACTATCGGTTGAGTTTTAAATTGTATTATCCAATGTTATCATTAAGTAGTTATTGTTACCTGATCGTATGCGTATGTGTTGTGTAACTTCATGTCATAAATAATAAAATATATTATTTTGTATCTCGAGGTATCATTTACAATGCCGCCTGTGTTTTGATGTTTACAAAATTAACATCAAGTTTGTGTCTACTTGATATAGTCAACTACGCGTGTATAATATTACCTGCTGTTATTATACGCATTATTTAAGTTGATATTTTTGACGACTCTCAATTTTTTTTCTGCAATAAATTACACGATAAAAGTCAATAATATATACAGCGTGAGTCAATAGTCTACATCCGATTACGAAAACATATAGCCTAAACAAAAGTTAGATATTATTAGCAAACGATCTACTACATATACTCGTAGGTAATAAAAACTAATATAATATAACACTAGTGGCTAAATAACAATTCTACTTTTCATTTACTTTGATAAAACCTTTAAATTTGTACACAATGTTTGTTCCTTTCATCATGACATTCGGATTTGGTAGAATTTCTTCAATCATTTCAGAAGTGATAGTACACATCTCTCCGACATTAATAGAAAACTTGTTCCAAAAGTCTTATTTTTTTCAATTCTTGGATTATCACATCACCATTGCACTTTGCACCAAACACACATATTTGAATTGTGTTTTATTCCGAAGCCTTCCTAGAAGATAACTAATAAAAATGTACGAGGTCTAAAGATAAATACAATTAGTTTTGTTAGTAGATGTTAAACAATTAACAATTACGCTAATTATATGTTTACATTTAGCTCTTTGTATCAATTTACCGAGGGAAATTTAAACACGGTAAAAAGTGTACAAATTCTTAAAATACTAAATGTAAACCATACAAAATGGTTTATGGTTATCATCATTAATTAAAAGTATAAATCAATACAATACTTATATTTTAAACAAATTGAAAAAAACGAGCAGATTCAAAAATTAAAGTTTTTAACACTGTTTTTCATTAAACTTTTTGTTAATGATAACAGTAAAGATATAATTTATAAAATGCTGCCATCAATATGTTTCATGGAAGAAAATATATTAAATAATAAATATTATCAAGTTCAATAGTTATAATTTATTTGTTTTATCAGAATACCAGCCTCATTTACAATTACCCCACCTAACCCTATACCATTATTAGATATTTAAGATGAATTGAGTTTATTACCATATGGAGCACAGCCGACCTAAAAATTAAGTGTTCGTCGATATCTAAACAACAAATTCATAGACGGTGGTGGATCTGGCGCAGAGAAGCCAATAATTTAGTGGTTCAACCTAGTCCACTGCTTTTCCCGGACTTCAGTGATTTTTTAAAAAAATGTTGGAAGAGAACTACGTGAAAGATACGGGACTAGCTGAAAAGCCGGATAACAGATACGGTAAAGGGCGTGACACGAGACATGGACGAGAGACTTTTGATAGAAATTTGATTACTGTGTATATAGATGTGTACTGAGCGGCCAATGGAGGTGATATTTGAACATTTTTAACATATTGCATAGGTATATTCAAATTTTAGAAATATTTTTTACTCTACTCTTGTAATATTTATTTTTCAAATCAAATGAGCACATTTTTAAATTTACGTTTCAAACTAAAATTCTGTAATAAAAAAAAGACTAAATATTATAGTATTAGTAAATTATTTAGCCAATAGCAAACTATTATATACCTTCAGCTCCTGATGTGCAGATGTTCTTATTTTCGTATTTTACAATGGTTCGTGTTCTTTTTTGGTTAGATTGGATAATACACGTATTATATACGAACGCGGATAAATGCATAACAAAAAAAAAAAAACTTATTATTATATTTACAAACATATATTATTATTATACATCCAATGAAATTTAAATACATTAAAAAACAATAATATTTTTCCAGAGCCAAAGGTTCTCAATGTCACGATTTGTTACGTATAGTAAATAAGGACGTGAGGCTTGTCTAGAGATACGAGTACTATACTTATCCTGATTACTTTTTTGTCCTTGTTCCGTTTACGAGTAAATTTTATTGTGTGATGCGTGATGAGGTTTTGTCTTTTCGTGACCGTCCGTTTGTTGAAATCGTTAACATTTCTGATGCGAATAGTCTCCAGTGACGTGGCGTCGTAATTTACAGTATTTGCTTATGAACCACGGCAAAGTTTCTACAAGTGCAAATTGAAAAATCGGTTGTTTTTTTCGCTTCTATTAAAAGCTATTTATTTGATTAATATTTCGTTAGTTTTTAAACCCTGTTAAACCCGAAAATGTCTACATCCAATTTATATAATATAGTATGTTGCCGACTTTGTATACAAGTTTTAACACTAGATTCGGGCAGCAAGTATCAATCGTTATAAATTATTATTATAACAATAGTATTTTACTTTTAAACAATGTATTCTGAGCGGAGCGAACAGCGACCGTTCCGTTAAATTAACAATTTGTTGTTCAACATTTCTTAATATCTTTTTCAATAAAAATGTTGGTTTTTCAATTTATCAAAAATTATTGAGAAAACACTCGCACTGTATATATGCATGTTTTTTAAATATAATTTTTGAAAAATAAATTAAAATAATTAGTGAAAGTTATACATTTAATAATAACTATAGCTATTCCTTTATAAATTCGATTATATTTTAATTAATTAACAAAAGTATTTTGAACAAATCCGAACGACCAAATTTAGTCACAAACAATATATTAATCCGAAATATCGAATAATAAATTCTTAACGCATTATAATGACCCTTTAATGAACAAAATTAATCAAACTATCATATAAATTTAAATTATTCATACACACGATAATAAAACAAAAAATTAACAAAAAAATAGAGAATTAATAATTTCTAAAATGTATTTGTAAGTGAAAAAATTTAATATTTTCCCTTAAATTGAATTTATATATTTTCAGGAACAGTTGAATAATTATAATAATTATTTTCAAAGTATAAAATATTTTTAATAAACTAATTTTATCGCCCTTAAAAATTTAAACGTATATTCGTTATTACTGTAAACATCGTTAACAATGAAAAAAGATCATAAAAAAAATTGTGTTCGTTATTCAGAAGTGTCCGCTATTTAGAAGGAGAAATCGCATTTTTTATTAAATAAATAAATGAAATCAATTTTATTTTTTATTTTTCCATTAATTAAATGCATCTTAAAATTACAGCGTTTCATCGACGCGATAATATTTCGAAGGCTGGACGGATAATATAAGATATACGTATACAGTAATAATGTAAATATATAGCAATAAAAAATAACTTAATCGTGTAGCCTTTTATTTAGTTATTCTACAATTGTTCCTCGAGATACAAATTATCAATACCAATATTAAAAAGTGTCCATTGTTGTTGCGGGAGAGATATGTTTTGTAAGCTTTGAACACCCTTACAGACTGCCAAACGATACCAGAACTAGGGAATGCAATCGTGTATAATATGCATAATAACGAATTTTAACGTTTAACCGCCGCTATAATACCATTGAAATTATGCACGAATTTCACAATTTCTTTTGGAATTATATTAATGTTGTAATGGTTTCTCGTTGTTTTACAAAGAATATTTCTACAATACAATTTAGACGGGGAAAAATACGTCTGTAACGTTGCTACTGGTGTTATTATTATTATTATTTTTTTTTTTTTTTTGTAAATTGCATTGTGCCAACAGTCAGTTCGAAATGTATCCAGGAAGTGGTGTTATACATATGCAAACGATTACACGTCTACAACAACTTGTGTCTTTCGTGTGTCTATACGTATATTATATCGTTTTCAGAATAAATTCATTTTTGTAAATGCGGTTTTTACATCTGCATGATTTGATGTTATTTTGTCTGGATAGATGATAATATCATGGGCGACAGCGGTCCATACAGTCTGACTTAAATTGCAGATGGTATTTGCTGTCGCACTAATGTAAACCAGGACATTTTTACCGTCATCTCCCGACCTCGTGATATCAATATTAAACATATTACCCACTCGGATTTACATTTTTTGTTGTTTTTTTTTTTTGTAATACATTAATTTAACATGACGTTATATCTATATAATGCATTAATTTTTTCAAATAACAAATAACAATTTTTCAAGTAATATTTTCCTGTAAAATTGAATATTTTCCATTCACAATAAATTAACTCGGTTGTATTTTATTTGTTTTTTTTACGTTTTTAAAAACTGAAAAAAATTTACTGTCAGCAAATTGACTATCCGAAACAAAGAGTTTTATTTTCAAAATTTAGAGTATTTTAATTATGTATGGATTAAAATCTTACTAGAAATTGTGAAATCTAATACTGTGAAAGGTAAAGAAATATTTTCTAATTTAGATATATTTTTGAAGGGTATATTATAATGTTTAAAATTAATAACAAACATTGAAAAAAAAAATATATATCCATTTCAATAACTACACCAAGTGTTTGGTTACTTTAGAAATATTTTATTTTCATAATATTCAAGAGGTTTTATTTTCTTCTTTTATCCGTATAACGACAAGGGTAAACGCGGAAATCAATAAAATGCAAATCGACTTGTGTATACGTAATATTATCCAGTCCTAAATGTATTGAGTGTCACCATCCGTTTAAAATATAATCTGGTTTCAAACTATTAATATCTACCCGCTTATGTTCAAAATTCTCTCAGAATTATACGCGTGCCAAAAATTAATTTCTTTTATTATTATGTTATGGAAAAAAAAAAAAACACCATTCTATTCATTAAAGTAAAATGCTATGCAAATTGAAAATGTATATATAGTACGCGGTATTTTCTAGTCCACACTGTACGAAATAATATGAGATACTTCGGTTTATCCACTGATTGAATAGGTGTATTATGTTGTCGGGTCATTTGCGGTCCACTCGGCGGTAAATCAAATGTCGGAAAGAGCGCAGTGGACATTTCTGTAGTCTCAGATAACAACAGTTATGATTGCAGTTGCGATAACAACATTAAAATCGATTGCTCCGGTCACAGCTTCACCCCTGGCCGACGAGAGCCCACTATAAATAATTCGTTTAAACTTTTGCGCAGGCGTATCAGTCAAAGCACCTCGTCGAAACCGTATCGATTATCCCACTATGTAGCTTTCACAAGTTACTTTTACTTCCCGTCAAACGGGATTTGATTTCCCATTACGCATTTCCACTCGATTTCGTTCCCTCCAACTGCACTCGATATTCTCGTGCACAAATCTCTGCTCACACACTCGACGGCGAAGCGTCGCGATTTCAGTCCCGGGACACACGGGCGTTTTGAACGACATCGTCGTATCAGTATATTGTTAGTATGCAGTCGTCAATAAAATCGTAATTACAATCGTAATATTTATTTCGTTCGTACGGCCATGATAATTTCGCCGATTGTTTGAACGAAAATCGATACGAGCACTTTGATCATAATAATAATAATAGTAATAGTTTAATAACTATCCAACTGTTATACCTCCGACTACTGTTATAATTGCCGCAATTACTATTAGCGCGACATCGTGTATAATAATAATAATAATAATAATAATAATAATAATAATAATAATAATAATAATAATAATAATAACAATTTTAACAATTTTAACGGTTGCGTAATTCGAATATTAACGTTGGCGACAGAATTCCGTTGTTACGACAAGACGAGGACGGCCACCCACTGTAGACGCGAATCGACAAATTGTCGTCGTCGTTGTTGTTTGGTGCGATGTGACGGCGCGCGTTTTGTACGTGTTAAATAATAATTATTGTCATTGGCATTTCGCGGCGGTCCGGCCCGTAAAAAACCATACGCGCGCGCGCGCGCTCGCACACACACACACACACACACACACACACACACACACGCACGCACTCGGTGTCACGGTTATTTACCGTGCAGCCGTGGCTTTTGCGCGCGGTTTTCCATTTTCCCCGAGACGGTCGGTCGGGAACCGTCCGCCGGATCGACGACGACAGGCAGTGTGCGGCGTTAAACCCGTTCGCCCGGTCCGGCGGTGGCGGGTAGCCGACCGCGGACGGGAGAGCGACCGCCCCCCGACACGGTTGTTTACGTCGCGGTTCTCCTGGCCTGACCCCCCCCCCCCCNCCCCCCCCGTGTTATCGCGCGCGGGCGTCCGTGTAAAAAAGGCAAATCGGAAATCGGCGACTTGTGCCGGATGGGTTTCGCAGACGGACTGGGCACTGTGACCAGCCCGGGGCGATACGCGCTTGGCGGACGCCGTACGTCTACCGAACTCTCGTGCGTTACGCGTGCACGTTGTATCGGCGGATCCGCCCGAATTTGACGGTAGGCGGTGGCCGGCCGCGAGTGGCGCATTACGTTACCCCGTCTCTAACGGTGTAACGTCTGCCGCGGTTTGCAATAATCGCTCGTTCGCGTTGCGTCACTGTAGAGCGTGCGACGCGGGCGTATTTATGCGTTTCCACATTGGCCGAGTGCAACGACGTGCGCGATGTACCCGTAGTACGATATTATCTATGCATGCGACCGTGTCATTATATTAATCAAACGCGGTTCCAATTATCATTCCTCTTGACGTCCTCCGACCGCGCGAATTCTTCTTCGGACCAACGAGTTGACAGTCCGGAAACACTGCGCGTGTCGCGCGGTGGGAATTCGGGAAAAAACTGCGGACTTTAATTAACCGGACTGTCCGGCGTTGACAGGTAATATCTGTGACAATCGCAAGCGGTTTTATAGGACAAGCGCAATCGATATTGATTTCTAGCCACGAAAACACGTGGCTATCGGATCTGCTAGGACTCCGAGGGAATGAATAATTGAAAACGCTTGGAATCAAACGAACGGCACTTGTGGACGAAATTCTTAATGTTATCAAATGTCATTATAGTTGGCAAAACGAGCAGAAGTAAAAAAAAAAAAAAAATAATCGCGCCGAATTTCGATTAATCGAACAGCTCTAGGTGGTACGGTTTGCTGCGGGCCACTGCCGTTAAAAAGTATATACTTATACGTTACGTCGATCGATAAATTGCGCAGTTTTCTTTCCGCTTTCTGGGGGGGAAAAAAAAAAAAATAATAATAAAATCGCGCTGTAGCCGCGGTTATCGGTGGTAAGACTGAATTCTAGCCCACGGTTATCAGCAACGATGATATGTCACGAGCGTATTGTTTTTAAATCGCCAATTATTAATTGACGACTTTGACAGACATAAACGGACGTTTGCGTCGTTAATTAAAAACGGATTGCAAATATTTAATTCGTGTCTATTGTTTTTTCTAACTGCATGTCGAATAATCTGTGTCTCAAAACACAAATCGGTCTACGAAAACGATCGTCTAACAAGGATTACCAACGGTTTAGAGTACGGTACATGTAATACAAAAAATACGTTGCATTTTGTTTCCCTTGTAGGTTGTTACGGCCGTTAGAGCTGCACGATCCGGGATTTTCTGTTCATTCTCTAAAATAATAATAATTGTTGTTATCCAGTGGTGCCCGGGTGTATTAGTTTAACCATACCATTTTATACGATTTTAATTTGTATGCATTAGGTCTGCTGTTTACCCGGGGGAAACAAGTTTGATGATCGTCTGCGATAACGTCCCTGTTTAAAATATTGTCTGTACCCCCCCCCCTCCTTTAACATTTGCTGCATGCGTTCAACAAAGGTTTGGTGGTCGCTCTGGGCGAATAAAAATAACTGAATCGAAATAGCATGCATTTTTTTAAAATAATTTTCGTATAAAACTAAAAAGATAATAAATGTACATTATTGTTACCGGCCTCGAATCTTCAACAACACATTCGATATTTTTGGTAACGTCGTGCGTGTACTCTTCTTGATTACAATTGTTTGTAAATAGTAACTAGTATTATACATACGAGTACTTGGCACAGATGTGTACCAATTGAAATCAAAAAAAAAAAAAAAAACCGGGTTAATTTTGAATTTTCAGAAAGAAAACTAGCGGTTTTAATTAGTTTTTGTTTCGAGACAAAATTAATTATTCGTCTATTTTTTTTTTTTTTTTTTATCGTATACGTACCGAGTTTTGTGTTTACATTTGTGTTAAACATTGTCCCGATCTCTACGAGCAAACTCTTTAAAACGCTTGTTTCGTTTCTGGCCCGACACCCGGGGCAATAACGCGCAAACGAATATTGTACACGAAACTTTTAGATGAAATTCGGCCGGGCCGAGCTGCCCGGTACCCGACTTATTATTGTTGTTATCATTGACGTTGTTTCCGCCGGACTTGACCGGTCCAACGACCCGGCGCCCGGCGTTTGAGCGGGGGCCGTGCGTGTACGTTCGAGGGGAAGACGTAATGCGACGCATGCCACCGATGTCACCTGCTGAATTAATTCCCCGCGGACCGTTGGCACACGTCCTTTGCACGGTTAGTGCACGGCGCCAGGTGCGTGCCGTTCGCCAACAACGTGTCCTATCGGAAATCGTTTATTATCGGGACGCAAATCCGATCCGATTCGCGATTATTGTTCATCAACGGGCTGAGTCGGCCGTGCAAAACTAAAAACAGCCGCCCGGGACGATCGCCGTCTCTCGCTCCACTCGTCCCACTTTCCTGCGTAAAACGCATTCGTGACGATTCGACGGGGAAAAAGAAAGAAAAAAACAACAAACAAACAAACAAACAAACACAGTAACGCGCACAGTGTTCGGAAAACGTTCAGAATAACGACACGGCGTTACAATGTATTGTGCTCGGTAATATTGTTTTGGACGGCATTTTATCATTGATAACGGCCACCGATCGGAAACGGCGACACCGGCGACCGCCATCTCCGACTATTGCGTTGGCTTGTCGCGCTGACGCGTTTGCGGCGACATTACGCACGCATCGCGGTGTCCGCGGGCGACGCGGTTCGTTTCTCGTCGTCGGTTTTTTCCTAATCATTTTTATTCGAAAATTATGGTAATCGCCAATGCCACGCGAGCGTATTATTCTTATTTGTTACATTACGGTTATTATAATTTTTACACGGCCGTGTCGTGTACGTGTCGATTGCCGTTCCCCGCGCCGTTGTCGTCTACGCGGCCATTGCGTCTGCGTCGTTTACAATGCGCGCCGCGGGTAACGGGAGTGAGGAAGTTTCGGGATCTTGAGGACCGACCAAACTTCCCGCCGTCCCGTCGCCGCCGCCGCCGACGAAACACCGAAATCCCCGACCGTGTAAACACCGCGCGTGTTCGCCAATCCGAACACGCGTCGCGCGCCACTGTCGTGTTCGTAATAACTTTACCGTGCACGGCGAATTATCGTATCGAGAATTCGAGACCTTACGGAAATATTGTACAAAATATATCGTTGCACGCCGCGCGTACGAATATAACAGCGTTATTCGGCGGATACCAACGAAAAAAAGGCTAGGTCGTTGGAAAATATCGTGATCCTATTCGGAATACACGTGAATAAAATTATCGAAAAACAATCCATGGGCGCCGTGGAATTTGTTTCGCATTTTAAAACAACGATATTACTGTAATTATCGCACTTGTTATACCACCGGAAAATAAACGTTCCTAAAGTCGCGGGGATTTTAAGTCGAAACATCCGATAGGCACATCTCTCCCTGATACTAACGCCGTGCGTACGCCTAAATTTCACTCTCCCTCTGGCTTCATTTCGGAGGTGTGCGGGGGCGGTCGAATCTAGAAAAAAAAAAACAACTCTCTTCGGCCGCATACGCGCGGTGAAATACGTATTGAACCCCCGAAACCCGACCATACAATATCGCCAAAAAACAACTCTAGTTCTCGAATCCGTGCTAATTTGATTTACGCTAGTGGGGGGGAAAAAAAAAAATATCCGCACCAATAGAGTGCAACAATCACTATAATCGACTGATAATACGATTGACTATCCGGATATATAGTATAGGTAGTTCAGAACCCTTGGATGTATACTAACTTTAAGAGACTTGCGGGCGAATTTTTTTTTTTTTTTTTTTTTTTTTTCGAAAAACCTAGATTTTTTTAAGCATTGAACTCCGATATTTTGGTTTTTAGATTCTGGACGGAATGATGAATGTATTGGTGTTCATTTGTTTTTTTATTATTATTTATGGTTGGTACGGCACACGTGCGTATTTATGAACTTATTTAATCTATGTATTAACTAAAACCAAACAGCTTTTTTACAACCCCCCTCCAATAATTTCTATATATGTCACTGGCGTTTAGTAATACAGTTTACAAAATTCAAGGCCACTTCGAGTGCGAGAAAAAGATTACCATAGTACTCTTATGATAATCATCAAGTATGATATTTTAGATTTTGAGTGGACCGAAGAAGCTTAAGGCTTTACAAAGATGTAACTTTTTTTTTCTATGTAAAAATTTTCTACCAGAAATCTTACTCTGATTTTTAAGTGTAGCACCTTTTCTAAAAGTAAATCGGCACGGGGAGGTATCTTCAAAAAGGTTTAACGGGAAAATCGGCATAATATTAAACAAATATTATTAAAGAAAATATATAATGCCTATTTAATTATTTTTTACCATAATATGACGTATGTACTGTTGAAGAAACATCACTATCAACTGAATTCCGATCAGAATCGATTTTTCGTTGGTTGGTTTATCGTTGTGTATTAAATTCCCTTCTGTATCCTATCATTTCAACTTCCCACCCACAACAGTGGCTGCACCCGTCTTCATTATCCTAGGACAGCTTTTTTCGTGTGGAGTTTAAGTGCAAATAAAAACTGTATGCTGGTGAAAAAAATATCTCATGCATAGACCCCTTAAAATATAACTTCAAATTAAAACTTATTCAACCATATTATTTGTTGATATAATGTTGATAATGTATACTTAGTACTTACTTAATTTGGGGTGGTTTGGCCGAGGGTTTTTAAGAGAGGTTAAACACCCGAGCGCCCGCCTATTTTCACGTTGTTACGGCCTGTGAATTGTGAATGTTAACAATTAAAAAAAAAAAAAATGTAAAACCCCGTTTGTTGTGATATTTTCCATGAAAATTGGATTCAAAACTGCATTCTTGTATTTCCTGTCACATATTTTATTCTCCGCGATTTACAATTTTGATGTTCTAATTAAATTATTTGACAAAACGTCTACGCACGGTGTTCTCGCTTTTTTTTTTTTCTATGGCCACCCCGCCGTGGTGAAACGTAACGCGACATTGTAATTATGTTTGTTATAATGTGGTTATTTTTTTCTGTTGGGACAGGTCGTAGGAAATGCTTTTATTGGTTTCGGCGGCACCGTCGCTGCAACTGCAACAACTACAGTCATCGGCAGCACCACTGACGGGAGCGGACGCCGCGACGCGACACGATCGATTCCGCCGTCCTGGCGATCGGACGAACATTTGAGCGACGACTCAATTGCTGCACAACAACCCTCTGCACAAAAACACCGCGGAGAGAAAGACAGAGAGAGAGAGAGTGAGTGAGTGAGTGAGTGAGTGAACGGAGCAGCTGCCGGCCGCGCCACCGCGTTGTTATGCAATAAGGTTCCGCCCGAGCGAGCGGCGCCCCCCTTTTTGCCCCCCACCGGTGGACTGTACGCGACTATTATCGTGTTTAGGGCTTTTTGGCGTACAATAGTCGCGTCGCCGCCGCCTTCGCCGCCGCGTGCTGTTCTCCGCCGCCGCCGCTGGAGGACCGCATGCGGGCGCGACGTTTCGCCATGACGTGCCGCGGTGCAACAAGATGTACGCCGTCGTCGCCGCCGACACCGCTGCCCATGGCGCCCACGTCGTCGTCATAACCGCCGACGTTTCCGCTGTCGTCATAATAACGAGCCATGCGAGCGCCATAAGCACACCGTCGAGATGGACTGTCGTCGCGGTTCGCCACTCGTTCTCAGTAGTTCGCGATGACCAGTGCGCGGTGTGCGCCACGTGACGCGCGCGTTTGTCGGCCGACCGTTAGTTAAAAAAAAAAAAAAAAAAAAAAAAAAAATCGTATACATATAGATATATTTAATAATATACACATTACCAGTTGCACAAACTAACACGAATTTATGTATGAATCATATTGTCCTTTCTTGATACACGTTCCTCGCCTTCCACGGCGGTTTTACCACAACTTAACCCGCTCGCGCGTAAAATGAAGTACAAATTTTTGCTCAAAAAATGCCAACGACGTTCATGAACGCTTCCTGGTGGCCCGCGCTCGTTTGGCTGTGGTCGCTGTCCGCGGCCGTGGCCGGCGACGACGAGAAAATTTGCCCCAGCATAACCATAATGAACTCCGGCGAACGTCTGGCGTCGCTGCACAACTGCACCGTCATCGAAGGCCACCTGCAGATCATCCTGATGGACAACTCCAAGCCCGCCGACTTCGAGGACACGTACCCACTGCGTGAGATCACCGAGTACATGGTCGTCTACCGCGTCACCGGGCTCATCAACTTGGGCCGGATGTTCCCGAACCTGTCGCTGATCCGCGGCGTCCACACGACAATGTTCCCCGGACGGTCGCTGATGATCCACGACAACGCGGACATCAGGGAGATCGGACTATTCCGGTTGACGAACATCACCCGTGGCTCGGTCATTATTTCCCAAAACCCCAGTGAGTCGTGTTTTTTTTTTTTTGCACTTCTTCATTTTACTCGTAAATATGCCGATCGTTCGTTTTATTTTTTCGACCATTGTAAATGTGTTATTTGCCCACCGCTTCGAGTGGATTAGATACGTATCGCGATTCGTCAGTTTTAAACAATTCGTACCGTATGGCAATTCGATTATTCGCGAGATCAAACACGTGGGGGTACACGTGGATATTCATGCGTTATCTCGAAATTTGTCCAACAAGTGTTTTCTAAACGTGTCTTGCAAATTCAAAATTATATCCTAATAATTGGCATTATAGTTTGTTAAAGTTCGCTTCAAAATCATGTTTGCTTACGCATTTACTCCGGGAAGTATACATTTTTTTTCGGGATTATTTTTTTAAGAACATTTAAAAAAAAAAGCAGCTCTAAAATGTTTCATAACTGTTATTTTTTTGGCTCCCATATTATTTAAGGGGACAGGCCACTACCTAATTTTGATATTCAAATGGTAACCTATTCCAGGTGCTTGCTATCCCATATGATTTTATTTCGAACGACGCGTATCGCTCCACTATTGTCCTGCGCACCCTACCTTAAAGTGTAATGTTTCGTCAACGGGTCGACGGAATTAAAAACTCCAACGTCAACATTTATTTAAATTGTTGTTTCACCCTTAAAAATAACGGTGATGTAAAATTCGAGAGCCGCTTGTTCCAGTATCAAAAAAAAAAAAAAAGGAAAGAAAACTACGGAAAAAGTTAATATTTCCCGCGACGATATTGAGTGTCCTTTTCCGAGGATTAATCATCTTGTACAATAATACCAAACGCTTCTTTACGTATCACCTTTTGGGTTATGACGTGAAAAAAAAAATATAAAAAAATAATCACAATTATATTATTGTTACTTTAGTAGATATTAACGATGAGTATATGAAATATGTATTACGTATATATTAAAAAAATTGCTGAATATTCGTACGTACAACATCACGCACAACATAAATCGAATTGCGTATTTTATTCGGATTTATTAAAACGTTTACAAAATCGTATGCGTATCATGAAAATATTTCTACGAAAACATTCCGCGACGGTTATTAGGCGAATCGAGATTGTTTTTATTTTATTATTATTTTTTTTTTTTAAATATCAACGATAATATTTGCCTACGTAATTGTTTGTTTCGTTTTTTCCCCTCTCCCGTAGAATTGTGTAATGCGGCGACAATCGATTGGGGCCAAATTACAACCGCAGTGAGCAACGACTCCAACATCATTAACAACAACGAGACCAGAAGATGTCCCGGATGTTCCAATAGCGGTTGTCCGGAAGACAGATGTTGGTCCCAGCAACCCAGTCCGGATCGCTGTCAATACGGCAAATTGAAAAACTGTCATCCGTTGTGCGCCGGCGGTTGCGATCAATACCATTCTGCCAGACATTGTTACGCGTGCACCGCGTACATGCACGACGGCGAATGCATTCAAGAATGCCCTCCTGGCCTGTATGTATTTATACACATTTCTATTTAAAAAAAGATTTCCGTAATTTGTTATATGTCAATAGGTAACACGAATCATTTTTGTTTAGGTATGGTCACATCCGGTCGTGTTTGACCGAAGAACAGTGTCGCAGTTTGCCGGTAAACCGAGAAGAATCCACTTTGGACGATTTGAATACCAATTACATTCCGTTTGAAAATCGTTGCATTGACGAATGCCCGTACGGATACGAAGTGACACCGGACAAAATGAACTGTACGATATGTATGAAAACGAGAAACGGAAATTGTCAGCATAATTGCAATAGTTTCAAGATTAGCGACGAAATTTTGAGAAGGAACGACGAGTACCGGCTGCACACCAATTGCACGACCATCAGATCTTTAGAGATCGAAGTCAAGTTCGGCACTACCGAAGACATAGAACGTCGACTAGAAGATTACGTTGGTAAAGTAGAAGTGATCTTGGACCAGTTGAAAATCATTCGTTCGTATTCGTTAACCTCTTTGAATTTTTTTAAAAACTTATACGAAATACGCGGCAAAAACACTGTTAACAAAATGGCTTTGGTAATTCGCGGTAACAAAAATTTACAAAAACTATGGACCACCGAAGACAATAAAACCCGCGAGGTGAAAATATTGAACGGTACGGTGTCATTTCATTATAACCCAAAGTTGTGTATGTCGGAAATATATAAATTTGGAAATTTGTCTACGCTACCTCCGTTCTCAGACATCGAAGTATCAACAATATCCAACGGGGATCAGTTTGCTTGCACCGTTTACAATTTAGTTGTAGAAACTGTCAAAATCCTACCCTATTCTATTGTTTTACGGTTGTACAAACCCGTGGAAGTTGATGACCTAGAAAGGTTTCTAGTGTATTTTATTGAAGCGGACAAATGGAACGAAACAATCGAGACCACAGAGTGCGAAGATTCCAGTTGGAAAATCGACGATATTGGTGCGAAAAGAGCGAATGAAACCAATGAACCAGAACACTACCATGTGATCACTAATTTAGAGCCAAACACAGAGTATATTTATTATGTTAAAACTTATACGATTTCGTCCAAAACCAGTATGAGTAAAATTTTTCGTAGCAGAACACTTCCGTCAAAACCGTCTACTCCCGAAAATTTGTCTGCCAAACCGCTCTCTAGTTCTCGAGTGCAACTGATGTGGAAACCTCCCACACATCCTCATGGCAAATTAGTCAAATACGTTATCAGAGGATTTTATTTAAAGGACGACACGGTCGCTTTGGAGGAACGCAGTTATTGTAAAAACCAAACATTTTTTGGCGACGGTCTTCTGTACAAATCCACATCGATGGCTATCCCGCCGCCTGTAGACCAGTATTGCGAGGAACAATGCGAACCACAAAAAAATACCGTGAATAATTTATGTAATAGTTTACAGCACAGTTTAGACATCGATTTGATTCCGTCTAGCAGTCACAAGTCTGTGTTCGAGTCGTGTAGTAACTATATCAATGTTTTCGTGGAAGCAAAATGTATGTCTATGCAAAATAAAGATGAAATGTATCTACAAAATAACGTGAACGAGAACTGCACGCAAAAGTGGTCAATCGGTGACGAGCCGAACGGTTTGCAAACGGGCCCCAATGAAGATTACATTATTTACGAGGTGAATGAAAACTACACGTCGTTAAACATTACCGGACTGAAACATTATAGTCAATACGTGTTGACTATTTTAGTTTGTAGAGAGGTCGTCGAACTGGAAAAAAGTTCCACTACCCATGAAGATCCTTGTAGTCAAGAGACGTTGGTGTCCTTCCGCACGTTGAAAAATGATCAAGCTGACATTATAGATGACCAAAAAGTCAAATCGGCAACGTACAATCACACTGTTAATATATCGTGGGAGGTACCGACACTGGTAAACAGCGTGATTCACAGTTTTAAGTTGGACTATAGACCCTTGGATTCTATAAGTTTTGAGACTGTGTGCATTACTATGAAAGAATATATAACCGCCGGTCGATCGCATTCCCTCAATCATTTATCGTTCGGCGAATATGAATTTAAAATCCGCGCGATTTCGTTGGCCGGAGATGGACCTAGCTCTGATATGCACAGATTTTACGTTTCCAATTATGATACACAAGACAATTTAAACTTGATCGTTATGATTCTCATTTGCGGTTGTATATTAATAGTGTTGGTTGGCATCATTATCCGTACGTACTTGAGTCGTAAATTAGACCGTCACAACATATACAATATAGCTAACAATCCCGGTTACGTTGGTATCTATGTCGAGGACGAATGGGAATTGGCCAGAGAGGACGTGCTGATAAAAAAAATGCTCGGTAGAGGAACTTTTGGTACGGTGCATGAAGGTGTACTATTGCCAGATAACGTACCCTGTGCCGTGAAATCTGTAAGTAAGACGAACTTTATGAGGTATCATGCGGAATTCTTGAACGAAGCGGCCATAATGAAGAAATTCAGCGAAGGGTATTTCATAGTAAAATTACTCGGAGTGGTTACCAAAACTCGTCCGCCGCTGTTGGTGATGGAACTGATGGGCCGCGGGGATTTGAAAAACTTATTGGTGAAATCTAAGGAATCCAACGATCCCCCTCCTCCCAGCAGGTAAAACAATTATTATTTAAGTATTGGATTTTCGATTTTAATTTTTGTTTAATATATTTTAGATATACGATTATTCGTATGGCCGCCCAAATAGCCGACGGTATGGCGTTCCTAGAATATAATAGATTTATCCATCGAGATTTGGCGGCGCGAAATTGTATGGTGGCCAATGACATGACTGTGAAAATCGGCGATTTTGGCATGAGTCGACAAATTTATACAGGCGATTATTATCGTAAAGGCAACAAGGGTGAAATGCCTATACGATGGATGGCACCCGAGAGCCTCGGCGAAGGTATATTTACCAGTCAGTCGGACGTTTGGAGTTACGGGGTCGTAATCTGGGAAATGATGACATTGGGTGAACAGCCTTACATGGGCAAAAGCAATAACGAGGTCATGGCATATGTCCTCGACGGAAACTTATTAAACTTGCCTATTTTTTGTCCCGACATATTAGCCAGTATTGCTAGATTATGCTGGAATTGGAGTGCTGCTCAGCGACCAAGGTTCCTAAAAATTGTTGAAAGGCTCGATATTTATCTGGATGATAATTTCAGGTTCGTTTTATCTTTATTAATTGAAAATTCAATCTATGTAATCATGTTGTAAAATCATAATTTGATCATTGTTTTTTGTGTAGATCGCATTCATTTTTTCATAATCACAGCAAAGACAACAATTCGCCTGTTGACCAGTCATTAATGTCTCCCTGTACAACATATGAAGAAGACATAGACAATGAAAGTATTAATTTTGAAGGCGGTGACACTGTAGCTGTTTATAGTGCGTTCCATGTGGATAAAAATAAAATGAGTAATGGTCATTTGTCGCCAATGTAATAATTGTATTAACTTTAATAAAAAAATAAAACATTTAAGTTAAAATCAACGTTACCAGTAAAATCTATTTAAAAATAAGTTTTTTTTTTATTTTGTATTTTGCTCATAATATTTAATAAACAGATTAAATATTGTCACCAAACCCGTTTTTTTATAGACTATTTAATATTAATCGTTGTTAATTTCGTTTTATATGTAATTTAATAATATTTGATGTTCTAATTTTATTGAAAAATTTAAATTAAAATATTTTATGTTACTTTCATACCACCAACATGTATAAATCATATTGTTCTAGTGTCTAGTCAGCGCGTGGAAATTTTGTCTCTCTACGCCGTCTGTTTTTTATTTTATTATTATTATTATAGTTTTTTTTTTTTATGGATTTTTGTTTGGATCAAATGGAGTGTCGTTATGTGTGATTGATAAATTGACGTAATATTTTTGTTGGCCATCTAATAAAGTTTGTAAAATCATTTTATCAATTTACACATGTCTACTCCTAATAACAAAATTATTTGAATACTGTTTTGCTAATATTTTCATAAAGAAATTTGGTGTTATAATATAAGATTTTTAAAAAATATTTTTTTAAATATAGTCTCAATTTAAAAAAATTAAAATATAAGACTAAAAATGTCTCACATAAATAGGAAAATTGAAACTAATATGTTAAGTATTTTTTTTTGATAAATGTTTTTAGAATTGTAATATTGATAAATTGTTATGTCAGTTGATGTTACCCTCTAGTAAATTACTTATCTTTTTCCAGATTTTAATAATGATGATAATACACCAAATTATTTTGCTAATATAACTGATTGGTATATATATATATATATATATATATACATTTAAAAAAAAAATCTAAAACAGATCTCAAATTACCATTAATTAATTCTTCTAATTAGTTACATTATATTTATACAAATAAGAAAAACATGTGATTTGTATTTGCCGGTTTATGAACAATTTCAATTAAAAATAAACAGAAAATGTAATATTACAATAAAATTTAAATATTTTGCAAAATTATATTTTTGTCAGCAAAAAGAATAGGTAATTTAAATAGTAATGTTTGATTGTAATAATAAAAGATACAAATTAATGTTATAATTTACAAAGAATAATTTCAATTTAGAAAACTATTAAAGTTTATATTTTTTCATTGCAGTTTCTAAACTAATAAAAAAAAAAAAAATGTATGATTCTGGTGGTCAAGTATGTTGGTTTTTATTACACGTTTATTATAATAATTTAAAATAGTAAATAAAATATGTATTTGATGTAAGAATTTTATTAATCTTTATTAACATTCACCATACTCGACTATTTTAATAATAATTAATTTGGTCCATGCACTTGAGACAATATGATAAGATTGAGACACTTATTATATTCTCTCTACAGATATCATTAAATTCAACAATATTATTTAAACAATGTTGTGTAAGTAATAGGTATATTATAGAGAAAAATCAATTTACCGTGTAAGGGTCTATGCCACTGCTGTATAACGTATTCACGTACGCCATTTTTTTGTGCTTCTGGAAATCTCTGTATTGTATAATAACAATATATCTGATAATATTAGTATAGTTTATAAATAGGTACTCAGAACTAATAATACAATAATTTATTTACATATATGACATATTCGACTAGTTGAGATGAGAAAAATATTGATAAAATTGATAAAATTAAACAAACAAATTAATAATATAAATGGACAACTAACTAAATAATTAATAAAATTAAATTAAATATAGGTAAACATAGGTAATAGTGTTCATAATAACTATAATAACATCACTACTAATAGTACTAGAAATCACAGACTTATTTCAAGTTCTTGAAGCCATTTTATTGCGGCTGGTCCGTTCTCGTGTAGTTTAGCTAATTCTCCTTCAAACATTTTACTGGGACATGTCTCGACTATATATTTAATTGACTGCATTTCTCCATATTAACAAAGTGAAGAGTCTGCCATGCCCCATTTGTGAAGTAAATAGTTGCACCTTCTTTGTCCTGTTCTTATTCGTTTGAGCTTTGGCCATTTAGCTCTTGTACTATCCCAAACAGGAACTTTTATAAATGGTTCCTTAATCAGGTCCTTATTTCGGGGTTCTGTCTGTTCCCAGCGTCTCGTCCATAGGTGTTCTACAGATTTTTTCTGAGGTTTTGCATGCTATATGGTAGATCTAGAATTACAGCGCAGCGATGGGTTTTCAAATATGTTAATTGGTAATGGTAATGTATGTTGGCTTTCTAGCTTCTGCAGGATTTTAGTAGTGTAGGATAGTTTTCTGAGGTCTGGAGGCACTATGTTGGAAAGGGTGGATAGCTATATTATTTGAGTGGACCTAACAGTACCTGGTGTGTTGCGCATTGTATGATTTAATTGTACATCAACTTTAGAACAGTGGGCACTTCCAGCCCACGCTAGTGAACAGTATTCGACTACGCTATATACCAGTGCAAGTGCTGTGATCCGAAGTACAATGTGTGTGGCAATTTACCACTCCATATATTTGTGTAATTTTGAATTTAGCTTGCTTTTTAAAAATAAAAAGTTGATATAGTACTTTCACCACTAAAAATTAGGGTGACAAAAAATAACATAAATGTAAAACCGTAGAGCTGCTTGTTTCTTAAATGTTCTTTAAAAAAATTTTGAAAAAAAGTTAACACTTTCTAAGATGATTGTCTTACGATAGATTGATTACCCAGTTTGTTTTTTGTTCTTTGTTCTATTCCGTGGACACGTTTTTTCCTATTTAACTTGCTCCGATTTTTACGTGTAGCAACTTTTCTGAAAGATCAAGTTGTTTAGATGGTACTATAAGAAAGACCTTTTTTTGATTTTCGGCGTCATTTTTTAAATAAAAGCACTTAAGTGGGAAAAAACGTAGGAAAACGTACAATTTCAAGATTTCATTATTTTATAAAACACGACGACGTTTTCTACTAGAAAAATGACTTAATTGAAAAATTACAGGCTACTTTTTTTGTTACCTTTTTGATTTACTTTCTTACGGTATCATCGCCAAAACTTTTGAGTCACTTTTGGGTTTTTATAGTCAATAGTACATATATATATATATATATATATATATATACATAGAGAGTGTATTTCATTATTTGAATAATTAAATACACATTATAATTATCCCAATTCGGTCATAAATTATAGTACAACATAAGCAATCAAATTATAAATATTTTAATGAATCACACAAAACTACCAGAGACTATATATATATAATAGGTAATAAAAAATATGTGAACCACGTGACAGAGATCTTAAATATACATCCTTGCTACAGCAAAAAAGGTATCAATATATATTATACAATATCTATGGTTACATCTTAATTTTTCAAATTTTAATCTAATCTACTTGGGCAAGTAGATATTAACTCTTTCATGTACGAGACGGACAAATATACAATCTGAAATGCAAGACATTCGAAAAAATATTAGTAGCTTTATAAATCAAATTTGATTTGATGAAAACATGTGGAACTTAATTTTTTCAATTTTAATTTAATGTATTATGTTTAATAACACTTTAAACCTCACTTCAATAAAATATGGGATTGATTTTGTTTAAAGTGATAGTTAAATTTTTTGATTCAACTTAGACATTATAATTACTATTTTCGTTTAAATATTGTTTATAGGTAGTATCTAAAAGAGAAAAAAGTTAATTTGAATTACATTTTCATTGAGTTCAAGTTTTCTGTTATTTTTAAATATCTGATGGTGTTAATTTTAAATATTTAAATATTTTTAAATATATATGTTCAGTGGCGTGCCCAGCAGGTAGGCCTGGTAGGCCCAGGCCTACCCTGTTTTCAAATAATAATTATTAATATTTTTCAAGAAACATAATTTTATACATTTTCTTCTTCATAATACGATATGCAATTGAATCATTTTGGAACAAAGATTATTTATTTATTACCCACTTACAGCAAGCGTTTATACGTTTTTATACGTTATTATTAATTCTTTCCTTCGTCGCAAACAATTGTAGCCACAGTACTGCTTATCGGCTAAAATGTACGACTAAAAATAGTAAATAATAGACAATAATACATCCGATTACCCGAAGTGAGTTATTTATACATTCNTTTATTACAGTGTGTACTGTGTAGACGTATTATAGTGATTTGTGTGTAACCGAGCCGATCGAGGAAATCGTTTTGTCTGTTTTTGTTTATGTACACTATTAGAATAACCTAAGTACTTTTTTATTTTATATTGGTTATAACTTGACTAATAATTAATTAAAAATAAAAATATGATTAGCCAGTTTTTTAAACATATTCCGAAATCCACAAGGACATTGAACGATGATGATAGTACAATAGATCAACCACAAACGAAAATGTTAAAATTAAATGTTACCTCAACTTCTAACGAGTCTTCTATTTCCTCTTCTAGCTTAAATAGTGATGAACCGATTCAGCCGATTATCAATTTTCCACGTCGTAAAATTTGTGAAAAACAACGTAGTTTTCAAAGTTCATGGTACAAAGTTTATCCTTTGATTGAATATTCTGTTCAATTGGATGCAATTTTCTGTTTTTTTTTTTTTGTCGTCATTTTACTAGTTCTATGTCTCGTGAAAAGCATCAATATGTTTTAATAGTCACAGGATATAATAATTGGGAAAAATATTTCGGGGATGGCAAAAAAACATAACTAGCAGATTCCCATAAAACATCATTAGCCAAATATCAAGTACTCGCCCATGCTGATACCAGCGATCGGTGGTCAAATACCGTGTCCGAATGCACGGTTACACAATACGAGTTTCTGACCCGACCGTGAACAGCTTTACAGCCACTTTACCCGTGCACTCGCATGACAGTAGCTCAACTCGCCTCACCCGGTCATAACGGGTACGATGAACATTGTACCAATCTTTTGATCAATTGCATAAAGCTAAGATCGTTATATTATCCACAAAAAACAGAAAACATACGATTATTAGTAGTAGGCAGTACGCAAGATTTGTCAAATTGTCTTAAATTGGAGCTTTATAGAACGATAATAAAGAAAAAATACTGATTACAGATTTTCGACGTTATTATTTTACCATACTAATAAATTATGGGGGGGGGGCTATGTGTCAAATTTTCAAAAATGTATTAGGTATTTGAAAAATGTTATTCATGTAAAACCAAAAAAACTAGGAAATACACTTGGCCGTATCGCCCACACGCAAAACTATCGGTTTACCTTGGTGATTTCCTGATCCTTTTTTTTTTTTGATAATTAATCTTTATACCGAGTATTATACTATCGGAATCTTGGACAACACTAAATCAAAACCATAAATTTGGCCCTGTACACTATTCTGATTTCACGTGCGTTAACGTTTCACTGAACGCTGGTGCTTTTTATTTATTTTTTCAACATTCTGCATTTAAAAACTCACCCTCCTTCCTCCAACATCCACTTAAAACCTATCGCCCCATCGAGGGATAGAAATGCTAACTAGAGGGCGGTGCCACCCACGGTAAGAACCACTGGTTTAATCAGTCTACAGATTTTTAAATTAATAATAACATAACATTATAATTAAATTACCTATTTATGAATATTAAATAAAGTAAATAAATGTATTAAATAAAAATTTATATATAAAAATAAGATAAATAAATGAATCAATGCGTCGCCTGGAGTATTACGATTAGTGTATTAATATAATATGTATGCAGGGGTGGATATCGGGGGGACTTGGGGGGGCTTAAGCCCCCCCACAAGAATGTAAACGTCAAAATAAAAATCATGTGTTTCAATATTTGATATTTATAATTTTTATTTTATTTTGTTGAGATACGAGAATTGGTCTGAAATATTCACGGCTTATCGTTGTTGGGAAAATCATATTTGGTAGGTATATATTGATAATCGCGAATATTCTAGAACTTGTTTGCGATACCTGTAAAGTTATAAATACGCAAGCTGCAGACCGCCACAGCATTAGGGTCGATTACGTTTTTGGAGCGTATACGGTGATCGCCTTTATTTTTATTTTTTTGTTTTTAATACCTACGCGTGGTTTTCCGTAAGTGACGTGCTAAACAAATAAACAATATAATTTTATATTATTTGTGTAAATTGTGTATTTATCTGAATTAGTCAATTCATTTTAAATTATAAATTATAATTAATTCAATAATGGCCAAAAGAATGTTTGTTGTCTTTAATATTAAAAAACAAAAATTAGTTGTTACCAATTCCTCGTCAACTACAACACTGGAATCTGAAAATGAAGATTTAAATATTGGTTTAGACATTGATATAACTACACAAAAAAGTGTTGAAAATATTGTAGATAAAAATGTCATTTCCGACTTGGGAACTTTAATAATAGGCCTTGTGTGACCAATTTTAACAGTAAGTACAAATGTAGGTAAACACTAAACATAGTTTAAGTTATTATATTATATTTAAATTAAAAAAATGTAATCTTAAAACCAAATAATCAAGTCAAATAATTCAAGATGAACTTATAAATATACGTGCAGATGTTGTAAAAGATATTGAAGACGTTAAGGTGTTTGGAATTATGTGTGATGAAACAAAGGTGAAATATAAATTATGTTTTATACATGGACTTCTTAATTCATTTTTATTAAATTAATTTATAGGTGTTACAAACAAGAACAAATGGCATTATGTGTAAGGTATGTTAAAAATCTATATGTTGTTGAGAGATTTCTTGGTTTTATAGATAGTTCTAAGAATCAAGATGCTGAAAGTTTATATCATTACATATTATGGTACCTGAAAAAGTGTAAACTTCTAAACCACAAATAGTTGCTTAGTCATATGACGGTGCAAATGTTATGTCTGGGAAATTTAACGGACTACAAAATAAAATAAAAAATCAATATCCTTACGCTATTTATACCCACTGTATGGCTCATATAGTATGTGTAAATATTTAAAGGTAATGAATATTTATATACATCTTAGATCTTCATGATTTTATTTATTACTTATATTAATATTAGGAAACAAGGCATGTGTTCAAAACTTTAGAATCCCTGTACTTACATTTTTCTCATCTGTCAAAAAAATCAAAAATTAACTGAGATTCAAACTTAACTAGGAATAAAACATATGACAATGATTAGACTTAGTGACACTAGTTGGAATTGCCGTTATTGAAATATAAAGTCTGTTTAAAACAGTTAAAAAGTAATTATTCAAGCTTTAGAAGAAGAAATTAAAAATGAAGATTATAGAGGAGTAAATGAAGCAATGGTATAATATAATAAGTAATAATTAATGATTCAAAGTAGTTAAATTCCAATATATTTGATTTAGGTATATTAAAAAATTTGAAAAGTGGACGATTTATAGTTTATTTATTTATTTATCTTACATAAAGTATTAATATTAATATTGTTTCTAACAAATTTTCAGAAAAAAATGTAACCTTAGGGGAGTCTAAATATATTATTGAAGGTGTGATGATGACTTTTAAAAATTCTAGAACAACATAGTATTTTTCTAAGCTTTGGTGAGAAATAGAAATCTTTGCTAAATACAATGAAATATCAATACAAACGCCATCTAAAGGTAAGATTTAATAAACATATTATATTCATTTATAATTAAAATAATTTTAAGTTAATATTTACTTAACTAGGATGCAAAAGAAAAAGATCCACACAATCTTGAATATTTTGTTCCTACTGCAACCACAAGTGCTGAACAAAACATTAATGACACTATTGAAACTATTGATAATTATTTTAGAAAAAATGCTTTCTTTCCTGTATTTGACGCTATCTTGATAAATCTGGAAAAAACATTTTCTACTGAAAGCCTCCAAATGACTACAGCTGTTGATCAATTTTTTCAATTAAACTTTGAGGAAAGTCATTTTTTTGTAGATCATTATAAAGTAAAGTAAGTATCGTATCGGTTTCTGAAAAATAATTTTTTCTTACCTATGCTCTAGTTTTCTAGTTTTATTAAAAGTGAACCTGTATTTTGTATATTTTTCAGGATTTGATGAATGTATTTAAAGATGTATTACAGTCAGAAATAGAAGTGGCTAAGAATTGTATATTGCAGTCTACTGATGAAAATTATATAACTTTAAATGATNCTTTAACAATTCCTATAAGTTCCTCCATTTGTGAAAGGAGTTTTTCGGCTATGCGTAGAATAAAAACTTGGCTTCGAACTTCTTCTGCTGCAGGAAAGGCTCAACAACACCTCAATATTATATATTGAAAAAGAAATTTCTAAATCTATTAATACTGAAACAATTGTTAATATATTTGCATAAAAAAATAGATATATTCAATTAAAATAAAAATAATTTAGTAGCTATTCAATATTTTATTTTATATGTTCTTATTACCTACATATATATATTTGGTGCCTCAGCTAGAATCAAATAGGAGTAGCCACTACAGTTAGTAGGTGGAAGTGTTGGAAGCGACTAAAAATATTTGTTTCCGCTAATGAATAAGATAAAAATGTTAAGCCCCCCACAGATGAAACTAAATATCCGCCAATGTGTTAAAAAAAAAAATTACAAATTCACCACCAGGTATATTACAATCAAAATGTAAAACGCGACTTAATATAAAAATTTAATCAAGAAATACATAGGAAAAAATAATTACAAAAATTGGTCGTTTTACATAGAATACTTAAATGATTTTTTTTAATAGGAGAGATTATTTAAAATTCAATTTACGAGTATTAACTATTTTAATAATTCTGTTTTTACTTTATTATTTTATTGAATATTAAATAATTAAACTCACTTAAAACTTTAGTCGATATTTGTTGCATTATTAGTTGTGACTTCCTTTTTGTTTACTGTTTCATTAACAAATTTAATTCACTCACAGTCGATTTATTTCTTATTGATTCATTTAAAATATATATGAATTGGCATGAATCCACGGTTCAATCTTTTGATTGTACGTCGAGAGCAGTGATATTTAACAAAACACCTATTTAGGTACTTAAGTTTGTAACGTTCAAAAACGACCATTTCCCGTTATCAAGCGTACCTACAATCGGTACGGTTGACCGGTCAATGGATTACGTCGACGGATATGTTATGTCGTCATGAACAATAATTCCCCCCCTCCCACCGCTCAAAGGTTTATGCGATCGCGATCTTTCGCAATTCCCAATGATATTATAATTCTGACTGCGGGTTAACGACCAATCATATCACGTTTCCCTTTATCGCCAAAAACGTCGGCCCGCTGCGACGTGTGCCACGAACGTCTCCGCGCTCCGCTACCCAGTTCTCGTTTCTTTGTTCGTTCCTTTCCTTTTTCGTGCGTACGCCTCGTCTCGAAACTTTGTCACCAGACGAGCTTTCGATACAGTTCTCTTAATAAAACACTCCCGTGTATTGTGCGGATTCACATATTTTGCCCTCAAGAAATGGTCGTGTACCTTGGCACGTTTCATGATGGTGCATCAAACGAACCAATGAAGCGAGTCCCGATCTGGCACGCTGGGCGGACATCTTCGGGCGGAACGAATTGCAGTATGTATGTGATTTAATAATTGACCGATACCCCGTTAGTTAGTTAGTTGGTTAGTTTTTAAGATAATTCAGTATGAATATTTTTTATCTAAAATGTTTTTTTTTTCGTATGTTAAATCCTTCCGATATACTTACGGGGATCAACCAGCTAGATTTGTGTGTCCGTCTCATTATACTAATCCCCGCGTTCCACATCCTATGTGCGATAGGCAAAACCCCCCGCATTTTGTTTTTTATTTTCTATTCCCTTTAAGTGCTAGGTTTCGCAACCACGTGTGTGAGCATCTAAAAATATGAATATATATGTATTGATCGATCTTCCCTATTTCGCGATCCATATTCGGACGCACCCGGCAGGGTTCACCCGTAGGGCTATCAACAAATCCACGGACCCGTCAACACGGAATAAAAAGCGTTTCCGCTGCCCTTCCCGGTGGTAATTTGTGTGGCCTGGCAACATTCCTGCCGGGGTCTCCCCAATACCTAAGGTGCCCACGAAAGTTCCACGAGGGGGTCCGTCTCGGTCAATACCCATACCGGTCAGCACACACACGCGGATGTGGATTCGTCCTTACCAATAATTATTAAGAATTCCCGGCCTGCGCGCTCCCCGTTGTGTCACTACCTGCGTCCGGACAAAACTTTTATTACTGGTTGACGCCCCAGTTAATGTACATGAATTTAAAGTATAAATCGTCTATAGATATTTGTTGATCTATATCAGAATCGTACCTATTATCCATTCTGTCTCAAGTGACAGTTTTTATGCTCCTGTGCTTTTCTGTTGCATTGACTTAATTTTTGCCTTTTGATTGATAAGTTAATATAATAATTCTATATTTTCCCCAAAAGAAAACATGTGTTTATTTATTTAAATTCTCCCTATTACCCTTCCCTCCTCACAAAAATCCCTAGACTCCGGCCTTCGGACCTCGGTCCTAGGTCGGCGATCTTGCTCCTAGGCGGGTAGTCAGCTGGGCGCTCGGGTCGGTTCTGAAACAAGGCCGACCGAACCGGGACGTGTCGTACGTTTTCGTAATAAATGTGAAAAATCGAAAATAAACGGGAAAATGAACGAAATATAGATATTAGTTAAAAAAAAAGACGTCCTTGGATAATGGTAACGGGTTGCCACTGTTATCGATAGTTTAATGCAAGCAACGATAAACCATTGCTTACAGAAAAAAAAAAAAAAACGATTCCGAGCGGAGTTTAGTTGATAATGATGCGTTGTCAATAATATATATGTCATATTATAGTAAAATATTTCAATAGGCTTTATATATTTTTTTTCAATAATATGTGTTTAATGTTGTACCAATTTTCCCGTTTTTCCTACGTTTTCCCATGTTTTAACGGTTTTTCACGCTTGATGATAAAACTTTTGAGAAAATCGAAAAATGACCTCCCTAAAGTACCTCCCCACACCGATTTTTTTTCAGAAAGGGTGCTAAACTTAAAAATCTGAGCAAGTCTTCTGGTAGTAAAGTTGTCTAGAGATTAAAAAAAAAATAAAATAAATATCTCTGTAAAACCATAAGCTTCTTCGCTCCATTTAGAATTTAAAAAAATAGTTGACTTTATGCCCTCCGGTTTTCTTAACTTTTGGCGTTTTAAGAACCGCAATAACTAGCGTAGCTGTTGCATCGATCTGTATATCATATTAAATAATAATTATTTTTAGACATTTTAAAAGTTATTTTAGGAAACACAAGTGTTCACTATCGTGTGTTAAATGTTATTGGAAATGTGATTACCACAGGGTATACTCAGCACACACAATTATAATGTGTATATGTGTGTTATAATACTATGAGTACGCGTGCAGAGGGATGCAGGGACGACGCGCGTTCGGTTGGTGGCTCGCTCTACGGCCGTACTCAGGGACCACGCGGTCGTGTAGCCGGTTGCCCGCGCGCGGTCTGCGAATCAGTTCCCGCGCTGTCGCCGACACCGACGTTTGAGCCCCGCACCATACGCTTTTCGATAATTTTCGCGGCATTTTATCCGCTGCTTTTTCGTCGGGACAATTCAAAATACGTTCGCCGCCACGCGAACACCGTGCAAATCATCCGACCGCGCGATATTTTATTGTGCCCTCAAGGACGAATGAAATTTCGGACAAACTAAAAATAAAGAGAAAAAATAATAAACAAAGCGAGACCGGACTTACGAATTTGTGACGGTCGTTTTAGTTAATATAAGTCCGTTTGCGGGTCCTCTGGCCGACGACTGCACACAGATTGTGTTTGCGAAAATTTCTCCGTAAAACGTGAGTAATATTATATTGAACGAACAATTCTGTAGGACCGTAAAAATCCCTCCGTTATCCGACAGTTATAATATTATAAACTGTTGTGATATCTGCCGTTGGCAGGTTGATGAAAACAATATCGACTTGGCCAAGTCAAATGACAAAAATAGTCTTAGATTAAACGAGAAGTTCGAAATTAAAACACCAAATCTTCGTTGAGCTATAAAGAAAAGTAAAATTGTTATTTGTACCAGGTTGAAAACGTTCAACACTCATTAATTACAGTTTCAGCATGTAACTTTTTAGTTTTTGTATAGGACGTTTCACAGAGATATGATAAATGCAGTGACTTTTGTTTCGTAAAATATTTTTAAGTTTTTTTTCTTCTAAAAGTTCATAGAGGAATACATTTTACATATATTTTTTTTTGAAAATAAACGTTTTGTTTGCAAAATCTAAAAAGCCAGTTTGTAATGAAATTTTGGTTTTTAAAAAATATTAAATTGAAGATTTTAGCGCAAGGCTCCCATCTAGTGTAATTTTTACAAGAAAAAACTTAAAATTATTGCCCAAAAGCTATTGTTTTTATTCGTTAACCACCCTGTATATTGTTATATAGTATACACCATTATGCAATTCAAATACAACTTATTGAGTTTAAATATGTATTAAAAATTTTAAATTTCGAAAAAAATAACGACAATTCAAACTATTAACTTGATCAGATTTTTACGAAAGTTCACTGTAAAATTTTGAATCCGAACCATGACAAATAAACACTAATCAAGTTGTGTAGTAAACGACAGAAAAAATCACTAGTCAAGTTAAAAAGTTAAAAAAAAAAAAATTATTTTTTAAATTTTATTTAAATTTTGTGACTAAACATCATTGCGTTTTAACAAGTTCGACACGGATCACTGTCTAGAAATTTAATTAAATATTTGCACATATTATTACAAAAAAACAAAAGTATTGTACGTAAAGAACGATAATAATTTGTCTAATTGTATGTCGACAGTTATCTACAATAATAAGATAAAAAAACAAAAACAAAAATTAGACTTAATTTTCATCTTAAGTTTGAAATGTTGAAAAACGTATTCGGAATTTAACAATCGTTTCTGATTTTTTAACAGATTCGGTAAAAAAACATTTAATTGTTTTATTTATTTAATTTTACACGTAATAATGTATATTTTGAAATCGACATAGGTTTATTTTGCTATAATGTGTCCTTTTTTTGATGTTTTGCTTTTTCTCCAAACTACGTGAGAGGTTTCTGGTCGCGAATTTTGTCGTGTATTGGCAATTCGGTGCATTGGGTAGGTAAATGTTTTGATTTTCCTAGTAGTTTTCTTAATAATGAGATAGAACCGGGCAAAATGCTAGGAAATTGGTAATACTTGAATGATAAGTCTGTTAATTTTGGTTATTTTTTGGAATTTAATATAGTACAGTGGAGACTTTTGAGTTTTTCATTTCAAACGGATCTAAATGTGGGTAATTTATTTTTATTAACATTTTAAGTCCAAATTTTTTTTCAATTACAAATTAATCTAATATTTTCAATTGAAATTTTTCAAAACGTATGGAACCGGATTTTGCCCAGAATCGTTTTTCGTTTGCAATGATTTATCCGTCGCGTACAGTTATAAATAAAATAACCTTATATATTTATATACATCGTATTCTCCCAACTTTCACCTACAACAGTGTCCCCTCTCTATGATTCCAAAGTATATCGTATTTAATTATCATTTTATTCGTGATAAAAACTATTTCAAGTTTATTATTAAATATTACTCTATTATTTCGTATTTCTTAATCTGAAAACAAATTGACTTTTAGGTACCTAGCCGTTTTACCACATTTAAAATAAACATTTAGTTAGTAAGTAAAGTGTTGTTTAAATGAATACCTAATATGTATTCTCTTATAAATACTCAAATAATATTTATGAAACCAATTACCGATCAAACTATCTAGCGTATTGTAACTTGAGATAATTGTAAAAATTTGAAAGAAAATTCGACGGTAAATTTATTATTTGCCCATTGTGTTTTGTCACATCGTAATAATATATTTTTTGAACCCATTTGATGGCTTTATTTGAATTATATTTGCATCTGGTGTGTACGTTTGAAAAAAAAAAATAACACAACGACATCTGAACTGCTGATGGAATAATCGAGTAAACTATTTAAAAATGTATTTTACCGTGTAAAAATAAAGAATGCGATGTAGAACTTATTCATAATATCGATTCTCGTGGAAATTTATCATGTGGAAAGAAAAATCTCCGGGTGCTGAAATTATTTGTACGTAAACATATGCAAGTAGAGACGCACCGCGGTTTCATCTCGTTCACGTGGCTGTAAATAAAAAATATATAATATTTATCGGCGATAAATATTTACCGACTTCGCGATTTATATTAAATATAAAAATCCCAAAAATATGTTAAAGAGTAGTTCAATATGCGAGTGTTACGATGTTATAATATAATATTAAATTCTATTCTTGAAAGCGTAATATTGTGCACTGTATTTATATATAAATTTAAAGTTGTTGGTTTCGTTCAGTGCTAGGTAATTGGTTATGTTTGATGACGTTCATGCTTAAGGGATATTATGAGCTCCGTAGTTGATTTCAGAAAATGTCTTGATTTAGTTCTACTTGACACCGGTAGGTATCCATAGAGTGGGTGTCTTTCATTAGATTATTTTTTTGAGCACCGCTGTCAAATACGAATTAGTTTTATTGGGAGGAGGGGCGACACCAAAATGTATTTTACCCAAGGTATATACAAGCTTATATTCTACCCTATTTATCTTACCATGAAGTGTTTTTATTTTTATTTTTATGTCTGACGACACTTTTCTAGCAATATTACATTTTTGTATTTATGTACGTAGAAAATATCTACACAAATTAATTGATGAGGGGGGGGGGCGATTACCCTCATCGCTCCCCCTTCAAATACGCCATTGACTACTTTTCATGCTTATTATTTTACTATCAGGCGGTAAGTGATATACCTACCAGCTAGAACTTTTACCAATGATATGGGTGTGGTTTGGAGGCATTTAAACAAAATAAGATAACATCTTGGGTTTCAGTGAAGAAGGGCTAAACACGTTCACTGCGATTGCGTATCAAATTTCAAATTGTAAATTTTTTGTAGAGTAAATTCACGGGTAAAACGCCAAAATCTTTATAATTTGTTTTAGTAGATTCATCCAAAGTATTTTTATTAAGACATATCTGAATATTTTGGAGTTTTATTATATATCTTTGTCTATAAATACATTTTCCCGTCCACTTGTCTATCATAAAAGTAACGAACATAATATTTTTTATTGATTGTTAATCGTAATAATAATCTTAAACCAACGTATTCCAAATTTATATTTGAATTTTTTAAATTTATTTTTTATTTAATTTTGTTAATGACGATTACTTGCTACATGGCCATGTAAGGTCTCACCTGGAAATGATTTACAATTATTATACAACATTGACAGTGTTGTAAACCTCTAAACCTCTGTATTTACCTCTAAACGATTTATTAAGTACAGTAAAACCTCCTTATAACGAACCCCCTTATAAGGCGGAAATCTCTTTAAAACGAAAAACAACAATTGTCTTCCATGGTCCATATCTCGTATATTTTAGTCTTCTCACAACGGAAACTCCTTCATAATGGAAAAATCAGTTGGTACCGAGAGATTCCGTTATGAGGAGGATTTTACTGTATTATGTGCTTCACATAATTACGATCATAATTTTCATAATAATTAAAGTCAGTACAACAAAATACAACCATAGAACGCTGGCTATAACAAAATATTATAATATTTGTCCGTGTTTTTTTGTTTGTTTTTTAAAAATAAACACGTGTATTTCATCACTTCTTAATACAATCGAATGTTTGGAGTCATATTATTATTTAAAACTTTACAAATATTCTCTCGGGAAATATTTAAAATCGGATTTCGACGAAGACTTTGAAAATCTATTTGCTTCTGTAGCGATAAAAATACTCTCTACGGAGTGTTCGTCCTCGCCATATAGCTTGACTACAGGGATTATAGAGGACTGCAGTGCACATTGTTGTAACTTTTGATTTTCAAAAACTTGAGAGTTTATATAGTTAAGTTTACCGAGTTCAGTAGCGTATACCATTCGTTATAGTCATATAGGAAAACAAATAATATTTTTTCTTTATTATCAGTGAAATTGGGTTGATTCTTTTGAATAAATGTACTACATTTTTTAACTGATGAGGATAGGATTTATATTAAAAATAATTTTTCTCACTTCGCCCTTCATTTGATTGGTATTCAGACTTATACAAAGAAATTGGTACATAATTGTTTGAATTGTATACTTTATTTTAAATGTCACAAATTGTAAACATCGGTTGAGATTTTGGAAACGAGGAATATCAAAAATTTAATCCCTGATTATATAATCTGTGAGAGCATACGAACAAAAGCGATGTTTTAAAGATTTTCATGGATCCCAAAGACAGAGATCAACCAAAATATCTACTCAATACAAGGCTAAAAGTCAGATCAATACATATTTCCTAATAATCTCAAATGACGCCAATGTTTATTAAGTATATTCTTTAAGAGATAATATATTTATAAATATTTTAGGTATATACTTCATTTAGTTACAGTTACATTAAGACTATTTTTGAAATGGGGGTTAAGTGCCCGTATTAAAAACTTTTAATTTTTATTCATAAACGCAGAATAAACAACATTCCATTCGTCTATGCGTTTTTGAATGTTTAATCTTATTATATTGTTAGATTATAATATACTTTTTTTTTATAAAATTGATTTTTTTCCGTTATAGATATAAGTACTTACGTAATGTATTAACGTCAGTAGGTTTATATAATAAATTATCTATATATTTCGACAGTTGTCATTTACAAATATAACAAATATAAATTAAATTAGAGAAGTTATGATTTTATCACTAATAAAGTCTTAAAATTGAATTGCGCGATTATTTTTTAAATAGGTATAACATATAGATACAGTATAAAAATAAAGTAATGTTTTTGGTTTAATAACACAATAAACATAATTGTATAAATAAATAAATATATAAAACTATATAATCGTAAATATAAACAAAAAAAAAAAAACAACAACCGGACATATTTCACACGAAAGGTGGGCCACTGTTGTTAGTGAGAAGTTGAAAATGAAGGATATAAAGTGGAATTTAATCATTAATCAAGAATTAACCATTCCTAACGGAAGACGATTCTAAGCGGAGTTCGGTTGTACATGTTTTAAAAGGCTGTACAATTTTGGATTGCCGTCAAATTTGATATTAAAATTCTTATGAAAAAAAATATTACATTAAATTCATATTTTTCTTATTGACCGCTAAGTACAACTTATAATGAACTTTCTATTAAATTGTCGAGCATATATGTTTGATTTAACATTTTTATCCACAGAGTATCCACCGAATAAATATTACGTAAAAAATAGCAAAAATTAAATTCTATAAATAGCTCGAAAATTTGTCAAACGTTTTAGAAATTTTACTATGTTTAGAAAAAGAAACCAAATTTTGTTTCCAAATTTCAAGTCCATACTAACATTTTACTAACATATTAATTACAATAAAAAAGAGAAATAGAAAATAATAAAAGTATTATTTTTGTAAATTTGTCTGTTTTTCCTACGTATTTTCCCGGATTTAGTTATTATGAAAACTTAGAATGTAAATAAAATTACCTCACTGAAGTAAGAACTAAGTAGAATTCTCTTTCAGAAATGGTGTTTCAATTGATTTATCGAAACAAGTTTTCTGGTAGAATTTTTGTATACTGTATTTATATAAAAAATAAACATCATTGTAAAACCAATACGTTCCTCACTTCATTTAGAATCTGAAAATGTTTTCTTGTTAGAATATAAAGTCCAAGATCAAATATATTAGGTGTAAATATTTAAAAGCCTATTATCAAAAGTGTCATGATATAACTGCCCTTTGGCATGAACTATTGCAGGGTGAATGTAATTTTCCGTCAATTTGGAAAGTATCAATTTATCGGAAGGGCTCCTAATGCTCATTTCATATAATTTAAGGGGTTGTAGTTCACATATATAAAAGAAGTTGAACGCCCACCCGGTCGACTTCTATTTGATCAGAATTTTTATTTCTCCAGAGACCAAGTATATATATTTCTCTCTCTTTTGCACACACTATCCTTGTCTCTCTCCCTTTTTTCTTTTACCCTTCCTTAATTCTTTTCCAGCCCCATAGTGAATATCCACTGGGAAAAACACACGGCAATGGTTCTTCCATTAATTCGCCCTCGACATCTCTAGTAAGTATATACATATACATACAGCGAACCGCCGCGAAACATACTAGTAAAACTTTGATTACTGGTCCTAAAGTGTTTTTTTCCCTTGTTTCTTCGTTTTCCTTACTTTCCTACAATAAGCTCCCGAGGCTTTACGGTTTCGTCTTTCGTGTATATAATGTTTCAGAGTTAATTAAACATTTCATATACTAACCATATAATATCATCTCCTGCAGGACCGTCAATTCTAATTATCCACATACATAATAATAAGCACATATACACATTTTGTACTCAAACTCCTAATGTAATTTATTATGATTTCTTGAATACTGAGTTAAATACTTGTCGAGTAAATGTTTTTAGAATGCAATTTAAAATCTTAAAAATCTGATTAAATGTACTACACTTTACGTATAGTGCGCATTTATGTTTGTGCGGTGGGTTTTTAAATTAACAACGAACTACAGTTCAAAAATATACAAATATTAAACAAATTAAAACTGTATGATGTTAAGTCTGTATAGACAAATAATATTTAAAATTCAACCCATCATTTGAATATTACAGAAAAAAAGAAAAGAAGAAAGGGCGTCACATAATAAACCAAGATGATTACATCTAGAGTTGTAGAGTGCAAAACATAGGGATGGAGAAATGAATACTAAAATGATAGGAGTTATACGAACTCAATTAAGTTGATTATTTTAGAGAGATCAAGGGAAATTTAAACGTAAACAAGTAAAGTTAAAATAGTACTTACTTATAGGTAATAATAATTTAATTATTGTTTGATTATTATTATTTAACGAACCACATTAATGAGAACATTCATAACCGAAAATACATATTAACTATTCTTATTATTATTTATCGACTCCTCGTTATTATTGACTTCTAAAAAAGTATTAACGCTCATCTGACGAAGAGGGTATTTTATCTATAGTGATTGTTATCTCTTTATTGTATTCGAAATAAATTTATTTAATAACGGATAACTCGTTATTCAAATTTATTTTCAAAAAAGCGGTCGGTACGGTTTTTCCACGTTAAGTTATAAAATGTCGCTCAGTCAGAATGAAATCAAAAACGTATTTTGTTTCGCGTTAATATATTTTAAATTCAATTTTTATACGTGAAGCATAGTATATAATAGTTTAACTATGCAGGTATATTAATGTTATTTTCCGTTTATATTCGGTCATTCCGTTTTAATTTTGTTAAGCGGAGATTTTTTTTTAGATTATGTGTACATAATAATACAGCGGGTACATTATTTGCACACGCATTATATACGACGTTTTTTATTCTGTATAGGGCAAATATTATGATACACTCACGTTTGTTAAATGCGTCATGATTAAAAATACAACCCATCCATAAGACACCGTTAAAAAATTGCGATATCCTTATACTATACGGTTGTATAATAGTTTTTATAGAATGACGGACGTGTTATGCCAAGGGAATATTCCGTTATATTATTATATTATATTTATACCATGTATAGTTAAATTAAATGATGAAGGGAAAATATTACCAATTTCAGAAATTTAATAAAGTGGGTATAGGTCTTCTTATGACTTAAATATTTCTGTTATTCAAATTATACTTTAATCTTGAAAATGTGTTTTTTTTTTTTTTTAATAAAAATATAACGAATTTAATAAAATAAGTACCTATTGTAAGTTATTTTCAAAATTGTATTGAGTGAGATCAACTATTTCTAATTTAAAATAATATATCTTCTTCTCTCCGGGATAATCGAGGACTACTAAGATCATCAGGTTACACATCTAATCCTCCAATTATTCTCCTTGTTTGCTGCTCGTAATTTCTGTAGTCTGGCCCTCAGATTATAAATCAATAGGTCTCTTTTCTTCCAGGTTCTCTGACTAGATAAACTGTATATATAAGTGAAATTATTATTTATTCAATTTTTTTTGTCATGGTTTAAAGAAATTTGCGCATTTTGATTTAAAAATTTGTTTTATTCAAATATATTTTCGAAATTCTTGAACTTTAATTTTGTGACACGTTTTAGGTTAGTTCAGTGGTGGATTTAGCGTGAGGATAGTTGCCTAGGACGGCAAATTTTTAGGGGCGGCAATTTTAAGCCAATATTTTATTAAGAATACTAGGTTTTTTTAAATTTTGTAAGGTAATTTTTAATCTTTACAAATGAAGAAAACTACCTACGTATAATATAATATAATAATACAAAATAAAATTTGCTTAAGGGCGGCAATTGTGTAAATCCGTATCTGGGTTAGCTATACTACTGCAGCTAGCTACCTATTGCACAATTTATTGTTCCGCGGTTCGGGGGTATTTTTATATTATTACAAAGAGAGTAAATTATATTTAAGTGCGCGGCTTGTTGTTGCGCAGAGGGGACGGACGTACAGTAACGACCGAACAGCTGACTACAGCTTACTGTGTGTAATAAGCAACAATTCATGGCGATGCAACGTCTAGTTTCAGAGACAAATTGCAAAAATTTCTGACCCCGTTAGTCAGCCCGGGGTTCATGAGCCATTAAAATACTACGTGAAAGTGTCGTGCATGTGTCCCTTATTAACGGTACATTAACCACGGGCTAACGCCACCGGTCGCCGTCATCTATATCGTTTGGTAACGGGGGTAAAAAGAAAAAAAAAATCGTTGATTTTGAACGCATAAATTTAAGTCTTATTCTATTCTGTTATTATTATTATTGTGAAAAAAAAAAATTGTTTCGTTGTTACAATAACCGTGGAATAATAACAATATAATAATACTCGTACTAAAGGTCTTTTAATGCGGAAAAATGGTCTGATGTTTTTATTTTACAATAATATATAACAATGAGCGTTTCGTTAAGAGGATTAACTAACAAAAACGACGGTCGGTTTTGGTTTTCCGCGAGGTCTTCACACTCTTTTGTCCGTCCCGTTTTTAATCTGACAAAAGGGCCGTTCTCACCAACGTTGTTTATTAAACACAGTTTATAAGATAACCGTCTGGTTGGTTATCAGCCGGTAAACTTAGTTCAAAAATCAAATAAACCCATCTCTTTACGTTTGTGAGACAGGACATAAGTGCATTTATCATTAATTTATGTACATTTAATATACGCTTCAATTTTTTATAGGATTATTATTGTTTTTATTAGTTATAAGTAGAGCTATGAAAATTATGTACTAAAAATCTACAGAAAAGGTATTCAAAAGTTACCGATAATGCTACAAAAAAAAAAAAAAAATGCTTTTTAAACATGAAAATACTATTTAAAAATGACCTTAAATGTATAATTCTAACACATATGTGTGTAAAACAATATGCTAACTAATTTTTTTGTTACGACATTTTCATTTTGAATTTATATACCATAGGCGTTCGCAGATTTCGCTGGCAGGGGAGACAGAATGTATATATTATATATTTTATATTATTATACGTAGTATAATTGAATATTATTTCAGTTATTATTTAGTACAATTAATATTAGCGATGGAAGTTTTTTATATCATTAATTTAATTACAAATTTTATCAAATAATAGAAATTATACAGTTTATTTATATACAATAATATAATACATGTTGTCGGTGAGTAATGGAGTATCATTTTTGTGACGGTACCGCGCGCGGTGTATTAATAATGCACCAATACTCTCCTCCAACCCAAACTTAATAGTGGAATATCTCGTCAACGGGTTGACGGAAATCAAAAATGTCAACACCAATATTTATTTTAAAGAATATTCCATATATTTAAGGCATTTTCAAAACAGGTTGCCTTTTTAAAATAAAAATTAGGCAGGCATTTCACCCCCAAAAAATAAGGGGTAGAAAAAAAAATTGATAATGTAACATTTTAGAACTATTTGATTCTTAAGTTTTCAAAAAAAAAAAAAATTCGAAAAAAGATAATACTTTCCGAGATAATGAGCGTTTCCAATTGAGTTAATCACCCTGTATAAATATATATTATACATGTAAAAGAAGAAAATAAAATACATTTTTTACAATTTTTAAATAAAAACTTGTTATCTTAGTTCTTCAGAGTACCATTCTTCTCTCGGAGTGAGTTAATATTTTAAATTGAACGATTAGATCGTCAATGTTCTAGGCCAATTTTTGTTCAATTGACATGGTCGATCCTGATGCACTGTACTACGCAAGTTGTACTATACAAAAACATCAGACACCGCGTATGTAATCTTTACATATTATAAACTATATAAAATTATATTATAATGTAGTTTTAAAACTATATTTGAAAGGAAAATTTTAGCCCACTGGTAGGGCAGCTACCCACCTTGCCCCTCCCCTCCATGCACACGTCTATGATATGTATTTGTACAACTATATAAAATTGAACTAGTAACGTACTTAGGATTTTTGCCAAGGAAATAGACATAGAATTTGAAAATTGTGTTATATTGTACTACTTGAATCCAGGCTAATAAAATGATGCATTTTTAATTTATATTCTCGTTTAAGTCACGTACAGTTCTAGGTATATCTAGATAAGTAATGATTATTAATTATGATTATTATTAATCTTCATATTTTATTGGTTTGAATACAGGTTTCGTTTTAAACAAATAAATGTAATCGTTCTGGTTTTTTTTTTTTTTGATAAATTAACATTATAATAGGTAGATATCGACACCGAGGGACATTCAAGGGATATATATACATTCAAGATAAATCTCTTTAATCTCTGCTCGTAAATGCGGTAATTTCAACCGAATTTCTACGATTATTCATGTTCTACCTATTCAACGCAATAAGACATTACACATCTGATATTTAAGGGGTTGCGTATAGGCAATGATTTTAATTTATTTTACTTGAATATTTGATTAGGTAGGTGCTTATTTAAATGGTAAATGTTCAAATTGATTTTTTTTGTAAAATTATTTATGTATACATTTTATTTGTCATGTTATTATTGGTTTTTATATCCATATAAAATCGCCTGAATAGAAAGTATGGTTCAATGTTTTTTTTTATTATATACGAATTTTTCGGTAGACAATTTCATCTAGTTAGAATATACTTAAAGGATTTAATTTTTAAATTTCCTCTGGTGTAAAAGAAAATTATAAATTATAAATAATTAATAATAATAGTAAATTAATAAGTAAATAGTAATAGTTGAAAAACAAAGTGAAAATTATATAACGGGTTTTAATCAGTGCCGCAACTAAGTTTTTTGGGCTCCAGGGCAACAGAAGTTTTAGTGCCCCAATTTTCCGTGCATAATATACCCTCTTTCTTTTAATAAATTATTTTTCAACCCTACCACAAGTACTTAAAATATAACCGTGATGTTTCGTAGGATGATTTCTCAAATTTGTTTACACCAGTGTTCGGTAAACAAAACAAAAGACCATAAAGATCACAAATTGTATCATCAGAATTATATTTAAACACCACTTACTCAGCCGGTTTGATAATAAAAACAAAATAAAGAAGTACAATATGTAAAATAAAATGTAACTATTATCAGTATTGTTTTAAATAATCAAAATATAAATCTTTATTTTAAAACTTCATCCTCCTTGCCTTTAAATTTGAAAAAATCTGTTAAATTTTATTTAAAAATAACTAATTACTTTAGTACGATGCTGTTCAATGTTTAAAACTGCAACATTTGATAATCGGTTCTGTCCCATTGAGTTCCTTAAATCATTTTTCATCATTTTCAATTTAGAGAATGATCTCTCGGCAGTAGCAACTGAGACTAGCAAAGTCATACATATAATACAAGCTCTGAAAACTTCTGAATAGCTCCAGGACAAATCATTTTCTAAAATAAATAGTGTTAAATCAAGAATAGACTACACATTTTTATGTTTCATTATTTTTTTAAGAGGCAGAATTTGATACGTTAACTCGGAATCAACATTCGACTTGTAATTTTGAATAAAACTATAACTGTTTTTGATTTTTTCAGTTTCTGATTTAATAATTGATTCCGGCTTTAAAAGTTCAAATATATCACAGACATCTCGAAAACTTTCAAATCTTGATTTAAGCTATACCAATACAGTATCAACAAGGGGAAAACATATTTGTTTTTTAAAATTATTTTTTGTGATATTTAACGTAGAGTAAATCATACGGTCACCATCCACTTCATCAAACTATTTTGTAAACTATTATATGGTATGTCTCGTTTTGTACATAAGTCTTTTGTATATTTCACTATATTAATGTAGTTATTTCTAAGATTTTGTATTGATGAAAATAATTCAGCTAATTTATCACGTAATAATTAATAAGAATAGTCAGACTCAGAAATTAGTTTCTCGAATTTTAGCATTTTGAACTCTGTTGGATTAAATTACAAATATTATATTTGTAGGTTTTTTCTCTGTAAAATGTGCAATTTTTTATTGTGTAGAATAATAACTAATAACATAATAACTTATCAGTTAGTCGAGTGAAATATTCGTTGGTAATAAACTTAATATTTTCTGTACACTCATAAACACCGGCGTTGTACCGTACTGATTCCAATTTATCCTTGTCGGTGTCTATAACTATGACTGGTATAAAATTAATAATTTAAAAAAAAAAATAGTCTTATATTTTAAATGAAAATAATATATTATAGATAAATATGTACCTTTTTGACAGCTTTTGGCCAATTGAATGACGTTGCCACTGGCATCGCGAAACGGGTTAATGGTGATCCCGTTCGGAAACCGAAAACGATCAACAATGTGTTTGGCCAAAACTTCGGAAAATTCTGAATAGAAATTCTCTGTAAAACAATAAATGTTAAACAAAAAAATATTAAACGATTAAGACGAAACACGATAAATTATTTTTAGACAACGAATAGGTACTGTGGTTCAAAAGTATTCCGAGGTAGAAACGTTAAAAAAATAAATGACGTAGTCAATATTATTTACATCGTTCAAAATTCTTTCATTGTAGTCTTACCGAGAAAAAACAAATTTATTAAGTATACAAAACACATTTTGTTATGTTTCGTCCTCGTAAAACTTTTTCACTTTGGTCGTATAGTCCAGAGCCTTGGTTCTATTATACGACGTGATTTTTACTGAAATAATACATCAAAATAGGTAATATTATGGCTTATTTCGTGGCTACCCCCTGCATTTCTGCAGACCTTCCCCTATTTGGAATCAAGTGGACGCGCCCGATGTGCACACGGCACAGGTCATAATATTGAGTTCTACAAGCATACGCAAAGTGTATCCATGAGCCACTTCAGAATATTACGAGTAAATATCATGTGGAATATTACTACGTCTAGAAAAGTCTATTATAAGGAGTCTGTAAACATTTTAGATTTCTACCAGTATTTATAACCGAATTCCAAAAAAAATTAAAAAAATCCAATTAATAAAATCTTATATGTTCCTTCTAGTTTTTCAAAATTATTATGAAAACCAATTGGAAAATAAAAAAAAAAATGATTACCGTATCAAGGATCACAAGATCTAAAATGCAACAAGAAAAGTCGTGTCATTTTAGATTAGACAAAGATTTCTAATAGAAAAGTTGCTAACAGACAGAAAAATTGTTCATAAAGTGCACATCATAGTAAAACTAATACATTCCTAACTACATTTTGAATCTAAAAAACCTTTTTATTTTTTTTTTTTTGTGTACCTATGTACAAGTATTCTATCAGAAATTTTACTCCAATTTTCAAGTGTAGTTTATTTTCTGAAAACCGTAAAAAAGAAAATATTAACGGCCGCGGCATTAACGATTTTATAATTTTTAAATTTGTTCGATTTGAAGGTTTTTTTTATACCGGAAATCGAAATTCAAGTACCTATAGCATGTTTTTTGAAACAAAATTTTGTTTTGAGTAAATCAATGTATATGTCCTATCTCACCAACTTTCTATCTACAACAGTCGAAGTATTAGTTTTTTTTTAACTTTCTTCGTTTTGAGATTATGTTAGACTTGAAGTGAATTTGAGGAAGTGCAATAAATTCAATGTTATAAAAATGTTATTTTAACGTTAAGAGAAGTAATATTAATCACGTTCTTCAAAAAATAAAAAAAATAAAGGTTTTGACCATTCCTAATTTAAAAAAGACACTTACCGACGTATATTCGCCTTCTTTACACTGTAAATAAAACTGTTTGAGTATTGAGTACACATTTTAAAAATTATTATTTCTAGTTTTTTAAAATAATGAACATACCATTATTTTATTGTTATTATTTTTTTAATTTCTACTCCGAACCGAATTGTAAATTCAAATTATGATGCTTTTTTTTTGTGTAGCATACTAGGTGTCATTTCTTTATAACATTATTTGTATGCGCGTAATATGTTTTGAGTTTTATCGTAATGGATATGTTGTGATAACCAAAACAAACCCAAATTAGAGACGGAATTTACTGTTTTGAAAAATACATAATAAATCACGTTATACTCTCGCTACTCACTCTCCGCACCCTCGGTGTGACACTGTTATTTAAAATCTGAACTCCTGGACTCAGATTTACAATAATATATTATGTGACACTCATTTGAAAAAAAAAATGTTATTGTAAAATATTGCACGGTGTCCCACAAAAAAAAAAAAAGTAATAATAATAATTTCACGCGTTACGAATCACACATAATATATATATATATATATATATATATATAAATATATAGAGGGGAACATCTGTCGCTACCGTTAGCTGCCACCCCTTTTATATTTTTGTCGAAAAGCGCAACACGAGTTCTGAGGTCTGAAATTGACTCTCGCCAACAGGCCATATGATTCGTATTTTTCCATTCGATCAGTTTTATTAATGACTTTTTATGTATAATATTACGAAGACGACTTTGTTCTCGCATTATTTATTTTCTATACTCGTGTTGTAAAATAAGTTATTTAATCTATTATAATTGCAAAATATTTTATAGAGTTCTGAGAATTATAGTGAAGAAGCTATTTGTAAAATTAATAGCCTTTTGTGTTTCTTTCTCGGAAAACCCTTTTTCGATTAGTAAAAATGCTTCAACTTTTCCATACCATAACTCAAAAGATTCGGAATTTCCAGCCGGTAGTATATTATTTGAAACAATTTATGGCATTTTTAACAGATCAACCACTCAACTAGGCCTATTGTTGGGTGGTTTTAAGTTTTTGTTGATGTATCCGCAAGAGTAAAAACTAATATTACTACTCAGAATCGTTTTTCATTTACATTAAACTGAAGTACATATATGTACCCAACCTTCCAACTACTCACCTGAAATAGTGACCCAACAATAGTGTGAAGTTTATATGTATATTGTAAATGTCTGGTTAAAGTATTAGCATACTTACGATATTTACAATTTTAAAAATACTATGCATATACAAAATCGTGCATGTTTAACAGTGTTTTAAAGTTCGACTTTTAGGTTTCTACGAGAGATACTGGACGTTAATCTCTTTTTCGTTTTCGTTTATTCATCTTTAAAATATTGTTATGGTTTATTGATATTTATTGTTATTGAAGATATCATTTTTTGCAAATAACGTTTTTGATTATTATTTTTGAAGATGTATCTTATCTTATCTATCTATATATATATACTTGACCATAGTTTTTAAAGATGATATAAAAGAAAACTACAGTAAAATCTTTACAACTTCCAAAACACTTTTTAATTTATATAATACATTTTATGAGTATTTATTTTATAGTTTTTATACCTGCTAATAAATAACAATACAATTTTAAAATGACATAAGTTTTCACTTTCGAGTTTTAACATTATTAATTATATAAATGAAAATAAGACACTGAAAACACTAAAAATCAAAAATTAAATAATAAAAGTATTTTATTTATCATCTTCCAAAGTTCTCTGACAATGTTACATTGCTACTAGTTGCCTATGTACCGAGAGCGAAAGTCGACGACGGCAACATCGTGTTAAATTGTTTCGCGGTAAATATTTTTTCCAATTATTGAAATGATAAATTTCATTATGTCTTTGATTTTTTTTTTTCCGTTATTGAATTTTCTAACCGTTTTCATGTATTATTTTTTTCGATTAATACCGTTATTCATAAACGATATCAAAAAGGTTTTCTATCCCTGGTTACTTAATATAAGCATATACTTTAGGTTACAAGGAGCTAAGCTAACTGATTTGTATGAAACAAACGAATGTCTCTAAGATTATCATTTTATGAACATCATAAAGAAAACCTAATTTTATCTCTTATGATCAATATCTTATTTTTGCACGACATTATATGAAACTTTGAGTAATTTTACTTTAAAAAGTATAAATAGTTAGCACTTGCCAGTATAATATTTGTTCGTTAAATCCCGAAAATTTCTGAACGGTTTATTATCTTTTTAGCGTTGATTTTAGCCTCTTAAAAAAAAGAGTTGATACTGCTCATAGGTGTATACCTATGAGCAGTATCAACTCTACAGTTAATACAGTTTTTATTTTATCACGTCTTGAAAATGGTAATATATTTTGTGACAATTTTGAGATTATTTGTAATTGATTTACAACAAATAAACCAAATCATAAATAAAACTCGTAGATATACTATTAATGTCATAAACAGATTAGAAAGTAAATATTTAATTTTTTTTTTTTTTTTAGATTTTTAGTGATGTTAGGGATGTATTAGTTGTACTATGATAGGGGTTTTTTTAAGTCTGTAAACAACTTTTCTGTCAAAAATGTTGGTTCAATCAAACTTAGAGACAAAAACAACTATGGAAAAAATTGAAATTTTTAGTAGTACCCATTTAATTATTAGAAACTATATTTTAGATTCTGAATGGAACGAAGAAGCTTATGGTTTTACAAAGATGTTTTTTTTTTTTTTTTATCTGTGTGCAACTTTTCTTATAGAAATCATTGTTCAGATTTTTAAGTGTAGCACCTTTTCTGAAAGGAAACCGGTGTGCAGAGGTACTTTAGCGAGGTTATTTTTCGATTTTTCCTTTAGTTTTCCTAGCAAATGGACAAAACCGGGAAAAACGGGAAAATTGGACTAATTTTGAAGAAATATTATTAAGGAAAATAATAAATGTCCATTTAATTATTTTATCATAATATGACAAATTATGCGTATATTGTTATTTATTGTTGACAAAGCTTCACTATCAATTGAACTTAGCTCAGAATCGTTTTTTCGTTAGCAATAGTTTATCGTTGATTACGGGTATACATTAAATTACCTATAACAGTAGTTGCATCCGTCTCCATTCCTTTTGATTATAATTTTTGGTGGTAATAATGGCTAAATCGAAAAATCGAATAAAAAGGATATGAAAAATGTTTTGTTTTTGGGTTTTAGCAACTTTTTCCTCTAACCATTTTCGTATTTGGCCATATTTTTCGCAGCTATTTCTGTTTATGACCATTTTTACCTGGCCATTTTTGGTTATTATTATCGATTACCATGGGATACCTGACTAATAAAAATGTAATATGTACTGAGTATTAAATACATATATTATGTTGGTGATTTTTTTACTTTATATAGTACACCAGTCTTTTCAATGGATTTTTTTTATATTTACGAACCATTTTCGATCGAAACAAAATTAACAGTAAATTATAAACATTTTTTACATTTTTTGATTTATTGTAAAATTCAAAGTATATATATTTAAAATTTCGTATTGTTATATGTTATATAATGTTTGTTGGGTATTAATAAGGTATAGTTATTGTTACTTACTGTCTTGTAATACTTTCGACAAAAGTGATATAATACATTTTTTCTTCTAATTTCGACAATAAGTATGTCTTAGAGTATAACATAAAACCTTTCTGTGAAATATTGTTTCGGATAAATACTCGAAATGTATTTTTGACACGAACTAATTACCACCCGTCTTACTCTTTTAACTGTCTGATCGATTAATTCCGGTTCGGTTCGATTTCGTAGCAATTTACAACGATATATCAAAAAAAAAAAAAAAAAAACTTTATTATCTAAGTATGATTCTTTAATTTTCGTTTTTCAAACGTCGAAAATATATTGATAACGCGATCGATAGGTATACACTATATATGTATATTGTTTATAATATATATTTATAAGTATATACTATGCTTCAGTATTAGTGAACAAAACCTATTTAAAATGTTATTACTCATTATTTATAGTTATCGATTTACTATAGTTAATGTACTATATATGCTTACACTGTAGCTCTATGTAGCTGTATAATAATATAATATACCCAAGGATTATCGAGTTAATTAATTTTACAAGAAATAATCAATAATCGTGGATAATTACTGTTTGCCTTTTAATATTTGATATTGGCCCGTTAAAAATAATGAGCGTATAGTTTTTGTTGTACATAATTAATTTGTAAATATATAGTTACAAAAATTTAACAAGGTGTTATAACCATTTAAGTGAAATAAATAAATTATTAGGCAATTGTGGGTTTTTTTCTAATCCAATGGTTATCGCTGGATATCTAGTGATTCAGCTAGTGACACTTTTAAATTTTTTTTCGACCGGCGCTGCGTGGAGTAAAAAGTTATTAATAGTTACTGATTTCCGTTTTGTCCCCATCAAGAACCTGATCTTTTCCCCGCATTAAATTTGTTAATTTTTTGTTACATTAGAATTTAACTACGTAATCAAGTATCTTTGAGCCATATTAGTTATATATACATACTGTCTCATGAAGATATACCCCTTGAATATCTCCGGAGATATTAAAGATAAATTCTGATTTTTACATATTACTCACAAAAATGAGGATTAAAAATATTTATTTTTTTTAAAAATTAACTTTATTTTATTATTTTGGGAAAATGTTAAGATAGCCATTCTGTAAAGGTTGTTTTTCTGAAAATTTAAATACATCACACATTTATATCCGATGAATAGTTTCTAAGTAACAGCCATTTTAAATTCTATTAATCCGTGTGAAAACTGATATTATCGCCTAACGCGGTTATGTTATTCTCTAGATAACATCGGTTTTCACACGGATTTAAAACTAATTTCTTGTAAATCGTTACCATTGATTTTGAGCAGAACTGATTTCTGGGAGTTTTTTCAAACATTTGAACATAGAATCGTTGAATATGATTTTATTTACAGTATTTTGAAAATTTGACCAGTACACCGTATCAACACATATTGACTATTGATTTTATTACTGTCTTCCAGTTCCCCTCACATTGTCAAATCAGGTGTAAATAGAGAATATTCTTCTTTATACACATTCGGATTTGCATTTCACACTAATATTGGATTATTTGGATTCGCTATTTATGAGTTGTAAACTTATAACAGTTTAAAATTTAGACCGAGGGAGTAGATAGGATTATTATGATATTACCATCTACTGTGATATATCATTTATATGTAATTAAGAACCTTTCTGTGCTCTTTCGGTTTACATTTTGAAAAAGTTATAACTATGACGGTATGTCCGATATAAGTGTTGGGCATTTCAACCTTTTTTAGAGTATAATTTTTATATACTTCCGGAATGGTTAGAAAAATAAAAATAAATCCTATGGATCACAATATTTGTATTTCTTTGAAAATTATACTTCCATCGAAATTAACTTCGAATTCACAGTACCTATCCTAGAGTAGACGCTAAAACGGTTTATTAAATATATTTTTGATTTTTTGCTTTAATTTAATGTGTAAGACTGTAAATACCTATGTGTGTTGCTTGTCCGAATTAAGCAATATGTACGTGTACAAACTTAACTAAGAGAAAACTATAATTTAAATGTAAGTTGTATAGGTACTGAAATTATTTTTATTTTTTTTTATAATAATTGAAAAATTATTTTAGTCTGGCCGTAGTGAGTATTATACTTGTTTTTTTCATTTTTGGCTGATTTTGAATAACTTTTTTTAGCTCCAATTATCAACTGTCTCATCTTTTCTAAATTTTAACTAGTTATTCTATTGAGGAGGTCATTATTTGATTTTCTTTGTAGTTTAATTAATAGCTGGAGAAAACCGGAAAAATGTTGGAAATTGTCTGGATAACTGCAGCGTTTACAGAAAAAACCTAATATTTTCTTTAATATTTTACCAAATTGTTTTGTTTGTCTTATTTTATAAAAACAAGAAAATACGACAGTGCATCGTAAAAATCTACATTTTTTTCCATAGGAAAAGTGAAAATAAAACTCAAAATCGCATTTTTTGTATTAAAACACTATACCTACACAAAATTAAATTTGCAGACCGAATGTTTTGCAACCGTTGAGTGTTGTAGGATGCAATCAGACATATTCCGATTACGGATCATCGAGATGAATTATTTGTCTACAACAATCGACGAAACGCAAAGTGTTTTTAGTTGTTTCGGCTGTGGTTAATTGGGGTATATATAAATGCATTTTTTTTTTTTACTGATTTTCATGTAGGTATAACGCGTAATACTGCTCGTTTATTATTATTATATGATGAACAGCGGTACTCCAACACATACATAATGCAATTCGGCACTAATGATGCATTTTCTACCAATTTGGCGTCGGCATTGTCACTTACTCTACTGTACAACACAGTACACGTATATACCATTTGTCCGCGAGAAAAGCAATTTTCATTTTGGTTCAACTAGATGTTCTAGCCTAAAACATTCATATTATCGTGAATTAACATACATTTCGACGTACGTGGGGTAAATTGGTAAAGGGTAAAAGTACGCAGGACGTAGGTAGTTATGGAATTATTGAATCGGTCTCTGAATGCAGTAGGTTTTGGTATAAGTATTAATAATTTGGTACTGCATTTTTTAGAATATTATTTTTAATATTAATTTTAGATTAAACAAGTAAATAATAGAGGTGGCATAAAATATCAGTAGCAGTTATATTATCATTACTATTTCTTAATAACGTTAGTAAGCTGTAAATCAAAATAACTAATAGCTGCAAATTTTATTCCTAATTGTTTTTCTTATTATTGTAGTAGTTACAAAATACTAAAAGACTGCTAATTGCAATGAACCAAGGCTGTCTCGAAAGACAAATCATAAGAGAAGGGCTAGCCTTATTATTTTGCTGACTCTAAAAAACAATTTTTTTGCTCCGCTCAAATTACTAGTAACATTAAACATATATTTCATAAACATATCTATATACATATAAATATTTAGCATTTATTAAATTATTATTTTTTGGTATTGGTATCTAGTCATTACATAATAATAGGAACATTAGGTTAAATAAAATTAAAACTTATAGGATGGAATTTTATGAGGATTATTTATTCACTAATGGTAAATAATTTGTATGCATCAAAATATAGAATTATCAAAAATGAATTCTTCTTTGTTCCATATTATACCATTGTGTAGTTATTTTACTTACATCAACTTCATTCAAAATATCTTTTTTAATACTTAATAGCATTAATGAGTCTAACCTATTGTCTACCATTGTTAACCTTAAATGATTTTTAATAATTTTATGTTAACGTCTAAACGTCCGTTCATTGGTTTGATCGATTTTAATTTTAGAAACGGATTTTAATTGATTAACAAGTGTACTACAGGTTTTGAAGATGCAAGAACCGTCAGAATTTTCCCGTGATAAATAAAACGCGATCGGAATTATCATTTAAACTTATGTATAGAAACCATTTACGATCGTTTTATGGCGCTAAAGTAATTTTTATCGGTAACAAATTCATATATATTTTTTTTACACATAATAAATTCCATAATTCCCATAAAGCTATATCTACACAAGATAAATAAATCGGCCATTTGAAAATATTTTTGTACAAATATCCATATTGGTTTAATATATAATTTCCTTGAGTACCTTACCCTAACTGTATACAATATTTTAGAAACACTACAAAGATTTATTTTTGGTGAATATTTTGACAGTTCGGATAAACCACTTAGGGGACTGCAATACTGTATGTAAGATCATTTACAAGTACCAATTCCATTAAATATTATAATATTTGATCACATTTATTTTTAAATTCATTTATACCCGGTTGTTGTATAATATATTATATTTAATAATTTCATGAGATATTTCCGAATCGAATACTAATTTGTTATTAGATTAAAATAATTTAACATTAATCAACGAATACGAAAATAATTGCTTTGTATATCTGTATGCAATCATCAATAATTTCATGAGATATACATTTTTAATTTTAATGAATTTATATTAGAAAACAATTAGTTAGAAAATTGGAAAGATGCGGAATCGTACGAACAAAAAACAAATAATTGGGAAAACTATTCGTTTTACTACGACTATACTATGACGTTGTCTGGTGTGTTTATTTTTCGATATTGTCAGTTAGTTTGGAATCGGGGTAGTGGGATTATAGTAAAATGTTTGCAATTGATGGATCGATAGTACGTTAGACACTTATATAACAGTTACGTGATAAATATTCAAAAATGAACATTTAACAAATTTCCACGGGATACTACTTTGTATTTTGATAATATATGAAATAATTTCGCTTCTCGACAAACGTTTAGGTGTATTATATTTAAAAAAACTTAGATGGTAATAATTATTGTTATATCCTGTTGCAATTATAAGTTTCTTTTTATTCAATGCTTTCCGGATATCCGAACAAAAAAAAAAAAAAAATAGGTACTTGCCCATATAGTTGTCAGAATATACCTACTTAAAGAATACCGCATTAACAGGAAATAATCCAATCCGATGGTTAACAATACAGACGTTTCGTAATTATTATAAAATAAAGGACACTTGTTCCCTGTAAAAGGAAATAAAGTGTATACAGTACCTGTAGTTTAATTAAACACGCGAGTAAAGAACGAAAATCGTAAAATTTCTTAGAATATTAAGAAAAACAAATTTTAAAAAGTTCTTGTTCGGAAATAACTTTTTTGTATGGATTTTATAATATCGCCTTTTATTTATTTAGCTTATTACCTTATTGATAATCGAATTCACGATACAACGCGCGTAGTTCCCTCAAAAAACTTGAGATTTCGCACGAAGACATGGTTTCAACATTCAGAATGAGAAAAATGATTTAGAGGTATATGCATAATATTATAGGGTTATTGACGAATACGAATCTCTAAGTGCTGAATACTGCAATGGATCAAAAGTTTTCGAAATTCACTGACAGAATCAGTAGATGCGCAAATCCTTAAAATTACATATAATATGAATCCATCAAAATTTGTTTAAACTTTAAGCTTTCTTTCTATAATATTAGGTGAGATGCTCTGTGAAGGGTTTTTGCGCTTCTAATATAATACCTACACAACTTACAAGGATCCTACGTCATGTTATTAGTATAACATAAATAGAGTACATTGACATACAGGACGCGTATTTCGATATAATATATTATTTCCATTGTCATGCTATCATTTTCTAGTTCGTTCTTAACATATCTGCCTACGACTTTACAAAATATAATATATTCAATTTATACATTTTTATACCGTTTTGTATTGCCGTAATAATTTTGTATTTGTATCTATTTATGGATTTATTTTTTTTTAAATTCTGAGTGGAGCGAAGAAGCTTATGGTTTTACAAAGATGTTTATTTTTTTATTTTTTTATCTGTAAACAACTTTTCTACCAAAACATTTACTCGGATTTCTACGTGTAGCACCTTTGCTGAAAGGAAATTAGTGTGTGGAGGTAATTTAAGTAGGTCGTTTTTCAATTTTTTTCGGAATTTATTCAACAAATGTGAAAAAAATCGAAAAATGTATAAAATATATTTTTATAACGATTTTTTTTCTGTGGACTACTTTTCTACCAGCAATTTTACTCCAACTATTAATGAAAGCAATGTTTCTAAAAGGAAATTTTATTAGGGAAGTACTTTAAAGAGATAATTTTTCCATTTTTCTCGGAGTTTTCTCAATAAATGTTAAAAACTGACAAAAAAAACGGAGGAAAAACTGGAAAATTTACAAAATATATTTTTTGATTGCAATGATTTGTCGTTGATTTCAGTATTTTATACCTTTTTAACATTCTACCAACAACGTTGGTTTTTAAACATATTTTATTTTATTATAAATAATAAATATATTAATTGTATGCGTAAATAAATTTATAATTTTTTTCAGTGCTTCAATTGATATAATAAAAATTAAATCACTAAGAAAATATATCGGTTGCATTTTAAATAATTAACAATAGGTCTTATATCAAATACAATTAAAAATTGAAGAACCCTAATTAAATTGTGATAGTATAATTTGTCTGAAATGTATTGAATTAAAAATATAATATTAAAGATGTAATAGAAGTTAGACGACATTAAAATAGAAGAGTATAAAAATAAATAAATTGTTTTGACTTTTCTTAGATTTCGTTCTCTTTACCGAAGTGTCACGAGACTAAGAATTAACTACAGTTGTAATCATTTAATGTGTGTACCCGGTAAGTATTATCCAAAGACGCGGAAACGTAAAAATATGTGTTTTTATCTTTTTGCCATTAAAACTTTTGGCACGCGAATATATTTAAGCTGCCATTTAAGTACGACTTATAGGTTAGGTTACTAATCACGATTCTATAAAGGTACCTGCTCTTTTGGTTTTAAATGGGTAAAAACTCTTAGGAAATAAAAATATTGACGCTCTTTAAGGAAATAGAATATTATAATACTGTACATTTTACTGAAATGAGATGGCTTACATTTGTCTCGGTCACTTACGAATGATATAAAATTAATTTTGAATTATCTATAGCTACAAACTTATTAAAAATTTAACATTCTCGTATCAATAAATATTTGTGTGCATAAAATTAATGTTATATTCTAAGTTTTAACTATAAATAATTTAATTATGAGATTTGAAGTACATCCAAATTACCGTGAAACGATTTTGAAAAGACTGACACTTGAACTCTTCCAGAAGATGAGCGCAACGCTGGAACAAGTAAATCAGACTCGAGGGGGGAGGGGGGAGTACCGTGTGACCATAGGTGTATAAATCGTAAAGAAATACTGAATGAAATTTTAAAATTCTTGTTATTTAACTACTTCACCACGTAAACACAGGAATCGTGTGATGTCTTCCAATGTGAGTGATTTTACATAAAATGTATAAAATCTATAAAAAGGAACCGAAACGTGGGAGTAAAAAATAACAAAACCGAACGATGATATTTATTTATCTTAAATTTTGAATTGTTTGTATTCGTATGAGCGTAACCTAACCGTTCGAAATCTTTCACCGATAATAATAAAGTAATTTATACTATACTTTTTGTATTTATTATAAACAATATCGATACAATTTATTGTTTCCCAAATTATTTCTAACTACATCCACAGCAATACTTGTGTTAAAGTTTATAAACGCCATGCAAAAATGTAATGGCGTCGTATTTATAAGCTCGTCAATAATAATATTCATAAAATAATAACTCATTTCTGCGGTGTCTGATTTTCGCAAATTAATTCCCGTATAATATTTATAATAAACTGTAATAATATTTCTATTCTTGTCGCTTATCGGTTAGGTTTAGGTATCATCGTATCGACTTTTTAATTTTAAATGACGATCAACCATCATTGTATGTACAAGTATATAATTACTTTATTATATTTTTATTTCAAATTAGAGTTTATAATTATTATATTCTCACAAAAAAAAAAAATGTCGGTTAGTAATAATTTAATACTGAACGCAATTTGAATAATTTAATGCTTAAACTGCGGGTTGGACGAAGTGTATATCCACAGGAATAGTATATACCTAAGCTTTTTTTTAAAATTTTTTTTGAGTTTATTCTTTTGTATATTAGAGGTCTTAAACTGCTGATTAAATACCAATAAAATGCAGCTAGTTCTTAGTTTTTATAATATAATGTTTGAAACCTTGCATTATCCATTGATAATTTATACAAAATATTCTTCCAATTTCCATGTGTACAAAAATGTAATTGGTTGGGGTTGCAAGGGGTCTTCACGTTTTACTACCTATTTATAGCGTTTTAGCACCCCCCTCACAATTTTATCTATTTGTACTTATGATTTGTGCTGGATCGTGGGCTGGTTTAGTTTATATTTTCCGCGCTTAAAAATCACTAAATCGGTAATCGGGAACTTGTATAAACGTCTCATTTTGTAGCTAAAATATAATAGCAAAAGTATAGTACCTATGTTATCACGTAACACAGTTAGGTTATTCCTTAGATAACATTGGTTTTCACACGGATTAGAAGAATTTAAAATGTATAGAAACTATTCATCGGATATAAATGTGTGATACATTAGAATTTTCAGAAAAATAAACTTTACAGAAAGAATTGCTATCTTAAAATTTTCCGAAAATAATAAAATAAAAAGTTAATTTTTTAAATTCTTTTACTAAAAAAAAAAATATATTTGTATTCCTTATTTCTGTAAGTAATATGAAAAATCAGAATTTGATTATCATCATTATCTCCAGAGATATTCAATGGGTATATCTTCATGAGACGAAGTATATATATTAAAAAAAAAGTAATTTAAGAAATTAGAGCGATGTATGAAAACACAAAATTTATCTTTATCGCTATACGTTTGTATGGTAAATCGGATCGAATCTATTTAAAAAGTTATTCAGCAATTAGTTTTGTTTATCATATTTATATTTTATACAGTATAATTTAAATTATCAAATTTGTACGTACAGTTCAAATAAAATTTACATAAAAAATATTTAATAAAATGCGACTGCAATTGTATAAAACTTGTCTGGCTCAGCTGATACAGGCTCAACTGTTTTAAAAATAGTGTATTCAAAAAAAAACTCACCAGTTCATTGGATATCATAATAAAGTTTTTCGTTGTAAAATAAAACCATTATGATTCTATTAAACTCGTATCGTTGAATCGTATTTTAAGTTATAAAGGGGAGTAAATAAAGAAAAAACTGCCGTTGGATATACTTTTTATATAGTTCAAAACAAATTGGTCTTCAAAATATTCTGATCTCGTTGCTAGTTTTATTGTCCGCGGTAATTTATCACTAGGTAACTTACGAGACAACAAATGCTAAATGTTGAAGATTTTTTTACGACTTAGATGAAAAAAAACCTACATATGCATATGTAGGTTTAGGACCTACATACATATGGATAATACAAAAAGTTTAAGTAACGAAAAATTTAGGTATTCTAGATTTAAAAATGCTGTTTTTATTCTTTATTTTTTAAGTTATTGTTTTATTAATTTCATCGAGTTGTTATTTTTCCTCTTTTACTATAGTACTTTTTCCACACTAAATAAAATACGGCAGGTACTAAAATTTAGTAGACGCGTACCCACGGAGAATTATAAATATTTTATTAAGGTTGTTTTTTTTTTATGTTATTTAAATAAGTCTGATTTTAAATCTTTTATATAGGACGTGTGTTCCGGTTTGTCTGCAACGTTTTTAGTTACCTCTATACAAATCCGGAAAATAAAAAGACATTAACCCTCTACTGCGCGTCTGTATAGGTATTAGGTACCTCCTATACTACATATTATTATTTATTCGAAAAAATATTAATACTTGCCTACATTTTGTATAATAAATTATTAAAATAATATAAGTCGTGAAATCTAATGTTTATTCGGACTAAAAAACATAATAATTTATGAATTTACCCTTTTATAATGTTTGTATAAATATTTCGAGTTAATTAATAATCTATAACGTTACCATTCATAATACGCATTTAAAGTACACTAGGTATACAAAATAGGTTACTGAGAAAATTAATTAAATACATACAGCATTCTTTTGTCTGTTTGTTTTCATATAAGATTATTTTGATCTTCTTTACTGCAACAACGGACTAATAATAATATGTAAAATAATTATCTTATTATTCGATGGCACACTGTTATTTATCTTTTATGTAATTTATTATGCCTTATAAGTTGTATACACCATACATGTAATAAAAATTCTATTTTACTAATGTAAAATGTAAGTTTTGTGAGGTTTTACAGATAATTATTGTACAATACAAAATAGTATTTATAATATCGTTTATTTCGATAGTTTTAAATTTTGAGCATGGCAAGAAATCAGTCGGTTTTACTGTCAGAAATATTGTTCCGGTTTTCAACTGTAACTTATTTTCTGAAAGCAAAGTGTATCTAGTCGGTGAATTAAGATGGTAATATTTTTATTTTATCTTTGGTTTTATTAATATTTCCGGAAAACGGTAAAGCTAACGGAAATAAAAATTACATTACTTGCGATTTTGTTTTTTTTTATTATTGTTATTCAATGAAAATTAATCGTAGTGATTTAAAATGCTAATAGCAGTGGTGGACACAGAGGAGGGGTGAGGGGGTAAAAACCCTCTCCGAAATATCTTCTTTCGCTACATTTTTGAATGATCATGTCAAGTGGTAGTTTAGGACAAGAGGGGTTGACTCCAAATAGTTCGGATGAAAGCGAGGGAGAAGAATAAAAAGATTATTTTTATTTTTAAACTATTTATAGGCATTTGAAATTTTGATCGTAAAAATTATTACATTTAAGAACACGTTTAACTGAACTTCACTCAGAATCGTATTTCATTTGCAATGATTTATCAGTGAGTATAGATTTAAATTATGTAACTCTTTATATATTACCATCCCAACTTATTACTTTCAACAGTAGTAAACCCATCATCAAGCATCAGCTCTTTATTTTATTCATATGGAACAAGCCCGACAATATGCAATTTGTATTTTAATAATAATAACGTGATACGATAAAATAGATAAATATTCATTATAAGATTGCCCAACTTTAAATATTATAAATGTGGGTCTGTAATGACACTTAGCAGTACGCATAATACGGAAAATATGAATTTGTGTAGATTAATTAGCAGAAGAGTGTGGAATAAATATAAGAGGTGAAGAAAGGTTATATCAGAGATCGAAATTGTGATTGTGTAAAGGTAGAATATGGAATTAGGGATAGGCTTTTTTTCGGGAAAGATGTGATTATAAATGTGCGGAGTACTTATGGACAATATTGAGTCAGGAGACAAGCCGTAGAAACTACCTCCACACACATGGTCAATAGTCATATCGCCACTGGAAGAAGAAGGGTCCCAGAGAACAGGGAATTGTTAAAGATGCAAATTAAGAAAGAGTTAAAAGTATTTACTACAAGCTTCTTCCTCAATGTATTTGAATGGTAAAGGGTAGAAATTAAGCCAATTAAGCTGCTTATTGTTACGTTATTTTGAAGTTTGAAAGCTAGTCTGTTATAATGTATACTTATATTAATATCGAACAAATAAAGGCTTATACACGTAGATAGGTGTATCGGTTTCAATAAATAAAATAATCATAATAAATTTAAAAACAAACAAATTGGAACTATTTGATAAGTAGTTATATTACTTGATATAACATTCAAGTCATCATTGCAGTAGAACTTAAAATATCGAACTCTGTGAAATATGTTGTATGGGTATATATAGGATAGTAACTTTTAAATAGGTGCCTACTATAAAGAAGAAAATACGCAATGGTTTCGAAATATGTGTATCTAATACAATAATAATATTATGATTTTTATATCGAATTATGTATAAACGGTTTGAAGAAATAGATTAGTTTATAGGTTAAACAACATGCAACTATATTATAAATGTGAATTTAACACGAAGTAGGTATTTCGTATGAAATAAAAATCAATTTTTGTACTACCCGTCTATATATATAATAAACAATATGTCTATATTATAAAAGTGTTGTTTTTGTGCGTACTGTTGCCTTCAAACTGTATCATGTGTTTATTTGTTCTGTGGGTCGTGGTTGTTTTCTAAACTTTACTTTTAATTTCATAAATAACCTGGCCTACACTTTTTGTAGAAAATATTTGTTTATTTTTCTTAACTCATGTATACTATGTTGGTACCATATTTTATAATAGGTACCTCTACTATAGATATGAAAGCCGATTATACTGACACGAAAATGTTAAAAGAAATATAGTAAGTTTTAATTTTCATAAGTTGTGTAAACTATTATGAACTAGGTCGTCGTAATAATAAAAAACAAAAAAAAAAAAAAAAAAATTGTGAACAATAATGTTCCGTGTTAGATACTTGTCTAGTCGTCTCGCTCGATTATACTCGAAACAACGGTTCAGGTTGGGTATGAGTTTTTTTCGTAATTCATTTAAAATTTGTAATTTTTTAATTTTTTTTGTAGAATAAATACATTTAACTGACAAGTGATTTGGAGAACTTTAAGATAACAACCGACCTGCAGTCATCAGTGTATAGAATCCCTGAGAACTATGAATAAAATAGAAAAACTGAGTTTTGAGATTTAGAGAGTAGCGAGGTATCTATTAGTTTTACTAGGATATTTGATTTTTTTTTTAGATTCCGAGTATATCGAAGAATGTATTGGTTCTACAAATATGATTATTGTTATTCTTTTTTACATACTGTGTACACTAATTCTACCAGAAATCTCGCTCCCAAGTATCAAATATAGCACCTTTTCCGAAAGGGATTTTTTCTGGAGTGGTACTTTAAGGAGATCATTTTTTGATTTTTCCAAAGGTTTTCGAAATAATTAAGAAAAAATCGAAAGAAAATTATAGGTAAAACGGCAAATATTTACAGCGTTACCGATTTTAGTTTTTATTTACACAACTTATATTTTATATCAGAAATATTGCTCAAATCAAAAAATGACAAGAGACTTTTTATGTTGAATTTTTAATTTAATTTATTAGTAATTTTTTTTTTTAATTTTTAGTTTTTATTATAATCTAGGAAAACTGGATAATTACGAAAAATGAAAACTGTCTCCAGTATTATGTTTTTTTTAAAAATATTTTTCATGTTAAAAGTATATTTTATTTTTCTATAATGTTCATGTTTGCATACTAGCATTGTTGAAACTTTCTCTTATTAGGTACTATTCATCTCTAATTCTTAATATACTCGTATGTATAATATACAACGTATTTATTTTATTTAAAACCGAATTTAATATTATTCGAATTATCGCTTTAGTATATGTTACCTAAAAACGGTTAAATTATTGATTTAGAATTTTCAATTCATCTTAATAATTATAAGGGTGAAAATTTTAAATAATACAATGATTTTAGCTACATAAATTACACAATTAATATTTTCGAACCACCAAAACGTATAATTATTATTATCATAGTCGACGAAATAACCATAATATTCTTTATGGCAAGTATTTAAATGTAAATATTTTGTATACGACTGACAGCATTTTTTTTAATGATTTACATTTTCTAAAAGAAAATATTGATTAAAATATATTTCATCATGTAAATGAAAGTGATCGAAAATTTATTTTTCAAATAATGAACGAAATATTATAATCTTTTTGTCATTTCATATAGTTGGTAACTATATTAATATTAATACTGTACTATATATACCATAATGTACCTATATATATATATACTATATATATACTCGTAATTAAAAGACTGAGTAATTTAATGAATACTGTTAAATAAAACTAAGTTAAGATAATTGATAAAGAGTTAACGAATTAACACGTTAAAAGTTAATTTTGTACCGATTAAGTAAATTAAGTTAAAAGTTTCTTTAAACATTTAATTAAATTTTTTACTTGAGTTCTGTTAATATTTCGTATTGATGGTTATCAATGTTAAATACTGAAATACGAGACAATTTTGAGAATATTAAATTTAAATTATAAATTCATTGAGTGACTAAGTAAAAAAAAAATATATAATTTTTACCATGGTGACCATTCAAATGTGTGGATTTAAGATTGTAAATAAAAAAAAAAAAATGAAATTTAATTACGTGATGTAATTCAAGTCTAACTAGTTACGTTAATGTAAATTTAAAAAAAATCGAGTTGAAAGTTTAGTCATTAAAAATATCAAATGTTAAAATCTAAATTAAAAATTAAAATTGACTCATGATTTAATTATTAACTGGTTAATATCCAGCTTTCAATATTATATTTATTTGTATTCCATTTGTCACACTTTTAATTTCGTTTTTGTACGTTCTATGTATGTATAGCTTTTTGTTTAAAGACCTTCCTTTTTTAAATTTTGTTACATTTATTTTGCCTTGTATTAAAATAACTGCTCTTTTTATAGGTGTGCATGCATTCACGGTTTGCCTACAAAGTTCGAAAATTTATTTAAACAAATAATACTTTTTTATTATTATTTATATAATCCAATTGCAATATTTTTCACATGTTTACAACTAAGTATCAAAGATAAGCCTCCGATCGTTACATGAGACTAGAATTGTGTTACTCGATATTTCGATTAAAAACGTATTGATTTCGGGTAAACGTACTTTATTCTTTATTTCGTTAAGTTTATGTTAAAAATAAATGCCGAAATTATTGAAAATTTGAAGTGAGTGCAAAGATGGATAAACAGTAAATACGTTTGAAACCATAATGTTGTGTATAGTAATTATTATGGATATTTCTCGTGCAAATCGCATTATATTGATCTAATAATATTATTAGCTTTTATCATTACGCTAGTGTACACAATTTTGACTTCTTTAACATGCTTATTTTGTATTTACTCTCGTTACATAATAATTAATTATTCTAAGTGGGACGAGCCGTACACGATAATTAATATTTATTCGGTTGCATATAATTTTTAGGGCGCGGGTAAAAAGCATACCAATAACGTTTCATATACCTTTACGCTACTTATATAGTTAAGTTTTAAATAGGTAATTGAACACAGACTGACATTATTTTTGCAATTTCTTTGTTTTATGGCCGGAAACCGGGGAAAACCTTGAAGGTACAGCGAGAAAAACAATAATCAGCGAGTGATGTTTAGCGCTTAGATTCAATTTTGAGCGTAATTCGGAATGGAGATTATTACGATAATGGTCACGTTCAAGTTGCGAAAAAAAATAAAAAAAAAAATAATAATAATAAAAGTAATAAACTATTCTGTCTTGTGTTGTGTAGTGAGTCAAGTGTGATAAATGTCCAGCAATGTTAACCGTTCAGTAAATTCAGTCTTTGTTTCTTAGAACATTTTTAAATGTATTTGCTGGAAAAATACTTATTAGTTGTATAGTAATTTGACTAATTTTAGTTTTCGAATAATTATTTTATTGAATTTTTAAATTTAAATTTATTTTCTTTCAAAACTAAATATTGAGAGTTATATCGTTATAAAAATTTGTATTAAAAATGATCATATTGAAAAGAACTAATATTTTTTCTTTTTTCCTTCACCTTCCTACCAGCTATTTGGGATCGGCCATCCTCGTTCTAAACTTTCACTTAGACCAATCGTCCCGATTTCTCACATTACATACATCGCCTATTCAGTGTTCTTGAGTGTCTCAATCGTATCCAACCACCTTTTTTTCAGTCTTCCTATCGCAATAATGCTTCTGATTCCTCTCTCTTCATTTTATGTCCAAACTATATCAGTCTTTTTTTTCTCTTATTTTCTATTTATCATCTAACTAAGCTACTCTTATGCTGCCTTTTATGTACTGGTCCCTTATCATACCTTCCCTTATCACTTCACTTACCCATCTAAGCATTATCATCTCTGATATTTTCATTCTCTATTCTATTTTTCTGTGTACCACCCAACACTCCGAACAATATAACATGGTCCATCTCTCCACACTCTTGTCGAACTTACCATTAAATCTCATTGGAACTCTTATCACATAAATTACCTGATGATTCTCTCCACTTTATCCAACCACATTTAATTTTATGTTACAAATCCTCTTCTAATTTTGTATTCCCACATACATCCAAAATGGGACAATTTGTCTTGTGTAGGATTTCTCAAACTATTTGACAAAATGTTTACACAGGTGGTCGATTTGAAGCAATCCTATCTATTGTCTCCTACAGGAATAATTTACGAGATCCAATACGTTTGAATTTGTGACGTTTTTCAAATGTGTAAATTAGGCTTTTAAACGTATCCTACAGTCATGTTCGTAAATTTGTTTTGAAAGTATATTTTGAAAATAGATTCCAGAAAATTCAACGAAGTTTATTATATTAAGAGGTGCTATTGCTCATTTCGGCAGATTGCATTGGCTTGTTACTCATTGTACGTAAGTGAAATTAATTGAAAGTTTCGGTTTGGATGTTTGTATCACGGTTAAGTTGGAAGTTTAGTGGAAATTCAAAGCATTTGTATATACACATTGTAACCGTCGAAAACGTTTTACCTAATTTCAAGGGGAGAAAGGAGTGGAGTGGTGTTCCGAGAATGGTCAGTTAAAGTGTTCCGTTTCGCGTGCTTGCCGGTTCGCTAGCGGTGTATTTATATAGGTATTAGGTAACCATCAGTAACCACGTCAAAAAGAAAAAAGAAAAAAAAATCGCGTAGCCATTAATTTTACGCGAACCGGCTGTATAAACGTACCTACATAATAAACGGTTTCGGGTCGGTAATTACGTGCTTACAATTATCCGAGGATTATTCCTCATTACCGCCGTCTCGAGCACTTAATTTTGATTTTTCCTATAACAAATATACCTCTTCCTACTCAGTATAATATAATACCGCCTTTTTGTCCGCGTAATGGTTTTTGTATTGCAATCTATTTATATATATATATGTATATACATAATATAATATAAGAGGGTTGTTAGGCGTTGTTTTCTTTATAAATCGCCCATAAACATGATACAGGCCATAAATATAAATATCGATATCACGCCGGGGTATCTATGTGTGTTCGGAAACGCCGTAGTCCACGTTGTGAAAAATTACTGCCTATTAGAGTACTCTTCTGATCGCACGAAATATATTATATTTACCGTATCAATCTCACTATTAAAACTAAGAAAATAAAAAAAAAAAAAAAACCGTAGCTATACATACGTCAGATTAAAATGTGTAGGCGCTTACTTATAGTGCGTAACAGCACTAGTAAAATATTGATAATATGCAAATTATATTAAAATACAAATTCAAAATATTGTCGAATCTCGGCGCGTTCTACGATTACTGAATTATTAAAAAAATGTAAATCCACTCATTATAAATAATAGTAAACCTAAAAATACGCTTTTTGTATTTTTGTGTAATAAAATATTCTTTATGTTTTTAATATATTATGTAACTATACAGTGTACGTAGGTACATAGTAGATCGAAAAAAAAGCGATGATTTTACATAAAAAAAAATTATCTCGTACTTCATTTATTCTTCTATTTTTTTATTTTGTTTATCAGTAGGCTGAAAAATCTAATAGTTTTAACTTTTAAAAAATAAGATTGCGCATTTTATAAGGCATGTGCTTAACATGCGGTTTTATACGTACGTTTTAAATATGCTCGAAATCGGCATCGTTTTAGATTATGATGATATGTATATTTGAAAATGTTTTCGTTTATATTCTTCAACGCGTTTGAAAATCGAGAAAAATCCGAACAAACGACGAAACTGTTTCAATTTTAATTTCCCTCATATTTCAATACAAACAACAATATTGTCGAAATATTATGTTATGTGGGAGTATTGTTTTTTTTTTTTTTTTTTAACAATAAATCAGTTATTATTTAGAATTATGATTAGTTAAAATAATTCAACAGCTTCTTTCTGTCTTCTCTGGTTTTTAGACCTCTGATAAGGACTACCCTATTTAAAACAAATTCTTTATCCTTTTCTATCCGTTGATTTGTCGTTCCAGTTTGAAACTCTAACGAGTAATTTAGTAGTCCCACTATATTCGGTAGAAGAAAAAATGTTTCTTATGTTGATCTCCTTCTCTGTTCAGGTATAAAATTGACGTCACTCCTGAATGTAATGATTCATAAAGTTCATAATCGTTTTTAGAAAGTGAAATGATTGATTGTTGTTAACATATTTTTTTTAAATTCAATATTTTCCCGATAGTTAATCACTAAGATTTTATATCCACAGAAAAGACTATCTCGGAAAATTGCATAATCCCGATTAAGATTTATTTAAAATTAAAAAAGGACATTTTTATAAAAAAAAATCTACACCTACAAACCAAATTCACTTAAGTCTATATAAATACATAAATATCAGTTATTTTTTTTTCATTAATCGAAATATGTCAAAAATGGGATTTTAATATTATGTACAATCTATAATTAACTTTGCGGAAAATGACAACTTTTCCCGACTGTTTGGAATTTTAGGTCCTTTTATTCTCCTTATTCCTCGTATCATTTTTAACTGCTCGCCTAACCGTCTACCGTTCGGTCTTTCTCTGCCTACTTTCTGTTTGCACTAATTTCCATAACCATGCTCATGCAACCTCTGACTCGTTTCTACCCATCACACGTCCTATTCACAGTATTATAGTATTATCATACTATTGTTATAAATTAATGTAAAGAAATGCCCTTTCGCGATAACAGTAGAATATGAATTATAACAATAATAATTAAACGTCGATTTAAGCAACGTTAATTGTTCCCCGGGTACACATTGTTTAAATAGGATTCGCTAATAACACCGAGAAGAACAAGTGTTTTTACGTTTTTCGGTCGAGATTTAAAAGGCTGCGAGTTTAAAATCGTGGTATAGAATCCCAGGTGAATCGACGGGACGAACGCGAAAATCCTTCGGAAGCGCTAATGCCGAATAAATAAACCTTATCTTGATACTTGTTTCGGAAATCGTTTTCGTGATAAAAATCTGTAAAATATAGTATATAGAGTACTTGTGTATAGACTTTTAGGACAGGTGATAAAATATAATATTCTCAAATTCAAAGTCTGTGAATTAATTAAGATTTTTAATAATCTTTGTTTTTTGTTTTTTCGAAGTACAACCTACGTATATTCACCGATTTAATTATTAATGTATACCTAGTCAATGGATATTTTGTTTGATGAAATTAATATTATTTTTGTTTTCTCGCAATATTAACGTTATTGTAAATAAACAATATTCTTCTTCTTGTTAAGTTTTGTAAGTTCAAAAGCCTTAAACTTCATTGAAAGTTCTACATAACATTTTAAATCGATTAGATTCTATTCGATATTCGTGCAAAATAAACAAAGTAAATTATATACGTGTAGTATATCATATTATATTGTGTATTATTATTTTGGAATACGTAAATCAATTTCATAAATATATATATGTATGTATAACATTTTCATTTGAATAAAAATAAATACAAAATTGCAAATTTTAATTAGTTATAAACAACAATTTAAAACGTCACAATATTTCGAAAATTATACTTCGTTTAGCATTTAATATAAGTATTCAGTGGAGATCTCAAGTTTCCATAATTATTTTCTCCAAATCACAGCAACAAAACAAAATAGATTTTTACAAAAACCATCTTTAAAATTAATGATAGTAGCAAGTCTACTAGCGGAAATAGTTGTTACCAGGCAGAAAATAAAAATCACACGTCGTAGTAAAACTAATATAAATTCTTCAGTTCGCTCAGAGTCAAAAAACTATACGTTTTGAGTAAAAATGCGTGTAGGTACTAATGTGTGACGATGCTTGCAAAATTTATTTCGGGCATCGTTTTTTTGAAAAAAAGTACCTAAGCATGTAAAAAAAAAAAAACACTGGTGACTATAAGAATGTATTACAATGTGTGATTACGAATATTTAATTTTAAAAAAATTATATAGAATTGTATGCTTTATTAAAATTGGTTAAAATCATTTGTATAATGCTCGGGGTGTAGGTAATCTCGTTAAGTAATTTTTTTTTAAATTCAAAACGAACTATTAATTTTAAATTTATCACTCGCAAGTTTCGCGGGTAATACGTTTTCTGTACTAAGCAAATTATGTAATGGCCTTTGGGAAGTTTGCAATCCAAGCGCATAACAAATGTTGATTATTTAGTTGAAATCCATTTACCGTAGGTACCTATGTTGGTGGGTAGGTATATAGTTATAGTGTAAGGGTACACACATACACATGCATACACGCACGATATCACAATATTTAACCAGGGCGCTCTCTCTGTGTAAACACATTTTTCCTTTAAAAATAATTTTACATTCAAATTTGTTTTCACCTTCTAGAATATTACCGAGATATTAATTTAAATTAATTTCAGCGGGAAACGATTATAGCGGTAGGTGTATAGTTTCTGCATTACCTGATATTATGTATTATGGCAATCATGTCTAAATAATATATTCACGAAAATTAAAACTCATTAGATTTATATAGTATTATCCCCCCCATCCCTCCCCCCATTACTAATTAAACATTAAATGATCCTGTCGGGGAAAACTGTAAATCTTAGAAAAAAACTTTCCCGGTTATCATTTATTAATCACTATTGATTGTTACGAGTTGTATTCAATAATTTTTATTTATATTGTTATTGTATATTATTATTTTTTAGTTCAATGAAACTTTATCAATTTTACGTACAATGTGTGAATTAATATCGTTTCTCGATCCATGCATAATATGTATACACTATAGACGTATTAAACAGAACCGATATAAATCATGAGTTTAATAAAAACACATTTAAACGTTCTAATTAGATTTGTTTTTGTTATGTTTTTAAATGCATTTTTTTTAAACATTATTTTAATTTTAATTGATTAAAAATCGACCGTGTTTTAATACTCTCCGCGGTCATCTCGATAATAATTAATATTAGTTTTAATGATTATCTACTATAAAATATCCAATGTCATAATCGTACTTAATGAAATAAGGGACTTTTTAAAGTAGACGCTTATTTTAGATTCTCAGCGTAGCCGAGAATTGATGGTTTTACTATGATGTGTATGTTTTTTTATTGTATATCTGTGCGCAATTTTTCTACCAGGAAGCTTATTCCGATATATACGATGTAGCACTTTTTCTGAAAGAAAATTGGACTGGGGAGATACTTTAAGGAGGTCATTTTCCGATTTTCTCAAGAGTTTTCCCAGCAAACGTTAAAAATCGGGAAAAACACGGGAGAACCGGGGAAAACGTGGGAAAAACGGTAAAATCGGTAAAACATTAAACAAATATTATATAATGCTTATTTAGTTATTTTACTATAATATAATATTTATAATGTATATTGCTGACATATCATCAATTGAACTCCTCTCAGAATCGTTTGTTCGTTAGCAATGGTTTATCGTTGCTTACAAGTATACATTTAATTATCTATGACAGTGACTGTATCCGTATTCATTATCCTTGGACAGTTTTGTTGATTTTCATTCCAGTTTTCTGAATAATTCCGGTAGAATGTTCACTACAACGGTTTTTGAAACCATTCAATACCTACCTAACAATTTTAGTGCTATGAGTATTAAAAAAAAAATTCGTTCATTTAAATAACTTATTTTAAAATGTTATCGCGCAGTTCGAAAGTTTTAATTATGTTAAATACTTTTTCTCCAATAAACTTTTATAACTGTAAATAAAGATTTGGCATCAATTCGGAAAACCTAAAACAATGTTTCAAATGTTTTTTTTTTTTTATATTTTGGGATGTTGAGTTTTTATATACTTGCTTGTGCTATATATTTCTTCAGTGGTAACTCTTATGGGACCAGATTAGTTCGAGAAGGCTATTAGTTTTACAATAACATATTTTTTCTGTTGACTTTTTTCAAGACGTAAACATCTTAAAAAAGTTTCATACAGTAACTACATAATATTATAGGTAATTGAATACAGATGTTACTGTTAGGAAAGTCTTGCTTTATGAATTCCCTCAGTTCGATCTCCTTAAAGATTCAAACAACCGAAAAATACTGCAAGAAAAAATTGTAAAATAAAAATACGGTTTTCGAACGTAGTAATGATCGCGTTTTAATTAAAAAAATAATGTGATGCATTATTTATAATTATGCATATATCTGAGTATACACGAGTATAGTGAAAAGCTTCGCGAAAAATTTTGTATACAGTAATATATTGCTAGTCATTTCTATACCTATAAAATATTGAACTCTTCGTTAATTATTATACAAGTTCTATAATATGTTATAACGTTATATTAATAACTATATTGTGTTATACCATTTTGAGAGTGGAATTTCGGAGTATCCATACTACCTCTGTTCTCGATACCGTAACATACAATTCGGAAAATCCTGTACTATTAATTGTTTAATTTGACTTATACAAAGATCTCCTAGTTTCAAGTCAATATAACTTTTGAAATACTCAAACATCTCCAGGAAGACCATAATTTTCCTTAATCAAATCTACAATATTATGATCAGCTTATCACACTTATCCATATTATGAAAATACTCCATTAGTATTGTTCTATTAAAACTACAAAAGCCACCTGACTGTCTCTCTTCACATAGATCGATTAGTCTTCTCCCTACTCTCTCCAAGCTATTAAAAAACTTCTTTTAAAACGCCTACTAGCGATCGTCAACGGCAATAACACTCTTCCCGATTCCCAATTTGGCCTTCACAATAACGATTCTACGGTACATCAGATTCATCACACGATTGACAAAATCTCATTCGCCTTTAAAGAGAAACTATGTAGTTACGTTGCTTTCCTTGGCGTTTCCCAAGCGTTCGTTATAGTATAGCAAGCAGGTCTATTATCCAAACTTAAACTGTTCTTTCCTAGCAATTACTGTTTACCCCTCACGTTGTACCTTGAAGATCGCTTCTTCTCTGTACGCGTAGGCTCAATCATCATTCCTCCTACCGAAATAAACGCAGGCGTTAAACACGGTACCATTATTGCTCTTCTACTTTTCAGTCTGTTTATCTCGGAGCAATCTACCTTGAATCACACAGTTGTCTGTAAATTTACTGATGAAAAATCTATTTAAATTAACAACTAAGATCCAGATCTAGCTTCGTCTCAACTACAAGACCATGTTGACCATTTGTAAATTTGGTATAAACTATAGGATTTAAAAATTAATGAATTTAAATTTATTCACTGCATTTTTTCTATTCGTAAGGATATGTCCATTATTCTTCCCCAAAAACAACTTCTCCATTTTGTTAAACAGTGCACTATCTTTGTGTCCTCATTGACTGCTGGCTCACTTGGCTGCCACACATAGTCAACAAAACCTGTATACTCAACGCTCAACTCTGACTTTTTCGCCTATTACTTACACCAAGTCGTATTAAACTTCCTGTAAAACTCCTACTCTATAAACCACTTTTAAGACCTATATAGACCTATGGCTCTTCCAGGTACTGCCAAAATTTCTAACACTAATTGTATCCAAAGATTTCAATGAAAAATACTATTGTTCTTCTCTCAAGTTCCTTTTTATATATCCGACCACACCCTGCATTCTGACCACAATATACCTTAATGACTTAATAACCGATGTAACTAATCTCCATTGTAAACGTTTTTTATAATCACCTTGCTTACCATCAAAATCTCCTAATCTCCAAACTTTTTTCTCTAACTATTCCTGGCAACCCTGCTAAAAAACTTAAACGGCAGTGGTGTCGTGACTTGCTCATCTAATTATTTTATTCATATCGTAATACCTCCAATGAAGGTCTCTAAAATTAGTAATTTCTGTCGCTTTTATATTGTTTCGATGCAGATTGAATTGAAAAATGCAGAAAAAAAAAATTGTCGATAAATTTATATGCTGAGCTTACACCTGCGTATTTCAGACAGTTTATATTGCTAATATTAAGCTCGGTAAAAATGTTTTACGATCGACATAATTAACCAAATTTCTTAGTTGTTTTAGAAAGTGTACATATAGTTGTAGTTGAAACAGAAAGAATTATAATAATTGTATACATTGCACAATTTTACTGCATACACTACATTCCATGTTCCTCTAAACTCTAAAAACATAATTAAAAAAACGGGCATACTTCACATAAAAGTGGGCCACTGTTTTATGTGAGAACTGAGAAGTTAGGAAGGTAGAGAGGAAATTTAATGTATATCTGTACGTAACGATTAACCATTACTAACGAAAAATGATTTTGAGCAGAGTTTGGTTAGTGTTGCTTTGTGAACATTATATGTATATTTTACATTATGGTAAAATAATTACCTATGCATTATATATTTTCTTTAATAGTATTTATTTCTATTGTATCTATTTTTCCGTTTTTTTTACAGGCTTTACCATGTTTTTCCTATTTATTGGCAAAACTCATGGGGAAATCAAAAAAATTACTTTCTTAAAGTTCCATTTTAGAAAAATTTCCTTTCTGAAAAGGTGTTATATTTGATACTTCGGAGCAAGATTTAAAAGATAAAAAAGAAAAAGAAAAATTCCAAATAAATATTTGACATCTTTCTAAAACCAATAAATTCTTCGATACAATTAGAATATAAAATGTTTAATATTTAATAACCCCCATTCTCCAAAAAAAACAGTTCACCCCAAATTTAGTTAGTAAATGCTTACTTTTGAATTATTATTATGTACTTAAAAATATTTAATTATAAATTATAATAATTTTTTAATAAATATTACCTCGGCCCCATACTTTCTTACATGAGAATTACAACGCGTCTATTGCAGTATAACTTAATTTTAATTTTTTGGTTAAAATGTAATCAAAACGAACATCCTGGAGGAACAAAATATTAAATAGTTATACTTTGTCGAGAATTTTGTATACTGTGTTATATGAACTGCTACATTGCTGCCAACACCTTAACTTAGATAATGTAATACTGTAACGTGCATACTGTATTATTGACTGTGGAATTTTGAACTCGCTATGGTACTTACGAGACATTTTTTATTTGTTTATTAAATTGGGAAATAGCAGGATTTTTTTAGATTCTTAGTGAAACTATTACCTTGCTTAGGACTACTTTTTTGGTTAGTAAAGTTGCTGATATATTTTCATGTCCTACTTTGAAAAATGGAAATTTCTGAATTTAATACATTTTTCGATATTCTTAATCGTTTTTCCAAAATTTCTTTTTTATTTATTTATTTGTTTAAAACACTATTTTGGTAAAGAAGTCCACACAGTGGCCAGGAGAGCTGAAGTGTGCAAGAAGGTTAAAATTGATTTCTATAGTTTATGAAAGTCGTTGGATTAGTGTTAAATTGTAATTGATTGATATGATTTTAAAATAGTATCTTTATTTTGTTAGTTTATCTTATCGTTTATGGGTAAAACATTATTAATATTAAATATTTTAGTAGGTATGCACAAGAGAGCTATATTATTTTTTTTATTCTAATTGAGGACCCTAGTGAAACCACTTCTGTGTGAAAAATGATCATCTCCCAAGGAAAAATCCTGGTTACATTATTGCTTTCACTGACAATAAGGCATCAGTAAAATATGAAAATTGACGTCCGTATGGTCAATTTTAATACTTTTTGACCGTTTGTTCCAGTCCCAAAAGTTTTTTAATTATCAATCCTTAGTGTATTTTATTTTGTTTAACAAGTCCCTGGTGGATCATTATAACATTAATCTGCTATTGAACCGTAGTTTTCTAAACTATAAAACCAACAGCGTTCATTTTCAATTTTTTCTCCAACTCGAAAATTGCCTACATATAGTGTTAAGTATATTTTTTTAAATATTAAAATCAACAATAATTTATCATTGGGTTTATTGGCGACATTAATAATTGTGAAAATAATTTAGTTCGTCTTTTCTTTCGCCTTAATACCGAATATTTGTGGATAAAAATAATTTAGAATTTAAAACTATTGCAATTTTAATTTTAGATTGCGAGCCGAGCGAGGGAGTTATTGGTTTTACAATGCTGTTTATTTTTTTATCTTCTAGAACATATTTTTTCTTAGTTAACTTGTTCCAATTTTTACGTGTTGCAACTTTTCTGAAAGCTTAAGTTGTCTAGATTGTACTTGAAGCCATTTTTCATTTTCGATTCCATTTTTTAATTAAAAGAACTTAAGTGGGAATGAACATAGGAAAACGTACAATTTCACGATTTCATTATTTTATAAACACACGGATGATATTTTCTACTAGAAAAAATTGTTTAATCGAAAAATCTTAGGTATCTTTTTTGTTGCATTTTTGATTTACTTTCTTACGGTATCATTGCAACAATTTTAGAGTCACTTTTGAGCTTTTAAGGCATTTTTAGGCGTTTTTTTTTTTTTTGCTGTAATTCGGTTATAAATAAACGTAGAGACTTGAAAATGTGTAATAATACTTATATTGGACTTACCTAGACGTGGTAAAGTTTCCAAAATCATCGGACGACTTTTTTTAAATTTTAATTAGAGTTTTAAAATTAAATTCAAACGAAAATTGCAAAAAAAAAAAAAAACTATGGCACTTTAAATTTTGTATTACCAAACTGCACTTGGAATCGTCTTTCGTCAGCAATGGCTTATCGTTGCTTACAGATATAAATTAAATAATCGTATGTATCCTACCTTTCTAATTTCTCGCTTAGAACTGTGGTTACATCGATCCCCAGTATCAGCTCTTTTTTAAAATTAATGCCTTTCGGGAAAATATAACATTTTTGACCTAGATTTTTATATTAAAAACTGTACTTATATTGTTATCGATTTCAATAAAGTTTTAGACAACAATAATAACAAAGTACCTACCAATATTATATAGGTACATATATAGAGAGGTTATTCTAAGCGAAGGAGCAAAGTAATACAAATAAAAGTTATATAATAATTGCGTTATAAAATATTTTCGTTATACTTGTATACAAACGTTTAAATGTTTTTCAACATTTATTGATATTACATTAGTATACCAAGTGCTAATGTGCGTCGTTTTTAAATGATTTTTAAAATTGAATATCTTAACATCGCAAAATCAAATAATTTTAAACATAATTCTATATAAAATTAAAATCGAAGTTATCAGAAAATATCGGGAGAAATAAAAATAAAATTACCGAGCTTACATCCCGTATAGAAACTTCTTGCCGTGCATTTATGTTTTATTTATTCGCATACATTTGTGAATTCTTTAGAAATCTTTTCTATTTTTTTTCAAATAGTCTCAACATTATATGACGCGCCTCTCAGTTTTTTTTTTTTTAATTATAAATTTTACTCAATTCGTTTCATTCTGTACATAGACCATCATACACAATATTATATAACTTTAATGATAGTTTCACTAATAACACACACCAGATTGACTATTATGTTAGGTCAGTTCTGGTGACATTAAAAATCCAAGACCTTATCCTGTTCTCGTCTTTTATTTGCAGTGTAGTCGCAGGTTTGTATAATATATTTACGTGACTAGGATTCGTTTTCGAAAACGAAAAGAAATATATTATACGCCAGAGGAAAATTCTTTACTGAACTTCAATGACATCCTGTGACTTTGTAATACAGTTTGTAGAACCAATCTAACGACTCGTCGATTTTGCGAAATACTATAATAATAATATAATATAATATAATCACCATGCCCATAGGCATCATTAAGGGCATCCATATTTGAAAATCCAGGGGGCTCTGTATTTTTCAATAATATTTACCTTATTTTAAACCTATTAACTACTAAATTATGTAAGTTTACGTAGCATAATATTATACGACTGTGTACCTATTTCCTATTTATCATGACTATATTAAATAAATATATAAAAGATAAATGTATAAACTCATACATGTATAACAGATACGGGAAATCCAGGGAGCGGGACATATCTCATCTGCCCCCAATGGACGCCCATGGGCATCATTTGAAGTAAAATCATGGGTTAGCAAGCATCTTGAATCATTTCTAATACAGTTGTGGTCGAATGAAGTATCTCTCGGTTAATTAGTCAGTGGATCATAAATCGGTGACATGGGTATATTTACAGGGTTGTATGGGGGAAGATTTCCCCATGACCTTTTTTTTTTTTAGCAACAAATATCGGATATTAAAGTATTGTTACCGATATTGTTATCTCAAAAATCGTCATTTTCATTCATTTTTTGTTCTATACAACGAAAGGCATATTACTATAACGTACATGCGGTCTTGGCACTCCGTGTAAAATAGCTAATATCTTTGACATATTTCGAGACAATGTTGACTATGTTTATTGTAATTTATTTAAAATTATAAGAATAAAATAATTATTACAATAGGTATTATTTTGTATAATCATTTCATACATTTTCTTATAAGTAATAATTTAAAATTATACCGTTTGAATTATATTTATATTACTATGCATAATATTCCTAATAGATAATACTAACAGTTAAACCGTATATGGAAAAAAAAAATCCCCACACTAGGAAAATAAATCAGTAGCATTATAATGAGGATTGACGGGGGTATAAATAAAATAAAATAATTAAATATTTAATACAATTAATTTTATGTTAAAATTTTAATAATTTGGTATAATATTTGATAGTAACAATATACTGAAAAACTAAGATGCTCATTGTGGTCTTAAGACCACAATGAGCACAGTAAGGGGTAAAATAATAGATATTATGTGCTTTATTTTTCTTAATTTTATAAAATTTATAGAATCGTCTTTATGGATTAACATTACTAGCATTTCATAAAGAAATAAATGATCATCCTGATGAAGTCCTTAATACAATGACACAAATATCAAGAAAAATATAGATCTTATTTTAAAATAAATGTATATCTAGTTGAAAAATATGTAGTATTGTAATTGAAATTTCATATATTAAATATATTAATAATTGTATAGTTATTCAAATTCAATCATGGCTGATAGTATAGTTATTACATTAGTATGATAATACTGTGAAAAAAGCAAAAAATTTAGACTTTTTAAAAATTACTCACGGGGTAGCGTAATTATGAATTTGCAACTCCGATAAAAAAAAATGCGGTAGTAGTTACTTCACGCATACGATATAAATATAATACCTACCTATTATTGTTTTTGATATTGTTTATTTATTTTATTTTATTTATGCATTTTTTCCTACGCCGTTCAAACTTTTTATTGAAAACATGCTCTGCCCATAGCACTTTTTTCAATAATATCTATAATAAAATATAATTTTACATATTTTAATTTTTTTTTTTTAACATTAATTTATCATTACCTATTATAAATTACATTTCATACATTTCATGGACACCACGAGTACCTATATATTTTAACAATAATAACTTCGTCGACGAATTAATAGTCGAACTTGCGTAACATCACGTTAATATTTTAACGGACGAAAAAACTCTGGAGCATCTAATGGCATTTTTCATTTATACGTTTAATTTATCCGAATTTTCAAATATCCAATTCTTATGGTCCGTCTGGGATTTGTAGGTGAGCATTCACGGATATACATTGTATAATAAATACTAATATGATACGGACGAGTACGGAAAAAGACACATGAGCCCCTCGAGAAAACATCAGACGTAGAATTAACAACAAAACGTGAAACTTAAGTGAATATCACGTGCCATATACAAGTATAGCAGAAACCCTGAAACACGCGCAAAACACACGACGACGGTGGTAGATATGCAAAAAGCGTATGCAAGAGGGAGACAGAGACATAGAGACGAAGAGCCGGGAGAAGTCTAATGATTTTTCATTCTTTTGCTAATAAAATATTAAACGCGCCCTTCTTATTTTTTTTTTTTTTGTCCCCTTCATATGAACGAGGGAGGGGAAATCTGCGAGCGGGAAAATCGTCCGCTTTTCTACATACAATTCGTATATTTACAAAGTGTATTCCGGAATTTCAACGCCAAGCCTTCACCCTCCTCCTCCCACATAATGATAGTAAAAATTAAAAACAATAATGTAAAAAATATAGGGGGCTTCTCTTCTTGTACGGCGAATTAAGCCAATCTGTACACGACCGCCCAACTGTTACCGCTTTCCCGATTGTTACTGTTATTATTATACGCGTCGTCGTCGTGAAGTCTGCGGTGCTTTAGTAACATAATAAAATTTACATACGCACAGTTATAATAACGCCGATATATAGGACGTCTACCTAGCTGCACTTATATACACGTATATATATATATATAAGTATAGAGGGACGTCGGACCCTCTCGAGTATAGTCGACGACCCCTTCTTATATAAATTTAGTATTTTTGTTGGAGGGAACAATATGCATGCATAAAAAACGAGAAAAAAACCGCCTACTCGTACGTTTTATTCGCGCGCCTGCAAACACGCCTTTATCGTCTGAATATAATAAAAGTGTATAGGACTTTTTTTCATTTTTTTTTTTTTTTTATTTTTATTTTACATAGCTATAGGTATACCGCGACTTCATGTACTCGAATATTTATGTATTATGAAGTGCCTAACGATCGGTATATGAATGTATTGTTATTAGAAAAAAAATCAACGATCGTCATCTGTTGATAACAAACTAGTAATAAAAAAAGAAAGAAAGACGTCCTAGTATAATGGGGACGTGTGCAGTCACTGTAATTTAATGTAAACCTGTAAGCAACGATATAAACCATTGCTAACAAAAAAACGATTTTGAGCGGAGTTCAGTTGTTAGTGGTGCTTTGTCAACAATATAATATATGCTATATTATAATAAAATAATTAAATCGGCTCTGTATATTTTCTTTAATTTGTTTAATGTTTTACCGGTTTTTCCAGTTTTCTCAATTTTTCACATTTGCTGAGAACACTCCGGCGAAAATGGAAAAACGATCTGTTTAAAGTACCTCCCCAGTGAAATTTCCTTTCAAAAACATTGCTATCATTAAAAGTTGGAGCAAAGTTGCTGGTAGAAAAGTTGTCCACAAAAAAAAAAATCGTTATATTATAATTATTATATTTCGTACATTTTCTCGTTTTTTTTTTCCAGTTTTTCGCATTTGATAAGAAGACTCTTGAGAAAATCGAAAAATGACCTTTTTAAGGTAGAGTTTGTTATTAGGTTTCCAACTATGACCTTGGGCAGTTGGGTCGCTTTAGCGGCTCGGTACGAACCCTTTATAATATTATAACTTAACCTGTTTTATTATACAGTAAACCGTGGGTACAATAATATATTTTATAAATGTGTACCTAATCTTACGAAAATAAAGAAAAATACGGGTTTTTGGTAATTGCACGTTACCCCAGGTTTTCAATGACAATTAAAACGACCATAAATTCTCACAAGAATAAACCATTATTATTACAAAATTGCAGTTAGAGTTTTATCATCATTATTATCATTGACATAATTTGGTTGACAGTCGACTGATTGTCTACGGCCGTCAATAATTTTTTATCATTATCAATTAACGCTATCACGTTAAAATGTAAACATATTCATTTAGCCAAACAGCGGTAACAACCTCAAAACATTGCATGGCCATTAGTAATAATAATACTAGTAATCGGTTGTTTGGTTCTTTCATGTGTCTACCTACGGTTTTTATTCAATAAACAAGTGGACTGATCGCTGATATAGCATGCGTTTGGAAGGGCGCAGACAATACCAATAATATACATATACATTATATAGCATGCGCTCCAATAATGCCTAATAATAGTTTACTGACTAAAAGTATTAAAAGTATTAAACATGAAAAGAAAAAGGATAGTAAAGTTATTAACCTTTATGTATAAAATGTTAAACTTGCGTAATAATAATATTACGTATGAGTAAGTTGCACTGTATAAACTGTGCTACCGTCACTGCCGCCGCCGCAGTCATTAAAAACCGATAAAAATAAAAAATAAAATAATAATAATTAAAGAGTAAATGTTTAAGTAGGTCTTAATGCATTAAAAAGAAAACAAGAAAATCGTTATCATAAAAATTCAGGAACTTTATTTTACATAATAAATAATTAATAACTTTCATAGAAAACTAATTGGAATATTAAGAGCCTGTTTGGATTATAATTTAATAATATAAAACTGCACATGGTTAACTATCATATTTTTTTTTTAGATTCTAAGGGTAGCAAGGAATGCATTGATTTTACAATGAAATGTTTTATTTTTTTGCCTGTGAACAACTTATCTACTAAAAATTTTCTTCTAAAGTATCAAGTATAGAACTTTTTCTAAAAATAATTTTTGTGTTGTTAGTACTTTAGGTAGGCCATTTTTTTGATTTTCCAAGTGTTTTTCATAATAATTGGGAAAAATCTTAGGAAAAACGGGATAATTTACGGAAATAATGCTTTGATTATTTTCAATTTTGATTTTTTATTTTAATTCAGTTAAAAATATTTGTAGATATTTGTAATTTAAACAGAACACTTATATTTCCCTATTTTAGATGCGGTAAACATTTTAAGACATCTGAACCATTTTTGAGATATTTATAGACATGCTGCATAACTGGTTTACATTTAAAACTTTTTCGTTACAGTCATCACCAGGTAATTCTTTCCGGACCCAAACTTAAAAATAGAATATCTCGTCAACAGATTTACGGAAATCAAAAATTTCAACATCAAAATTTATTTTAACTAATACTCAATCTATTTATGGAATTTTTAATATCGGTTGATATTTGAAAATCAAAAGTAGATTCTTGTTTGTACCCCCCCAAAAATTAGGGCGAAAAAAAAAGTCTTAATGTAAAATTTTAAAGTCGCATTTTTTTTAAATTTTTTATAAAACAGATTCCGAAAAAGTGCTTTCCGATAAAATTATTGTTTAACGACAAAAGAATCACTCGGTATAAATACGTAGTTAGTATAATGACCAGTTGCGTTAAACCTAAGGTGTCCTCTTGTTGGTGAACTGAATCCAATAATATTCTTCTAATCGTATATTCTGTTTTGTTTATTACAAATTCCAAATTCGTGATTACAAATTATTACTAATAAGTGGCTAACTTGTGAAACTATTTTTGTTCCAAAATTTTTACTTTGTGGTACCAGAGTGTTTATCGCTACGTAATTATAAGTTAAATTCTCTTCTACGTATATTCTACTTTTCTAACTTTTCACCTACAACAGTGGCCCACCCATTGGGTGAAGAATGTTCATATTTTTCGTTTTTATTTTTTGTCTGTAAATAACTTTTCTACTAGATATCTCGTTTCAATCATCCGGGACGATTTCGGATAGAAAATCTCATCTAATCGGTACAATGAAGGGTGTTATTTTCCCCCTTTTTTTCGCGGTATCCTAAACAACTAGAAAAAAAGTCGGGAATATTTACGCAATAACGGATTCTGTTATTTTGGAATTTGTTCCTTTGATATGTTGATATAGTCCAATGATATAGTGATAGTGAAGACCTGATATTTTTATCGAATATTCTGGCGATTTTGAATATTTTAAATTGTCTAGGTTTTCTTTGGTGTTTATATGGTTACGCGTGGATGAAATCGTTTTGACTGTGTAAAAATGCACAATTGTGGTAAACAAGGTTCCTTGTTCTTACGTTATACTTGGTGGTAAAAAAAAAGTTAGCACACCTAACGTAGGAATTTTTCGTTTATCATATTTTCCGATTTATAGATGGATAAAATTTGTGTTGTCACATAAAAATATTAAACAATTTAAAATAAAAAATATAAATTAACACAATTAAATTTTATCAAAACATGTTAAACCGATCTTCGCTATCACATTTTTCTCGTTTGAAAACATCTATCGATACGTACAGATATAAACTAAATTACCCTATTTATCCTACCTTTCTAGAATTCCAACCACAACAGTGGCGTTCATTTTTTAGTACCTTGTTTCCATCATGATTTTAAATAAATAAATATGGTAAATACATGCCATATAGATAGTATATAATTAAACTTACTTTGTCTGTTACAAAAATTCTAGTTCTAAACAAGTAACGCATAATAATATGTAACTACTTAGTGTATATTTAATTAAAATTTTTAAACCGATGTACCAGATTCAAGGTACCGAATTAAATTATATTTGGAATAGAATTAAAATTATAAAAAGATGGATATACTTCTCGCCATGGGTAGGTTACTATTGTACTGTTGTAGTTCAAACATGTTTGGAAGTTATAGGATATCTAATCGAGTTTTTATCACTCTAACGATAAATCATATGAATCAGTGCAACTAAAAAATGAAAAAAACTGAAAAAAAGATCGATTTTTCATATCCAAAAAAGTTTTCATAATAATTGGGAAAATGAGAATAAAATAAGAAAAAAAGATTGAATTGGTTCCGTTTAATATTAGCCACTGACTAGGGAAAGATGTTTTTTGATATCTAAAGAATTTTCTAAAATAATTGGAAAAAATTAAAAAAGACGAAATATACGATTTTTTTTTCAAATTACAGCACAATGGTTTTATTATTTTAAATTTGCACAGTTAAAGTTTTCAAATTTTCAAAAATAAAACTATTTCTGTTTGGCTACATTAATCTGTATGGTAAAAAAAAAAGGCCGTAATAATTTTAATTAATATATTTCGTACATTTTCTCGTTTTTCCTCCGTTTTTTTTCGGTTTTTTAAATTTGTTGAGGAAACTCTTGAGAAAATTGAAAAATTACCTTCGTAAAGTACCTCCCTACACCGATTTCTTTTCAGAAAACTTGCTACACGTAAAAATCGGAGCAAGTTCTCTGGTAGAAAAGTTTTCCACAGAAATAAAAAATAAACATCTTTGTAAAACCATAAGCTTCTTCGTTCCTCTTAGAATCTAAAAGTAATATTATTACTCTACACGGAAATTGGCCAGTTAACTAAGTTTAGAGGTATGTCATTTATAATTTAATGGAAACAAACTTATTTCATTTATGTTTTGTAAATCTCAGTAGTGAAAAATAAGCGGCACCTTCGCGTGTATACAACGTAAAGTTTAGACAGCTGCATTATAACTGCCGTTGCGGATTGTGGAGTAAATAATCGATTTAATAATAAGGATCCGGACGTATATTTTATATTTATACAGGTACGTTATATTTTTGCGAGTAGTTTTTGCGATATATGGTTTATTTTAACGCTCGATCAATTATTGGATGTGCCCGAATCGTTTTCCATTTGGCCGAATTGGTTCCGGTTTAAATTTGTGATGTGTTATGTGTTGAGATGTGTGCTTAAGAGGACGTTGTAGTAGCATTTACAGCCATTTCCTAAAATTTAACCTACATAAAATCAAAAATACAATTTTTTTAAAAAAAAAAAAACGAATAGCTCTAAATATCTGAAAACCGCCAGAATGTTTTCACGCGTGTACAAATACTGGGTACACACAAATATTGGGTGTAAAATTTAGATCCCTACGATTATTTTTAACCGGATTATAAAAAACAATCAATATCGAAAGCAATAAAAACGTCTCTCGTAAGTATGTGTGTTTCAGTGTATTTTAAAATACGTGCGACGTTCCGTTGATTTTGTGAAAATTCTAGTCGCGTTATGATGGCGGTGCACTGGCGTGGGAGGTCACGGCCGTGTTTAGCCGTATATGATAATTGAATCATTTTCCAATTACCAAGGTTCTCGGTTCTGCATTTGCCACCAGCTATATATAATATATATACGGTGTACCTATTTATTGTACTCTACCCTCGGGTTACACTGCTACAACACGACGACAGCCACGCCTACACTTAAGGGGACTCGCAGAACACTTGTGTCCGGGTGACGCCCATCTAATTAAGATTTTTCCAATCGTACGTATATAGCCGGTAATGTAATTCCGTAGTGAGAAGGGGAATCTGAATTTTCGAAAATCCAAAATCCGAATGTATTATACTTACGCTCAATTATTATACGCTGTACGTATTATTACTATTATGGCGCGTTCTATTCTGTCGGGCTATATCGTAACACGAACATGTTAGATTTTTATGATATTCGGTATATTCTTAGTATAATGCCACCACTATGTATACGGAGTGCACGCCGCGCATGAATTATGGTCGGCTCGTGTGCAGCTAGCGGCTAAGGGTTTCGCCGCCGCCGATGCAAACTCTGTAATATTTATTTTTTTTTTATTTCCACCAAAGGCGAAACGCTTGCAATATTAAAACAAACTGCACCGTGTAGTACGAGCAGCGACCGTGGGGAGCACATACACGTATATTATTATTATTATTATTATTATTATTGTAAAGCACAACAATGGACGTTTCAATATTGAATGAGTCTATGATGATGCGAACGCGCGGAACGGCCGATGGTTCCTTTCAAGAGTGCCCGACGCGGTCAATAATTTATAATATTATGCAATGTCCGTGCGTGAGGCCGCGATGGACAGGGCGCTTTTTTTACATTTTTTTTAAGGAGGTTTTCAGTGTCCAATGGACACACAGTAAAGAAGTCTATTGGACACGGAGTAGATTAAGATATTTGCTTACTGTGTGTTCACTTCGCCAGAAAACGATCGGATTCCGTAGCGCATTTTGTATATCGATTGTTATATTTTATGTAGGAAATACTCTCGCTGGGAAGGGGAGCCCCCCTATCATAACTGCAGAAAGTTCCAACATCAAGGGGAAGATAATTTGCTATGTCTGGCTCGTTGAGCTTCTCTTTTTATTTTTTTTTGTAATAGAGATAATTGTGTACACGCAGTGGAATTGATAAATAGAAAACGAAAAGTAAAAAATACAAATTTAAAAATAGGTAGGTTCGGAATTAAAACAATACTGTACAATTACTATACTCCGGCGTGTTTTCCACCGTGATTTTCTGACACGTTACGAGCCGCAAATAAACAAAGAGACAAAACAAAATTGATTGTGTTTATCGACGACTAACGCGAGAGTAACGTGAATATTTCATTCGTTCATTATAATATTATTGTATAGGTATGCATAACCGTATTTTTCACGAATTGTTCGCGAGTTGTTCACGGTCCCGCACGACAGGAAACTATCTTTAAACGTCGTCGGGGACAGGTACCTCCTTAGGCAACCTACCCCGGCTGCAGTGGGTGTATTACACTATATACCTACTAATAATTTATATACGGGAAAACAAATTGTGTCGTGACAACATCTACTTTGAGAAAATATTATTTTAATACACCGTTAACCATTTAAAGGCTATATCGTCGATCGGCAGGCTTTTACCACGAGTGTTATATATATTACGCCGTCATTGGAAAACCTTTTTTCGCTAAAGTATTCACGTCGGATCGATTCCATGGGTGTAAAACGATAACGACGACAACAGCGAGTATAACCATTACTGATTAACAATTGCTAACAATTACTGATGGATACTGTATTACAGCGCATCACAGAACTATTATATTATTCAGGGTATTTAGTTTTGGGTTTTCTTAAGGAGAAAAAAAAATTAAGTCTTGAATTTTCAGCCAATATAATACACACATAGTAAATACTAATAATAGTAATAATCATAATTTTTTTTTCTCGATAAGCTATTAGTTATACAAAGATGTATTTTTCAAATTCTTTTTCGGTTAGTAAAAATGTGAATTTTTCGTCTGATGGTATTTTTATTCGAATCGGTTATCGACGTTTTCATTAGTTTGTCCCCTAGATTCTTTTTTGTTGTTGGATTTCTCGGTTACCGTATTATTGTTAACAAAGGAAAAGACGCGACTACGTCGCTAAAAATAGTTTCTTTTTCGTTTGCAATAATTTATCGTTGCATACAGACATACAATATGTAATCTAAATCATCCTATATTCTCTACCTTCCCAATCATCCATTTGCGACATTGGCGTACCCGTGAAAAGTATTAACTTTGTTAAACATTTAAAACTTTGTTTAATTTCAGAGTTCTGCGATGGTTCGCCACCAACAACTCGTGGTTCTGCTGATAATCTGCACGGCACTGGTGTATGACAACCACGGTTATTCAACGCACGGTTATTCATCGCGCAGACGAGTCAAAACCGAGAAATCGGGTGTAAACAGTGAACCGGACACGAACAATAACAGCGACATAAACATATGTTCGTTGGAACGAAGAACGACCGTTAACTTGTTTTGCAATTGCGACGAACCGGATCCACACATGGCCTCGTCGGCCGACTGTTGGGTGTTCAACAATGGCGAATCGAAAGATTCACCGATCTGGCGAGAATTCAAATCTCAATCGAAAATCACCAAACTGTCGTTTAACGTTCGTGGGTCCACGACGCAGACGTTAACGTTCATACCCACCGAAGCGTTGGTCAAGTTGCCGGGATTGAGAACTCTGGAAATAGTGTACGCCAATATTTCGTCCATACACTCGCACGCGTTCGCCAATCTTTCGCACCTGCAAGACTTGGCGTTGGGCAGGAATAAAATCGTACGGTTGTTGAGACAATCCATAGCGTACATGGAAGATCTGCGCGTCGTCACTTTAGGGGATAATAACATCGACAATATCGCCAACGACGTGTTCGCCAAACTGCCGGCACTCCGGAAACTCTACATGGACAAAAACAACATAAGTTACATAGCCGAGGGGGCGTTCGAGCAGTTGCGAAAACTCGAAGAACTAGACTTGTCCGAAAATCAGCTGAAATCTCCGCTGTCGCGGTACGTATTTTTGGGGCTGGATATGTTGCGGCGGTTGGACATGCGGGCCAACCATATCGACCGGATCGCCCCGGAAGCGTTCGCTGAACTGGTCAGCTTGGAAGAGCTCGTGTTGGATGACAACGTCATAAAGACGATTGACGGCAGAGGATTTTCGGGACTGATCAACCTCCAGCGGTTGTCGCTAGCCGAGAACCGGCTGACCGCGCTCGACGATCGCACGTTTCGCCGTCTCGAAAAACTCAAATTTATCGACTTGAGATACAATAACTTGCAAACGTTGACTTTCGGCACCGTGGAACCAATCTTGGACAGGCTTCAAAACGTATCGTTCTATTTCTACATAAAAGGTCAGTGAAATTTTATAGTTGTTTTATGCGAAAGTGTTTTGTACGTCATACAAAACGAATATCCGCGGATAAAACATGCCTGCGGTATAATAGGTTTGGCAAAACGGTTTCGAAATATGATAATTATTGAATATAGAGTGTATGTATATATATTACACATCGTGATCGATGTAGGCATACTTACCGAAATTATACTACAAAACATTGTGATTACTCTATAACCTGATTTACGGGTATCCCAAGATTTACGTCAGAATATTGTTCGTGTACAACTTTATCGATTACCCGTCGATGGTCGTACCTAAGTGGGATATGGTACGAATATCCTATATGAGTCGAACAATTATCTAAATAAACTATTAAATTAAAGTGCCCAGTAAACCACCATCGCAATGAACTTTCTATATTAAATTGACCGTTTATAAAAAACCGAACGAACCGTCGACGGTTTAATGCATTTACCAAGTTCACGTTTCGGCAAATGAAACTCCGAAACAGGTAGGATAAACTTTTCAAAAGTTAAAATATTTTAGATAACCTATAATCTAATAATTATATAAATTAGAACGGTTAATAAATAGATGCGCTCAATAGAGGGATTACACTTTCCATTATACTATATCCTTGGACTGATGACAGTCTTTCGTTCAAGAGTATAATAGGCGGGTAATCAATTACCATAAAATGCTTTTACTTGAATTCCATTGAAAATAAAAGTGTAGGTAGGTACCTCTACCTACCTGCCGTTTATTATTTGTAATTTTGAAAAATGGACATCCGTTCAATGTTCTCATCAAGTTGTAATTTATCAATTTGTTAAAAATGTACCAATACAATTATTTGAATGTTTTTCGTGTGTACAATACTATGCGATTCGATTATCGTTCGCGTAGAAATATTTAAGCGATCTCCAGGGCATGGTATTTACCCATAACAAATTATTCCTTGGTATAATAATCGTTATCACCCGTATAACAGTAAAAAATATATCCGATGAATATATTATAATAACCCATAGTATCCGATACATACCATAATAAGTGCTTTTAATAATACATATGTTTTGATGTGTATTATTTATTAGTAGTTACGACCCGTGGCGTATTTAAGAAGACGTTGAATTTAAAAAAATTTAATTATATATTTTTTTTAATAATTAGTTAACAATTAATATTTCTATTAAAAGTCGTACAATTTCCTGTTTTTCTTTTCAAATCCGTCTGAAAAATTTGAATTCTTAAAGTCGCGTTGTAGATTTGTTTAAGTCTAAGGAGGAAATATATTTCTCTATATATTGTCATATTGTTATTTCATAACGATAATAATAATATGTTCCTATGTGTGATTATGTTTTTTTCGAAGAGCTCTATTAAATTATAATTGAATATATGTAATTATATTAAAGGCATACGCGTGTTGATGCAAATTATGTGTCAACAAAAATTTCGTTACATTTTGTACATTTTTTCGAAAACATAATATGTCATACATTATTATATTTACTAATTTTGGAAACACATAATATTATAAGTACCTTTAATGCAGTTTATTATTTCCATCATATTTAGCCTGCAGGTAGACAGATGCCAGTATTTTAAATTAATATTTATTATCACGCGAGTAGGTACTTTGAAATCGGTAACAAAAATTATGAATAACACGATTATTACATTACCGAGCGTAACTCATCTGCATTGGGTATGGTATTTTTTTCAAAACCCCATACGTATCACGTATTTATCTGTATCTCATTTTTACCCGTTTTTATCGATTAGATTTTTGTTGAAAAAATCCCAATAATAATCGTACGTAATTTACGGCTTGTATGAAAAATGAAAAAATTTAGAATAATTCCGTCTCTATGCTATTTTGCTCACTAAAATTATATTAAAAGCTAGCAGTAACTATGTACAAAGGGCATTTAACCAGACAGCTCGGTTTTTCAAATTTTTTCAGAAAACTCTACAAGATGACAGCTATTTATAAGCTAAAATACTACTTTGTACTTATATCGTTCATCGACCAGGATTGCGCAAAAACACGGACGGAGTTGTCTTGTTTTTTGATCAGAATTATCTAGAATTTTGCTTAATCGCGTCGAATTATCTTCTGTATGGATAATCGGATTTGTACTAAAAATACGAGGATAATTTTCTTTATAGAAAAAAAAAAAAATTCAAAATACGAATTTCATAAAAAAAAAAAAAATTGACTTAGATACATACTTAAAATGTATATATGCAACAACCAACTATACGTAGCCGTCAAAACTAGTCCGTAACAAAAAAGTTATTCAATACAATTGAACAATTTTTTTTTAATTTTCATATATTTGTTCGTGCCAAAAATAATATTAACTGAAATTTATTGAAATTATAATAATATAATTATAAACGATGCGCTACTGTTATAAGGAGGAAGTTAGGAAGGATACATAAAGGTGTGAAATTTATATCCGCAAGTAACAATAAATAATTAACGATAATCGATTCTGAGCGAAGTTCGTTTATAAACATTGTTTTTAAAGGACGTAATATTTAAGGTTTACATCAAAATTTTATTTTAGAACCATTATAAAAAAAACTACTATGTAACACTTTCATAAACATTTTGAAAACCATTATTCCGTAAAATTTCCAGTTCTTTTTGTTTTTTTTTTTTTTTTGTTGGTTTTTCAATCATTAAAAACCTAAAATGAAAATCGAAAACAAAAAAACGATTTTCTTCCTTACCAATTGGGTCTAAAATTCAACGAAAGTGGTATCTTGTGTTTTTTTTTATTGAATCGTGATTTCCGGTAGAAAAAATTTTTCGTAAAAATTAAAATAATTAAATCGTGGTTACGCCACGGAACACCGTAAATATTTGCCGTTTTTTCGAAAAACATTTTCCGGTTTTTCCTCATTATTCCGAAAACTCCTCGAAACGCCAAAAAACCATCTCCTCAATACACCAACTAGATAAAATTCTCTTTCAGAAAACGTGCGGCACATGGATAAATCGGAGCACGTTTTCGCACAGATACAAAAAAAAAAAACAACAAAAAACACGTCATAGTATTGCTAATAGATCCCTCGCTACACCCTGAATCTAAAAGATTGATAGGTATTGTACATTATATTTTTTAAATAATTGCAAACAACTGCAGTGTACAACCGGAATAGAATAGATTGTTTCGCTTGTTTCTCGACTGTATTATTTATCGCGTAACCCTGTCTTGCATTGTTACGAGACTTCACCGGGTTGTAAATTATAGTAGTTAGATATATAGCGCTGTTTCGTATAGTCGATACTGTCCACGACGTACTCAAAATGTAAAATGTAAAAAAAAAAAAAAACAAAATAAAAGAAATATTACTCGAAGACACAAAGCATAGTAAAATTAATAATGCATTATTATTGTTTGTACTCCGAATAATTAGTTGTCAACGTGCCTACGATGATACACTTATTATATCTACTCGAACATAATCATTTCCAATGGTTGTTTTTTTTTTTGTTTTTTTTTTTTTTTTTTTTTTTTTTATGGCGATTTGTCCTATCAACATGAAATTCGTATTTAAATCGATACGATATGTTTAAACCGTCCGTAATATACCTACCGGCAGTCCGTCCTGTGATACTCGTCCAGAAGAAATAATATTTATTTTTTTTTGTTCGTCCGTATCTCCAAGGTAACCTATAAAACAACAAAAGTAATTAAATTTTTGCACCGAGAATATCAATAGCCCCCCGTATCATCTGCTCCCTCCTCCCATTAGAGGTTGCCATCGAAGAGAGAGATAAAGTAACCTGTATGTTATTGCTGTTCTTATAGATTGACATCTGTCCACAGTTTCGGCCCAATCCGTTAAGTGTTTCGGGCGAGAAATGGTAACAAACATGCATTCGAATTTTCGCGTTTATAATATCAATACGACCTTAATATAACTACGAGTACATAATACACAGTAAACGATAATTGAGATAATAATAATTTTATACCGAAGTAATAATATATTGTTTTTAACTATAAATAATTATAATATATTGTAGTATACAAAAATATAGGGGGGTCAGCCTAATTATATAAAATTGATTCACACGTATAAGTTAATTATAAATTGGATTACCTTTCTCTTTCAGGCGGCAAATGATCTGTTGAATCTGATAAAGGTGATCGAAATAAAATAAAAAGATTTTAATGTAACAACTATTTTTTTTATTAACTTGTTAAATATAAAACAACACTGTTCTAGGTTCCCGTGCTTTTGTAAGAATCTCTGCGTAGTCTTTACACTCGCTTGTGATCATCTGTCCAAAAGCAACGGAAACAATGCACGCCACTGTGGGTGATTAGAAGTGGCCGGCCTCCTTATAACTGGAGATCTATGTGTGTGTGCGTGTGTAAATGTGTTTTCTTAATTTGGTTAATACTAACAACTTAATCCAACTCTTAATGGCTATAAATCATTATAATTATTTTACAATATTGATTATACATTTTATTTTAACTATATATGATAGCTTAAATATCATATCCTTACGATGAGTAGATATCGCATTCAAATATATGTTATTTGATAAAAAATATGGAATTCGATGTATATGTTTAATTTTCGTTCCCGTTATTAATTGTTTGATTTATTTCTTTCATTACATAATATTTTATTTTACATTATGTATGATAGCTTAAATAGCCTATCATTACAATATTCAATTTAAAGTAAATCGCGGTGTTTCTCTTGTTATTCTCATTGAAACGTCCGCATTTTGATTTTTATCACCGTATTTTGTTTTGATTATTATTATTTTACTGTTTTATTTGTTTATAATTATAAAATGTTTAAATTCTCTATCGACCACTTTTCCATTTTGTTAAATCGAATGTTAACTTTCCGCCGTATTTATTGGTAGGTATTATAACGTCATCGTGTAATTAATTCGAATTTGAAATTCACAAAGAGAATATATTTTTCCGAATATTTCATTAATGCACATCAAATAAGACTCAATTATACAGATCAAC